CCTTATCCTCTAGAGTAACTACGCGCTTAGTTAGAGCCTAGTAAGATAATAACTAAGCGCTAGAGCGGAGCGACTAGACCTAAAGTTAGCTAACGCGGTCTAGAATAATCTAGAATAGAATATATACCCTCTTATAAGGTAACTTAGAAGGAGAACTAGTAGATCTCTTATGAGACCCGTTAGTAGTATAAGGCGGGTGGGAAGGAATAGTACGAATCTCTTCTACGGCCTTAGTAGCTAAAACCAACTCCCTAGAATAGATAGCCTAAGCGCTAGGAATCTCGCGGCGACTAAAAATTATAAGCTAAGGTTAATAATAATTAACGGTTTCTAAACTTATACTTTAATAACCTCTAGGAAGAGCTTATAGCGCTCCCTAAACTCCCTACGTATAGAAGCTAGATAACTACTAGAACTACCGAGAGTCTCACGGACGCGAAGATCGTTATATATATCTTATATATAAATAGAAACCTAAAAATGTATTAGTATAGACGACTTTAGATTACCCTAGACTAAAATAGCCTAATAGACTTATCTAAAGATAAACTTTACTAAGGATAGTATAGCGGCGGTAGCGGGTAGGGAGCTTAAAGATTAGATATATAGGCCTATCGTAGTTAGTAGAGTAGTAGCTAATACTAGAGTTAGAGCGGAAGAGATATTTAGAGCCGGTGGCGTAAGCCTTAATATACTTAAAGTATATTAAACCGTAGTTCGCTATTTTCCTATAGCGTAAACCGCGACTACGTTTAGTATCTTCGGCGACCTAGGCCTTATTATTACTAGGGCTAGGTTTAGAGTAAATATTAAGGTTCTAAAAGGATCTAGAGTAACTAAGTTAGTCTATATTAGACCGAAAAGAGAAATAGTATTTAGAGCGAGGCGGCGAAGGCGTAAACTCTCGATTATCGTCTACGACGAGATCTTCTTTATCCTCTAAAGGAGGTAGAGTAGATAGACGGCGCGAGTAGGTGTAGGTAGGCTTTATAGCCACCTCTTCCGCAATACTAGTACTAGAATTACCTAGATTAGAGTGACTAGTGGCTATATTAGTAGTAATAGTAGTAGTAGCCTTAGCTATCTTCTTCTCTAACTTAGAGCGCGCCTTTATACTACTACGATAAGTAGATTTTTTAGCTAGTATAGCCGGGGTAGAGATAATTTCTTTAGAGTGAGTCTTGCGAGAGGAGGAGGTAGGCTTAGAAATAGAACTAGTATTAGATATCTATATATATACGTTAGCTAGAGATCTAAGAGTAGAATACTTATTTAGTCTTAAAGGTAATTAAAGAAGCTAAATTAGTAACCATAATAACGCGAATAGATTATATAGAACTAGCTCTAATAAAAATGGACTACTCTAGACCCGAACGGATTTAAACTAAAGGAGATAGTATATAAATTAATAACTTACCTTAAGAGTAAGGTAGATATACTAGAGAAGAAAATTTAGAATAAGAGAACTAAATATAAGCTTAGTTAATATAGCGGTTATATAACCCGCGGAGCTACCTCTAAGGTAGTAGCTATAAAGTAAGGGATAAGTGCGTGTATAAATAAAAGTAAACTAGAGCTTAAGTTTACTAATATAAAGACTATCGATAACGTTATATAGATTTAATTAGATACGCGTATAAATATAACGCTTATAGAATTACGGATTTATATATAGCTAAGTACTTTAGGGCGAAGCATAAGAAGAAGAAGAATATTATTAGGGCTAATACTAGGATAGACTTAACTAGACTACTATAGTCTAGTACGGTCCGTGATAGGTGGACCTAGGTTAAGCTAGCTAGAATAAGCGAGACTACTATATAAGTAGGCCGCATATACTTAATTCCTACTCTTTAGAAATCAACCTCGTTAGAAGAGTAGACTACCCTTTTAAATATATTCCCGAATCCTCCTATAACCTATTAGACTACTATCCTACGTCTATAATCCTTATAATTATAGAGATTAATATATATTAGTAAGAATCTATAACGATTTAAGAAAAATAATAATACCTAGTAATCGCGGTAATAATAGCTATAGTAGATTCCGATAAATCCTTACGGATCTTATTAGAATCGTACTTCTAGACGTAACCCTTACCTTAGATATATAGCTCGTAGAAAGCCTTCTCTAAGGCGTTATAATTAGTAGTACTACGCTCCTTATTAGTAGGGGTTACTAGAGGCCTAGTAGTAATCTATACTAATATAAGTAAACCTACGTAAAGTTCTTTAAACTTACTTAAATACCTATAAGTAATAACGCTTCTTAGTTATATAAGTACTATATATTATAGATTTAGTACTACCGTAAGTAATATACGACGGAAAGCGATAACTATAATAATATATAGCTAGATTATTAGAGCCCGGCCTAGGTTAGGGTAGATTAATAGCTTTCGATATATCGGTAACGTATATAAGATAGAGATTATTTAAAGGCGCCTATTTCCGTACTAATTACTTTAGAGTATTAAGATTTTAGAAAACCATATTATAATTATTACCGATTTATACGGATTATTACGAATTATACTATTACTAGCTAAGGATAATACGAAAATTAGTAAATTACGTAAATCGTACTAAATTATAGTAAATCTATATAAATCTATATCTATAAGGATTAGGTAATATATCTAATAATCTAAAAAACTCTATAAAGAGTTAAGAAGTTTTTTAAAGAAAGGAATATTTCTAAGAAAAGATTTTAATATAGGTAGTACCCGGGCTTACCTAATTATATTACGTGATACGCTAGGCCTAATTAGATAATCTTACCTATATAAGAAGTTAGAATAGATAAAATCTAGTTTATTAGAAAAACGCTTATATAAATCTTAGATTAGTAAATATTAGTAAATATCTAAGACGAAGCGTAGAGAATAACTAAGGTCTTACGAGACTTAGAATAGAGATATAGAGATAGATAATAATCTAGGTCGCTAAGGGTAGCTTCCTAGAGGGAAGGGATAATTATTAGGACTTAGCCTTAGGTAGGATCTAACCTATATATACCTTAGCTAATAGGGTTAGGAGGTAATATAAAGGGCGGTAAATAGTTACGTACTAGATAGATCGGCGTCCCTTTATATATATACTCTCGGATTCCTACCGAAAGGGTTCGGTAGTAATTCGTTCTATAATAGAATATACCCTATTATTCTATCTAACTATACTACTATCTAATAACCCTATTCTTACACTAGTAGAGTATTATAGATAGTATTCTAATAGTAATCTAGGGATAGCTTTAGCTTAAGCGCGGATCATACCTTATAGAAGCTATATAACTATAATAGATAGTCTCGGAAGGTAGCTACTTTACCGTCCTAGAAGGGCGGTTTCTAGTCCCTAGGTCCTAATAGTTTCTAGTTAGTTTACGGGATTAAGGTTATCTTTTTAAGTAGAGACTTTAGTAGTTTATTTATAGCGGGGCTCGATTAATTCTAGAAGGCTTAGTTTCTTATAGTAAGAATCTCTTATTTAAGGGCTTACTAGCGTTATAGTAGATTAAAGATCGCCTCTTTAGCGCTTTATAACCCTATATTTAGATCTAGGTCTTAGCCTAGCTCGCCCCTAGTATTACTCTACGTATTATCTCCGAAGTCTATAGTAAAGTACTTAGAGAGTAAAATAGAATCGAACTTAATATTATAGGAATATAATATATATATAGATGTAAGAGTATTTATAGAATATAGTAAGTTTAATAAGAGAGGAAGCTAGAGTCTACTTAGCTTCCTTAAGATAAGGGACGGAGTATACTATTAAAAAGGGGCTTACTTAGCTCCATTAAGTAAGGAGAGAGTAGTAGCGTAGGCGTAGTACGCTAGCGTTAAGTATACCTAGAGTCTACCCTTAATAGATAGAAGAGTATAGATACTATATAATCTAGACTCTAGCTTCTAGAAAATATATATAGAGTAGGCCTTAACTAAATCTATTAATTACTTCTAACTCTAAGCCTTTCTATATAAGCTATATTACCTTCTTACTTTTAGTCTATTATATATTAATATCTTATACCTTTTATATAATATCTATATCTATATAATAGTAATATAGAGAACTCTATAAGATCTTAAACCCTTCTTCTTAGAGAATCTAAATAATCTTAGTATCTAGAAGAGCTAGTTTAAAGGTAAGAGTATAGATTCTATTCTATAGACTCTCTTATATAGAAGAGAGAAGTAAAGAAGAGTCCTTTTAAATCTTCTATATAGAGAAATAGCGCTTAAGTATATAATAGAATACTATAATACTATATATACGCTTAATCTAGGCTAGGAGATTATTCTAGATATAACTAGAGGTATATTTTAAGATAATCTCTATCTAGAGATAGACTATCTATTATACTATTATATAAAGAGAGAAAATATATATAGATAGGCACGTATTATATATAAAGAGAGGGATATTTAGAGAGGGGGAGAGTAGGTTTAATATATATAAGTATGCTTTTAAGGTGTGTGCCCTTAGCAAAAAAAAGTGTGGCCTGCTGACACATACCGTCCGCGGTAGTATCAGAGCTGAACTAAGTATAGCGGTAAGCGGACCCTTACGTTTTAGCTGCATCGCTTTCATCGTACTAAAACCACGTAAACACAGAGCTGGAATATTGCAACGTCCACTTCAGTACTACCAACAACATCGCCGCATTTGAGCTACGTGAATCTATAACATTGGTACCTAGTAGTATACTTGCAGGGCTACCAAGGCGAAGTCCCAAGCCATGAGGAAAGACTCGTGAAGCACAACAATCAATATCAGTTTGTACAAGAAATGTTTAAGTATTAATTTTAAGGAATAATACTTAAAAAAAAGACTTCGTTAACTTTGTGTATAACAAAAATTATGACTCAAACCGAGGCGGCGTGCGTCATATCCACAACAAATCTTCGAATCCACGGATTGCTTCTTGTTCTCAGCATGCAGAGCATGCTGGTACGTAGGACCGGAGCGTGCTTCGCCTTTACTTTCGGATGTTCCTTACAGGGAAGCTTACATGTATTTACTGTAGTTACAATTAGTTCCACGCTCCATAGCAGTAATCTACAGCATTTGTGAACCTGTACGGGATCAAGTCCAGAATCATCTAATACATAGCGAACCGGATACTTCAAGTAAAAAGAATCCAGAAGCAGGTAAGCATGACCCGTGCAATACTATGCACTACCATATTTGCAGATTGGACTTAGGGCCATATGTATGCGGTATTAACTATTTACATGCAGACTTTAAAGTGGAGGGAGAGCCTCCCGGCAATTTGGACACTGTAACCTGAAGCGCATCCAGCCTTCGAGACAAGGCTTATGAAAGATGTGTCGACAAGGCGTGACCATGTACGTTCGGCGAGTAAGCAAATTCGTGGTGAGTGAGTCTTGAGAGACTCCAGTTGGTATGATAGTGACCTCAACATCCTGCGCACATATAGTGCAATCGTATACACGTTTACCTTTTTCTTTTGATTCGCCGCCCGTTTTTGCCGGTAGCGAGGAAACATCCGCGTCTGCAACCTGGTCAGAGCCTATAGGAAGGTTCATGCTTTCTTCATCCTCACGGAGAATTGGATGATAGTCGTAGGCTGGCGGGACCCAGCTGCTGGGTACAAAGAATCGAGGACCCAAGTGCTCTTGGCTCAGAAGCGCAAAGATCTGCAGCCAAACCCAAAGAAGATATACATACATCATATGTATATCTTTTGTCGAAAATAGTACATTGTCTTTCACAACATAGAAATAACTGATAGGTATCAGACGCAGGGCGCTCTGGCTAATGATGAAGTCCCATCTCAAAGCCTTCCGGCAATTGCGGACGACGTTTCGATGGATCTGGGGGCACCAAAAGGATAAGTATGCAAAGTTGAGAATATTCAAAAATGCGTTGCGGAAGATTGATGGCCAGCTGAGTGCAAATGCAGTAAGAATGAACAAGACAAGCATCGAAAGAACGAATTGCATGTACATAAACTGGCGATTTGCATCTGCGCTTTCTGCCGTCGTGGGATTGCTCGGAACTTGCGCCTCCGCAGTAACATCTTGGTCAGAAGGAAGAACAATAGGTGTTGCGCCTGTGTCTTGCACTGTAGTACCTGGTAAAGGTAGTCCCTCTGCGTTCTGCATGTCTTGACTGGGAATGTCGGCAGTCACCGGCCTGCTGTTTCTTTCTTGTCTCTCTTGCCTCAGACGTTCCGTATACTGGACACTCCAGATGTCTAGTATGAATCGAACGCTAAGATGTAAGACCGATGCAAAGCCGAGGAAAAAGGTCGCAAACGTCGTGTAGAACAACGAGCCATGTACGAGTCCGAATAGTAGAAGGCACATGGACCAGAAGGCGTCACCCATGGCAATTATCCAAATGCTATAGTAGCTGACACGATGGCGCGTTGAAGGCGTAGATGTGTCCTTCATTTGTCTCAGAAGGAAGAAGACTTGAGCGACGAAAATGCATGCCAGGAATTCAACGACGTGTCGGAATGCCAATATTCGCGCCTCCTTTTTATAGCCTTGTAGGTGATTACTCGAGGCGGTGAATGTATCTGGGGCTCCCTTCGACTCGATGACGAAGCCACAATCTGGCGAAAAGGCTACCATAGAATACACTAGCTTCGGTGTTTGCTTGAGCTGAGCTCCGGTTGGATAACGCAATTCAGTCTCTACAAAGTCGAGATAGTCTATTTCGACATCTTGATCCTCCACTAGGTGTTGTTGAAGATATAGAACGTACTCGCAGTGAGGACTAGACAGGCCTTCCTCGTCGACCTTTCCAGGTACTGAAGACCATGGATTGGGGTCAATGAAAGCACGATGTTTCAGAGACCCAGAATGCTTCTGAATCTCTCGATGAATGGTATCATTGAGCAGATCTTGGGCCATCGCAAACATGTTGTTCGTCAAAGCCATATGTGGTAAAGCAAAGATGCCTGCAAATCTGCTCTAAAGTCAGCTATGCATAATGGCACAAGGGTTTATTGAGTACTTTTCACTGGTAGTTGTAAGCAAGACATGACCTGAATTGACATAGTGAATTCCGTGTAATATAGCTGTCCATTGAGCATTCAGACCGCTGACATCTTCAACTTCGATTTGAGCAGATATCTCTCTTACTGAGCCATTCCGGGCCGTTCTGTCAGTATCAAGCTCAGTGAACTCGATTTCAATGGTACCACCATATGATGAACTCATATTACGGTCATATCCATTCACCCAGTAGTAGTCCGGAGCTGTCGCAGACAGATTCACAGGTTTGTGCTCAATTTCTTTTCCTATGTCGGAACGCTTCCAATCTCCATAGATAGACCCTGTTGTATTCTTGTACAGTATGGGGCGCTGCTCCGCTAGCAAGCCATTTCCGAGAGCACCTCTGACTCTATCTCCCAAGATATAGGTAGCTTGCTGGTATGCTTTTTCTCTCACACCTCTGAACAGGCTCCACTCAAATCCATCCTCTTTACGCAGCCCAGGCATGCCAAGCCATTTTTCTTGTACAGGATCAAAATCGCCGTGATGTGTGGAATTTAGGACCGAGAGCTCTGAGTACTCTTTCGCGACTATTTCAGTACTGTTCAAGCGGAACAATGCGGTCGTATGCTGAGTCTCCGGAGTGCTAGTGAAGTAGATAATGAGAAGTATCAGTAAGACGAGCGTGCGAGGGTTATGGTCCGCCATAGTTGCAACATCGTAACTACGTGCAGTTGCACTTTTAAAATAGCATGACGCAAGCTCCGCGACTGAAATTAATCTAATTCATACCTAGAGAGCTGGAGCTAGATCTAGCATGACGCCACAGTTCTCTTCACGTGCACGCGCGTCTCTTGGCGCGGAGCTAGCTCCAACCTAGGACCTGGAGCTGAAACCGCGCGTCATGGCTACAATGAGGTCATATCGTCACTAAAATGAATTTTGGATAGCATATTAGTGTTTATGAGATCGATCACTACTTGCCTGATCTCGACCTTGCCGGTTAGATTCGTCAGATCATGCTTATCACAACGCTCGTACGTAGATACGCTTGAACGAAATCTCATCATGTCATCCTCAGAAGATGAGGAAGCTCAAATTGAAAGGGCTATCGCTCTTTCTTTACAAGCAGATATTCAATCTCCAGATGCAGGTGAGAAGCGAAGAAACACTGTCGAGGATGTCTCAAAGGATCAGTCATGGAGACAGAACCAACCTACTGGTGCCGGGCTGAATCTAAAGGAATTGGCTGCGGAACGAAATGCTCGGTCAGTTAAGAAGCGAAACCTCGAGCCAGACATCGAAATTATCTCAACAGATAGTAAGGGTTCTAAACGGCGGAAAGCTGTCATAGTCGACCTCAGCGACACTAGAGATGACAACCCTGCTTCAGGGCGGCCTCCAGCTTCACCTGCCACTCCACAAAACTCCATGACTTCCTTCGCTCCCGGATCCTTTCCCAAGGGTGTCATCAAGCGTACTTGGGCATTTGGCTACGACCGGTCTGATGATGTCAAGATCGAAGAAGTGATACAGAAGAATAGAATCGAAGACGTTGTGTTAAGTGCTTTTCAAATCGATCTACAGTGGTTACTATTGAAGTTCGCACCGATCAGATCGCTTATTACAATCACTATGGGACTCAAAGACAAAAAAGACCAGGAACAGTGGAGGTCAGATGCGAAGAAGAATTTTCAGTATATCCGACTGTGCTTCCCCGACATGTCTGGCCAGATCAGTTCTATGCATTGCAAGTTCATTATTTTATTCCACGGCACGCACGTTCGGATTGTCATTCCGACTGCCAACCTGATGAAATACGACTGGGGCGAAACTGGGGCAATGGAAAATTTGGTGTTCATGATCGATCTTCCTCGCCTTCAAAGCCAACAAACCAATGAGGAAGCTCTTCCACCCTTCGGGCAAGAGTTTCTTTACTTTTTGAGAAGGCTAGGCATAGACAATGACATCTGTCAGAAGCTCTTGAAATTTGATTTTACTGAAACAAAGAAATTTGGATTTACACACACAGTGTAAGGAAGCACTTCTGCCCTTGGCCTGCACGCGCTAATAAACTAAAGTGCTGGTTCTCATACAGATGAGACTGTTCACAGGACGGGGTTACCAGGACTGTCGCACTCCATCAAGAGACTAAGCCTCCAGTCCAGCGAAAAGCTCACGCTCGATTACGCCAGCGCCTCACTTGGTTCCTTGGACGACCAGATCCTGGAATGTCTCTATCGATCTGCGATGGGACAAGACATCACTAGCAAGAGCTCTAGTAGCATCTCCAGCGAACACTTGCGCTCGAAGATCCGGATTCTTTTCCCGAGTGAGGGCACCGTGAAGAGTATTAAAGATGGACCCGAAGTAAGTTGGACTGGGAGCGTCTATATTATATTGATGGACTCCGATTGATCTGAAAACAGAGTGCCGGGATTATAACGTTGCAGAAGCAATACTGGAATTCAGGAAAATTCCCGAAAGCGTGCATGCGTGAATACAAGTCCATTCGAAACGGGCTTCTCAGCCATAACAAGGTCCGTCCATCGGGTCAAAATTTGAATATAGAGGTAAGACTGACAGGATCAATAGCTGATTCTCGCACGTGGAGAGAGAGAGGGCAAGGCTATTGCATGGGCCTATCTCGGGAGCGCCAACTTTTCCGAATCTGCCTGGGGCAAGCTTGTTAGAGATCGCGCAACGAAGATTCCGAAGCTGAATTGCCGCAACTGGGAATGCGGCGTGGTGGTTCCGATGTCCGAGTCAGCTCTAGAGAGCATTGATAAAGAGGCAGATGCGACTGTGTCATCGAAAGTCTTCGAGACCGTGTTTAGATTACCTTTTGAACACCCGGGGGAGACATATGAGGGAAAGTCTCCATGGTTCTTCAAAGAACATCACTCCGACGCTCACTCTTGGCGTACTTGAAAGAGTCATACATTTGACAGCTTTTGCATAGCCGAGCATCGATGTTGCGTGGCTTTGGATCTCAAGATAAGAGGTGGATTCCGCCTAGCAATGGCGCACAAATCAAGACCACTGACGAATGTAACGCGTAAATTGGCTCAATCGACGTCGAATGATAATTTGATAGCCTTTTTGGCCTTCTTTGTTTTGCTTGTAATTTTCTTGGTTGTAGGAGCGACAGTCTTGGTGACTTCTGAGGTGGGGTCAATCTCGTCTGCATCCTTGATGACCTTTCCGATCTTGCGCTTTTTAGAGTGGCGACCAGCTTCTGCTACATACAGCTCAGCATCTTCAGATAATGGTCCCTGTATCTGTTCACCAGCTCCAGTTGCACCCTGTGAACCCTTGTGTATGGCAAGACTGTTGTGGTCTGTTGATGATGCGTCTTTCTCAGAGACAAGCGCTTCATACTCCTCCTTCGTAAGCGTGTCGTTACTCCCATCCATGACATAGGCTGGGGCATCATCATCAATTTTCTCGGTCTTCCCGCGACGGCTCAATCGAGCCGCTGAGTGTTCCCCCTCAGGCTCTACTCGTCCGCCAATCTCGCCTCTCATACGACGCAAGAACGTGGGCTCGTTGGAATCTATGTCCCATATATGAGCCGGCGCCTAACTGCCTACTTGGGAGCTCACCATATTCAAGATTTTTCGATTTTATACTCATCTTGTGTGGTTGCCTGAGCCACGAACCTAAAGAGCACGAGATGTTTGGTATGAGTAGTCTTCCTCAGTCTTGTAGCAGTCTGCAGGAGGTGTTCAATGGTTGTGAATCATGCGATGTCTGTTGGGGTTGGTCGTCCAAGTGGCGCGTTTGGTTGCAGAAGCACCGTCCAAGTACTGTAATCGTTATCAGTGGTCCGAGCTTTTTAAGGAGCTGGCGGAATCATATGGGCCTGGAAAATGTTACAAGTAATTAGAATACAAACTCCACCAACTTGCCGCACACCAAGCAGTACTTTGGACAACTGGGTCTTCCATAATCGGAGCTGGTCATGATATTACACCGTACTATTACATCGGAAAATCCAAGACAAAGAGGAGCTTTCATTGAAGCGCTCCGGGACCGGACTCAGCGTGGCTACGCCAGTTATCTTTTCGTGACTGACGACCCCTGGGCGAAGATTGTCGGCATCGAACTAGGACTTCGCTTTTGGTAATCTCGCTGGACATTTCCCAGTGTCGCTCGCTACGTCTGCTTCTTTCTCGACATTAGATGACTGGCTATCATCCCTTCGATATCAAGCACATCTTTTATCTGGGCTTACGCATACGGGTCTACAACGTCTCCCAAGAGTGACGACAAAGCAGGCCCCAAAGGCTAGCGAAGTCTTGACGAGACTCGGTGCCTTGAATCATTCTCATTCTTGGTTTCCACCATACCGCCAATATGAGTTTTATGCGAAACATCACACGGAGCATACCCAATGGTGCCCTACCATCCTTTAAGAACGTTCCACGACAGGCAGACAAGCCCATTCCACGCCTCGGCTTTTTCCAACGTCGTGTTCGGCTAAAAGGAGATTCTTCAGTATCGATCCCACTTGGAATTGTTCTCATATTTCCCTGCATCGTCATAATCCTAATAATCGTACTCTTCGTTCGACATCCTTCATCTCCTGGTCGCATGCTTGTACCTGCGGGAGCGCCCCCTACCATACGGTATGCACGTGCTGTACGTCCCATATTACCGCAGACGACTGACAGGCTTAATTGCAGGCGAATTAGTGATAAGCATGATAAAGTCTTCGTCACAGGCTGTTTAGAACCAGACACATCGGCCCCCCGCGCAAACGCCGCCTTTGTCGTTCTTGCAAGAAACAAGGAGTTAGATGGAGTCCTGCAGTCCGTAAAATCAATTGAGCGGCACTTCAATCGCTGGTTTCACTACCCTTACGTCTTCCTCAACGACGGCGAATTCAACGAAACATTCAAGGCAACAGTTGAGAACTACACGAGTGGGACTGTGGAATGGGGTAAGATTGAACAGTCGGCATGGGGCTTCCCTGACTGGGCGGACGAGAAGGTCGCAAAAGAAGGTATTGCGAAGCAAGGTGACGCTGCGATCATGTACGGAGGCATGGAAAGCTATCACCACATGTGTCGCTATTATTCTGGGTGAGATACTGATGCCAATTGTTCACTCTGTATGAGCGGCTAACGGATAGCAAGGTACTTCTACAACCATGAGCTACTGCAAAAGTACGAATGGTATTGGCGATTGGAGCCCGAGATCAAATACTTCTGTGACATCACATAGTGAGTACCTCTACTGAACTCAACTCTCATCTTAGCACATACTCATATGCATGCAGTGATCCTTTCATGCACATGATCCGGGAGAATAAGACCTATGGGTTCACGATTGCCGTCAAAGAATTGAAAGAGACCGTGCCAAACATTTTCAGATATGCCTCTGCGTATAAACGATTGAATAAATTGAAGTCGCAAGGCCTTTGGGAAATGTTTGTTGAGAAGCCAGAGACTCCAGAAGAGCCGCCAAGCGACGGGAAAAAACCTCTACCCGAAGAGATTCTCAATACAGACCCTAATAGCGGCCATATGGCAGATATCGATCTTGAAGCCATGGAGGGTGAGAGATACAACATGTGCCATTTCTGGAGCAATTTTGAGATTGCACGCCTGGACTGGTTTCGTAGTAAGGAGTATAACGACTTTTTCGAAATGATGGATCGAAGTGGAGGGTTCTGGATGGAACGGGTATGTACTGTACTACGTTGGTTCCACTGATCATAGACTAACTGTGATCCAGTGGGGGGACGCACCTATTCACTCCCTGGCCGCAGGGGCACTGCTGAGCCCTCGAGACATACACTACTTTCGAGACTTTGGCTATCGACATACCACGATTCAACACTGTCCAGCGAATGCACCTGCACGTCAGCTTGAGCGAGAGCCGTACCTGGAGAAGACGACATTAGATGAGAAGAAGCGGAAAGAGGAGGATGATTACTGGGCAACATGGGATCCGCCCAAAGAGAATGGAGTGGGCTGCCGATGTAAATGCGATACCGATATTGTAGACGTCGAAGGCAAAGAGGGCAGTTGTTTCAACGAATGGGTCGACGTAGCTGGTGGTTTCGACTCACCTTGATGACCAGGACGTCGACATTTGTTACTTGTTTGATTCTTCATCATTCTTGTGCACATACACTTTCTAGATCAATCTGTTTTCATACGGCTGCAAGAACTGGATCAAGCGAATGACGGCGCATCGTCATGGTGGCGGCGAGTATACCTTCGCACGCTTCCTTTGTACCGGCGTTCAGGGGTTTACACATCACGACGATGCACTTCGATGGGCGCTATATTTAGCGGAATCATCAACAAATGATTGAGACAGGATTCAATCCATGTACATAGGTTTTCCTAGCTGCAGCATATTGCGCTGTTTTGACTTAGAGGGCAGGGCTTGGTACAATGCTACAAGCCATATCTGCCTTCTTGACATGTCCATCCACTACACCCACGAGAGCGTACGAAATTGACAGCTTCAATAACTGTGACAGGGAGATAAATGCAATCATATCTCACTAAGGCATATGATAATGGGCAGATATGTGAGAGAGTACCTTTCACGTATCATGGGCATGCTCTGCGTATCTCGATCAGACGCGACATTTCATTCACTATCGCCAACATAGATTAGTGTCCATCTAACGTTATCTCGAGGCGGGGCAGGAAGCTACGAATCGCCCATCAATCGTGGGCGGCATGGTCCATGCCAACCCACCCCACCTTCCTCCTGACCTGCAGTCAGTTGTACACCTCAGTACTTAGCAGTCAGCCAAGCTCGACATTACCGTCTTTCAGCCCGGTCAACGTTCTTGCAACTGATGCTCAGCTATTGATCTGAGCAGCTACAACGATTCACTAGACTTCAACACTTGACTTCAAGGTGTCCTGTCAGTCTACACAACCTACCTGACACCACGCGCTGAGTGTGACTGACTACGAGGCGAGGATCGACTAGGCACCCAACGCCGCTAGCTTATGTATGTATGCTCCATCCATATATGCGTTTGATGGCCACGTCCTCCAAGCAACAAATAATACTCACTGCGCTTTGGACCTTGTCTTTCCCTGGACCATTGAGGACGTTGTGCATATCCAAGCATGGCAACTCCCGCTAACGACTTGGAACACACAGAACCTGGAAGTCAACCTTCTCTCCAGACACCTTATATTACTGTCAACGACCCAAACGCCCATGCTACAATGGCACGGTCCACCCCCAAGCGTCATCCTGTAGAGATGCCAAACGCCCTCGACGACAGTAGCTACGATCTTATGTCCTCTTCGGAGATCTCCCAGGCATCTTCTGACGATGGTCAAACAACGTCCGTGACGTCCGCTGACGACCAGGCGGCAGATGAAGTTAGAAGTATCAGCTCCGGGGATGAAGAAGAAGACGAGGACGCTGTGCATGAGGAAGAAGTTGTCGATGGGACTATGCTAGCACATCGTACTCCATGCGAGTCCATGGTTGCGTCAGAAGGAATAGACAGTGTGCTAACAACTCGAGCGTTATCGGAGCCTAGCATTCCGGCCTTGTCTATCTCGGAGACCAAGGTTGAACTCGGACATGAAAATATTGATCTACTCCAAACACTTTTAGAGTTGGATACTACGAGCATGCCAGAACAGCTCAAGGGCGTTGGTTTTCCTTTCGTCTCTCTATCCGTCGGTCAGCACCTAGCGAAAGATCATATCCGCCTGCATCGCCCATACCGGCTCTTGTATATCGGAGATGCAAGCCTCAAGCAGCCTGTCATCGAAAAGGTCAGCGCGGCCCTCGCAATCAGCAACGGCTTCGCCTTCGACATACATGACGAAGAAGTCACCGACATACATTACGTCGCCAAAGGACAAGCGAGTCACACCGATTTGGTTATCGACGATTCAAAGCGAGCTTTGAGGATAGGAGTTGAACAGTCAGGTATACTCTCGACTGGATATCCTTCTACCAGTGAGATTGTTCCAGACTTAGCGATATTCTGTCATACGAATGAGGAATTTCTTCGGGATCCCGATCCCATCTACTCTAGTCGAGCTCGTGTTGATTTCGCGTACCGGGCTTTGGCTAGGCAGGGCATTCCATGTCTCCACACAACTGTGGCAGGGCCTCTGGATGGATTCGACCGACATCACGCTGTGCCGAAATACTTTCGCTTTATCCTTGAAGGTCGCATGGGTCCAGATGGAGATAGCGCTCAAGTCTGTGAACCATACCCCGTGAGCATCGACTACTTCCTGAGCATGAGTAACTTCATACTTAACAAACATCTTGCGTTCCTCTTCTCCCTGCCCAAGACTTACGAAAAGACCTTGCTAGGATCGTTTGGCGCCTGGAAACAGAAGCTTCCAAAGACAGCGAGGGAACATTGGGCCCAATCTACTGTCTCTCAACGTCTCCAAGCATTGGGAACAATCATTATGACCCTCTTTGTCGTGGTGTCGCCCATACTTATGCTGCTGCAACCGCCCATTCCATATGCCACTGAACACTATCAGCAAAGCTCAAACCTAAAGTCTCCCGTATCTGTCGCCGTCACCACCCCGACTGCAATAGCTTCGGCAACAACTGCCGCTGTGACAGGCCTAGCACCAACGTCAAAGTCATTGGGGAAGCCTCTACGTGATATGACGTCCGCCACCGCAGGATGTAACGAGACGGTCAGTGTCAAGCTGCACGACCGCCGCCAACTGGTCTTCACGACCCCTGGCTGCTGGGCAGAATTGCGACGACGTCCGAGCATCAATATTAAGGTCTCTCATGGACACTGGAATGTAAAAGTGAACGTGCCGAGAAAGCACGAAGGGCCTTACACTTTGGTCTTGGAAGACTTAGCCAAGGCAGATGCGGTCAACGTGACAGTCTGGACAACTTCAAAACCTCTCATCAACCAGACGACGGAGATCAGCCTTCGTCGTCCATGGTTTGGCTCCAGGCTTTTCCTGCAAGCTACAAGGCGCGCTAAGTCGTTCGGTCTCAATTCAACATCTGCGTCGACAATCATAAATGAGTATAAAGCAGTTGTGGACGGGTGGCTCGATAGCGCATCAGCAAGGGCCAGGACTGAAGTGATGAAGAAGACAACAGCCTTTCGGCAGCGCATCGTCTCGGGCATAGCCGTCACTACGGACGCTCGCATTGGGCAAGCACGGAGGAATGCCGATCGCCTTATCAGGAACTTGAAGGGTCTGAAGGATATACTGATCAACAAGACTGTTGAGTATACTACCTCTGACCCATTTGAGCAAGAACATACACGTCGACCGGATCGGAAAGCTCAGCAGGCTGGAAAGCTGTGGAAGAAGGCCAATCGGAAAGAAGGATGATCTGGTAGGCTTTGAACGGGTTGGCGTTACCCCTGATTTTATTTGTCGATCGTTTTGAAGTATCAATTGGGCATGCTCTCGGTGCCATGGACGGATTTTGAAGATACCTAGCTTGAGCGGTTCAAGTAACAATTTGGGTGCCTGACTCTGGCGTTCGTTTGATAGTCGTCTGAGCTTGCATCTCATTCATGTTGAACTCGATCATGTCGTTTGAGTGAGCTATCACAGTATTATGAATGAAGCTATAGCGAATGAATTATAATGCTGGTGCGACAGAGCAGAAGTTGAACCACGATGCTAGATGCCAAAAGTGAATTAACGCAGATTTTTCTGTGACTATATATACATGTCTTGGCTGATATCTTGTCACGCTTAGCTTCTGTGCATGAACCTATACGTAAGTTGTAGCTCGTTCAAATCATCGGATCTGGTTATTACCAGTGTCAAGCATTACACGATCGAGATGGGAAAAGGTACGGACAAGCTATATATCACCCACTCAGAATGGTCCTCTGAAGATGCGTTCAGCGCCTCGAAAGGCTCAAGTGCCTCAAAGGCCAAGATCCCAGGCGCAAACTTCCGCCGCTTACCATTCAATTTCTGCGCCGTCTCCCTACAGCCGTTCAAACAGCCGGTCTGCACATCCGACGGAGTGATATTCGACTGGGAGAACATACTGGAATGGTTAAAGAAGCATGGCACAAACCCTATCAACGGCACGCCCTTGAAGAGTGCCGACCTGATCAAGCTGAACTTCATGAAGAACGACGACGGCGAGTTTGTAGATCCTGTCACGTACCGCGTCTTGACGGATAACAGCCATATTGTGGCCCTCGGAAATACTGGAAATGTATTCACGTGGGATACGATTGATCGGTTGAATATAAAGGCAAAGAACTGGAAGGACTTGGTTAGCGAGGAGGACTTTACGAGGAAGGACCTGATCACGCTGCAGGACCCGCAGAATCTGGGCGCGAGGGACTTGAGCAGCTTCAAATATGTCCAAGAAGGTGTCAGGACGCTGACGGACGCGCAAGAGGCGGAGCGGAGCAGCGGCGTCAACGCAGACGCCCTCGGCAGCTCCGGGAAGATAGTCAAGGCCAAAGAGGCCATCGCGAAGGCAAGAGCGGAACGAGAGAAGAAGGCCGCCAATTCCGGGCCATCAGCGACGCAAGCCACGGCCATGACAAGACCCGGCAGCACAGCAGCAGCACCCGCACACCTCAACCAGATCAAAAAACCAGCATACAACTCCGCCCAACACACCACCGGCAAAGCAGCCGCCTCCTTCACCAGCACCGGCCTCACCCCACACACCTCCAACGAGCGCGCCATCCTCACCGACGAAGAATACATGCTCAAGCCCAAACGCATCAAAACAAAGGGCTACGCCCGCCTGCACACCTCACACGGCCCGCTCACCCTCGAACTCCACCCCGAATTCGCCCCCAAAACCGTCTGGAACTTCGTCCAGCTCGCCAAACGCGGCTACTACAACTCCACCACCTTCCACCGCTCCATCAGAAACTTCATGCTCCAGGGCGGCGACCCCACCGGCACCGGCCGCGGCGGCACAAGCATCTGGAACAAACCCTTCGCCGACGAAACAGACGGCCCGCTCAAGCACGACTCCCGAGGCACCGTCTCCATGGCAAACAAAGGGAAAAACACAAACACAAGCCAGTTCTTCATCACATACCGCCAAACCCCGCATCTCGATCGCAAACACACCATCTTTGCCCGCGTCCTCCCGGATGGCGGCGGGCTGGACGTCCTCTCCCGTATCGAGAGCGTTGCTACAGACGACAAGGATAGACCCGTTGACGATGTCGTCATCGAGCAGGTCGTCGTCTTTGTCGATCCGTTTGAGGAGTTTCTCAAGTCACGTGCGGAGAAGGAGAGTAGGGAGGCGGCGGACGAGGAGGTGCGGAGGCAGGGCGGGACGGAGGATGATCGGACGACGTGGACGGGGAAGAGGATTAGACGGGATGGCGTGGTGGGTGGGGATACGGATGGTGCTGTGGCGGGTGTGGGGAAGTATCTCAAGGCTGCGATTGAGGAGGAGAAGGGGAGGGAGAAGGGGAAGAACGACGTTGTTGTGGGTGGTTGGGGCGAAGGGGATGATCGAGAACTGCAACAGCAGCAGCCTGTGCGGAAGAAGGTCAAGAAGAGTGCGGGCGGGTTTGGGAATTTTGATTGTTGGTAGTAGTGTCTCCCGTTCAGTTGTAGTAGTAATGCATATCCATGATACCCCCTTGGCTCCCTGCTTCTGCTTCATTCTCACTCAACACAATTGAACTCAGTCACATCATTCACCTCTCCCAGCATAACATAGACGATACACAGGAAGACAACATATCACTATTAACTTATTGACCGTACTTGTTAATCATCATACCTAGGTACTAGCGACAATCCTGGATACATCATAACTCCATATCCCATAGCCCACATCCAACCACGTATCCTAGACGACAATGCATACATATAATACACATACATATACTTCTTCAATATCTTCTATCTTCTATCTTCTATCTCCATTAAGCACCACCTCCAAAACTCTGATGCCGGTATATACTAGTAGTAAGTAGTAGTATGCCTAGGTGTGTGCTCTCTTAAATTTTCATAAGACGTTAAATGTATCCACCGTAAACCACAAAAAAAGGAAGCCCATGCTTGAGGATATATACCCAACCCTAACAAACATCCCATGAACGAGCTTTCCAGTTTACTTCCCTCTTCTTTCTATAGTATATTATGCTATACCATACGTACCTTGCCAGCGGACCAGCGAGCCAGCAGACCAGCGAGCCAGCAGACCAGCGAGCCAGCAGACCAGCGAGCCAGACCAGCACGTCCATCTCAAGACTCCAACACGACCGTCGACGCCTTCCTCGGCCGTACGGTCGCCGCCATACTGGTACCCAGAGCAAACGTCAAGATATCCTTGAACCGCGCCCTGCGATGCAACTGGACCGCCATCTGGACCCAGGCACTAACGGCAATGATGAGCATAATAACGACACAAAGGCCCGCGACAGCGACGAAAAACTGCCAGAGCCGGGGATTGCTATCGTCGCCCGAGATCTCAGTGATATTCATGCCGTAGATGGAGGAGATAAGCGAGATGGGGGCGAAGCTGTAGAATCTGTCAGTATTCGGCACGAGTCAGCAACGTGTAGCTGTGACAAATGAAACAAAAGAAACGCGTACAAGAAGGCAAATGCGTTGGCCAGCGCGGAAATGCGGGCGTTTGTGCGGCGGTGGTGCGTGTCGTTGTACTTCTCGCGGGCTTGCCAGAGCATCTCGGACGACTTCAATGCGTAATTGAAGTCCTCGCGGAGGCGTTCTTTGGTGTCCTGTTCAAAGGGGGTCGAGCTCGCCTTCCAGCCTAGACTGCCGCCGCGCTCGACGCTTTCCAAGGACCTGCGAATCTCCTCGGTGAGGTTGACGGGATAGAGTTCGGAAACGCCCTCGACTTTCGCATCCTCCTGGCGGAAGGTGTACATCAGCTGGTTGAAGGTGTAGCAGTTGAGCTTGAACAGCGGAGAGAAGGCGACAAAAGGTGACAAGGCAGCTTCAGCAAGATTGGAGCTCGCGAGCATCTCGATGTAGAGTTCGCGAAAGGTTTTGGGGCCCGGCTTCTGTGGAGTGGGAATGTTGCTGAAGTCCGGTGTGAACGTGGGTGGTGTCAGGAAGCTGTGGCTGGACAACATCACCTTCGAATGTGAGCTGATGAACACGACGCCTAGTACGCATGAGCTTGTGCCGGTTTTACGTTCGTAAGACAAAACTGACCTGTCCAGAAATCGGGCGATGCACGTGATACGTAGATGGAAGCTTTGAATGTCTTTGTATCAGTCGGCGTCTCCCCCGAGGGATCACTGATTCTGAAATTCAGTGTGATGAAGGGCGTCCGATTTCGTGTGGCAATAGACAACATGTGCTTGCTGCCTCTGATATGCCACTGGAAGAAGCGAGGATCGAGCTGTAGAGCGCTACCGAAAGACTCCATGATACTGCTTGATATGTAGCCAGATTGCTCGACGACATATATACGAGACTTGCATCCAAATGGCTTCACTTCACGCATGAATTCTGCCAGTTCTATGTCGTCATGCATTTCTTCGTAGTGCTGAGCTGTGTTGTCGTTCTTGATGTCCATGACAGAGATCTTCAGGTTCAAGTCTTCGAAATCGACCGACAAGTAGTCGTCAAGGTCCTACAACTTCAGTAAAGATTAGATCAGGGGCAGTACTTAATATACCTGGAGATTGGTCCATCCAGCTTCAAGGCATTTGTGGACGTATTCATGATAGGGTCCCCTGCCGTCTTGCTCCCATTCCTCCCATTGCTGAAGTGGGCCGAGCGTGGCCTTGCGATGCTTTTGAGCAAGTCTCGTCAAGCCGTGAGTATGTGTATGATGGAAGACGTGAGAATTGTGTGCATATGTAGGCCGCTGTTGGAGGTCGTCTGAATCAGGGCTGTGTCGAATACCTTGGCCGGCTCCAAGAGCTCGATTCTCTTGGACTCTTATTGACATGGGATAATCCGGAGTGGGAGACAAGGGTGTCTGGCGTTTGTCAGATTCGCCGTCCATGTCAGCGGATGAATCTCAGAGATATGAAAAGATTGGAGTTGAGAAGCCAGGATGCCTCAACAGAAACGTCGAGGCCATGATCCTCGATCGGATCAAGCGGAATGAGACGCGTCGTCAAGTTGCTCTTCCCGTTGGTTGATGGATGTTTGATGCACGGAAGCAGGCGCCGTTGGATTCGGGGAAGGTCTTACGGAGTGTTCCCCGCCTACTAGGTACCTAGAAAAGCTTCACATCACGTCACAGTCAGCATCAATCAGACCAGGCTTGTCCACGACGTCTTTTGTACTTTGAAACACGTGCACGCTTCTAGCGTCCATTCAGGAATACGCATCAACTTTTCCTGTCGTAATAATCGTCCTACGTAATTGGTATCATCACCACACATACATTTCCCATATGTAACCTTTCCAATAAAAAATCCCACCACATCTAGAACAACCACGAAACAAATGTCCTGTAGAACCAGTTGCCTCCCTTGATCTTCTCACCCATAGCAGCCTTCCTGGCCAGAAACTCCTCCTCCTCGCGATCGATCTCAGCCTTGCCTGAGTAGAAGTCTGCCTCGAGTGGCGCAATGCCCTTCGTCTTGTAGTAGAGCTTGTATCCGAAAATCATGATCAGGTACAGCGGAATGCCTAGGTATCCAGTGATGAAGTTCTTGTAGTCGAAGTTACCGTAGCCGGTAGCGTTGGTTGCGGTCTTGGGGTTGCGAATGAAAACGTCAAAATTCTTCGTCACTGCGATCAGGCAGCAGAAGAAGAGCGCAATGTATGTGCCCCAGATGCCACCGGGAGATGTGTAAGGCATAGCACTGTCAGGAATACCTTGAGCTTTTCGGGCGCGCACGAAGAAGATGTGTGTGACGAGTATGCTGATCCATGTCAACAGGCCGAAGATGGTGACGAGATTGACAAAGTAGCCAAAGACAACGCGAGCATCATCAGCGACGTTCAAGTATGCAAGCAGACAGAAGAGCGAGGACAAGCCAAGCGCGTAGATGGGCACACCACGCTTGTCTGTCTTGGCCAGGATTCGAGGAGCCTTGCCTTGCGAAGCCAAACCGTAAATCGTACGTGACGCAATGTAGAGATCCGAGTTGGCAGCGGAGAAAACGAAGATGAGAATGCAGGCGTTGAGGATGCCAGGTAGATGTGGGATCTCTGCGAGACGAATGGCGACAACGAAGGGCGAGGCAGAGGCACTGGACTTGTTGGCGCCTCCATTGGTACCCTTGTTGGCGAAGATCAGTTCGGGGGAGTTGTAGGGCACGTTCATGCCCAAGAGAAGAACAGAAAGAACGTAGAAGAAGAGAATACGATAGAAGGTCAGTTTAATGGCGCGTGGCACGGTCTTGCGAGGGTTCTGGGCTTCGCCGACAGTCACACCGACTAGTTCAGTTCCGAGATAGGCGAAGACAGCCGTGACCATTGAAGCCCAGAAGGCAAGGAAGCGACCAGTATCTCCCGTGATGTGGTTGGCGCCGATCGTGAGCTCCTTGAAAGCACCAGGGTTGCGCCAATAACGGAAACCTTTGCGATCTTTGTCTGGGCCACCGCCAAGCATGAGGATGAAGGAGAGCAGAATCAGACCAACAATGACGACGACTTTGATACTGCTTAGCCAGAACTCAAATTCACCGAAGAACTTGATGCCGAAGTAATTGATGCATAAGATTGCCACCAAGAAGACAGTGATGAAGACACCAGGATTTACTCTTTCAGGTGGACACCAGAATTGGATTACCAGAGCAGCAGCGGTCAGCTGGTTGGGCGTGACGATGATATATTTGAACCAATAGGTCTGCGCACAATGATTAGCTCACATTCTGCCTGGAGTGAGAATTGGAAACTCACGTAGCCAAGAGCGAAACCAAGAGCCGGATCGACGAAACGAGTAGCGTAGCCAGAGAAACCAGAACCGAGAGGAAGCCACGCAGCCATCTCACCGAGACCAGCCATGACAATGAAGACGAGAAGACCGACCATGGAGTAGGAGATGAGGATTGAGCCAGGTCTGTAGATATGGTCAGCTCATTCCGTATTTACACACAAAACTGTGTCGCATCAGATAGACTCACCCAGCTTTCGCGAGAGCAGCACCAGTACCGATAATCAAGCCAGTGCCGATAGCACCACCAATGGCAATCATAGTGATATGCCTGGCCTTGAGGCCACGGTGAAGCTTTGTGCCCTCCTTATTTGAGATTTCTTGCTGGCCATCAGCCAGCACGATGGTCTCATTTTGAGGATAGTCTTGTTCAGACTTTCCGAATTCCTGAGCGCGCTGCGGACTCTCGTCGGAGGCCGTATCACTGTGGTTCTTCCTGTTCCAGATGGCCATGGTGTGGAATCAAGTGGCAGAAAGATGTAAGGTTATTCCTGTACAAGCAGCGAGCTGCAAGGCTTAAATGAGAGACACAGCTGAGGGCCTGTGTGAAAAGGTGTGAGTTATGAGCAGCTGCTGTGGACAAGCAGATACTAGCGCGGTGCGTGGTGGAGAGAGAGAGACTATTCACAGCCCGGAACGTCAAGCGCAGTCAGGCGAGGCGTGCGTGGGCGGTGGGGTAGTGGATGGGTAGCTCGTCGCTAACAGCGGAGGTGCGGAGAGACGGAGGGAGGGAAGGGATATCAAGGTCGAGACAGCTCGCCGGCGTCTACCACACTATATCAATATAGTAGCGCAACTGGCACGATGAAGTGGGATGACCAGACGAGAGGAGACGAGACCAGGTGTCGAAACGACGACTGGAATACGAAAGATTCGACGTGGACACGGGCGGATGAGGGCCGGTGAGAGCTTTATAGCGCAGTCTCAATCTGATTGCTCTGACCTCCCCAAGAGGGCATGGGGCACACGGCTACATATTGGCACAGACCGGCCAGCGATAGCAACTACAAGTACAACCACAACTCATGGGTGCAACCTTGAGCAAAGCCTTGAGCTTGGCCCGCGCAAAGGCAGCAATGAGAGCCGTCCAAAGTTCATATCTTCCATTGTGGCGGCGGAAAAGCCCTGGGAGGCGAGAACTAGCAGCTTCTTGGCGGGCGTAGCAGGGCATGGCAGACCTCCACAGAGGCGGAACATGCGGCGATGCACAAGCAACAAGAAGAATTCCGCGATAAGACTCGAGCAATATGGCGTGCACAGCCCATGAATGACCATACCCATGGCTACCCACTAATAATTACATGCTGTATATGTGTACAAATGCGCTCTACCGGCCAAACAAAGGTCCAAGTGGGAGGGGGGCCTACCTAGCTAGACTCGGCCGTCGTGACGGTGAGCCTGAACGACGACTAGGCGATGGATAGATATCAGCAATGATTTGACACACACACACACATAGCAGCCTTTCACACAGGTCGTACATAGGCATGATATAGCTGGTACCGACTGGGTCTTTGCGTATCGCGTCTTTCCATTCTTCTCTTTCTTCCCTCCTCTCGCTATCATCACGTCTTCTTGGTCAAGTGAACACACATGCGACCAAAGTCGAGAGCGTGACAGGCCCAGAATTCCAGAAAGCCACTAGAACAAGGGTAAGTCTGCACCTGAGAACTCCCAAGGCCCCCAAGCCCAAAGATGCAGGGAAGAGGAAACAGGGAAGAAAGCCGTCGGTTATCATTCCAGCATGTTTTGACACGACACAAGCAGCCAATCAATGCGACTGAGCGCGTCTCGTCGTCGCTGTCTTACTGATAGCGGGGTAATTAGCGGCCCGCTTTCGAAGGAATTGAATCTTTAGCTTGACACGCACTTGTTGACTCCCTTGCATCTCTTTATTTACTAATAATACTCCTACTGTACTAGTAATACCCTACCTAGGTAGTTCGTCCTCTCCGGGCTCTCCGTGCAAACGGCCCGCTACTAACCGTCGGCCTGGCCTGGTCTGGCCTGGCTGAAAGAGAGCTACTTTCATTTTCTACATTTCCACATTGCTCGCATTGCTCACGCCGAGGCAGTTCAGTAGCCATGAACAATGTTAGATTATATATCTTGTTACTAGCTTACCGACCATGTCTTTGCAATTGTGCCCCGTGGTACAGCTTACGCTACTGTGAGATACACAGTGACACGCACACATACCAGAATAGGTTAGTATTCTTGGGGAGAAAGAGAGAGACTGAGAGTTGAGCCTACAACATTCCCAAGCAAGACTGAATCGGTACGATGCACGCGTTAGAACATCGTACACGTTATCACGGGCTGGTAGTCATCTAAGCCGTTGTCCATCAAATTCCAGAGGGTATTATTGGCGACTGGAAGCAACAAACAAGTTGCAGATTGGGCATAAGCTCTTCAGGGCTTCAAAGCACTGGAACAAAGATAACATCTTCCGTTCCGTCGTGCTGCTGCTCTCGATACTGAGAACAATGGCGCTTTCTGGCGCTTCTCGTTGCTAGAGATACAGAAGGTCGAACGTCCGCCTCCGTCAACGTCCTAGTAATAGATACCCAGTAGCTTCCTCACTAAGCAAGAGTGGGTATCCCTCGTACCCTCCCGCATCTCCCTAGTAGTGAGCACTTCCTGTCGGTGGCATGGGAGGAATAAGGCAATTGATTTGGGATATATTAGCTCCTTAAAAATCTCCTGCGGGGGGTTAGGGGTACGGAAACTGCATCAGACAGGAGACCGTGGTAGGTGAAGGGAAGGAGGAACTCCACGGTAAACAGAGTCCTCATCTACGTGGATCCCTCCTTTCCAGATCAGTAAGTCGCCTTGAAAATGTTCCCATCTTCAGCCAGTGGCTTGAGATTGTTGTAGCTCCTTAGGCCGTACCCTTTTCTTTGGCTTTTTGAATGCGATCGTTCTCGTTTCCAACCTTTGTTATGCAGGAGCTTGACTCAAGTTAGCTTTATTGCACGGCAAGATAATAGCAATGACATGCCTCTTTGCCAGGACTTTTGCTAATTGGGGAGGGAGGCGTGTGCTTTGGTTCGCTATTCTTATATAGTGTGAGTCTGACGGCGAAGGCGTGTGGTACTATAAGGAGATAGTCGTGGGCGTGTTTTCTCTTTTATTAACGATCAGTCGCAGTCCACAACCGGTGGGTATAACTACTCACCTTCGCATTCTGGCATCAAGCATTGCCGCCCACTTTTCCAGGTGTTTCGTTTTGCTTGACACGAGGCCATATCGAATGGATGAAAGGGGATTGCGAGTGGATTTATATTGCCGCCGAGGTTGGCGGTGAAATGCGCTAGAGTTTGAGCGAAATATGGCGGCGGCAATGAGTCCTATCCTTATCATTTGGCGATCGCAGCATCACAGTGTATCCCATATCCACTCACTTCTGAGACTAGCCGGTCCATAGCAGATGACAGGAAAGGAACTTAAGCGGGCTGTTGGTGAGGAGGGTTTGCGGATTGCAACGTACCGCGGGCGCGGAGCGGGCGCTAACTAAGATCCATGAGGAAACGCGTCAATTCAATCCAGCGCCGAACGTGCCCACGTCCTAGGCGAAACACATTGTCTAGATACTATTATATGCAACTTGTATCATGCACTCTGAGGCAGTCTGAGACTGGCCAAGATAGAAGTCACAAGAGTTCAAATTCATGGAAGGATGAGTGGAAACTGCCACAGGAGAAGCTGAAGGAACGCAGACAGGACGGCAAAGTCTGTAGCACATGGATCCATCTGGATGAACATAGTACAATACAAGGCTGGTTGACTATATCTCACCGGAGGAAACCAGATACCTAATCCTTGTCACAGGTATGATATATCTCTTCCAGCAATGATGCTTAATGGTGTGCATTTGATAATCCTTTCACCATACACCACGTCTCATAGGTACTGCATCGTGCACACACCAGCTAATAATAGTCCACTTAAGCCCTACATGTTTGAGCATGATCAGCTACATACGCTCTGTAGTCGACACGATGATGCTCATACATCTTCCAGGCAACACTGGGTACAGATCAACGTGCAAATACCACATCTCCCACTCCATATCGCCGTAAGCAAAGATTCTGACCTAAAATCGCCGTACACTTTCCTCATCATATGAGCCAACTGTGTATCAACACCGTAATATATCTTCTCGAGTTGCCTTCCGATACCCATCTCTGCCTGCGCTGCTTAGATCTCGTATCCCACTTCGTCCAAAGCTTCTGTGATACGGTCGACCTCCTCCTCCGTACAATCAGTGAATCCATTCAGGCCAGCAAGCAACGTTGCTGTGTATCTCATTGGACTCAGTTTGGCGAGATAAGCCATCCTCGCTTGTGCCGTGGCCTTAGCACTTCGCGGAGTGGGTGTGCGTCTCTCGCGTAAGCCCATACTTGGTGGTGTTTTAGGTTCAGACAACGGATCATATTCCTCATCCTCATCATCGAAGCTGCTGGTGGTTCTTGATACGGCTGCACGACGACGTCGTTTCTGAGGTGTTGTTGGCTCTAGAGGAAGCGAATCGCGAGTGCTCATGCTAGCGTCTGTGGTGGATGAGGCATCAGAACGACGCCCACGTCCTCGGGACTTGTTGGTTGAGGTAGCAAGTCCTTGGCGTCTTGTGCTGATGCGCTGCTCGTGATATCGCACATCTCCAGAAGCTGTACGTCGCTTCTTACTTGGGCTGGAGTGTACATTTGCATCTTCGTCTGATGAAAGTTCGACGACTACCTTTGTGTCGTCGGTGGCTAACTCAACAGGTATCATAGGAGGAAGCGCCGCTCCCGAATGCGAGAACCCTGCTCTGGATTTGACCGTCTCGTCAGACTTCGCCTGAAGGACGAATTTATCCTCGGCCTTTTCTGCGGCTGCGATTGGCGAGGATTCCGGTCTCTCAAGTGCATCGACTCCATTGCGTGCTCTGCTAGAAGTAGCCCCAATGGCATTGTTCGCAGGAAAACCTGCTGTTTGGCTCGCCGTTGGATTCATCACCAAAATATCACAACACGGTATTGCGGTTGAGCTTCTAGTGTAAAGATTGCGATGGCTGAATTGCCCAGATGGAACAAGATCCGGATGTTGGGAGTTTTTGTATTCGAGCTCGCAAATGTTCCATCGTCACTCGATTATACACCGCTTGTCCTAGTGAATTGCACGGAAGTTTCAACAATTGGCTAGCGTATGTCATCAAGTTGAGTGGTAGCAGAGCGGAAGTGAATCGAGATCGCTCACAGCGATGAGTGATCTGCGACCCTTTCCGAGATCCATTACATCTGAAGTCGAATTCACTTGATGATCTCCACTACGAAGCTACAAGTCTAGTCAGAGGACTTGCGTTTCAGACCAGGACGCATTGAGAAGGAGTAGAGTAACTCAGTGTATCTTCTTTAGGTAGTTACTACTTTGGACGCCATGTATCTGCTTATGTCTCTCGTCAACAGCAGCCGTTTTTCCTTCTCTCTTCAACAGACTTTTTCTTGTCACTTTACCCATCAGGGTTACGTTTGTTCCTCATGCTCACCGCATAGTTTCTGTCTCAATTGGATACTGTATCAATTAGATCAAGTCCTTTCGTACTCAACGCTTTTTACCATCAGAGGAGATGCTTGCGAGCTTTCCCGAGAACGCCAATCGTCTTCGCAGGTCGAAGTCGGTATCGACGGTAAACCCCAACCAGCGTTCTAATATTCCAGATCATGTCAACCCCTGGGTAGCACAGCAGCAAGCTCTTCTCGCCGCTACCACTGCGTACGAACGAGCCCACGCAGGCGTCACACCAACTAGGCTGACGACTACAACCGCAAGCACTGCTCTGCCACGTACGATGAGCAACATAAGCCGAAGATCAGAAGGGAGTCATCTTGCTAAACGGGGATCAACACTTCGGTACTCTCTTGAAGAACATCCAAGAGCCCATCTTGCTCGACGTAATACTGTTCAAAGTTCAACAAGCAACGGCAACCTAATGTCCGGAGGGCTTCCGCCACAGATAATGAGCCACGTACCATCAGCCAGTGGGCCAAACTTGCGAGGCAAGATGAGTCTGACATCGCTAGCGACGCCGACTCGGAGCATCGCTTCAGAACCTGTACGGACAGGCCTGCGGAAAGCACGATCAATGTTTTATGCCAGCAGTCGTCAGACCACGGACAACAATGAAGACACATGCTCCATGACCCTCATCGATCCGACCCTGGCCAACGATACTCCGCAGAAGCTGACAGCCTTACCACCATTTCCATCTCACAGTGTGATCCCAGTCCAAAGTAGACCATACTCGGCGACACAACGGTATCAGCTTGATGGCGCGAGGTCTGCAGGACGAGATCGCTCATCCGGAATCTTCACTCCATTCAAGAAACTTCAGAGCATTAGTTCTCGAAAGTCGTCGCGTACAGAAGCTGGCAGTGTGTCCTTTAATAGTGTCAGATCAACTGCGACGACTCCTGGACAGGAGATAGTCCAATCGCAGCCTCTACAGCACAAAAAGTCGAGATCACTCTCGGGCAATTTCAAGGACAAGATCATGAAGGTATTCCGAAGAACGCCGACCATCACTCAGCAAGAAATGCCGGCTCAACAAGTCGGTGCTTCGCGAAACTACTACTACAACTCGAAGACGACCGACGATACATCCAATGTTCTTGGTGACGGGAGTAGGAGCAGTAGATCTAGTCTGCATCCTAGTCGGCCTGGAACTCCGCCTGTGCCTAGAGATCCATCATTCCCGCATCTAGCAATGCGGCAGGGAAGTGGTAGCAGCGAAGGTACATCCTCGTCACGATCAAAGTCGAGAGTGACGAGCTGGACCGATTCAACGGCCGGGCATGCGGCATTGAATGATCCTAAGCGATTATCGATCATACATGAAGTGAGTCGACCTAGCATTGCGATGCCAGTGCCAACTCGGCCGACGACACTGCTTGCAAGGAGTGTACTCGAAAGTGAGCTAGAAGACGATTCGTCGTCTTATAAGCGACCATATCCAGTCGAGCCGCGGCGCGTATACTCTGCATTGATGAAAGAAATGGCTCGCAAAGAGATTGAAGTGCTTGAAGTGTCGAAGCTTGAATTCGATAAAGATGGCAATCCTGTGACGTCTGCTTTGGACTCTCTTCCATCGCAGCAACACCGCAGATCCATGGAATCCGGCAGGAACGAAGCAAACAGGATGACGATCAGAACCGTGAGTCCAGATGAACCTGTGTCACTCAGCCGGGCTTCGAGCGTCCGAGGTAGAATAAGTGTCCCGCCGTTCGATCTCACCGACGTGAGAGAGGAATCTTCAGGAGATGAGTTCCCGACAAAACCAGCAGATGGTTGCTCTCTGTATGCACAGTCGCATCGGAATTCTTCATCGGTCGGTCGACTGCAACGAAGCCAGCGTGCGAATCCTCCGAGTGCTGAGCAACGAGCCGCTCGTGCAGAAAGAGCCAGCCATCGTTGGAAGTCACCCTTGGACGATGGACATCGCAGCCTGGAACGAGCCAGTAATGAGAAGGTTTTGATGGCTTCATCCAATTCTTTTTTAGACCGTGGTCAGGAACCGACCGAAGACTGCAGGGCGGTTTCTATTGACGGAGATGGGGATGATTTCGGGACTCCCAAAGCTACTCACGTTACCTATGACGATTCCATAGCTGATGGGATTGTGTTACCGAAGAGCAGGACTCCGGCCCGTTGTGTTTCTCCGAGCATATATTCACAGCATACTAACTCGCAACACTCCTTCGTAAACATGGACAGCGTCACAAACCTACCATATGCAGTGCCCAAGGAAGGTGCTGGGAGTGCAGTCATAATTACGAGCCATCCTGTCTCATGCTGGACCATTGGGACACCAACACCAACGGGGAAACGGGTTAGCCATTCTGCGAGGTCGAGCAGAGACTGGAAAGCCTGGCTTTCGAAGGAAGTTGCTGAGCTTGAGCAGTTAGCCAGTGCAGAGCTTGCAATCAATGAACTAGATCTGAAACAGCAAGGTCACCGCCGTGAACGCACGCAAATATCTGAGGACGACGAGCAATCAGTGACCAGCGTTGCTCCCAGCTGCATGCCGAGACTGGCTCGACCCAGGCTGGAGAGCAGGCCAGGTAGTCGCATAAGTAGTCGTATGAATGACCGGTTCCCTATGATCGAGACTAGCAGACGAGGAAGTAGCCAGAGCGTTGCAACGCTTCGCAGCGTCCGAAAGAAGTCACCCAGTGCCGTCACGCCGGAGTCCATCAGTGCCTCGACCACAGAGTTGACCAAGGAAAATGCGCCTGTCAAGCGTTCTGTCAGTCCATTTCCTCGCATCTCTCGCCTGGCGGCAAGGAGTCCTCGCAGTGTTGGGGGCTGTATGTCGTCGGGCCATGATACCCAGTCTGCGACGGCAATCCCCAATACACCAGTCACACCCGCCACGCCCTCACCGGCACGAGCTCGCAAGCTTGGGCGACGTATTTCCAAGGCCAAGTCAGCCTTGGAAATGCACGCACAGTATAGCAGTCCCGACCTGTTGCGCAATAAGATGATCCGCAAGCAGGCGGGATGCAGTCCACAGTTTGAAGGGGATACGCTCCGTATGATAATCGAAGGGCCGTACCAGCATGCCAAGACACCTTCGCCGTTGAAGAGAGTCGAGAACAGCCCGATGGTCAGCAAGTTTAGCGAGATTGGCCTTGACGACACGGCAAGCGTCAGGAGTCATGGCAGCTCTGCGACGCCAGGACACCGTCTGGCGGATATGTTTCTGAGACAGCGGAAGAGTGGGGAGGTGATTGACGATGACAGCGTGGCGTTTCTTTGATGATGATGGGGGTGATGGGGATGATGGGGGAGTCAAATATTAGGTATGAATGGATAGCGGTGTGTATCTCAGCATGTATCCTTATCAGGGGCAGGGGGACCGGGAGGGGCTGAAGATGGGGTAATCAGGGGCAGAAGGTTGGAGGATGTAATGTTGTGGGTCGTGTGGGTTAATCCGGGCATGTTAGGCACAGTCTGCTATTCGGCATGTTCTTTTTCCCTTTGTTGTTCAATGGTTCAATGGTTCGATGGTCAGAGATGGATAAGAGAGTGTGGTGGTGGTGGTGGTGGTGATGGTAGTGATGGGGTTGTCTTTAGTTCCAAGTCCTATGTATTTTCGTCGTCATCGTTAATGCTGCTCTCTCTCTCTCTCTCTCTCTCTCTCTCTCTCTTTCGCTGTTGCTGAGCTGTTTCATTGAGTGTGGCGATGTAGCCTGAACAAGTGTAATCCTTTGACGAGTCGGGATGGCATTATATGTATATATATATCGATATGGAATATACAGGAATACAAGATTAAGATCAACACCAACACCATCACCAACATCATCGTCGTCGTTACAAGATGTAGATCCATACGATATATGAAAACGAAAAACGAAGACGAAGAAATCAACCAAGACAATTCCAAAATAAATAAATAGTGGGATTGTTTTTCTGTTTCTGGAGCTTTGCCGAATAAAGATTAAAAAAAAAGGTGGGGGGGGGTGGATTGGGGGTATCATACAGAATATATATAGATAATATGCTATGCGTTTCTTCGAAAGCTTTGCTTGCTTTGCCTTGCTTTGCCTTTGCTGCCGCTGCCGCCGCCTCTCCAAAAAACATACACACACACACGTACACACGTACACATACACACTACACATGTAGACAAAAAACCCCCTGTTCCCAAGAAACCAGCCAAATGGGCATCATCATCAAATCTTATTCCCAATTCTCATTCACTTTCTCGTCGTGCACCTTCTCGTGCTTCTGTCTCTTCTTCTGTTCCATATTCTGCTTGTTCTTAGTCTTCTTCGTCTTGGTCACCATCTCCGCCTCGACCGCTCAAAACATATCCTCATCCCCAGCACCGGAGCGGCCAGGACTGACGACACGCGACGCTGCATGCCCGGCATTGCCATTCCCGCTACTACCATCCTCATGCCCAAAGCCAAAGCCGTACGCCACCGCCTCTTCAAGCGGCGTCTCCCACACGTCCGGACTGCCCACGTTCGTGCTATGCGCCGACGAGTTCTGGCTCACGCTCACACTGCCAGCCTTGGTAGAGTTGGTGGTTGGCGGCGTGCGCTTGCGAGCAGGCGCGGATTTCATGACTAGGCCTTCGGACTCGTGTGTGGTGTGCGTTTGGGCCGATGCGCGGTGGAGTTTTGCGAGCGCGTCATTGTCGTTGTCGTCGTCGTCGTCGTCATCATTGTCGTCATCGTCAGCATCGGCGTTGGCCTCCTCCTCCTCCTCCTCCTCCTCCTCCTCCGCTCCCTCCTCGTCGTCGGCCCGGGACGATGCGTCTTCGGCCTCGTCTTCCGTGTCAAACTTGCTGAAGCGCGAGATGGCGGTTTCGCGGCGGCGGTCGTTGGGCGCGAAGCCGTCCTGCCACGCGGCCAGGTGGTCGTATCCGAGCGATTGGCCGAGACCCTCGTCTTCATGCCGGAACTCGTCTTCGGCCTCGCGCCGAAAGGATGACGCGTCGGCACTGTGATTTGCCAAGTCCGGGCTGGGAGTCGGATATGTGCCTGCGCCGCCGCCGTTGTTGCGGGACATTTTGAGGGTCAGGGCGCGGAGGTCGGAGACTTCACGGTTTAGTGCGAGGATTTGCTTCTCTAGCACTTTCCGCGCGGAGCGTTCGTGGCGAAGGATGGTGTAGATGGCGTGGAACTGGGTTGCTGGAGAGGGGAAATCCGGGTCGTGGGCGGATGGTTCAGACGGCCGGACTGTGGTGGGCACGTGACCGGCAGTTTTCTCATCATGCTGAGCAGCGGCGGTGCGAGGGGTACGGGAAGGTAGAGGTGTTGAGGCTGCTGTAGGGGGAAAGGATTTCTGAGCCTGGGCATGGGCAGCAGCCGCGGAGGAGGCTTCACGGACAGAGGACGGGCGAGAGAAGTTCTCGCGGACGGTGGAGCTGCTGCGCTGGCGTGAGGAGCGTTTTTCTTTTGGGGCGTCGGCGATGATGACAGTCTGTGGTTTGCTGCGAGGGGCAGCATACTGTTGGGTTGGCTCGGATCGAGCAGAGACGGATCGCTGAGATCGACTGTCAACAACATTCTCAGACGAATGTGCCGGTGCTGCGGTCGGGGTGGCCTCGGCCAGATCTCCAAAGTTAAAGGCCAGGATGTGTGAAGGACCCATGGCTCGTGCTTTCTGCTCAACCGGGTTATCAGCAGCCGCAGCACCCTCGTAGACTTCAATCTCCTTGTCGTCGTCAACAACAGAATCGTCAATGTCTTCTCGCGGGGCGAGGTCACTATAAACGCTGAAGGACCGTGCTCCCACACTTTCTCGCCAATACCGGATCTCAGCACTCCGTCTTCGCATGGGCGCTCTGGATGTCTTATTATTGGGGGCTAGCAATGGCTCGTTGTGGCGACGAGCCAGATCACGCAAAGCGCCTGCACTTTGCGACTTGCGGTGGACACGCAGAGCCTGATTCGGACTCGACAAGGCGATCCCAATCTGCGAGTGCGAGGGACTTTTCAAGGCCTGTTCCTCTGCAGCCGTGACCTTTGTGCCCGATTGACTCCAGACGGCAGCTAGCGCTGAGACTTCGGCAGAGTTTGTCACCACACTGGGCAAGGTAGCCCTCCGCTTCTTCAGTTCAGGAGTCTTCTCGTCAAACTCGGCGGCTTCGGAGAGTGGGGTTGTCTCATCGGGCGCATTGACGTTCATGGGGAATGGCAGGTGAGAGCGCTGAGGAGTGAGGATCAGGACTTCCTGCACGGGCGCCAGAGCACGAGTTTCAGCCGTGGCTGGTATTGTCTGTGGTTGCTCGAGCGTGGATTGGGAAGGTTGTGCAGTCTGGTACACGTTTGAGGCTTTCTTGGACGCGAGCGCCAAAGCTCCCGGGTCCTGTATCACACATGCCGGTTAGCCAGGTACACACAAACACACACACAAAAGACGGAAAAGAGAGTCTTGTGTGAGCTTACACTTTGAGAATAGCCGTGCCGCGGCGAGGAAGCAATGTCCTTTCTGCTTTCACGTTTCCCTCTGCGGCTGAACATGCGTTTGAAGACATTCTTCAGGCCACTCTGGCGCCTTGCTTTGGCTGGCAGCTGCTCGGCAGGACTATCGGTGGTAGAGCGAACGACACTGGGAGACGGCCTTCTGTGTGATTCGGTGATATCAGACAGTGTATGCCTATGGGTCTCGGCGAAGGAGGGTAGCTCTGGCGCAGCAGGGTTGGGCTGAGGATCTCGAGCTTGCATGCCAGCATCAGGTACATGCGTACGCCCCCCTTCAAAATCCGACTGACTGTATATACCCAGGGCGTCTGCATTCTTTGGAGGAAGGGTGGATTCGGGAGGTGCTTGGTGGGCGGACGGCGGATCCAGAAGCGGTTTGGTGGGTTGGAACACATCGTCGTCCTGTTCATTGACGGGCAGTGGACCGCTGATCTTCAGCTTACCACGTCGTATTGCTTCAACCTTCCAGCTCGAGCGTTCCAGACGAGGCTGTGTGGCGGGGGTCGGGACGAGGAGTTCCTGTGTCCGAGACATGGCGGCGGCAGCAGTGGAGGAGCTGGATTTATGTCGAGAAAAGGACGAGTACTACTACCCGCAAAGTTGCAGCTAGGCAATGGCAAGGTAGCGTATGTTGAAGCATTCCATGATCTAGGCAGGTGGTGGCTTGCTCAGAGTGAGAGAGACACAGGGAACGTGTGTACAGGATGCTGTACAACAATTGACGAAAGCGCAGGCGGCAGAAAGTGAAGAGGGTAATCAAGGAGAGTGCAGAAGTGATGGATAGACAGACAAGAGAGTCAAAGCAAGAGGAGAGAAAACAAAGAACAGGCTTCGGACGAAGATGAAGATGATAATATAAAAAGGTCGCAGTGACAGAACGAGAAGCGGGCCTGGAAGCTGGGTGCAGCGTGCAGCAGCAAGACTAAATTATTATGAATGAATGAATGAGTGAATGAATGAGTGTGAGTGAAGCGGGACGGAGCATGGACAGACAAGTCAGATGCAGGTCAGACAAAGGAACCGGGGGGGGGGAGGAGATTCGACATTCCAAGTTTTCCCCAAAGAGCGCGTGCGGCTGATCGCTCTAGACTGGAGGCGGGCCAAGGGAGGGGGAGGGGGGGCCGGGGGTGGAAAGATAAGTGATGATAGTGCAAGAACAACAAATCAAAGTAGAAATTGAATTGCTGTTTCTGGAGGACTAGGAGAGGAATGAGGATAGGTTGGATTGGAAGAATTGGTGTTTTGCCCTTCTTTTGGTGTGGAGCTGCTGGTGCGCTTGAGGGGGGGACTACTGAGGGACTAGGTAGGGGGGGGACCAGGCACTATTTCTACTCCACATTATTGTATAGAGCTGGTTTCTAACGGGACGGGAGGCAAGTAATTAAGTGCAAGTATGGTATGCATGCATTGAGCGACGGCAGCGTTGAGAGCAATAGATGGCAGTATCTACGTATATCAAGCCCACAGGTCTCCAGCGAAAGGCAGTAAGTAATTAGTATGTAGTAGGCAGGTCGTCGTCGACAGGCTGTCACCGTCTCCAAGCTACCCCACCAGTTGTGTCTCAAGTGTCAGTCAGGCAGGGTAATAAAAATAATATATAAATACCAAGCCAGCGCTCCGCTCTATAAATACCTGGATATATATCCTTACCTACCTAATACCCACTCCCAGGACTGCCGTAACAAAAAGAAAAGCCCCGACCAGCTCTACTTAATCCCGTGCTCCATACAGGATTAGTAGCATGGAGCGACGAAAAGAAGTGAGGAGGATGGGCGGAGGAAGGAGAGAAGAAGGAAGAGAGGGAGGGGGATTTGCTGGGGAGGTTTGTTTCAGAGCCAGGGCAAGTACATGGAGTAGTACTACATACCTGCATCTCGGCCCCCCTCCCCTCCCTCCCCCCTTGTCAGTCAGCCAGTCAGCCAGTTAGCGAGGGAGCGAGGAAGCGAGCAAGGCCGCCAATCCACGGCACAGCGACCCTGGACGACGAAGGAAGGTGTGTCAGCAGGAGAGGACGGGAGCCAATCGTGAGGATCTGATGTGGGTTGAGATGGACGGGTGTGTGGTGTGCGTTGTCCAGATGTGTGGAGGTTGAGGATGATGATCAGTGAATGCGTGGATGCGGCACAGTTGCAGGACATCAGATCAGCAGCAGCATCGTCATCATCAGCAGCAGGAACAGGGACGGACGGGCAGTCGAAGAGCGGTTGGTAGGCAAAAAGGCAAAAAGGCAGCCAACAAGCCAGGAACAAGCGCAAGGTTAGCTGGCTGCGTGGCGGCCAACTGCCCAGTAGTCCCCTTGCTGGTTCCTCTAGCTGCTGCCCCTCCCCCTCTTCCATAAAACTGCCTGCCCACCAGCCTACCTACCTGCTACCTGCCAGCCTGCATGCATGCACCACGCCAGCAGACCTTTACCTGCCTGCACAACTCTCTCTCCCTTGCCCATCAACGGTCAAGCAGCCAGTCCACTCCACTGCACTCCACGAACCTGCTACTCCATCTACTGGACATGAAACAATACAACACGTCCTGTCCTGTCCTGTCCTGTCTGGTGCTGTAGCTGCTGCATCCCATCACCAGACCCTTTGACAACCATCCACACTCTCTCATACATACATACACACCCCCAGCGAAACAAGACGTGCATCAATGGCATGCCATTCTAACTAGTCCACTACAGTAGCTATGGAGGCATGGCATGCACCGGCCGGCCGAACAAAACGCAATCGATAGCTGCTACTGCTGCTCCTCCTACTGCCGCTTCAACTAGCCCCGGGACCGCCCCGACCAATCTCCGCGTCAACAATCCCATTCTGTCCCTTCTGTCCTTCTTCTGCCCCCTCCCTCCCCTTCTCCTTCCTTCCCTTTCTTCCGCCCTCGCTTGCTTGGTAGCTTGCTGGCTTGGTACAAAACTGCCCTGGATAGTTAGTTACTTGGCAGCAGTCAGTAATTAATGAAACTGTATGGATGGAGTATTTCATGCCCACGATAATTAGAAACGTGTGGCTTCTCACACTTCTACACGTGTATCCGCTCAGCAACGCGCGAATATACGTCTGTCTGTCTGTCTGTCTGCCCTGCTCTGTTTCTGCCATGGTTTCATATCTCAATGCGGTTTCAGGCTAGGTACTGGGGCATGTCGTTCTCGCGTGTTTGTGCGACGACGCTTGCAGCAGCCACAGGATGCTATTGCTGCTGTTGCTGCTATTGCTGCTAAGGCACTAATTATTACTGCTACTATCGATTGTCTACTATCTGGCCCCCCCCCCTTAAGACCCCCAAAGACCCCCCTTACCCGTTAGCTTGCTGCTTGCTGCTCTGGCGCGCGTGCCGTCTGCGAGGCTTGATGGCTTATACTACCTACTACTCTACTCTACTCTTCGTACCTGGTACTGGCACTAGCAGTCTGGCACTGGCACTGGCACTGGCACTGGTACCTGCACTACCAAACTCCCATCCACGCCTCCAATTGCTACTGTCATCTGTAATCATCATTGCGCGTCCTTGGCGGCTGCTGCCATCGCCGCCGTCCCCTCGTCAAACACGTCCTCCATCGTCGCGTATCGCAGGTCCGCCTGCTCTTCCAGGAACAACATCCACTTGTTGAGAAACTCGCTGCCCCTGTTTTTAGTGCGTTTGCCAACAACCCGTCAGCCTTTTGCTTGCAAGATGCACAGGGGATCGTATTGGACTGCCCACTACTCACCGGCCAACTGTCTCGGAATCTCCTATGATTGCCAGATGTCGCTTCGGCCTCGTCATGGCCACTGCACCTGTCAGTCTCTCTATCTTGCCTGCATGTTGATAAAAATAAAAACAACAACAAGAACAACAACGACATACCGTTCAGCCGCCGTCGCTCGCCCAGGAATCCCACCTCGTGCTCCGCGTTCGACCGCACGAGGCTGACTATCACCGCTTCCTTCTCCCGGCCCTGGAATCCGTCCACGCTGCCGAGCTCGATGCCGGGGAATGCTTCCTTGAGCAGCTGCGAGAGAATCGAGAGCTGCCGTTTGTTTCTTCATTAACTGACTCGCTCTTCATTGCTTGCTTGCTCGCTCTCCTCCACAGACACAGACACACATCGCTTCTGCTAATTAACTACTACTGCTAGACTCACCTGTGCATTGTACGGCGTAATCACTGCAATATCCTCTGCTTTCACGCCTGCCGCGACCAGTCGGTGGACATGCGTCTTGACCAACCCCGCCTCTGCCTCGTTGCTTTTGCTCTCGCGCAGCCCCATCCCCATCTTATTACCTGTCGTCGTCGTCGTCTTACCTGCTGCATCGCCGTTGTTGTTGTTGTCATCCTCGCTGCGCTCCGGAAAGTCCCCTCCTTGCGTGTCCCAAAACACCAGTGCCTCGCGCGTCTCGTCGCTGTCCTGCACCCCATACCCCAGCTCCCGGAGCAGTCTCTCTTTCACCGCCGCCGCGGCTGTCAGCTTGTCCTCGTACAGCTCCGCGGATGGGAATCTCATAATCTTCTCGTGCATCCGGTACTGCGTCGTCAGCATCCGCTTGATCGACGCCCCATGCAGCGCCAACAGCCGATCGAATAGTGTCGTTTCCAGACTCATCCTCGTGCCCTTGCTGTTATTACTACTACTGCTCGTACTACTGCCCCTGACCTTGGAATTCAGCGATTTGATCGTCGGCGGTAGCTGGAGGTGATCACCTGCCAGCACCGCTTTGCTGGCCGACAGCAGCGGAATCCAGCATTGTGCCTCGAGCGCCTGGCTGGCCTCGTCGATGACGACGCAGTCAAACCTTTCGTTCTTCAGGTGGAAGCCGCCTGCCCCGTGCAGCGTCGCGAGAACAACCCTGCTGCCGCGGATCAGCTCGGCCACGCAGCCGCGCTCTCGCTCCCGGTACTCCTTGCGCAGCTCCTTCATCTCGCCGTAGATGGCCCGTCGCTCCTTGCCGCTTCTGGTCTTGCGGATGCTGGCCTGTTTGGCATCGAGCTCTCTCCGGACGTCCTGCACGATGCCGGCGGCGTCGGATGTCTTGGTCAGGATCTCGAGGGAGTGGTTGAGGACGGAGGGGAGCAGTCTTGCTGGGTGGCCGAGCCGCACGATGGGCTGTTTGTGTGGCGCGAGGCGGTCGACGATGTTGTCGACCGAGATGTTGGACGGGCCGCAGACGAGCACGCGCTGGTTCCGCTTGAGCATTTGCAGAATCAGCTCGATCAGCGTGTGTGTCTTGCCTGTTCCGGGCGGGCCGTGGATCAGCGCTACTTCTTTTGCTGCCAGGGCGAACCTGATTGCGTCTTTCTGGGAGTCGTTTAGGGATGGATCGATCCACTCGTCGTCCTTGAGACTCAATCTGTCGAGCTCGACGTCCACGGGTGACGGTGTGCCCTGACCGAACAGGACTTGGATGAAAGGCGACTGTTCCGACTCTTTCATATCCTGCAGCGTCTTCATCGTCTGGTTCATCCTACTGCTGTCAGATTCTCCATATCAAGCCGGCACACTCCAAGGACAGCTCACCTCCTATACGTGACATCGTTGGCCAGCTTAATCCTACAAAACCCGTCAGCCACACAGTCACTCTACCCATAATGCCCACAACAACCATACAGCCATAGCTTCCCCAAAGGCACATCCGCCTCATCCTTATCCAGCGCAACCCCAATAACCCCACTCGTCACCTTCAGCACCACCCCCTCCACCCCTCTCTTCCTCAACTCCGTCTTCTCAGTCTTCCTGGCACTGCCCGCAGGCTGCTCCTGCACCGCCACGATGTCTCCCGTGCGCAGCCCATGCTCCGGGATATCTCCCCCGCCCACCGCGGCGTCAAGTTCGAGTTCGACGACTGTCTTGCCGCCGAAGCCGGTGCGCTGCGACGCGACTTGGAGGTTTAGGACTGCGAGGCCTGCGCGTTGGAGAGTGGTGGGGGAGGATTGCGAGACTAGGAGGCTGGTCTCGGCCGTTTCGGCCTTGAGCTCGGCGTCGAGGAGGGAGAGTTGGGCGGCTGCGAAGGCGGGGATTGAGGGCGGTGGTGGTGGTGGCATTGTGTTGTGTTGTGGGTGTTGTTGTTGTTGTTGTCTTGTGGTTGTTAGGTGTACGTACGTGCGAGGCAGAGATGGAAGTAGGAATAGAGATAGATGGAGTGGTTCACAAAAATCTTAGTTAGACCTAGTGTCTTTCGTCATACGTGGGACGCGCTTCGTGGGAGAGTATATAAGCTTTTTCACACATGTGGACTACTCTGCTATGCACGTAATTTGTTGCAGGAGATTTATTCTGCGCCGCCAGCAACTCCGATGTGCAGAAACTGTCTCGTGCGTGCAGAGCAATCGTTTACAGTAGTGATGCGGGGCAATGTCCGACATCTCATCTCATATCGATAATCAAATCACGCTAAAACGCGTGGGGAACCTGCCGCGCCGCGTCTCACTAGCGTACCTAAGATGCCCTGCCCTGACGCTCAGACGTCAAGCTACCCTACCTCCATAGATGGTCCGTGCAGAGGTCAACCCTGAGCTCTGAGCAAGGAGAGCCAAAAATCCATCCATCAATCAATCAATCAATCAATCAATTGAACCACGTTCAACATCACCACCACTCAAACACCGCCTAACCAGGCACCATGAAGACCTCCCGGATCTCAAAGGAGACGTCTCATCTCTTGACTGCGCTGTCAAGATCAAGTCGGTCCAGGCCACAGCGAGCCCGTGCAAATGGAGCAATAGAAAAAGTTGGAGTTGGGGTTGTGAAGAGTGAGGTGGTGTCTGAGTCGGAGTCGGAACTGTCGTCGGTGCCGTCTGATTTTGAGAGTGAGGCGGAGAGTGAGAAGGAGGAGGTTGGGTCTAAGATGGGGACTGCTGGACGGAAGCGCAAACGCGGTGGTGGTGTATACTCGTCTGGTACAAGTGATACTACTTGCGCTGAGGCGACGACTACATCGACTACTACTACATCGACCACCGAACCCACCCTCACCAAGACCATCCGCCCAAAGAAACCGCGCAGACAACCAGCAGCACCCAAGACGACGAACCCGAAAACCAAGAAACAAAAGCCAGCAGCCCCCGAACACGAGCCCATCGACCCGCCCCCAAACTGGGAACGCATGTACACACTCACGCGCGAGATGCGCAACAAGACCCCCGCGCCCGTCGACACCATGGGCTGCGAAATGGTTGCAAACAACGAGCCCGACCCGCGCAACCGCCGCTTCCAAACGCTCATCGCGCTCATGCTCTCGTCGCAGACCAAAGACACCGTTACGGCGCCGACGATCTGGAATATGCAGAAGAACATGCCCGGTGTACGTCCTGTCCCCCTCCTCTCCCCCCTTCAAAACAAACAGCTCCAACCTCTCCACCAGCACACCAAACACTCCCCAACACTAACACACACCCAAAACACAGGGCTTCACCCTCGAAACAATCCTCTCCCTCCCCGCCCCCACCCTGCACACCTACATCAACAAAGTAGGCTTCCACAACACCAAAACAACCCACATCAAATCCACCGCCACTCTCCTCAAAACCCGCTTCGCATCCGACATCCCCGACTCCATCCCCGCCCTCATGTCCCTCCCCGGCGTCGGCCCCAAAATGGCCTATCTAGCCATGTCCGCCTGCTGGGGCCGCGACGAGGGCATCGGCGTGGATGTGCATGTCCACCGCATCACGAATCTGTGGGGCTGGCATGTCACGAAGACACCAGAGGAGACGAGGAAGAAGCTGCAGGCTTGGTTGCCGAGGGGGCTGTGGCATGATGTTAATAATTTGCTTGTGGGGTTTGGGCAGTCGGTTTGTTTGCCGGTGGGGAGGAGGTGTGGGGTTTGTAGGCTTGCGGTCGAGGGGCTTTGTCCGGGGGCGGTTGGTGGGGGGAGGAGTGGGATGGGGGGGAAGGGGGAGGATGGGGATGGGGATTGGGATGGGGATGATGATTATGGGGTTGGTGAGCTGGAGAAAAAGGAGAAGAGGGAGAAGAGGGAGAAGAAAGAGAAGAAAGAGAAGAAAGAGAAGAAAGAGAAAGAAGAAGACGGAGAGGCACGCGTCAAGCTCGAAGACATTCCTCCTCACACCACTACAGCTGTCCCAGACATTGAAGACCTCGGTCGCTCGCCCTCTCTGCCCGCAAGATCAACACGGAGGAGATCCAAGAGACCGTAGCTTGCTTGCTTGTCGCAATGAAACAAACAAACAAACAAACAAACAAACAAACAAACAAAACAAACAATTCGGAAGAGACCTCCCGGGACAGGGGCAAGAAGTGAGTGAGTCTTCACGTATTATGCATGCACGAACGAGCAGGCACATCCTATCCAGTCTGGCTGGCTAGCTGACATTGCATTGCATTTGTGCTTTCTTCCTTTCATTCATGTTTTGTTCTACATACATACAGTGTGTGTCATGTCGTCTCGACCAGCAGGTGGATGTGCCCATCCCGTCGTCATCCTGCCAACCCAGCTCCGCACGCAGACAAAGCAATAACGCCCGTTCCCCGACCGAAACAATCGCTCATAGTCGTCAAAGAACCAGAACACCCAATCATCATGTTTCCCATCCATCCATCCATCCATCCATCCTGTTAATCTACAGTAAAAAGCTCAAATGCCGCGCTTCATTCCTTCATTCCTCCATCCTCCATTCTCCATTCTCCATCCATCCACACACACCAACCAACATCCCTCCCCCTAGTCATCACCATCCAGACTATCCCTCCGTCCACCGCCGCGTCGATACCCATTTCCGCCGCCACGGCGATCTCTCTCCCTACGGGCGCCCGCTTGGCTGACGCTGTCCTCGACCGCGACACTGCCTGCCGAGCTCAGCCCAGGAATGTAGTGCGGGTAGGCCTTGGTGCCGGAGTCTGAGCTGACCCCGGTAGCCCAGTCGCGCTCGGAGAAGACGCGGCGAGGCTTGCGGGGCGACTGGGAGTGGGTGCGGGGAGGGGTGTTTGTCGAGCGGGTGGTGTTGTGCGGGCGGTATGAGTCGTAGTAGGAGGATGGCTGGCTGCGCTGCGATGGTTGCGAGCCCTGCGACGTCGACGACGGCTGCGAAGGAGGCACGTAGTCGGTGTAGGGGCTCGTGTATACGGTGGCGGTGTCGTCGTAGGTGTACTCGGTCGGCGGGGCGCGAGGTTTCGAGCTCGAGGCTTGGCCGGACGACGAGGGCTTTGGAGGCTTGTTGTCTTTGTCTTTGGCGGCGTCCTTCTTCTTCTGTGCTTGCCTCTTCTCGGCGGCTTTGGCCTCGGCCTTGGCCTTCTTCTCTTGCGCGGCGGCTTCCTTCTGGGCGGCTTTGAGGTGTTTCTGGGCGGCCTTTGCGTTTGCCTTGCGTTCCTTTTCTTTCTGGGCGCGGGTCTTGCTGCTGTCCTTGTCTTTGCCTTTGACGAGCGGAGTCTGTGACAGATCGGAGCCGGTGTTGGAGTAATCAAAGTGTACGCCGTCGTTCTGGCGGTTCAGGCCTCCCACACGCGCAGGCTTCTCGTGGCGGTACTCTGCCAGCTCAGGGTCTCGCGGCTTGCGGTTGCTGTAACGACTGGAGTGCTGTCCTCCGCCACCTCGAATGCCGTGACCGCGGTCGGGCTCCCTCATCTCGCTCTTTTCCGTGTATCCGGACGACTCGGTGTATTCGCTCTGGCCATAGTCTCCGCCGCCGTGGACAACACTGCCACCGCCGAGCTTGGTGCTCTTCGTCGCGTTACTCAGAGTCCTGCCATCCGGACCCTTGCGTCGCAGCACAGTCGACTTGTACTCTTCCCAGTCTCCTTCCTGGAACTTGAACCCGCCGTTCTTGGCCCAGAAGAAGAACCAGATGGCTGCTATGACCATGCCACCGCCTATGATAGCGAACAGAGCTAGGAAGCCTTGGTTGTTGAAGGAGCGTGGAGGCGCAGCGCCTTGACCATGTTGAATGACCTCTTCAGCTCTCCGATGCAAAGCATGGACGGCCATGGGCGAGAGGCCATCGTAGACGTCGGCAATGGTTGACGTTGTTAGAGGCGCCATGATGTGGATGTAACGATTGTCGCAGTTGTGTGAGGCGTAAGCGTCGCTGGAGCCGGAGCTCAGCTGTAAAATGAGTCTACCTCGACCTCAGAAACGGTCGTTGGCGGAATGTAGCTTCGTATACTGATAGCAAGACGGCTTTCTTTAGTCCTCTGACAGCGAGCGCGTGCGAGACTAATACAAAGGTCAATGATGGCGTAAAAAGTCCCAGAATGGTTGAAAAGGTGTTTCTTACAAGTGAGAAAGCGTGCTAAGTCTGTAGATAGAATTATTATGGTGAAATGATGTGGCAGGACGAGGAGGTTGGAGTGGCTGGTGACGACAGTTGTTTACTGGTCCGTGCGCCGTTGCGAGAGGAACGCTAAGGCTAGCACCGACCACGAAACCTGTGACGTACTACTCGATGCACCGCACGTTTGCGAAACGACCACAACTACAAAAGAAAGAAGTGTATATTATTAAAGTGTTCCTGATCGAAACATCGCGATGCAATGGCGCTAATATACCATGCCGCGGACAAGAATCCTCCGCGATACCAACAACTGATAGGAGACCACCGTTCCGGATATGTTTTGTCGAATCCTCCTACCCACTCACTTGACATATTGTTCCTATGTCCGTCCAGAAGAAGATGAAGCCGATGCGAAACAGCAAGGAAATCCCCAATGCCGAACAGAAAGACCCGTGTATAACGCCAATATCATGCTCCCCTTCCCAAAAAAATATATCAATCCGAGAAACAAACGCCTGACACCATTCCTATGCATCCCGTGAAAAAAAAAACTCCGATATGTAGCAGTCTTTCTGTTTCCAGTATGCTCTCTCCATGGGGACTCTATCACAGCCTCGACTTCTCGACCACAGTGACGTTCCGCTCCGACCTCCGGCTCGCGCCATCATCAGTCTCCCGCATCGATTGTCCCTCCGACTCCTCCATGACAGTGAATAGGTCTGGGCTCGGCTCGCGCCACGAGTGCCGACGACCTGACGATGTGCGGCTGTATCGTCGGCCTCTGCTGAAGCGAGGCCTTGGTAAGAGGAGATCCTGGGCGCGACCGCGAGTGGGCTCTCGAGGAGCACGAACCTCGACCTTGTACGGGACGGCCTCGTCGTCCGTCAGCTCGGGGGGTTCTTGCAGCAGCTCGTCGATTGTTGCGATCTGACTGAGTGTCGGTCCGTGGTATATCCTGTGGATATGGGTATGGTGCAGCGCGACGTACTGCGCCCACTTCTTGGCGACAGTGGTGCGGAACTTTTGCGACTTGACCTTGTTTGGCGGCTGCTCGACGACTGTGATGCCGGCGTTGAAGTCGTACTCTTCGTCGTAGGGGTCGTCTTCTTCGGTGACGGGGCTGATGAAGTGGGCGAAGGGATCCTCGTTGATGTCTGGTAGCTCTTCTGCCACGGACTCGAGATGAGTGGCGACATCGGAAGAGTCGAGGAGGTGTACTGAGGGTGGCCAGGTATAGCCCCGGGTGTGATTGACGAACGAAGGCATCACTGCTGAAGTCCGAGGGGGAATGGGTATGTCTGACAAGGTACAAGGCGGAAGTCAGAACATGGGGGGAGGTTGGGCGAGATAACGACAGTACAGTACACAGGCCTGACGACTACTCTGGTGATCCGACTCAAGGCCGGTCGATAAGTCGAGGCAGTATGAAGCGAAGGACGCTTGATGGTGCAAAGAGAACTTGGGAGGTAGAAGGGGGCCAATCTGGTGGCGGCAGGGAGCAATATGTAGTCGCAGCAGAACGTTCCTCACGCGCAAATATATAGCGGTGACCGGAGCATACGCGGACTCAGCAGAGCCGCGCGTGGGTGTACCTCATTGAAGGGGTGCACGGGAGGCGGCGATCACTCAGACGCGACCGATCGTTCACCTGAGACCTAATGGTGTGCCCTGCGTGTGTACCTGCGTTTGTGCGTTCGTTCGTGCGTGCGAGACGGCAACGACGATTGCATACACAAGATCGGCAGATAAGAAGGAGATCGAGATGAAGGGGAAGTTCACGCTCATAAAACAAGGAAACAAGAAGAATACTAAGTGGAGTTGTTGTGGTGAGTGACTATGCAGAAATATAGGAAAAAGACACAAAACAGGCACTGGACCCTGGGTCGCATGGTACAGGAGAGTAGCAGCACACCCTTTACGGCACGAGGCGGTGAACCCTGTTGAGCAACAAGCAGGGCGTATCATGGGGTGGCTGGTATTGGACAGGCATATGAGTATTTGACAGCTTCGCGTGATCATGGACTGTGTATGGCTGCGTGTGCGTGGGATGGTGGTGGTGGTGGTAGTAGTAGTGGTGGTGGTAGTAGTAGTGGTGGTGGTAGTAGTAGTGGTGGTGGACGAAATGGTGGTGGTGGTGAGGGGTCATCTGTCATCTGAACGCGGCGCCGGTCTGGAGCGATCGGAATGGTGCGTGATTAGACATGTATGGGGTGCATGTGCAGATGATATTCTGTATGTACACTGTAGATGGATGCACCCAAACTCTCCCGAAGCATCCGAAACATGCATACTCGACATGCAGGAACTGACCCAGTCGACCTATCACTGCAGATAGTCACACAACGAGCCATGAGGGTCTTTTGAGCTGCGAACTGGTCACACAAATGTGCAGAACGACGCGGCAGACGGCTTGGAAGATGACACAGCCTAGAACAGCTGCCCACCTCTTACAAACCACCTGCCATTCACCACCCAGGTGAGCATTCAAGAATACTCAGGTGGGAAGAATTGAGCTGTACAGGCTGGATTGTGTGAAAGCTGAGCGAGACTTGCATCGCAAACAAACTGAATCATGCATGAGTCATGAATCATTAATCAATCAATCAATCAATCCAGGATACTCGGATCGCTTATCTAACTTTCACGTGCCCACTCTCCATCTTATCGCACTCCCGCAACATTGAACATGGTTGATCCATGTCGTTGCTGACTGTTCAATCACACCTTATGCAGCAACCCCAGCCTCCACATTCATTTCCACTCCTTCATGTCGTCATCTTTCATCCTGCGCATCTAAAGCCACATAGCATCGTCAACATGCGGTGAAGAATCTTCTTGCTTCCATTTTTGTAGCCACCTCACCTCTTCCTGGAGTAGCCGACCCATCCGATAAGGCTTGATTTCTCCCCACTAACGCATCAGCAACGACGCGTCCGCTCATCATGTAGGTAGCATGCGACGACTACAGGCTTATGTGTGCATCAGCACTATATCGCCATTAGACTGTGGCAATGCTTGCACATCACGCAGATGACTCGCTCTAGACGTCGCCGCCTGTTCGCATTCGCATCCATTCGCAGTCCAGAGAAAGACGAGCACACATGCAGCCCTACCGCGCTACATTTCTGACTCGATAGGGCTGCATGTGTCGCACGAAGGAAGAAGTCGTTCTCATGCCATGGTAATGATAGTACATGCTATGCATCTATACATGGCCGCGGAATGATAGTCTGCCCGGTCGTCGGGATCTGGCCGGTTCCCAGTGCGAGCCTTATTGTTACGTCTGGTAGATACATGCTCATGACTCGAGAATGCGAGATTTGGATTGTTGATGTCGAGAAGGTCATTTCTAAGCTGGCTTAGGTAGTACCCATCTTGTACTACGGCTGCCGCCGCCGATCTTGTGTAACCGGAGCGATCAGCAATGCTTCTTTTCTGTACCACTGTTAATGTAGACCCACTCCTACATGACGTTCTAATACCGACCAACTCACTGGGCGTGGCGTAGAAGACTACTTCTTCGAATGATAGTCAGTCATACATACGGCTACGCTATAGATTCCTCTTCTCAACACAAGACGGGTAGTGCAGGCTATCATTAGGACACAAAGACGAAGTGCACCAATCCGCAATCATCACGATCTGCATCCTCTCTCAACGATACAGATCATTAGCAGTCAGTCTATCAGCAGCATGCATCGTATGCGCACTCGCGCCCGTGAATAAGAAACAAAAAATACACTTCGACGTCTGCTCACCAAAACCAGTTTCCTCCTGACACGCTTTATTTAATAAAGGCCTATACCATTCCCCACGGTCAATGCTGATGACTATCATCACTATACATCCTAAGCCACGATACTCCGCCCCCCCCTCCCCCGAAAACGCATCGCGAAAACAACCCCATCCCAGCCGCCGCACAGATGCCATGAACGGCTTGTCTATTGTTGAAATAGAGGTTGTAGATGTTGTAGGTATTTAATTGTATTGAGTGAAGAAGAGAGAGTGAGAGTCTCTGTGGAAGCTATTTAAGCAGAGGAAGGACCACTAGTCCCAATCGGGAACACTAAATTGTTCTTCGCTATTGGAAGCCCTGACGCTACACACCAGCTTCGAGAGGCGTTCCATACCCTTAGAACGAATGACATATATGAACCACCGGACGATTCAGAACATCGTGGAATCACTCTGGGTATTAGACATTCTCGCTCTTATCCCGATGCAAGGAGACTATCGGCTCTCCAACAACCAGTGCGTAACTCCACTGACCATAAAGTACTCGCTTATCAATGTTAGTTTCGAAAGGCTTGCTTCAGCTGTAGTCACTATGTTGATTGACGTTCTAAAGCGATACAGAGGGCCTTTCCTAGAAACAGCTCAGCACCTGCTTCAACTCGTTCGCCTCCAACAAACTCTTGTACTCTTCCGCAAACCAAGATCCCAATAACCTAAAACACGAAGAGTATGACTCTGCTCGTTTGAATGAGCTTTCCAAGGTGGATGCAGATGTTAACGTGCGATATGAAACAAGACACGTCTGTCATGGATTATGATCAAATGCTACTGTATTGTCCATGTACTGTACGCCAGTCAGAGTCGAAACTGGCTCTTCTCCAGAGTCAGCAATCAGCAATCCTGTACGCGGCTCAATGTCAGTCACACGACCAGATCAAACGGCCAAGGTCACTGTGTATGCAGCTCGAGACTAACACTCTGCAACCTTGCCACTCGAATTTGACGCCGTATAGTTTCCCACCTGCACATGTGCCGCTTATAGGATCGCAGGTTTAAAGATAACCGGGGAACACAGCTCGATCGTCGATTGCAGCTGAAACATCACTAGGACTGTAAGTCCGAGGACATCATATAAACTTTGGCATGTTCGCCAGCGCGTCTCGAGCTGCAGTTGATATGTATCCAGCAGCGATCAAAGCCTCTATATAATTGTGGATCCAGTCCTGGCAGTTCTTGGTCTGGCCGCTAGTCAGCTCGTGGCAAAAACGCATACTGGCATAGTCTCGAGCAATCCACTTACTTCAGGGTGAGTGTGGTCGAAGGGCTTGGGACTCCGCCCAATGTTAGGGACAGTCGTAGCGACCGATTCTAGCGGGTCACGCGCAGTGCTTTCATTAAGTTCCGCCGTCACCGGCACATCACGGATGTAGTTGCTGTGGACTTGGGCGAGAGTGCAGAACATGTATCGCTTTCTGGTGTTGGTATAGTCGGCGCCGCGCCTGAACTCGAGCGTGAAGCCAGTAGCAGGGTTACCGGTATTGTGGATTATCTTTCCTTTCTTTCCGTCGATGAAATCGTTGTCGGGGATGAAGACTGCCCAGTGTGCAGGCTTTCCCTGTTGGGTAGCGGAAATCACTATGTACATGGTGCGTGTGGAGAGAGCCATGGCGAAAGGGGAGGGCGAGGGAGATGGGTTGCGTTAGGACGGTATGTTTGGGACGTGGATATTGGGGGATGGGTAGAGCTCGTCGTTGGGGATGCGCAGTTCCGCGGAGAAGGAGGTTGGGAATGCTGGAATGAGGCAGTCTTGTGAGTGTTACACAGTTTTGACGTTGTGGTGGTGAGGTCGGAGAGGAGTGAAGCAATGATGTAGTCGTGTTTTGAGATGCTTGCTTTGGTGTTGAGGTATCTCCTCTGGTACCAGCAACGCTTGCATTGAATGACTTGAGAAGGAGATAGAAGTTGGAGATGTGCGTACTGGCTGAGGTTTTGGACGCGGGGATCAGAGGATATTTATGGCCCACGCTGTTCACGTAGAGCGGCGCTGAAAGATGGCGTACCGTACCGTGATGCTCGCAGGATGCCGGAGTGTATTGCTCCTCTCCACTGGTTAGTGTTCGTCTACTTTGCTCCCAGGCAACAGTTTTACGCGCCAGCCATGCGGCACAGTCCCATATGCATCTTTCGTGTCACAGAATCTGAGAGATGGGAAACATGTTGTGCCTTGGACTGGGTAAGGCATCTATGACGGCGGGATAACGTAGAACGGCTGATATCGTGTTTCTTCCAAATTTGAGTATATTTAGGAGCTAGATGAGTATTGCATTTTGTCAACCACAGCCGTTAGAGCGAAGCGCGCGAATTTCGCCATAATCGCGGGGAACTGTGCATCGGACAACCTCCACATGCAGATCCGGATAAGACTGCAATCCATTTCCCACCACTACCCACCTGCCTGCAAGTAGTGACTTCGAATCATTGCAACCTCCCAAGTATCTGAGCCTTTCTCCATAACATTACGAGTTCGACCACAAATTTCTTGTCCATGGCCCTCACATTATCACCATCTACAGTACCCTCTGACCAAAACTATGATTGTCGCGAATCTTCTTTCTTTCAGCATCACTTACAGCTGCCTACGCCCGACGAAGTGCGTATACGAGTCCGCCAGCAGCTAGAATCCCAAACATGCCTAGACGTACGGAGACAGCATTTAATCGGCAGCTATGGACGTAAGCCGCCGGCCTCGTGGTCCGATCTTAACCTTTTTGTTAAATGGGGACCTATCGATCGAACGCTCCCTGAGGCGTTATGTCTATTTTCTATTTATAAGATACTAGGTAAACGAGTCCCGGTACTCTAGAAGTATATGGATGGCGTACTGATGGAGATGACACATTTATTTATAAGATACTAGGTAAACGAGTCCCGGTGCCAGAAGTATATGGATGGCGTACTGATGGAGATGATACATTTATTTATATGGAATTAGTACGGGGCGTAACGCTTGAGAGCGTTTGGGAGCAAATGGACGTGAAGAATCGGAGGGTCGTTTGCGAGGATTTACGGGAAATAATACGGAGCCTACGAACCCTTCAACAAGATCCGCGAGATAAGTATATCGGCAAGTTCAGTTAAATGTACAGAGTAGATCGACATCTAATACGTGCATTAGGAAACATTCTTCGCAACCATATATACGACCGCAGCGTGGAATGCTACACCGAACAATGTGGCCCTTTTCTATCCGTCAAAGCCTTCCACGACTGGTATGCCTTTCTCTGCCGCCAAGCTTTCCCGGATAAATGTATAGATGTTCCTATAGAGCCTTACCGCTATGACCTCCCGGATGATACCCCTATCCGGTTTACGCATGGCGACCTACACCAATCCAATATTATGGTCAGTAGTTCTACGCCCTACCGCGTTATTACACTTATAGACTGGGAGCAGTCTGGCTGGCTTCCTGAATACTGGGAGAATTGTAAAACGTTGTGGACGAGCTATTCTAGTTCGGATTGGGCGAGAGAGTATGTGCCGTTATTTTTGGAGCAGAATGAGAAGATTCTGGATGCTTGGCGTTGGTATGAGAGCTCGATCTGAGGGTTTTGATAGTGCTGTAGGCATGCGGGATCACAACGGCGCCGGGACATGGTCAACGTATTACCACATGTTCGACGTCTTCCATGGTATGATAATTGGTCCCTTGTAATTCGCATCCGTATTCAAAGGGACGCATCATCTGCATGCAGAGTCCAAATACACTGCACGATGCTCCAACACGGGCCTCGCAACATCTCTGATCAGCGACCAAATCCAACGTACTGGGAATATCTCTGGTATATTAGCGGGTATCCTAGGTATCGAGAGCACAAGTGGCCGTCGCCTGTACTCTTCGAGGTGTACGACATACACCGGCTGATGCATCTGGCGACTAGGACCTGGATTCAGCAAGAGGGTCGGATCGCACAGGTGAGCCAGCAGGCGACGCGGCAGGGTGCAGAGGTATCTCCATCAAGGGATTTGTCCAGGAAGGTGCAATGCCTAGATACGGGCGGCCAAGTTGTGACAGAAAGAACACCTGGCGGAAGACCATCACTCTCGCCTGGCATCGCAGCACGCATGTCCACGGTACAGTTTACGAACTTTGTAGACCACGACAGCCACTTCTCTTCATATATATTACGCAGCTGATGGTGTGCGTACTGAAGTCGATAATTGGCGAAGCGGCCCGGTTCCACTGCCACTGCCAGGCGCCCATCTAGAGCCTGAACCTGCCTTCATTGAAATTCAGGATCGACACGATGTCAAAGTTGACTACCAAGTCTGGACTTCTTGCCGTTCGAGTCTTCGCATCGCCTCTGGCTCGTCGTGAAATGACGGATTTGCTTGTCTAAGTACTAAAAGCCTAGTACTAAATAAGATCTAAAGAATAGGGATGACATAATACAAACCTTGGGTGAATGAGCACGTGCTAGCGCGACCTTTTCGAGCTTAGCGCACCGACGTCATTTGAATGTTTGTCGCGCGACTCTTCACGATTTCCTCCTATGCCTACGTCTTCCCACCATACAAGCACCCGAATCTGAAACCCTCACGCTCTCTTGTGCACAACATTCGTCCTGACTCTCATGTAGTCACCCAATTGACTTCCAATCTTTCCACGGATATCAGCATGGACGACCACCTGGACGCAGTGCACGCGTTGAAAAGACAGCTCGAACAAGCGAGGGTCCAACCCTCAGACACGCCATCCTCTGATAACTGGTCCGATTTATTCGATGCTCACATAGCGAACTTTGAGAATCATGATATCATACTTAATAAAGTGCTGTCGCTGCATGCTATTCCTCCCGGTGTTCGGCTTGAGTTGGTGGCGATGTCTGTGAGCACGGAGCAGTCGCGACAGGCAGCAGTGAAATTGAAGGGACTCCTGGTACGTAGAAGTGATCGCATCATGGAGTTCAAGGCTGACATCATATACTAGTTCTCAGTTCAAAACATCACCAACCTTGCGTTTCCAGCACCTCCACATCCCGAGCCGAGTACAGCACCTTTCGCCTGCTTGATCAGAATCAGCAATCTAGCCAATGAGATCACTGCAGAAGACATAGCCGTAAAGTTTGAAGGCTATGGCGTATCAAATATACGATTCGTTCAAGATGGAAGACGGTGCCGGTGCGCCATCGTCTCCGTCCACTCTGGGAGAATGCAGCAGCTTGCGTGCAGCGAGATGAACGGAAAAATATTACGTGGCAGACATCTCTTGGTAGAAGCTTTTGCTGATGCCCCGAAAGATATTGATTCATCTTCTATACCTCCAGAACACGCAATCAGAGCCGAGGATACCGTCAAGAGCTCATCACGAAAGGCACAGACACAAAAGCCTATCACAGGGCGAATTCCAGGAAGCTTGCTCCCCAATGATGTCAGTAATTTACTGCCACACACCCAGCGTCGTGCGAATCCCAATGGAAAAAGGAAGGCCGTTGAAGAGCTCACACATCAATCATCTTCACCAAATAAGCGGGTTCTACAGGCCACAGAGGCAGGCTACAATGTGGCCGCATCGAACGAGCCCAATGTGCAGCCTGTCGAGTACGAAGACATTACCGAAGAGGTCCAGCGCCGACTTCAAGCAAAAGAAGCCCAGCGACAACGTGACAAGGCCTCTAAGATGAACCCCGCAGGCCGGAAGCGACTGCGCGAATCGTTTGAATCCATCGAGTACCTCCAAAATGCCGAAGCGTCTCCTGAATCTAAACGATATCGCGATATATCTGACGTGTCTGACATCAATGACATGCTTCGGAACATAACTCCATTGGCTGCTGGTTCATCGGGCGAAATCAAGTAGATCTACATCCGCGTCATTTATATCCTCACAATGCAATATAACTTTGCTAATTATCTGGTTTTTTAGCAGTACTGCAAATGCTGGACAAGTCATAGTTCACAGACGAGGGGGTGGATTCACGACAAACTTTCTGGGGGATCAATACGACCGCATGACACCCACGGAGCTAGAGATTGTGAAATCAGAGTCGGAGAGCGTCGATAGTCAAGTGCGTACGATCCAGGACTATACCCCCAGTGAGAGCGTTGTGCTTCGAATCGGAAATCTCGATTGGGTGACCACTGAGGGCGACTTGGAGGTACTTTTCAAAGGGTTCGATGTGTAAGTCGCATAACCGATAGTCTTGTACAAGTTCTGACCACCGTGTAGTACGTCCATTTCTATACCTATTGAGAGGTCTGGTCGTCACCCTGGGCACGGATTTGTGAACATGTCCAATAGCTTGGAGGCTGAAAGAGCCATTTCTGAGCTCTATGGAGAAGACCTCTTCGACCGCAAAGTGACAGTTGAGCTGATGCAAAATGACGACCACAAGAGCAGATATAAATTGGAGCACCGGGGGAAGACTTATCGCATGGACACATCAGAAACGTCTCAGCCAGTGTGCCATGACGGAAAATGGATGTTTCTCAAATCGGACGCTACTTACTGATGTCTGCAATAAAACGCCTTTGAGTCCACACCTCAGAGTCCTTCTTTCTTTGGATTTTTATGAAAGCTCACAGCAGCTTGCATTATGAACCGCTTACGTCGTCCCTTCGTCTAATACTAGCACTTACCGATTCTCTCGGCGCTACATGGTAGCAAAATTCTGTAAATAAGAAGAAAAGCTCTTAATATGAGATGATCCCCTTCTGATATTGAACTCCACGATTGAAATGTTGATTGACTACACGACAGCTTACCGTGGATCCCCGTCGTAGATATGAGAACGCCACGCCGTAGCTTCAATCCCGCCGCACACCCCCGAAGCTCCGACCACCGACATGGGTCTAATCAAATTCACAAAGCTCATGATGCGCTCACCATCACCCATCCTCCATCGATCCACTGCGCGCAGCAACAACGCCGACATCTCCACAACCTCAAACCAAAAACCTCATAAACCAAACCCTCACAACCCCCAAGCTACCAAAAAAAACCTCAAAATGCCTCCGCAACTACCCCAACCCTCATCTCAACCCACCCCAAACACCACCACCACCGAAGAACCACCATCCCCCCTCGCCCTCACCACCCGCCGCACCGAATCCTACACCACCATGTCCCGCAACCTCTCCTGGGGCCTCGTCATCGCCTGCCCCATCCTCATCGCCATGCCCCCACGCAAACTCGACGTCTACACCCTTCTCCTAGGCAGCACGACCGCCCTAAGCGCGAATCATCTGCGCACGTTGTACTGGAGTCCTGGTGGTGTTGGCAGTGGTAATAGTGCAGCGGACGGCGAGAAAAAGACGGGCTGGCTCAGGGGCATGTTTGAGAATAGGACGGAGATGCCGACGGAGAGGGCGCGGCAGGTGCAGGCGCTGATGAGGGAGCGGTTGGAGCGGGAGAGGGTGGAGAGGGAGAGGGAGATGGGGGATGGGGAGGGGGAGATGGGCGTTGCGGATCGGATCAGGTCGTTTGTGGAGGAGGCGTTTGAGGAGAGGGGGATGGGTGGAGAGGGGAAGGAGAAGGGGGTGAGTGAGGCTGTGAGGAGGGAGGTTGATGGGTTGAAGATGCGGAAGAAGGAGGGGGAGTGGAGTGAGGACTGGAAGGAGAGGGAGAAGGCGGCGGAGAAGCTTGCGGAGAATGCGACGGATGAGAAGGAGGAGAAGAAAAAGGGCTGGTTATGGTGATGATGGAGGATCATGCTCCATGAGGCAAGGAATGTACAGTAAAAGGTGGTTTGTATCATGTACGGAAGAAAAGCATAGCACAGGCGTTCATATAGTCCACGCTGTACGATTAGATTTTATCCACAGCGCAGGATCCAATACAATTCCTCTCTCCACAATTCTCCTCCGCTCTATTTACCAATCTTGTCCTTTATTTCTGACCATGGAGTGGGAAAAAGGTCACAGAAGGAAAGACGTTACGTGACTAGATGTTATACGCCATGGGAGAGAGCAGATTCGTCAGCCATGAAGAGGAGGAGTGACTCAAATCACAGAAACTGAAAACGTGGTCATCGTTTCGCGTACAAAGCTGCAACGACCGAAATTGCCAAAACTACAGAGTATGTAGGTCCCTGACCCGGGACCCCCCCTCCCCCTTGCCCGGAAAATGCTTCATATCCTTCCCGCCGCCTGGTATCTAAATCAACGCCAACATATACTCGAAATAGGACAAGATTGCACGCGACATCATGTTCACTCACACCAGATTCCACTGACACACGCCCCCAAAACTCATGCTCGTCTTGCCCTTCTTACTCTTGTACTCCTTCACCGACACACCCCTCCCATCCTTCCTATCCAGCCTCGTCACCGCAAACACCGAGATCGTCTGTCCAGGCGCCCCAAGATCCTCTCGTCTGACATCCACCCACCACATCCGCCCGTCCGTCTCAAACGGCAAATAGTCCCCATTCCTCCCATCTCTCCCCTCCACCTTCAAGGTCATGACGTATGGCGGGCCTTCGCCGTTCCGTGCGTTATCCCAATGGCTGCACTTGTACGCGAACTGAAAGCGCAGAACTGGCGGTTCGGTAGGAGAGTGTACGCGGATGCTGCGCTGCTCGGGGTAGAATGTGCGCGCGCCCAGGCCGTGCTCCTTGGTAGCTGCGCCATACACATTGACGCGCTCGCCGACATCGTCGAGCATGTACTCGTCCCATGTCATCGTGCGGCCGTCGTTGCGGTACCACTGCGAGTCATCTGTAGGGAAATGGCGGGTGCCGAACTCGATGTTGTCCATGGTGAACATGTCCTCGTTGAAGATCTTCTTGTATAACTTGTTGCTCAGTACGCCGGCGCCCCACGTGCTGTCGAGCAACTTCCACTCGCCATGCTCGAGCTTGACGGCGTTCCAGGCGTGGTTCGACTTGTATGGCGGGATCGCCTGTCCGGGCTGGAGGGCCTTGTGGCTGTAGCCTTTGCCGTAGCCACTGATTACGACGCTTTCGAGGCCGGCGTGGGAGGCAATGGCAGTAAAGAGGCCAGCGTAGCCAGCACATACGGCTGCGCCTTTGGCCATGGTTTCCTCGGGAGTCTTAGTCCTGACAGTGTTGTTAAAGAATGCGTCGGCATCGTAAGCAATATTGTGGTGTAGCCATGTGAAAATGACACGTGCTTTGTCGGTCAGGAGGGGAAGGGAGAGCAGAGTTGATGAGCGAGCCATGCGATGTCTGTGGATGGAATGGCATGGCGAGGGAAACGTGTGGAATGGTTATCAGGGGCTGAAAAGTCTCTGCATTTCAAACACTGAGGGACGGCCCCAGGCTTGGGCTTGGAAGCCATGATTACTGACAGATCAGGACGTGAGGACATTGGTACGGGAGGCGGGGTTCCGTGCTCGTGGTCTTGGGTAGCGCCCTGGTGATCGTTGGGACGCCCGGCTGGTATAAATGGAGCGGATTCCGTCGTTCGATTCATGCCAAAGGTTAAAGCTGATCGTTTCGGCATGGTCGATTGCGGTGTTTCTCGCTGCGCAGTATTTGGTCGCGTAGGAAGTGCAGGTCTTGTAGGCAGTATCGGAGGAGTCTCACAATCTGGTAGCTCCATTTTTTGCTCAGGCAGAGGAGCCTTCACTGATCTATCTGGTGCTACGGGTGGTGGAGAAATAATCCTATTCACCATAGGGGCCGCAGACGTGGGCCTGCCAGATCGCAGAGCTGGTCTCCCATTCCTTAGACTTTCGTTTGTCTTTTCTCTCTTGGGTGGTAGTGCAGGCAACTTTGAAGGGTCAAAGGCCGGCGCTTTGACCTTGTACACTTCATCCCTTCCTGCAGCGCCACTCGTGTTACTGAAACTTGTGCGGGACGAGAGGGCCGAACCCGTTGTCTTCACAGATGTTGCCGATGATATTGAGTCCATTGACGTTTTTTTACTGACAATACTCTGCTCTGAAGGCCTCCTTGGTGGCAGTGCAGGTGTTGACGGCTTTACAGAATCTTGTGAAGGCCTTGGAGGCAGTGCAGGTCGAGGTGGAGGTCGAGGAGGAGCATTCCTGACGGGTCCGAGACTCGTGTCAATCTGCTGCGCCGGTTCATTACCATAATTTCGATCTGTCGCGGAGCCATTGCTTTGTAGTGGAGGATTATTCGTGCTCTGGTTACGATGCGCTGAAGGGCGTTGGCTGGGCGGCGGTGGAGGAGGAGGTCGCGCTTTTCTCGGAGCATTAACAGCGTCGAAGGTATATGGAGGAGGTGCTCCTGGCACAGCACCGACTTGTTCGAGATTGAGAGCAGATATGCGGGCTTTGATTGAAGATATTGGGGGCTCTGCTCCAGCCATGATCGTGTTTTATTGCGCACCGTCAGCAGGCGTTATAGTAATGGCAGCGTAGATCAAAGCGGCGCTGGTAAGACTATACAGAACGATGTTGACAGACGAAATCCATAGAAGAATGGCAAGGAGGAGGAGGGGACGGCATGAGGCTGAGTAATGGACGGCAAACAACAATTACATTGGAAAGGAATCGGTGAGGCGGAGCAAACTGCTTGGACGCGACCAAAGGAATCTCTCGCCAGGGCAGAGAGGACCTAGGCCACGACCGGCCTAGCGGGGGCTGAAAACCATTTGCGATGGCTCATGTTGGTGTGTTGTAAAGACGGAGACGAGCACGACATGTTAGCAGACGGATGATTGGCATTAGGCTGTGTAGCCATGTCCTACAGGCAGTTCTGCCATCGCATTAGGCAGATTATAGAAGCGTGATGTGTGTTGATGAGGGTCTCAGCGACTGAGCCTCTTTATCGATAGCTAATTTTGATCAGGAGTCGGCCCGTCTATCTTATCGAGAGATTGAGATTGAGCCTGCGATATACATAGTACTAGGAGGTAACCACTGTTTAATGTTTCATAGTAGAATGTTAATGTCTAAATAGCACGATAGTAACATCCATGTGTTATATGCCTGTGCTCCATAGTACAATGGATGGCAGATCCAGGTGTAACTCACGTGCTTGCCCGTGCGGTGGGAACGATCCGAACTAATTATCCCGGGGTCGTGGGTTACCAAATTTGGAGACATAGAGAGTATGAAGCTCTATGAGCTTGCTATGAGGGTCTAGATAGTGGTCCCATCTGCTCCTTGTGATTTCGTTGGAATTGTCGTGGTTTTATCTCCTCAATTTCATCGCATTCCTCCTTCGAGCGTAGCGCAGGTAGATCATCCTGCTGGCGGTCATTTTCACCCCGCACCGGCGTTTCGGCTGACAAACAGGGATTATCCCTACTGGTACCGCTAGCTCCCGCGATATGGGGCCATGCGCTGTCAGGACCAGAGCCAGGAGTCAGGACCCTTGAAATGAGAATGCAGTGATGGTCGAACCTGTGAGGGAGTGGTCTTGATGTTGACTGGAGACTTCATGTGGCCGCATGAGGTTTCTAGATAGTGAGCATAGGGAAGCCTACACTACAAGGTAACGTGCGCCGAAAGTCGCTACGACATGGTTTCATCGTAATGCAGCGTAAGGACTGGGGTCATGGCGGGGCGCGCATACACCTTTGCCCGCTTCCATCGTGCACCAGGGCCCAATATGCAAGCGACTGACCATGTATCAAAATCTTCTCATTGTCTTCTACATCCTATCCAAGGACTGCAGTTGTAATCTCCAGATGCGCAGACTAACAAGCAAAGGAAAGATTGTACCACTCCAATATAGACAGCTGAGAGGTGCAAGGTAGTTGAGTTACCTAGCGCATAACAGCAGCAGCGCAAGGCGACGAATCAAAGTAGGAAAATATTAGTCGCAAATGTTCCACCAAAACCCTTTTCCATCAATGTTTGTCAGTGTAGCACATCCTCAATCTGATAAAGGATAATCACAAGTCATCATGTCGTAACTCCCATTGCGAGCACAGTAAAAAAATCTCACCCAACATGTACGCCTGAAGCGATAGAACGCATTTGGCGATAGTCCCATACAGATAACAAAGATAAAGGAGATTCGTTCATCGTCGCATTGCAGTTTGGTCCGTGCGTTCGACACCCTATTCTTGAACTCAATAGCACAAGATTTGAAGGACCAGCAAGAGAAATAAGCTGTCATCGGAGAGAAAGCAAGATGACATGCTACCGCTTACGTTTCTTGTCCTTGGATGAGAGCCCGGCGAAGCCTTGCTGTGCCATCTTGAACATCTCATCCGAGGGTTTCTGGCCGTAGGGATATGGTGGCAGTTGCGGCGCCTGTGATGGCGCTTGTTTCTGTGGTTGGATATGAGCATTTGCATGCGGAGACATGGACTCCTCATCATCCTTCTTGATAATGACACCCATGTGTCGTCCATAGCGTCCTTTCTTATTGTTGGTCTCTTCCTCGCTGACACAGTCATCGATACCGAGCCCAGCGTCTTTGCAGCGTCCACATGGACGTTGTCGGTCACAGCCCTTCTTGCTCTTGCGGCATCGCTGGCATCGAGGTTTGCTGGACAAGTCAGTCTCATCCGGGGCAAGTGGTGTGAGAGGCGCAGTGAACCCCAGGGAAGCGTTGGAAGGCTTGCGCGATGAATTGGAAAGAGAGCGAGGGGAAGGAGGGGCTTGTTTGGAGCCATACTCCTTCTTCACACCCTTTCCACCTTGCTGTGGCTTGGATGCTTTGCTTTTGGGATGTTTCGACGTTGATTTTGGGCCTTTACGCCTATCGACTCCCGACATCTCGCTGCTCGCACCCTTGAACGAGACGTCGTCACCGTCCTCACAATCTTCGCCGCTTGTTTCACCGTCGGCTTCGCGTCTTGAATGGCTTCGTGACTTTGCGCTGTGGCGAGGTTGGTCGTCTTGGTAAATATTGAAGTTCGGGGCGCCGATTGGAGCATCTTCCTCCTCTTCGCTGTACTCGTCACCTAGATCTGATGCATTTGCTTTGCCGCTGAACGCATCATCTAGAGTGGAAGTGGATGTACGCCCTTGACCAGGCAATCGCCCAATGTCACTAAGACTGACTAATTGCCAGGCCACGTCCTCGTCTGACATAGCGCTTGCTGTCGTGTGGTCAGGTGTGGGTAGCACTCCACGACGGCGGTTTGGCCCATTGTATTGCAAAGAGCTTCTCTGCGACATAGCTCTCTGAGGAGTAGTATCAGTGTGGGACAAAGCGTAACCGTCATGGGCACTCGACGCTTGTGGAGGAGGACGCCGAACAGGGGACGCAGATGACATTGACTGAGTAGACGGTACCTGCATCGGCTGAAAAAGAGGTAAGTCCTATAAAGGAACGGTTAGACAGAAGATCGTTGATTGCTAGTCAGCGCCTACCTGAGTATCGAACTTTGCCCGTTTCCTTCGGCCTCCGTCAACAATGTTGGCCTCGCTGATATCAGCACTTGCAATCTTCGAGCCAGTACCGTTCGGATCCTCAACGCTGCCGGCAGGAAGGCGCATGATCCATTCGTCTGTGCCTCTGTGCTCAACATATCCTGGTGGGTTACAACCAAAAGATTCGTTTTTGGTGGGCGATACCTGCGGTGTGAATTCAAAGCCGGGTGCAAGTTGAATACCGCTCGATATACGAGACCCAGGTCTAGACAGGGGTTGGTTGGATGCGGGTGGTAGCATCGGAAAGGTTTTGGTTGGGGACTGAAGCGGCGCCTCCGTTTGAAGGTGAGCAGCGTTGTTTGTTTCTTCGGGCTCACCACGAAGAAAGATAGTGCCGCCGTGGCCAAAGTTGTTGTAACTTGGGATGATGTGACACCCAGACTCATCTTCGAAACCCAGACGACCGGTGAAGAGACCAAAGAAGTTCCGCACAGCATCGATGATCGACTGTGTGGTGTCGTGCGCATTGATATTGGTCGACAAAGCCAAACGACTGCGCTCGCCTCCATCAAGGAGGTGTATGAAACGAACATGCTTGGGAGTTTCACTGTTAGCAGAAGATGCGTTGTTCTGCTGAGTAGTGCCACTGCTGAAGGAACTGGACGAGGGAGGGATGTCGAGTTGAGTCAGGCCTGGCAATCGCCTATCGTGATGTATTTCATCCCTCGTGGATGGATACTGCTGCTCGAAACCCGCCTCAGTAGTCGTGGAGTGCCGAGTAGCGTAACGATTCGTGGCACCAAGATTGGCGGCATGAGAACCATTATTTGGCGCACCATTCTCGAGGACTGTTGTAATGTTCATAATTGAATCTTTCTGAATTGTGCCCAGAGCCTGACTATGTGGCCTAGAGGTGTGTCGTGCGGCAGGCTCTTGATCGTTGACAAATGCTCTCCTTCTGAGGTCAGATGGTGGGAGGACGGCGACGAGATTCTATTAAGAGGCTTTGTTTTTTTTGGGGTCGCGAACGGCCCTATATATGAAGTTAGCATATGAAAAGTTCTCAGTGTTCTGGTCAGTGGGATGTGGTTGTTGTCAGCCATCTTTGGTTCTCGGTCCCAAGTAATGTCGCAGGGCGAGTCCCCGGTCGGTCGCAGCAGCGAAGCCCAGCAACACACACAAGAGATAGCAGACCATTTTTGGGAACCCAAAGACGGTCGCATAACATGAACGGATAGTTAAACTTACTAGAAGAAGTCCGATGAAGTCCAGTGCTGTCTGTAGCCTGGTTGTCGTGAGTCCTCAAAGCGCCTTGTCCTTCGCCAGAGGGAAGGAGGGCGAGGAGCTAGGAAAAGACGTTGGCGGATTATAAATAGAAAGTTGCCATGAAGCGCCAGATACAATAGTCGGAGGAGGGAGCGAGACGAGTCTGATGGCGATTGTCGAACGTTGTGAGGTGAGAAGAGTAAGAGTGTCCGGGTGGAGTTGGGAAGAGAACGGTGGATGGTGGGATCAGAGGTTGAAGCGAAGGCTACCCAAGGACCGATCTATCTAAGACTACTCCGGAGCAACTGCGCATAGCCAACATGCAATTTGAGCAGGTTCAAAATCGTGCAGAAGATTCGATTCACTCTTAGACAGAGTAAATGAAGCAAGGAATAATTCTCACGGTTCTATCGGGTCAGACGCTTGTTTCAAGAATGTGAGCCTGCTCAGATTGTAGTCTCAGTCGGTGCAGCAGTCACTGACCTACGATCATCGCACCTGACACATTCCAATATGGGTCGCAACTCTAACAATGCTCCTATTGTACATTCATTTCCAGTCGATAACAGACTTTGAATGTATCAGACAATGTCCTGGCGGCTACGATGAACCAAGAACACAGCTGCCGGAAGCGCCTTGTCGGTCTGGGAAATCGGCGTAGCTGGAGGCATGCCACTCCGAGAGCGATAGTTACCGAGCAAAGCGCCTGCAAGCTGGGCCAATCCAAACGTCAACTAAAGGCATACTAGATCAAGCTTGAAATGCGGCCTTTCTAAACCTATTTCAACCGCCCATCTCGTGAAACTGCTATGAGGGACACCCAATTCCTTGGGTGCTCCAAATTTACATCTGAACCACCTGGACAGATGATAAGATAATTGCCCGCTCAGGAATCTATCACTATGCGCCGTCATGACCTTGTAGCAGCTCTCTACCTATGGTGATAAAGTTCCTGGTGGGATACTCTTCGATAAACGTCATCCCATTCCCGGTCCGGCTCGGTACTCTGCATGCCTGCTCGAGCTGTTCATAGTCTGAGCACCGTGCGGGGAATCAATCTATACGTTGAGTACTATCTGTATCATGCGGTCTCAGAGCACTTAACATCATTCTCCTGCGCAATAGCGATCATCCCATTAAATGCCTTCGCACAGTGGATTGTGTATGGTGGATGCGCAATGGCGAAAGAGAAATAGCGCGTGGGCTGCGTCACACAACCATTATGGGCTTCGGTGCAATCACGACTATCTGCCCAACGCAATGAGGCTGATTTGGCCATCAATACGACGGTATAGGCGTCAAAATGATCTAGAGATAGTCGAGGGCGAGTGGAAAGCGGTCAGGCGCAGCAAGTGGGGGTCGGTGACTGGAATCTCGCCACAGGGAGAAACCACATTTGAGGGCCACACGGCTCGGCGCCAATCTTCAAACCCGTTGGAACAGATGCGCCTGAGTACTACCAATATGGTTCATGTTGTTTTCTCCAACAAACAGTTGTGTTGCCGTGGGCGCGAAGAAAGTCGCAAAACGTGCTGCGGAGACGGTGAGTTTGAGCTGTCTGCGGAGAAAGCTCGTTGATAGGCCAGTTCTGGGCGGCAGTGCCGCGCTGCTCGCCAGCTGGCTATACACCGATATCGACATTTTCGAGGCTTTGAAATATTGTGAGAACTATGAGTGATGACTTTGAGGGTTGGTAAGATGTTGATTGAAGTAATTGTAAGGTCGTTGTCAACACTTCATAATATCACGTGAGGACCTGATCAAGCGCGTATGACAGGGGTATTTATAGACCTACGCGTTGAGGAATTTCGATTTCAAGAAACAACTCCAACTAGGCCTTTGAAAGAACAAATCTCATATGTACATACCTTGTAGTATGGAATACAGTACAAAATATATTTCAAATATATTTAGGACGATGTGCTGGGGTTTCATGTAGCAGTTCGTGGTTTTGACTTAGCAGTGAGAGACGCGCCGATTTATATGACGTAGCTGCTCGCGCTGAGCCTGGTGCTCCGTAGTTGTGCCGACCAAATGATTGGCTCGTGCCTTGTTCCTAGCGCACCACCTCTCTAAATAAGCAGTGTTCTCTGGTAAACACTACCATGGAGCGATGCACGACCATCATTCTACATGAATAAATGCCCTGATAGATGTGTTGTAAAATATACGTCATGACAGCGTAGCACTAAGAGTGGAACACGAGTGCCAATCGATACGTCGAGCTGTGCGCAGTGTGTGTTTGGAAAGACGAGAAGAAGGACTGTTATGGTAATCCATGAAGGTATTTTCACACCCGTTCAATATGGACCTCGGGAGTACGGTGGGCGTCGCTCCCTCCTGTTCACTTGGCGGGCGGTGTCACAACGGAACCTTCCTCATCAGCATAGCCACAAACAGTTATGGCTTTCTAGGTACACATACCTTCTAGTAAGATGATAAACGCAAAAAGCTAGAGGTATTGTCTCTGCGATTTTGTTAATTCTCTCATAATATCATCGTTGTCTAACATAAAGAACTTGAGAGGTTCGAGAGGCGGTCTTGAGTCTAAGCGTTAGAGATTGCCAGGGCTGCCGGATGCCGCGTCGCTGATTGGCTGTTGCTGTCCAAAGCTCAAGCTTGCACCAGCCAAAACACGTAAACACGACCTGCCGAATCTTTCTACTCAGTATACAAACATCACAACCCACCCAACGCCGAACATCACCAGATCTCCCTCATTGTTCCATCTGCAGCAACGCTTTAACTCGAGTAATACTTCTATTGCTCCGGTAACGCTGCTTTCGACGCTTCGCCTGCCGACTGCTACATCCTGTCAATTCCTCCTTTTCCATTGCCAATTACTTGTCGCCAGCTATATTTTCGTTCGCATATGCCATTCCTCTGCCTTTAATAAACAAAGGACAGTATTCCTGTCCCTCCTTCTCAGTCAGCATGGATGCAAAGGTATGTTTGCCCTTCCGCGACAATTGCATTATCCTAGAGTCCTCGTCCTATCGACTCTCGCACGTCTCGTCTTGTCATTGTTTGGTCATCTGGCCCATCGCGACGACACCAACTATAACTCAAGACCTGCACTGACATATATGATAGCCTCAAAGACCACTGCGAATCCTGAAGATCCGCGACGAGAACCTCCCTCCTCAACTACCCTCTGGAAAGACCATCCACCATAGGAACAAGTCAACTCCAGCATTATCAACACTCATGCAGGCCGGTGCTCTCAAGCCTACCGCCAAACGGACTGCTTTCGCAGATGTAAGCAATACAACAAAAAATCCAGCAATAAGAGATGACATCGTCGTTGGCGGAAAGAAAGGTAGCGAAGTCCCCAAGGACCCGACGGACATCTCAATTGCTGAGTTGACCAAACCCCCGGCCATACTAAGGCCAGCTCAAAGACCACTGCAACACGCGGGAATTAAGGCTCATGGTCATACTTCGACATTACCAGTCGTCGCTCCGCTAAAAGTCGCGCCAAGAGAGACTATCACGCAGGATCAGCCGGCTGCGTCGCGTCGACTGGTTGGCAAGAAGAGTACGGCAGTCTTCCGAGAGACATATTCGCAAGAATATACGGCCATTTCAGATCCAGAACCCGCTAAGGTAGTTCCGGTTCCGAGCAACGGCGCATCGTTACATCAATCTCTGAATGCTCGTCGTGAAGCTCACTTGGATGCGCTAATACAGACGGCTGCTGAAGATGCTGTCAAGCGCCCGACAAGACTGGAAGCGCGCTCAGTGCCCGCTGTCGAGGCTGTTCTCAGAGCAGAGAAGGAGTTCGTCGAGCCGCGCCCGTACGAATCTGCAGACGCATACGACACTGAGCCAGCACCCATTCCTGCGGAGGAAAGAAATCTCTATCTCGCGTCCCTAGAAGATCAAGCTCTAGTGTATGAACAACAACGTGACGAGGAAATTGCAAAAAATGCAACTGCACCAGCCTCTGAATTGATTGAATACTGGGACGCCGAAGAGGAGGAAGAGGAAGAGTTCTACGACGCAGAAGGTTACACTACAGCACGCTCCTTGCGCTCCAGGGGTGACAATACCACTCAGGGTGTCACTATTGTCCTCGTACCGGTCGTAACCCAGAAGGTCGAAAGAGAACTTGCCATTGCTAGACTCCAGGTTGAGTCGACACGTTCGATTGAAGATGTTGAAGACGAACAGTATGACACATCCATGGTCGCTGAATACGGAGAAGAGATTTTCGACTACATGAGAGATCTTGAGGTTAGTAGACATTAATTGTCTGAAGGATATGTACTCATTATTTATAGGAACGCATGCGACCAAACCCATACTACATGGACGCCCAAGCAGAGATCCAATGGTCCATGAGGTCTGTACTCATGGATTGGCTTGTCCAAGTCCATCATAGGTTTACGTTGCTCCCTGAGACTCTATTCCTCTCAGTTAACTACGTCGATCGCTTCCTTTCCTGCAAGGTTGTCTCTCTTGGCAAGCTTCAACTCGTTGGTGCGACAGCCATATTCGTCGCAGCCAAATACGAAGAGATCAATTGCCCTTCCGTGCAGGAGATAGTCTACATGGTCGATGGCGGATACAACGTCGAGGAGATTCTGAAAGCAGAACGCTTTATGCTTAGCATGCTTCAGTTCGAGCTCGGCTGGCCCGGTCCTATGAGCTTCCTTCGTCGCATTAGCAAAGCTGATGATTACGACCTCGAGACACGTACTCTTGCCAAATACTTCCTAGAAGTTACTATCATGGACGAACGCTTCGTTGGGTGCCCACCTAGCTTCACCGCTGCCGGTGCGCACTGTCTTGCGAGGTACATGCTCGGCAAGGGAGATTGGTCTCTTCACCACATCCATTATTCAGGCTACACCCTGAATCAGCTACGACACCTGGTCAACACCATTCTTGAATGTTGCGAAGATCCACGAAAACACCATCAAGCTGTGTTTGATAAGTACGCCGACAAAAAATATAGGTCTGCTTCCATCTACGTAGAGACGGAGCTCAGGCGTGGATGGTGCATGCCGCAGCCTATCAAGTCGAGGAACAGCATTGTAGATGGCTTGACTCACAAGATTCGCAACCGTCAGTCATGAGTGTCTCCCAAATATGCGAGGAAAAGAAGAAGTACATTTCTGTAATGCCTTGGAACGTCTGCACAGCATAGCCTTGCATTGCATTGCATCGCCTCGCATTGATGTCTTGGAGAGCAAAAAAATATACCACCACTGGATTTCACAAGTGTGTAGAGAGCATAGGCGTTGCCGGCGTATCACGATTCTCATTGTTCGGAGTTAGGCTTGCTGCAATTCGGTTTTACAACGTGGAGACTTCTCACCCGGGCGCTGGTGACGTTCATATATCCCCCGGACTAATACTTATTGGCATCCTCTCGATACACCACACACACTCACTCTTGATGTCTTTCGGCCCAGGCTGATTTGGGTGAATTCATTCCTTTTTCTTCTGTAGATAGATCTCTCGTGTGCCCTGAAGATCGAGTGTGATCGGTGGATTGGGGATGCTCTGTGTTAGATGGGGTCTTTTATTATATTGATGACGAGACGATGGGATGAATATATTAACTCGGCTCGATTCTCTCATCAACTTACATCTGTTCATCGTGCATTGATGGTCAATGTCGTTTTTGACTGCTCATACAGGAACGGCTTCTGGACATACTCTACTCACCACAATTGGGTAACACATGATCCTTTTATTGACCCGAAGTCAAGCATTTTTTCAACAGAACGTGTACAACGTTGCACAAAGTTCAGGAATCTACGTCACATGTCTGCCCCTTTCCCGCATGATCAGACACTAAATCGCGAATAGGCTGCCATCAGAATCCACGGTTGAACGAGTGAGGGCTCCGTTATCGAAGCTTCTTGCAGAGTGATATGTAAATTTTGGACAGGACTGCATAGGTCCTGTGTAGTGTCTTCGCACAACGTTACGATGCCCCGTAGGCTCAACTGAGGCAGCGGTGCCAATTCGGATCTTTCGCACTATAGGTATTGTCTGTGGATTCGTCACTACGAGGTCGTCTCTGTGTTGGTCATGTTTTGCGGAGGTTGCTGTTGAAGAACGATCTGGAGTGATTCCTCGAGGTTTGCGCGATGAAGTTATGGATTGGATTCGCTGTGTCAATCGCTTTTCCATAGGCCTCCTCTGGCTTCTACTAGTTTTAGGAAACACGCTCAGTCTGAGAATTCCGTGTTTCTTCTCCTGGGTATCTGAGCTCTGGTCGTCTGCAGAGTTTGGGAACAGTAGAACCGTTTCGTCTATAATATCCTTTTGGGAACTTCTTCTCAGTTTGAGAGGCAGTGGCATAGAGTGCTTAGGAAGGTTGAACGCAGAGTCTGGAGTCGATCCATACTTTCGAATCGGTACAACTGTCTCTAAATGTGTGTACACTCTTGAGATTCTGACAGGTTCCGCCTTCAGTTCTGTCCCTTTCGCTGTCTCTTCCCGGAACCTTGGCCTCAGTACGGCCTTAGTGATCGCCTCCGCCGCTCTCTTCGCATATGGACGCATCAATGAGTTGGGACCCCAAGGGCCCCACGCTCTTATCAAAAGTGTATCTAGGGAGGTGTATACGTCTTGACGGCCAACAGATGCGATGCAGACCGTGTTGGTAAGTTTCAGATGAGGGCTTTGACTCCTTTTTGGGTTCCTGTTTGCACGTGCCACATTTGTAGGACTTCCATCCACCGGCCAAACCTCGGGATCATGATACATAACAGCGACCCTTCATACAGCTTCCTCCTCCCACTGCGCTAAACTTTTTGACTTAACCAGCCTCACGTTACGCTCTAGACTTCATCAGACGTCTCCCACAATGTCCGAATCTCCAGCCGATACCAGCGGCGCCCCTCCTGAACCCCTCGACCTCGTGCGCCTTTGCCTGGACGAGATCGTCTTCGTCAAGATGCGCGGTGACCGCGAGCTTAAAGGCCGGCTGCACGTACGCGACTCGCACTCCCCCTTGTCTTCCTGCCTTCCTGCCCCTGTCGGAGGCTTCCTTCATCCCTCCCGTTCTCAGCTGACCCAGCTTAGGCCTACGACCAGCATTGCAACCTTGTTCTCGGCGATGTCGAAGAAACAATCTATTTCCCCGAAGAAGCTGAAGAAGAGGACTCGGGAGAAGTGCGGGTATATAAAGCCCTATATTAAAACCGCCGTCAGGATTAGACTAATGGGGATACCACAGACGGTGAAGAAGCAATCTGAAATGCTGTTCGTGCGAGGCGATTCGGTTGTACTGATTGCACCCGAGACTGGCTCCTGAGCGACACAAAGGGTGTATCGCCACTTGACATTGTGTATGGGCGCACAAAACGGATTGAAATGATGCGTATGTGACTTTGAGGTGTTGTATACCACGTATTTGAGACACAGGGATGGATGAGAACGACGCAAAACCGAGGCAGGCCCGATGGCATCGTATTGAGCCAGAGATCTTGTGACGGAGCCTGCATGTGAAAGGGCAAAGAGAAGGGAGCGCTCTCAGGTCCAGTGCATGGGATAGCGATATGTAAACATATTTCTAGTAGCTGTAGTAGCTGCCTAGGAGTATGGGAGCTAATGCGATCAAGAAAAAGTCGCGGAAATACTAGACCCATACATCCAGCCTGACCTTAAGTTTACTCATAGAAGCCTCGCGAGTGGTCATGTGGCAGTGTGGCACCCGCTTGAAGGTGAGGACTCTTTAATATCGGCCTGGCAGAGGGCTTTCGTTCGTTGCCGAAGCACAGCGAGTCTCATCTTGGGCTACGGTAGTTGATATGGATATGACTGGTGTTCAGCGCCACGCTTTGCACTGTGTATATACTGATGTCTTGACAACGATAATACGGCCTAGATGATAACCATCAGGCGTACATCTTGACCCATATCTTGGACATATGATACAACAAGTGCGCGAGTCGACCTTCGCATTCACACGTGGCAATGTTGTCAGTATGGGAATTGGTCTACATAGACATAGATGAAGAGACATGCATGTCTACCAGCATTTGTTGAGACTTGTTCTTCAAGAGATATATATTGTTGGGTTAATCCATACCTACTGCTCGTCCTGTCCACCAAAGGGATGTGTCGAGCCGATGATAGGGCCAAAAGGGTGTGGCGAAATAGGTGCCTCTTCAAAAAAATATATAGCTCTTGATATGCTATGAACCAGCTGTTAGTTTCCGGAATAGTATAGTGAAAGGCGGCTATCAATAACGTGAGGCTATTGTTGTAGTGAAATGAGTATCGACATTGTGCGACTCTTTGGATAGACTGCGGATGTAGGAGAAATTGAGCTTAAAGAGTTCAAGTAGGAAACGGGCGATTTACTCGTAGATAAATTGAATATTTGCATCGTCGATGTCTTCTCGGAGTATTCTAGACTGTTAGTCGTTCTAATCGCAAAGAATATGAATCAGCGAGGCTAACACCTTTAATAGAGGGAGTAATAATAAAAGGCCTAAGTCCAAGCTCGTTTTCCGTGGCCAGTCCCCAAGCTTTTACTTTAGGCATCCATAGGTATATTAGTATACTAGCGAATGACTTTCATTGTCGTAACTTCAATTTCAACTTTATCGTTAGGATTTTTCACTTTCTTATTAATGGGGAATCGCGCTATCTAGGCTTCTCCATCTATAAGTCTAATTAGACGAACCACGCTTCTCGTCGGTGATAAGCTCATTCGCTAGGCAACAAGACAGGCGAGATTGATGAAAACTCGACGCCCAGCTCGTCAATTGTTCTCCCCGGCATTCTTGGGATCTGTGAAAGGAATTGATAGCTTTGTTCAAATTTTCAAGTTCGGCGCAGCTACCCCAGTTCATGGTCCGGCGAGCTTGAGATGCGAGCCAGATTGTCAGCGTAGACCATCAACTCAAAGGAGTCGAATTGAATTGACGCGCCGCTAAATCTTGAATAGGAGTGATGACAGATGGGAAGAAAGAAGTCAAACAGAATAAGTTTCGTTAGGGTGGAATTTCGGTGCTACAATCATGGGAGTGGCGCTTCGTAAATCAGCAGCTTAGAAAGAGCCGGGGCAGTCAGTTAAGGGCGATGAGAGATGATAGTAGAAACTTTCGTAGAATGAAACATGACAAAGTTAATTATCTTATCTAAGGATCACATAGGTAGATGGCTCAGGCTGAAGAAGCTCTATATAAGTAGATTAAAATACTAGAGATTATATATCTTACTCTCTCTCTTTTTAACTTTACAAGCTTCTATAGATAATTGACTATTAGTAAAACTTTAGAATTTAGAGAAGAAGATAAAAAATTATATATATAAATTCTCTCTATACGACTTGAGCCGTGGACCACCACGTGACTCCGCACGTGTGCCTCTGCAGCATGGTATAGTGGGTGAAGCGCAGCCATTACGCAGATGTTAATAGATTACAACTATAAGCCTAATAAGTATATAGATAGATATTTAAGAGTAATCATCTCACATGAATACTACTACCAGTATACAGAATTACAATGAAGAAACTCAATTCTTATGGAAAACAGAGGTGTTGCGCATTGACTCGCATTGCCAAGAGTTGTGCTAAAAAAGTCACAATCAGATGACGCCTCTCTTCACCCCACCTCTTGAATGCATCCATGATATAACATAACTCTATCGCTGACAGGGATCGAGATCGAGATCGAAGCTTGTTGTGTATGCTTTATCTCCTCCAGACTCATCTACTCATCTTTATCCAACTTTAGTCGAACACCCCAGCACTCGTTACCTGCATCCTTGTTGTCGCCCACAAAAACGTTCGCTTTTGCCTGTTGCCACAGACAATGGCTGAGCAACAACATCCATTGCGCGTGGCGCTGCCCAAATCAGGTGCTTCAGTTGACGAATACAATGACTACCTCGTTAGAGTCGAGCCTCATCTGACTAAGGAAAATCTGCCAATACTCCATGATATTCTGCAGGATACAGAGGTCACCATAGGAACAGGTTGGGATCTTGTTCGCTTTCTACTCCCTCTCTTGCCAGAGTCTGAATCTTGTCTGCAAGATATTGCGCGCCTGGGTAATCCTAGGGAGGTCATATTGAAAGTCGCAGAGGCTCTGAGGCAACAAGACTTGGAATACGATGCTCTTGAAGCAGACGGTGAGGATTATGACACTATAACAAGCAACGCGGGACCGTCAGGTGCCCCGCAAACGAATCAGACGCCTCCGCTAGCTGTCCTACAATTTCAAAGTCTGCTTTCTATGTTGACAATACTTCACCCCCGACTGAAGACCAGAAATCCTAGCGGCTTCCTCGCAATGAGTCTTCCAGCAGTCTTAACCAGCTATTCGAAAGCATCGTCACATTTCGGAGAACTTACAGGATCTGTCATCACTTTGATCAAGACCCTATTTGGATCAAAACGCCCGCATTTGCCCCCTCGCAAAAGCAGTAGTCATGTACCCACCGTCACAGTCATTGGTGTTGCCACAGACCCAGAAGCTGAAGCAGGTAGTGAAGCACCGGGAGCAGAAGAGTCGAAAGTGGTCACCCGGCTGCTTCAAGGGTTTTTAACACATGTATTAGAAGAATACATGCTACATCTACGATCAAACGACGATGTCCCTGGACTAGCATGGTCAAGTCGAACGCATGAAAAGTTCAGCCCAGGAATGTCAATACCTGGAAAGCCGACCTTCAAAGACCGTTTTGAGAAAGACGAACACTTACAGAATAGAATTCTGGTTGTGTCTCAAGTTGTTGCTTTAGGTCGAGAACTCGGAATTGACTCCCAAGAGCTCTACTCAAATGTCATAAATCCTGCTGATGAACCCACCGGTGAGCCATTTGCACAAGACGAGACACCTGCTTCAGCAGAAGACATCTCGTTCTCCAGAGTCGGCTCACTATTCCTCTTTACTGCTCGCACTGTAGCCCTGAAACTATACGACAATGCTTCCGGTGACATCGGAATCTCCATCTTCCCTGAGCACGACTCTATAGTCAAGAATTTTCTCAATACAACTGAACCCGTTATGCTTGGTACCGAGAACGAAGCTCTTATAGATGCAATATTAGTCCTCGGCATCATAGCTCTAGAAGACAACGACTTTGGGGAACCTGAAAACGATGAGCAATTCACTGGATATTTGCAGCTAATTTCCCTTCTTTCCGCAAACACCTCATCTCCAACGCTGCGTTATCACGCACATATGCTCACATCAACGGTGTTACGCTCCTATCCTGACGAGTTCGTTCGTCTGACATTTATTCGCGACACGCTCGAGCACTGCCCGTATGAGAACCTCAAAGTGTCTGCGGTGGGCTGGCTGAAAGGCGAAACGCTGGAAGCGAATACATCTACTCTGGGAAACTTCAATGGCCTCGGAATATCACATACGTCGACCACAGCATTATCGGCTAAGGAAGAGACGTCCATTTTCGCTACGCCTATTGCGCTATCTACTGCAGGTCCGTTCCTGTTCCCAGACCTGACCCACGACCTCGGCTTGCCGACGCTGAGTGAGTCGTACACAAAGTTTAAGGCCGAGATATCGTTCTACCTAGCGGTTCTCAATTTCTATTATCTGTTATTGAGTGCAAAGCCGCTGCATGCGATTCTGAATATTGCGGGACTGCATGAGGACCAAGATATTGGACGCCGCTTCTTAGGCCCACTGACGGAGGCTAGTAATCATTTCAGAGAAGGACTTCAAGAAGGAGGTGAGCTACGAGAATGGGAAGGAAACGAAGGGTGTGAGCATGGGCTGTTTGAAATAAGGCTGTTGGACGATGTCCTGGATAGAATACAGAATGGCGTGGCAGCATTGACTAAGGAGTGAACGTGTGGTCTGTGCGAATACTGCATATTCAACTTTCACCATCGATACCTTTATAGAATATACAGTAGTCCCGAAATGCGCCTACTTGCTCGCAATCTCGGCGTTTACACGCTGCATACAACAAAGCTTGCGGCCAGCGAACATACACGCGTACGTACCCAATAGCTCATATTTACGAAAATTCAGTGCCTCTCCGCACACGACAGGACCATCTCTCATATAGTTTTCCCTCTAGCCATGGCTCGGCACCAAAAATAGCGATTGATGAATCCCGCCATTCCGGCCCCCTTGTGCATACTTCCCAAAGCGGTAAAGACCCGCATTGCAGACCAATGAGCTGCTTCGTACCACCGGTGCAATTACGAACACTACAGGCCTTACCAACGCCAGAAAATCCCGGAATACCGACCGGCGTTGTGACGGTCAATGCTATTGTGGAGGAACCGGTATTACTATGTAGATATTCCGAATGCTTGTTTTGTGGCTCTTATAAGCCATTCAGCTTCAATGTCGAGTCGTGTGAACTGTGAGCATACCGACTCGAGGTTTCACAGTCCCTGTCTCCCTAGAATTAATATCACGCGACATCCTCTAAGACGTTTAGTACTCACTTCACATCTCATAATCATAATTGATATCCATCGGGAGTCCTCTCCATTCTGACCATTTGCCACACCCAAGACGGCAACAATGAACCGCTCACGCACTCAAGTCCAACCCATCCCAACCCGTATCGACACGCGGAAACCTTCTTGGATCTCATCTTTTACCAGCAGTGAATCTTCGTCCTTGCACCAGCGCCATCAGTCCATCGCCACGGTTCAGACAGTATCGTCCGTAAGCAGCACCAGTGCGAAAACTCCCACAACCCCAGGCTTTGACTACATCCGTACACCTTCGTCTCGACGCCCCCCGCTCTTTTCCTGGGGCTCATCAACGAAAAGCAGTCGAGACAGTACACTACGACGACCCTCATTCTTTTCATCTAATTCTCGTAAGGGGTCGATGGCGTCGACAACTACTTCCCCAGGGTCAAGCGGGCAGTCACGTCGGCCGAGTATCTTCAGCAGGAAGAGTAAGATAACCACTGAAGTTCCTACCATGCCGGATATCGATACAGTTCAGAGGGTCGATGAAGAACTAAGTGACACTGCGAGCGTGGACACGCACTATGAGAGAGGTGCGATGAGGGACTTTTGGGGGATGTGTGCGAGTACGATGGACATCGGATTAGGGACGAGGGAGAGAGAAGGAAGGGGGATGGCAATGTTTTGAGATTGGGAGGATCGTCTGGTTCGATGCTGGTCTTCACTCCCGAGAATTATGATTAATACTGCTTAAGCTGCGAGTCATGTCATGTTGGAGTTGGGTTCGATTGTAGCGGTGTCTCTAGGTTTCGTATTAGCGAACCCATGCATAGTTTCTCTAACAAATTCAGTCATATCTTACATGATCTTAAGGCCCACCTGTTGAATGTACCGCACTTCTCCCCAGCCGGGGCAGGCAAATAGTCGTGGATGTGCATAGTTGTGATCTCAGAAAATAAACTGCTGGTGTGCGTCCACAAGCTCCTTCATTGTGGTCAGTGAGCTCCGTTGGGTTCTACCTTCAGCAAAATACTGGTTTGCGAATACGTCTTGAAGGCAGACGCAGACCACGCGGAATTTGAGAAGGCTTGCTTAAACAAATATCTGGACTGCTTGATTCAAATAACAACGTGGCTTATGATCCCAATACAATTGATTAAGGTTAGCAAGTTGAAGTCATGATGGTCGCTGCTCGTTATAGCATCCCTTCCATCTCACGGCCTTAAACTACCCAGCGCGGCGCGGTGTACGAAGCTCCTTCTGATGATTGAATCGACGCAACTTCCACTCTCAGGATTGCACACACTTATAAGACCTTCGATCGGTCCTTTTCTTCTTATTCTCTTTCATCACAGGATTCATCATCTCATTCAGAGTATCGTTCATCCATCATCCATTCTCCATCAATCCATAAGCATCTTTCATCACTCAATCACACCTCTCATCACTCAACATGGTCTCTCGATATCTCTCGGCCTTCGCCGTAATCAATGCCATGTTTGCTCAGCAGGCAGCGACTCAGAATGTGACCGTGTGGGTTACTGAGCAGCCAACTGTTTTCGTGACAGTGAGCTTGACCAGCCTTCCCACAATCCCAACGTATGTCTTCACCTCGTCTCAAAGGCTTCGATTATTGAAGCTGATCATGATTCAATAGTGTGGCTCCTCGTCAGGTCGTTGGCACCTCAAATTCGACCGACAAAGAGATCCGTCCTCCGGTGCATATGCCTTTCCATCGCAATATCCCGTCTTGGGCAGTCAAGATGAACAACACTATCGCTAGGGCTGAGGCACCCTTCGATAACTCGACCACCAGTGCAGCAGCTGGTATTCTTGCTGCCAGGCAAGCTTCATCGTCCGCTCAAGTCGTTGGCCTTCCTGTCACCTTCAGTACAGTGATGAACACGACTATCTCGGTTCCCGTTCTCGTGTCCACTTCGATAGTCAATACAACTATCCAGGTTCTCGCTACGCCTATGGCTCGTCAACATGAGCTTCACGGCTATGGCTATGGCTCAAGCCCAGTGGAAGTACCAACTTACTACTCTCCAGTGGTCCCCACTGAATCCTCATATATCCCACCTGCTCCAGAGGTTTCGACTTACTTCCCACCTGCTCCTTCAGAGACCCCGTCTTATCTTCCACCTGCTGTCCCAGAGGTCTCGACCTACTACCCACCTGCTGTTCCAGAGATCTCGACTTATGCCCCGCCTGTCCCAGCGATGTCGACCGTCATTTACGATGTTCCCACAGAGACGCCCACCACCGTCCTACAGGTTCCATACTACGGACCAGTAGTCCCCACATATGTCCCAGAAGCTCCAACCTGCTTCGACTGCCCGCCAGCGCCCACCTACATTGCTTCGAGTGAGGTGCCTCACCCAAGTTATGTTCAGCTGGATACACCTGAATACACTCCGCTGCTTTACTATCCAACGGATGCTGGCTTCAGAGCCACACTTGACTCTGGCTTTGCTTTGACGTTGGCCATGGCGATGCTGCTCTTTGTCCTACCTTGAGCTTTCAGGTCGATCGATGTCTTTCTTGTTTGGACTTCTTCCTGTACACACATTGTTGTTACCGAGCGATCAAAAAGGCGTCGGTTGTTGTGTCTTGCAGTTTTGTTGTATGGGATTGCTCATAGCGTTTACGAAGTCATGACATGGTGGTGTATCGGGTTTTCATGTTGTTCAGGCGTCATATTGAGGCATCAAGGCAGCCAGGCATACAACCACTTGGTAGCCTAGGTACTTACGAATGTTACAATTCTTTTGCTCTGGTCTGCTCTACAAACTGCCTTTGAGGGCTGTAACAGCGTCTGCGACGCGCCCATTTTCGATGCACAACCATTATAAGATCTCTTGCGGATAAAGGCATCCTTCTAGCACAGTGAGTGGGCGACCTAGGCAAATGAATGACCCCTCACGCATGATTCAGATGCAGATGCGGGGTCCTGTCTTGCTTGCTGTATTCTGCAATTGTGCATAAGAGCTTAAGGTCTGGTACAGTGTTCCTGTTCATACTTCATGTGGCCATATAGGCTTAGGCTTCATCCTATATCTGTAACATCACGATTCTGAGAATGTCGTCCAGTAAGTGCAAGCTACTGCATCTAAGCTACTACACACTATCGCACTTGAGCTTACCCATCACAGCAAAGCATTTCCTCAACGAGCCAGCAAAGCTTGTAGAGAGCGCCCTTCGCGCCATCGCCCGCGCCAACCCACATGTCGCCCACGATAGTACCAACGGCATCATCTATCAACGGCCATATCCCACCTCCAGCAAGCCACTTGTCTCCCTCATCTCAGGGGGCGGCTCCGGCCATGAGCCCTCGTTCGCGGGCTTCGTTGGGCCCTCGCTTCTGACCGCCTCGGTCGCAGGCTCTATCTTCGCCTCACCCAATGCGGATGCTGTGCGCAAATGCATCCTCGGGAGAATCGAAAGGAGCGCGGGCGTGCTTGTCATAGTGATGAACTACACAGGCGACGTGCTAAATTTCGGGCGTGCGGAGCAGGAGGCGAGGAAGGAAGGCGTGAGGACTGAGATGGTTGTGGTAGGAGATGATGTGGGCGTTGGGAGGGAGAAAGGTGGGAAGGTTGGCAGGAGGGGCATTGCGGGGACGTGTTTGGTTGTTAAGTGTGCCGGGGCGGTAGCGGGGATGGGGTGAGTTTTCCTGCTGATGGCTGACAAGTAGAGAGAGAGAATCTGTGCTGACGAAGTATAGCGCGAGCTTAGAGGACACATACGCTGTTGCGAAGCGCGTTGCAGAGAATATCATCTCGATTGGCGCGTCACTATCACACGTGCATGTCCCTGGACGCGATGATGCAGAAGAAGATTCTAAGGATGCGGAGGTGCATGTTGAGATTGGGATGGGGATCCACAATGAGGAGGGCTCGGAGACGTGGGCTATGGGCGATGCGTTGGAACAACCAAAGTCAGAGCGTCATCTGCAAGGCCTTCCGGGGTTGATCGGGCGTATGCTTGATCATTTGTTGAGTAAAGATACGGATCGGAACTTCTTGGATATTACAAAGGATGATAAAGTTGTGCTGTTTATCAACAATCTAGGTGGTGTGAGCGTTCTTGAGTTGGGCGGCATCACAGATGAGGTCTGTCAGCAGCTGGACACGACGTGGGACATTCGACCAGTACGAGTCATCACAGGGACGTTCATGACAAGCCTGAATGGGCTGGGCTTCAGCATTACGCTACTGCGGGTGCAGGAAACAGGGCTTGGAGAAGGCAAGGAGATGTTGGACCTTCTGGATGTACCAGTCGAGGCAGCAGGATGGTCCAGTGGAGTACGCAGTAGAATATGGGATGAAAGACCGCAAGCCGTCTTTGATCAGGATCCGGACGAGGACGATGATTTGCAACCGAGCAATTTCACAAGTAGGTTCTTACGATACTTCTGCCTAGCTAGAATGCTAAACAGATTCAGCCGATCCGACGCTTGTTCGTAAAGCGCTCACGAGTGCACTGAATCGACTCAAAGCTGCGGAGCATGACATTACCAATTACGACACTATCGTCGGCGACGGAGATTGCGGCCATGTCTTATCGTTCGGTGCATCTAAAGTACTGGAAAAGGTCGAGAAAGCGAAGAAGGACAAGTTATCGGACCCATATCTGTTGCTCTCGTTGGTCATTGAGGGAGTGAAGAAAATCGATGGAACCTCGGGTGCATTGTATACGATCTATCTTAATGCCGCAGCGGCAGCGCTATTGGAACTCTCTGCAAGTGAGAAGGTATCACGTTCGATCGAACCCAGAGACTGGGCGGCGGTGCTAGCGGGAGCATCGAAAACGCTAGAAAAATATACACCAGCTCGGCCAGGTGACAGGACTTTGATAGATGCGCTATGGCCTTTCGTCGAGGAGATGAAGAGCAGTGGCAATGTGACAAATGCAGCAGAAAAGGCCAGGGAGGGTGCCGCGAGAACCAAGGGCATGAAGGCAAGTTTAGGCAGAACTGTCTATGTCGGAGGCGATGGTGTCCAGCATGTGCCTGACCCGGGTGCGCACGGATTGGCTGAGTTTTTCGAAGGACTAGCCGACGGTATGGCGCAGTGAAGAAAATCGGTGCTTGAGATGAATGGCGTACCTTCGATCAGGGTTGCAGATATATCGATGATTCAAAGGACCGGAACCAACAGTGAATAGGAAAGCTCTCGAACAGGCGCGATCGTGAGGCCTCGCGAATGAAAAAGACAAGGTGAGTCTGCGCAGTGACTTTGAACGATATATTCAGCCTCATAGTACTATCTTTGTGTGGAAAACGTACCGGTCGGTCTACCCCCACTGATTTCCTGTTGACACCCATACACTGTGTTGGACTATCGTGACCTACGATGCCAATCCCCGTCAAGCCGAAGACCACTAACTCAACAACACCAAGATGACGCTGTCGCCGCGCAGAAACATTTTGCTGACGAAGCGGTCCTTGTTCACTGGTCTACCCTTCTTTCCCTGTGCATTGCGCGGCGTCTCTGTCCACATTTCTTTCACATTTTCAAGTACCATATTACAGTGACGATCAAAAGCCTTGACACGTGCGAGGAGCTTGCGATTGTTGCGGCATGATATTAGGACCTGGGTGTGTGATCGGACGGCGGTTTGGAGGATGGACAGCGGACCGGAGGTAAATTCATGTTCTTCGAGCGCAGAAATCTCATACTCCCTATTAGAAACATTAGTATATATTGCCATAGGTATGTGTCTGCGCTTGAAAAGACGGCGTTGGGTCGCATTGTTTGATGACGTGGATGCTCGGAGCATAATGAGATATTCGTCGTCGTGCGTCAAGTTGTGTATCACAAGCAAGCGACCGGGTTATACGTACGTGAGCTCAGCGCGGGGCTTGTTCATGAGTTCTCTGGTGCCTCTTATTAGCGCTGAAAGATAGGACAAAGCAAAAACAGGGTATGACAGACTGAATCTTAGGATCGGCCATGGCGGACGGTGGTGGGAGGTATAGTGTTCGTAGAAGGCCAGTCGGAAGTGCTTGTAAGGTGGTTGATACCGGGTGGGCGTAAGTGTATGACTCAGAGGCTTGAGCAGAAGTCCCAGGGCGGCTTGACTGTCGTGGAAAAGTATAAAGGTTCGACAAGGTACGGCGCTGTTGCGAAAGCGCTGTTGTGTGTTCTTCGAATTCGAAGCTTTGCTGTTGATTTCGGCCGATATTCGGGCCATACGATCTGTAGTTGGTTACTAAGAAGAGTTGTTAGCGTGTAATTCCCCTAGCGCGGACGCTATTCCTCGTTAAATCTAGCTCCCTAATAACGCGGACCGACCTTTGAAGCGTCACGGTGTAAGTACAACTACAACAAACAACATCTTCAATACCTCTACCTGCGGAACTTGTAGATTCTTACACAACGCAAAGCTCCAGTGATACTACTTTCGGTTTCTCAGGGTCGCTACGACGCCTCCAAGCGTTCTCGAATAAGTCCATTTGCATCGCCGATCTACGCGCTTGGGCCCGCTATGGTCATCCCAGCCTTCGGATACACGGTCGCGTCAACACTTCAAACCACGTCCGTGGCCCTTTTCTAGAGCAACACCACTTCTCTGCAAAGCCCGTCTGCTGTGACAGGGCTTGCGCTTTGCTCATCATGTCCTCAGCGGGCTCCTCACCCGTGGCGATGCATAATGTCGCGGGTCCAGATGAAGATGATCCCGAAATACCCAGACGACTGATGCAAGGTTTGACAGTCCGGACCTACAATGAGTTTGACTTGTGCTGATTGCTTATTTGCGTAGTCAAAGTCAACTACTCGTTTGACGAGAACAATAACATCAATTGTCTTGCTCGATTACCACATCCAATGAATATACCGACAGTCCAAATGGATGATCTAGTTCATGTTGGTCTGATTGAGCTTAGAACTTGTATTCAAGCCATTATGCAGCGCAGGTATGATGGTTCTATCTCACATACGGTATCGATCTTAACAAAAACATAATTGGAATGTTGCTAATCATATTTTCTTTCTCCTTCAGCCCGGAGCTAGTCGGAAAACTCAACAGCCACGACTACACAGTGTACGCATACGATTACTCTGAGCTCGATACACCTCTTGTTGGGCAAGGAATGCTATCATGGGTACTCGCAGCTATATCACCAAATTCAAATGCACCGGCACATGAGTCAAAAACGATGGTTACGGGCCGTGTCTGCAAGACGGCCATGGCAGCCTTCACGAAGGGCCCTCGTGAGACACTGGACGTCAAACTGAAGCTGGTGCCGGTCCCTGCACTGGTACAAAAGGAATATGTGGACAACATGGAAACGTACCGTAGTTTGAGCCAGGTTCATTTGGGCAAATATGACACCAGCTCGCTACCTATGTTCATGAGAGAGACCTCTGGTGGCGATGTCAGTCAACAATTTATACGCGGATCTTCGCCACTACCGCAAACTCGGCCAGCTTCGCAAAGGGATAACTCGAGAGACATAGAATCGGTCCATCAACTCCTTCGCCAGAATTCATTCTCCGATGGCCCAAGTCCTTTCCAGCAAGATTCGTATACGCCAAACCAATTTACCAGCCAAACGAGCCGTGGACCGAGCCCAGCCCCAAGCTATCACTCATCATCTACTTTTCAGCAAGGCTTGGATGCCATGTCAAGACCAGACTCCCGCGGCTCGAATCGAAGTGAACGTCCAGCTCAAGGCAGGATGGACTCTTTCGAATCAGCTACCATGTCCGACGCACAAGATGAGCCACCTGTGAAGAAACGTGTACACACGACAAAAGTAAAATCACGAAGTAAATCTGCGTTCGGAGTGAATTCAGACTCTCTTCTACAGACGGCCAGTACCGCTAACTCAGTTCGAGTGTATCGCCCGACTCCTCTAGGTGCCGGGCAGCCGGTCCATCAGTCTGTAGAACCTCCCCCGAGAGTACCAACACCAAGACCCGGGAACATACCTGAGCCTGTACGGCGGCGCTTGTCTAATGGTACTAGTTTGCTCCGTCAAGCTAGTTTCGCATCATCAAATCGAGAGGGTTCCGAAATTGGCACTGATGGACCGGATGATGCAGGGAGCATTATTTCAGAGACACCAATGGACTTTCCTTCATCTCCACCTGAGATCCGGTATGACAACGACACTCCGCCTCCGTCAAGTCCACAGCTTCCAGCAAAACCTTGCCCCGTTGACTCAGGTTTCGTAAGCGATTGCAATGTGGACTCAGAAGGCCCGGTCAAAGTAGTAAAACCTTTGTATCATCAGCATGTGACGAACATTCTAGACGAAACTAAAGATCCGAGCGTGCCAATAGCTCGGCCATGGCCTCCTGTTGAGTACCGAAATCAACATCAGCCATGGATGGCTGTAATGCCTGGCCCAGCGTCAGCATTACCGACTACAATGAGGTACACACAGAACCTGAATCGACCTCGGCAGAACCCCATGGGCCGACCTGCACCCCCTAAAGCACCTTCTAAAGCATCATCTAAAGGCCCTGCAACCGTACCGTCCGTGGTTCCACAGCCTCAGAAGCCCGGAACCTACACTTCACCTTATGCGCAGCTACCACCACAGTCCACTCCGAGTTCGGATCAGCGAGCTACTGATTCAAAGCATTCCATAAGTGAAAACGGCTCTGTAGCATCCGGCTTAGCCGAGCCTACAGTTCCGTCTCAGAATGCACGGAAATCTACCATATCTCAAGGTTCCGACGCCGGCTCGATTTCCTCAGCCAAACCGGCCCAGTCTAAATCAACTGCGAAGTCACTTCGCAGTCTAGGGGCGACTCGCAAGAAAATCCTTGGAAAGCACCTCGAGGAATGTCTAGCAACGGGTGAAGTGCCAAGGTATTGCGGCAATTGCGGGGAAATACAAACGAGTACCTGGCGTAGAGCGTACACTGCTGTCTATCAAGGCACACCAAATAATGTAACGCTGACCAAGAACTTTTTCGAAGAAGGTGGCGTCGTGGGCGTCGAAGTTATCCTGAAAGAAGATCCCACCGCTCCTTCCACCGAATATAGAGTCTATAAGAAAAGGCCCACTCAGTTCGAGATGGACCAAGGACACGTAGAGTTGGTATCCCTCTGCAATCCCTGTGGACTATGGTTTGATAAGTATGGTAATATGCGACCACCAGAACGGTGGGTTGATCAGCGGACCAAGAAGCCGAAATCCAAAGCTCCATCCAAACCTCGACCAAGAAAATTGCAATCAAAAGACAATCAGTCTGGCCTGACTTTCGAGCTGTCCCAGGAGCCGCAGCCGGCCTTGCACACTGGCAATAATGTGACAGAAGATATATGCCCAACCATGCCAGAACCGCCTGCAGAATTGATTCAAAAACGGCCTCGAGCAGCGAGTATAGGGACAGAAAGATCTGAAAAGCTCCAACGCACACAATGGGCGGGAGACGTCGCTGCAGCTGCTTTGCAGAGAGCCATCCAATCGAGCCCGGCGAGACACATCGGCTCACAACAAAGCCCTATCGTACTCGAGTCTGACCTGACTCCCAAGCCAGTCCGTCGGAGTTTGTTTCCTTCACCGCGCAAGATGGGCGAGTTTAAGGCACTCGGCGATGGTGTATCGCCGCAAAAGTTTGCTTCACCTACCTCTGTTTATGCTACAGATGCTCCTACCACTGTTGCTCCTACCCCTTCAGAATCTGATATTGCGGACAGCGATAAAGAGAATTGCGCACCGGCGAACAATGATGACGGCCTGGGCGATCTATTCGGAGATGGTGACAACTTTTCGGACATTTTCAAGACGCCCAAAAGCCAACCACGGGTTCGATCAGCAGTATCTTCAGCTTCCAAAAACTGGACACCTACCACGCCGTCGCGTCGCTCTCGCAATCCACTCACTCATCTTAGTCCTAAGGCGCCGGCTTCCAATTCCAAAATCGCCGCTCTAGACTTGCAGCTTGCGACACCATCGCGGCGGAGCGTACGCAGAGGAAGCATATGCATGAGCGACAACATTAATGCCATTCTCACTGATATAAGGTCAACGCCATCCCGAAACAATGACTTGTGGTATTTCACCGATCCAGAGCATCCGACGACCGGCCTGTCAGAAGACTTGTTCGCTGATTACATGGAGAGTGACTGGCCCGCCAACATGGACACTGATGCTGCATTCAGTTCTGATATGCTCATGCCGAGCAGTGATGGGCCAGAATACTTCAAACTGTACGAGGACTTCCATGGAGGCGATTCTGCGATCACATGGAGTTTAGATCACACTTTCATAATGGACAATCAAGAAAGCACGGGTCGTAGTGTTGTTCATGTTGAAACAGACGACAAGGAGAGAGTACCCCCCGTGGCAAATACGGATGTATCACAATGCGAGAACGTCAGCAGTAAAAAGGTGCATGTAGCACAAGATTTTGATGCTTTGCTTGAGAGCATGGGTCGAGGTGAGGATACAGAGCTGCATAGTCATCATTTGCCACAAGAGAGTGTGAAGCAGATCGAGGCGGATGGCATGGATACTGGGGGGAGGGAGGAGGAGCCAGTTCATCTCATCGATAATGCTGGGACTTTTGTTTCTTGAGACACAGGTTTGCGACACGTGATGAGCAGATATACAAAATAATTGCAAAGCATTGCATGGCGGGGTACGGCGCAAAGTTCAATTTCCTACGTAGCATCACGTTCGGCGAGCTTATGATTGCACGTGTAAGTATATGCATAGATAGCATGGCGCTGCATAATGATCTTGCGGCTTCTGTGGAAGCCTGGCATAGGTCTGGCATGGTAGGCTCCGAGCAGAGTCTGTCGAGGAGGTCAGCATCTTGAAGCATGGTTCAGGCGTTACCACGGGATGTTACTGTCCTGGCAAACATCATCGAATTCGAATTCGACTTCCTTTCCAAGATTCATAACTCTTCTGAGGCTGACATGAATTGCTTGCTTTCCAGACCTCTTCAAACCCGCTTCTGAATACAATCTCGGGTGTAGATACTAAGATCAATATCTGTGTGTAAGGGGACACAGGCGAGTACGGACTTCGTCCTCTGAGAGAAGTGTCGTGGAAGCAGCATAGGTAGGCGAGAGCAGGACCGAAAGATTATTGCCAAACATGCCTTGAAAGGTGTCTCCCCGACTTGCATCGCCACAATGTAGCTCATTTGGGCGCGTGAGTGACTCGAAATCACAAACCGCAGTGCTAATATCTTTCGACGTCAAACCGTACAAGATAACAATGATCGACTGTATCGCCATGAAGCGAGTACAAGTCATCGACAATGAAGACGCCCGCTACGCACCTCTTATTGAGAAAGGTTTGGTCAAAGAAAACCACAGCTGGCTTAGTCCTGAAGCTATCTCACACGATAAGCTGAGCATACCGGCTGATGTGTCTTCGTTTGGAGCGATAGTAAGGGGAGTCCCGTGCAATAGGGGTTACTAGCTGACACCGGCAGTGCATATACACTAGGCATGTGCGATGATGAGATTCACATCAACGTTTCTCATGGTATGCCCCTTAGTATCATGTGCCTTGAGCGCAATGTATCGTATTGCAGAAAGGAAGAGAATCTCGAAACGCTTACTGTATACGCTGAACTCTTGATAGGAACGAGATCTTGCATGCCCTTTGACAGGAAGAAATCACTTGAAGTATCCGAAAAATGACCAGATATTCATAATGAGGCCTTCATAGAGTCGGCGTTAAAGATGATGAGACTAGGTTCACACGAGTGCATCATTGCAAATGAAGCATGGACACATCCGTGGTTTCTGGAATAAGACATGGCTGCTGTCATGGGTCTTCTTAAACCATTCAGAATCTGTGTACGATATTTAGTCCACTTCATGGATTTAACAGTAGCCAAGTCAGGGATGAATTTCTGTCTCTGCAGGATCAGACAACTCAGCTTCGAGGATAAACCTGGTTACAGACCATCGACAATGTTGATTTGTGCCTAGAGATTACCGTTCTATCTATCATAGGCTCCCCACATGATTACTTGTAGCAGGAAGATTGAAGATGGTGTGCGTCTATGCCACAACCCCCTTACAAGTAGTAATCTCTATTCCATCTTCCATCCCGCTGGGCTCAAAGCTCTTCAGGAACTCACTGCTGTATACTAGATCGGCTCTTCCAAAGCCCCTCTCTGCCTCCCACTCACTGCCTGGATCTATACCCAGCAACCTCTTCTTCTCATCAACACAGGCCCGTACCCACTCCACATACCGTGGATTTCCTGGCAATATCATATTATCCGCCACCAACACCGTACCCGCGCCCACCATTCCTAGACTCTCCATACGTTTCAAGTCTGCCGTGTAGCTCGGCTTATGATGATCGAAAAACGCCATCCCAATTCTACCTTCTATCAGTTTCTCGTCAGCAAGTCGCTGTACGCCTTCGGCCCCTGTACCAATGAGCACTCGTACGTGATCTCGCAGTCCAGCCAGATCTATCAACATGGTCGCAACAGCTGCGAACAACGGGGTTTTCTCCACGCTGTAGTACATGCTTCCCCCGGCGCGCCTCATTGCGTCACCGAAGAGGATTGCAGAGTACCCAACGTAGCCTCCTAGCTCCACTACCGTGGACGGCCGGTGGTGGGCGATCAGAGAGGTTACGATGGCGCCTTTAGTCTCGCCGATGTTTATCAGGCCTGTTTGCGTGCGGGCGAAGGAGTCAATTGCAGAGAGCACTGCGGCAGGGTTGCCGCGCAGCGTGGGTAGGGAGGAGTGTGTGAAGATGTAGTCGAGGAGGGCGATTTCACGGCCATCAGCGGTCTAATTCACATATTAGCATGAGATTTCCCTATCACTGAAAGGCAAAGAGATGGTCCAGGGAGCAGAACGGAGAAGCACATACGAATTTGCCATTGATCTCCCATGGGAGATAGGCTTTTGACTTGTCAAAGACGGTGGTGGTGGTGGTGGTTGTTTCGTGTGTAGCTGACATGATCACGCTGAATGGCCTATCGTATCTCAAAACACGGTGTTCGATGTTATTTCTGCAGCTTGATGATCGATCATCGTGTCACGTGCAACGAACATAGTTTCAAATACAGCTGCATCATGATGCGTCCGAAGTCGCAACAGCTTCATGATCTTCAGAAGCGCCATGTCCACTGGCTGGCACAGCCAGGATCCATGGAGCGGGGTACATATACCGCGGCCGTGTTGGGATGTGCGGCCAATTAATCCTTGTTACATATACCTGCATATGGCTGCATTATCTCGGTCCCAGTTCCAGCCTTTGTTAGCTATGGGAAAATGACGCATTATGCATGGCACAAATGCATCATGCACCATCTCTTCTGGCTCATACGAACCTGGCTCCGTCATATTGACAATTTCGATGTTTGGAACCTGTACAGATATAATTTGCCGCCACATTGATACAAATACTATACATTACATACTACATACATCTGGTAATTGTGCCAGTTACAGAATCTTCTCAAGCCCCCATACATACATACATTGTAACTCCAACATCGTGAAATGCTCTGTACACTCTAAACTTTGCCTTCTATTTTAAAGTCTATATATCGTCATCCTCCTCACTAGCAATTGTACGGTAGTCTCTGTTAGAACGTCTCTTCCCTTCTGTCTTTGACGACGTCTCTTGCATTAAGAAAGTGGCTAGAAGAGAGAGCATGCCACAGATAAATGCAAAAACTTAATGTAGTCAGTGAAAATTTCTTAGAAGAGTCGCCGAGGTTGTCAGTGTGAACTTACGCCAAACGGAAATCATGCTATCGATATAGGCGCGCTGGACAAGCAGTTGAACCTTTCCAGGCAATCGATTGATCTCATCAAAGTTCCTTACAACACTCTGGATGATTGCAGTAGCATTATCAAAGCCACTGAGTGATGCATACAAGTTCTTCTTGACTATCGACACGATTATGAGGGAGGATATGCTAACTCCAAACAGACTACCAAGGTTGACGCTGAGGTAGAATCCAGATGTTGCTATCGCAATCTGAGATGGCTCCAGGCGAAAGGTCAAGCCGATAAATGCAGCAGATAGAGAAACGCCGAAGCCGAGTCCAACGGGAAATCCATAGAGCGTCTCGGCCCAGTCAGTGTTGCCCTGCCATCGAATATAGATGGCAAACAAAGAAATATTGGACATGACAACTGAGACGAATATGAGCCGCTTGTACTTTCCAGTTCTGCAAGCTGTCAGGACGTGGTTATTATAGTGCCTTTATTGACTATACGTACCGCTTTATTACGAATCCACTGATGAGTCCACCTACGATCGTCCCAACCGTGACTATGGCGAGACGGAGGGCAACTCTGGTCGTGCTGTCTCCTACCGTCACCCTGAAGTACAGAGGCATGGATGTGTATAGCTATGAGCCGATTAGTTTGTTCAAAATATTGGAAACATTCAGAAACTTACAGCGACTTGTGCTGCCGTCTGCATGAATTGGATCATGTACGCAGCGAAAACATTCCGCTTGATCAGCAGTCGAAGTGGCAATACGGGTTCATGGGCGATGAAACCCTCGCAGACTGCAAAAGCGACCAAGAAAACGAGCCATATCACCATTGAAACGATCGCAAGCGTGTTCTGTGCCAGATTGAGATCTTTCGAGATCTCGTCAAGAAAGAGCACAAGCCCAATGTTTGCAATGCCTAGGGTTATAGATCCACCAAAGTCGATTCGCTTAAGCTTCTTGGTCCAGCTCGAGCGGTCCTCATCAGCGTAGTTTTCGATCTTCTTCGCAGCGTTTGGGATCTCCATCTTCCACCAAACAAAGATGATAGTGAGCAGTACGATCGGGGTCTGATAGAGGAAAGCCCTGCCTTGGTCAGTGGTGTGAACGAGCGTCAAGTCTATCTAGACAAACCATCGCCAGTTGCTCCTGTCGGCAATAAGACCTCCAATCGGGGGTCCGAGGGCTCGACCTGCCATATTTAGTGCGTATACATAGCTACGCCAAACAGCCACCTCTTGCATAGGAACCAGATCTACAATGAGCGTAGAGATGAGGACAGAGATGCCACTATTGCCAACGCCCGCAATAGCGCGCCCTATCAGGACTCCCGTAAATGATACACCACTTCCACTATGTATGACATGTGAGAAGAATCGCGCTTCAGAATGGATTTTACGTACGCGAGTATGGCGCCTATAAGGTAGCAAACATAGGCCAGGAGAAGAGGACCTTTGCGGCCATAGATATCAGAAAGCTTCCCATACTATTGACTATCAGTCAAGGGTCCAGGTAGTTTCTTGGTCTGCATACCATGGGCTGTGCAACAATGAGGCCTATGATGTAGCTATTGATGATCCAGCTGGCTTGGTCCATCTTGTCGTATTCAGAGGCGACTGAACGGAACATGGCCAGTAGAATTGATGTATCAGAGTTGCATAGATAAACACCTGGCCGATCAGTGAAGCTCTAGGAATGGAGAACTGTACATACTCAACAGCAACACTAAGTTCTTCTTCAACTGAGTGCGGTAGTCCAGGGACTCGACCACACTGGTACTAGAATCATGGCGGTGACCTTTGATAGCACCTTGCTTATGTTCTTCGTTGACTGTGCTTGCATACGTAGGAGTATGCTGCCCGCTTCCAGACGTGCTGCTGCTTGATGATTGTAGGAGGTTTGTTCTTTCACATCCTATCTCGCTTCTATGTGACTGATCCAACGACATAGTGCAGCTCACAGGGATCTCCAGGCGGCGGTCCGTAGCAACCTTGTTGCTTGTGACTTCACGGTAGACACTAGCCCGAGAATGTGAACGCGAACATATGTAAAGTTTGAGGGAGACAGTAAAAGTATTGACGTCGGCCAATGTTGACTCTCAAGCCCGGGTGTACGATTATCGCTAATCTCTCCGACAAGGAGTTGTGGATCTGATCTTACAGCAAACTCCGATCGGCTGATCCCTGCCGTTCCTAAAAGCCTACACGGCTCTAAACGCGATCCCCACCTCTTGCCGCGCCTTGTCAGCTCAGCCAGCCACCGGATGAGCTGTCCAAAGAATGGCCCGAGCCTCAGCTGCGGTCTGCCGCTAGTGTATATGTAGCCGTGTGTGTCGGTACCTATCAGCTTTTCAACACAGTTGCGTGCTCAGTCACCTTGCGTTAGGGCAATACGCAGTTTAGGTAAGTCGGTTACTTTAGTCTGGCCTTGGAAGAGATATCTCCAGAAATGGTAATTAGAACACGTCATGAGTGATACGGCAGATTATGCTTTCTGTCGCTCGAATGGGCTCATGCAAGTGGAGCGTGCGCACGGTGACAAAGCTTGGACCGAGATAACATATTACCAGCACCCGCCGCTAGTGCGCATCATGATGACCGTTATAGGCACCTTTCGTCCTTGTTATCCTCGATCGATGATAGACGAGTTGGGATTAGTAGGGCTCGGTACTTGGTTATCAGTAATTGATAGGAGAATCACTATTCCTACATGACATCAGTCATACATACTGAGAAAAGGGCACGAATAAGTAACCTTCTCACGTGACCTAACGAGTGGTTCTTAATCGCAAACCTAATACATCTTTCATAAGAGTAGGAATGGGGACTGAGTGAGATCAGCATAGAAGATGCGATACTCTTCCTTCTGTAATACTGTTTGCGTAATATGGAAATAATGTGGAAAATTGCGAAAGTGACATAGTGAACACAGTATATTCTATGCTAAATCAGTGCTTGTTGATACTGAGACCTCTTCATAAATAATTCATAACTGCTTACTAAAGTACCATTTAGAGAACTATATGGTATTAATGCCAGATACTGCTCTGATGGCGCTTTGTTGAGCCGCATATTAGGTCCGAATCTCACTAGGAGCTGTACCCTGCGCTGTTTGAAGAGACCGACACAAGGATGGCTAAGGAGTTCTACATTAGCCGAATGGATTCAAAGGTCGCAGACACGATCGCTGCTGTGCAGCTTGCATTGGACAAACGGCTCGTTAAGTCCGTCAGAACGCAACGAAAAGTGATTTGTGTTCCGGGATGTCGAGATGAGATTATAGCTGGTAACATTAGTATTAAAGTCTGTATATCTTTTTGACTTGACATGCCATTCTTGTATAAACCACAACCTTTCTTCACCTACAGTATAACATCGCGATCATGTTATCAGAGAAGGACCCGTCTAGCAAGGCTAATTTCAGCAATGTTTTCATTACTGATAATCGAGGGCGACAGAGTCTGAAGCACGAATATCGATATGAAGATTGCTCTTCATCTCCTAGTTCTATCAACTCGAGGAGTCTTTCAATTGAAGGCACCTACCGAATCGTCGATATTCGACAAGAAGACGCACCACTGACCAACCTGCGCACACAGACTTTGGAGGGTCTGAGACAGCCACGGAACCAAAAGTACCTACCGTCTCTGCTCTTGTGGGGAGATGAAGGTCAGCAGCTGTACGATGAAATCGTAAGGTCAAAGCACTATTACCCGTACAGGGTTGAAAGTGAGCTCTTGAAACTGAAGGTCGGCGATATTGCGCGGAAGATAGCGAGCACAGGCAGCGATGTCCTTCTGGAGCTTGGGGCTGGCAACATGGAGAAGACTGGCCTCATACTGCGCCATCTTGATGCACTAGATACACCTTTGACATACTACGCCCTCGATGTCGACCATACAGCTCTCGAATACGCTCTCAAGTCTTTACAAGACAGCTTGAAGCTCCGTAATATCAACCTTTGTGCCCTTCAAGGCACCTATGAGGATGCTGCGAAATGGCTAGCGACATCTGAGGAAGCACGAGGGAGAAAGAAGACGATCGCATGGTTAGGCAATAGTATTGCAAACCTCGAGCAAGGCGAGGCTGGTGACCTACTAGGTCGTTTCAGTGAAGCTCAAGGGGTTGAATGCCTCCAAGGATTCATCATTGGCATCGATGGATGTCAGGACGTGTCACGAATAAATAAAGCGTATGATATCCCGGGAGGTGCCACACGGCGGTGGGTTCGGTATGCATTGAAAGCCGGTAGACTTCAACTCGGGCCTGAAGCCGATGCCGTTCTCCATGACGACAATTGGCAGTGGGCAGCAGCCTGGAATCCCGGAAATCATCGCTATGAGAACTACCTTACCGCCAGGAAGACATTGACCGCGACCATCGACGGTACGATGGTCAAAATTGAAGAAGGAGAGCGTTTGCATACTCTGAGTAGCGGCAAATGGACGAGAAGCGACGTTGACCGAATGTGCTCGCCGCAAGGTCTCGTACTAGCCGACATATGGAGTAGTCCTGATGTTGGTTATGGCAAGTCTAAACATCCAACGACGGAATGCATAGCTGATGAATGTTGCAGGTATTTACTGGCTTCAGCCAGCCGAGTGATGGGTGGCTGTTGATGGCGGGAGCCTGACCTTCGGCGTGATTGGATGGATTATTGGCCAGATGGTGAGAATACCTAGCGGTAGGTGTAAAGGTGTTTCTCAATAAAAACCGCACCAGGATTCAGGCTAGTGATGTAGATCAAGCTGGAAACGAAAATCCATGCAATTTATGGCTCGTTTCTGCACATTCCGACCCCTGCTGTGCTGTCGTCGATATGTGTATCTACGGAGCGATATCGCAAGCTTGTGTCTCCGAGCTAACTCGAATGAGTAACTCGATCCATTTAGGAATTATTGTAACGCAACCAAAGCATCTGCTTCTTCAGACCTTGAGTCTCTACGACGGTGATATTCTGTGGGCAGTATCCCAGTCTCGAAAATGGGGAGCCTGAGTGCAAATTTTGTGGACGTTCTTATAGTGGGCGCCGGGCCAGCAGGGTGAGAGTCTATGAATTTCCTGTTTGACATACCCAGTATTGTGTTGACGGGTAGAATACCCTCACTGAATGCTCTAGACAGTTTGGCGTTGGCAAACTGGTTCCATAAAAGTAAAATACGAGTACTTTTGGTGGATAAACGAGCGCACCCAACTCTCTGTGGACAAGCAGAAGGTCTCAAGAGTACTACAGTCGAGATTTTCGAAAGCTTTGGCATTGGTTCGCAGATATGGGCCGAAGCGCATCGTTTGGAAGAGATTGCAATATGGGGACACAGCGAAGGCGTTCATGGAATTAGGAGAGAGCAAGTGATGCAAGATAAAGTTCAAGAGCTGGGGAAGCCGCGAGAGTGCATGTTGCAACAGTCTAGATGTGAACACCATATGGCGCACAACCTCTTACAGAGCAAAAATGTGACCCTTTTAAGGAATATCCGACCGAGCTCCATCAACATCGATAGCAAGGACATGCTGACTTCAGAAGCCTATCCGGTCTCGGTACAATTATCGAGGATGGAGATTGGCTCGGAGGATCATCAAATCAATGTGAGTTTTCTGGTACCCTTCTATTCACAGATTGATCAATGTAGGTCACCGATGAGTTCCGCCAGGTCGGCACGATACGTGCAAAGTACGTAGTAGGTTGTGATGGCGCCCGCAGCTGGATGCGAAAAGCACTTAATGTGAAGCTCGAAGGTGATCTGACGGATTCTGTCTTTGGTAAGAGAGTGCCCCGATTCATAGAATCTCGACCTCATGCGATCTAGGTGTCATGGACTTCATCCCAAAAACGAACTTTCCAGATATTCGAAAGGTATGTTATTTGCGAGCCTCGAATGGAACCATACTATTGGTACCTCGCTCCAATCGGGAAGTGCGTATGTATATACCGGTAAGTCGATGTTATAGGACCTACGCACCCGCAGCTAGCTGAGCCTTTCATAGGTGGAGAGTGGAAGTGAGCTGTCTGACCCAAAAGACATTACCCTGGACATCATCCTTGAGGCGGCGCGCAAGATTATTTCTCCCTACAATCTCGACATAGCCACTTGTTCCTGGTGGTCGGCGTATCGTGTGGGCCAGCGTGTGGGTGATCATTTTACAACCCATGATTCTCGGGCATTTCTCGCGGGCGATGCAGTCCGTACGTATGAATATAGAAAAGGTGGCTGCGACATTGGCTAATCCTTCTAGATACCCACTCTCCTAAGGCAGGACAGGGTATGAACACAAGCGTGCAGGACGTCAATAATCTTGGCTGGAAGCTCAGATTAGTTCTTGAGGGTAAGGCTGACCCGTGCATCCTGGACACGTACGAATCAGAGCGTCGCCCGGTGGCTCAGGACCTCATTGCGTTCGATCGTGGGTATCTCAAATTATTCTCAGCGTCATCGAACTCTTTCGACGATGAATTCGCCAAGGCTTCACGGTTCACTACTGGAATGTCCATAAGATATTCCCTATCCAATATCGTTCAAATGCCACGTGGCTTGGGAGATCTCGGCCCTAGTCTCTTGAAACTAGATCTCGTTCCAGGGAAACGACTCGCAGACGTTCAATTGGTCTTGCAAGTTGATGGTACAACAACGCGCATACACCAGCGGCTGCACGCGTCTGGCCAGTTTCGCATCTTGGTATTCGCTGGAGATATCTCTCAGCCTCCGCTCTTTGACCGTTTGCGAAAGGTTGGAACACAACTGGCTGACGACTCTTACCCACTGGGGGATCTTATCAAAGGTAGCGATCCAGCCCAGGTAGAGGTTCTTTTGATCCACTGTGCAGACCGAGACAAGGTTGAGCTACTCAGTCTGCCAGAAGTGTTTCGACCGTGGAATGAGGAATATGGGTACGACTACTGGCGCGTATTTGCAGATGTGGAAAGCGCGCACGAGGGGCATGGCCGTGCTTATGAAAGGCTAGAAGTCGATCGTCTTAAGGGCCGCATGGTTATCGTTCGTCCAGATGGATATATCGGGGTAGTGGCTGACGTCGATGATGTTGAGAGCGCACGCATGTACTTCGATAGGTTCATGCGTGTCGTAGTGTGAGAAGAATTTGATGCCTCAGGCTATAATTATCTTACCTATGTTATTCCTTAGTAAACGCTCCTGAATCTCTACTGACATTTCGCATATCATTGGCGCGCCCGGATCACTTCGTTATCGTCAAATACCGATCTTGTTACCTAGATTTACAGAAACTGCTAAATGCCAGCCGACGTCATGTGCACTAGACGAGCAATGCGGGGTCTTGATCCATACGCCAGGAGAAAGCTTCCGTTTCTTGCCGCATGAAAGGTATTGTGTATATATTGCTACAACGGAACACTAAAACGAAAGCCTACATCCGGAACATTGCCATGGGGGTCAAAGCGCGAGCGATTGTGCTTGTAGCCCTGAAGCTTGTTGGTGGACTTCAAGCACCAGAAGATTACATGGATTATTCACAATTCGTCAATCCTTTGATTGGTTCAGAGGGTGCCATCTCAGGGCTCGCCTGTTGAGTTCCACGGAATTAGTATGCGGTGTATGATCACTGATATATTGCCAGATGGAGGAGGCGATATCTTTGTCGGCGCCGCTATGCCATTTGGTATGGTCAAATTAGGCATCGATACTCTTGAAACGCCATTGAACATGACCACCATAAATGGAGGCTACACCCCTCGAGGAAGGGTTACCGGTATTTCTATGCTACATGAGTCAGGTAGTCACATGTTTCCAGATACGATGGCAAAAAGACTGATAGAAAGCTAAGGTACTGGTGGTGGGCCAAAGTCAGATTAACGCATCGAGTAGAGTGCTCTTGGACACTGACACTTGTAGATATGGATATCCATCACAGATGCCCTTGGTATCTGTGTCATCGCCAGTCAACATTCTGGACAACAATACGTACATGCAGGAGAGGATCTATTCCGAAGAGATGGCTCGCGTGGGCTACTTCAAGACCAAACTTCAGAATAATGTTACTATCGAACTATCAGCAAGTCGTCATGCTGGAATCATGAGCTACCTATATCCTTCAGATGAAAAGCATATTCTCGTAGACGCTTCCCATGTACAGTGTACCACTCATACACTAGCTGTTCAGAGCTAACAGGTAGCAGTTTCTACCAAGTATAAATAGAGCTTGGGATGCTCAGCTGTACGTTGGAGGAGAAATAGAAATACAACCAGGTGGCCTTGTATATACCGGGTGGACAAGCATCGCAGGTGGCTGGAATATCGGCGCTCCAGTCACCATATATTTTTGTGGCGAGTTCGATCAAGCCCCTTCTCAGGCCAGAACGTTCTCTGGACGCAACACGATCCCAAGCAGTCGCTACTTTCGCAGTTTCCAGGCGGCGGATGCGAGTATTCCTGAACCTACATTCGGTCAAGAAGTCGCCCGGTCTGGACCACTTGGAGATCGCATTGGTGCCCTGTTTTCATGGAATACGACCGGAATTTCACGAATTAAATCCCGTGTCGGAGTATCTTTCATGTCTATCGACAAAGCTTGCAACTACAAAACTCAAGAGATACCTTCTTGGGATCTACAGAATATTGTTGTATCAGCCCGTGAAGAGTGGAATAGAGATGTCTTCAGTAAGATCAAAGTTGCTATCAATGAGGGAGCCAACATGACTCGTGTTGCATTGCTTTATTCGTCCCTCTATTTTATGCACCTGATACCTTCAGAGCGCGTTGGAGAAAATCCTCTCTGGGAGTCTGCAGAGCCTTACTGGGACGACATCTATACAATGTGTAAGTGTTAAATGAGTACTTTATGGGTCCTTGCTAACCCAGTAAGGGGATCTTTTTCGTAACCAAGCTAGTCTTTATCATCTTATACAACCGAGGTACTACGAGAGCCTAATCAGAGCCGTAATCGACATGTGGAGGTAAATGCTGCACGCTCATGCCGATATTTTGGCTAATCAGATAGATTCGAAGGCTTCCTGCCAGATGGAAGGTCTGGCAATTACAACGGTCTAGTACAGGGCGGTTCAAATGCCGATAATGTACTTGCCGATGCCTACGTCAAAGGCCTCCGTGGGGCCATCAACTGGACCGACGGATACATGGCAGTCCGGACTAATGCTGAAGTCTACCCATTCTACGACAACAACCCAGTGGACTCTCAAGGTACCTTGAAAGAAGGCCGAGGAGCTCTAGACGACTGGATTCCGCTCGGATATGTCACTGCTGACCGTAACACTCGGTGTATCTCTAAGACTGTGGAATATGCTCTCAACGACTTTGCAGTCAGCCAGATTGCCTCAGGCGAAATGGTGGCTGAGCAAGAAAAGTACCTCAACAGAGGTGCTGGATGGCAACTAAGTTGGAGCCACGATGCACAGAGCCGTAACTTTACAGGTTTCATGGCACCAAGGTTTGCGAACGGTACCTTTGATTCCAATTACGATCTTGATCAGTGTGGGGACTGCAATTGGGCAGATTATTGTTATGAAGGCACGCCTTTTGGTGAGTCTCGAGTCTGAAAAATCACTTCTAGTATCTCCTTGACTGAGATAGAGTATTCGTTCGTCGTTCCACACGATATGGAAACATTGATTGGCTTCATGGGTGGTCAAACTCTCTTTGAATCCCGATTAGACTACATCTTCCAAGCCAACACTACCAGTGCTGATCTAGGAGTCAACGGATTAGGCATCACCACTCTGATGAACATTGCGTGAGCCTCTCTTGGTGCACCTCGTAATAACTTTCCGACTGATTACATGATAGCAACGAGCCTGACTTCGCGACTCCGTATTTGTACAACTACATCAACAAGCAGCACAAGTCCGTTCAGCGGTCCCGAAGTCTCGGCTACGAATTTTTCTTCAACGCCACTAACGGCATCCCTGGAAATTCTGACGCTGGGGCTCTGAACTGCTGGCTACTATGGCAAATGCTCGGTTTGTACCCCATCGTGACAACCCCAGTATACTTGATCGAAAGCCCTTGGTTTGACGACATTAATATAACAATCAACCACGACAAGAATTTGCGGATCACAGCTTCGAATTTAGATGATGCAAATAGTCGCAAAGGTTTTTATGTCCAGAGCGTGAGTATCAATGGACAGATATGGGACAAAAATTGGTTCGAACACGAGGATTTGGGTATCATGACAGAGGGAGGTGAAATTCATTTTGAACTGGGCAGTGAACCGATCGTGTGGGAGACGGGTGAGCCAAAAACTAACGTCCGACTGACAATGACTAACAGTTTTGCAAAGGTCCAGTGCCACCGAGCCCTGGTCATGTGGTCCTTGATGGGAAGTGAGTTACGTGGTTCACTTAAATTCTCGGTCAAATACCGTCGTGATCGTAGCCAAAGATTGTTTATGACTATATGTAATGCAAAGCTTTTGTTCGACTCCAATCTACCACATAGGTAGAATGGTGGTCATGTTCATATTGGCGACCCGGCGGAGGAATTGGTAGGCTGCATTGTTGCCACAATTCTTTGTCGTCGATCTTACCCAACACAGTCGCTGCGCCATGATTTCTGAGAAAGGCAAAAACGTCACTGATATGGGTCATCAATCTTATATTATACCATCTCCTATGCAACATGTCTCCCTGCGCCTTTGTCTTCGATATACTAATATACAATTGAGATCCATCATTCCACTCCAGACACAACGAATCAAATGCGCTACAACTGGAGAATCCAACACATCATGTACGTCATGTACGCTAGTCCCAAGATGGTTGTTTGGCGAAAGATGGGTCAGGCTGTTGTGTTTGTTACAGACGCCGAACGAACCTGCGTTAATGCGGGAGCACCGTTGGAGTTCGCGCGTGCTAATGCGCCTACTCTTAGCAGTCTGTGAAGTTATGCCCGGGCCATGGTAATTTGATGGTCTGAATTTACCTTTCGAGGGTGATGGATCTTGTAGAACGTATTTAGATGTAGGTGGGAGGACAGGAGGCGGGAGGCGGGAGAGCACACGCGCCACAGCGAAACTGATGGATGTATTCCTTTGCCTGTCTATCATCCTATATCCCGGAGCAAGAACGGTGCTGTCATATGATCGTCGTGATCCCACAAGATTGACAGCCTATCTTCCAGCTATAAGATTCTTGAACCTTGGGAACCGTTTGCACCTGTGGGGAATATTACGCTCTGTTTCAAAGGAGCCTCAGAAGCGTGGTAGGGCTGTACCTTCGCTACTTCTTATCTGCAGAAAGTCGATCTCACGTCAACGCCACGGATCTTGCCCCAGCCTTTCTAACGTGCGTAACGGCACACAAGTTCGGACTATAGCGCCCTCGGATGAAAACACCCCATCAGCGGCCCGAGCCTCGCGAAATGTATGGGACATGAAGCGTGCATATGTCATCAAGTTGCAGACTGGGAGGGTCGTAGGGGAAGCCACACTGGCGCCAGAGAGCTGTCGTTTGCCAAATCGCCTAATTAGGAAATTCGTCTTGCAAGATCCCGATCGGTCGTACGTGGGATGGTTGTGGGCACTTGCATAGGGTTTATGGCCCTGCACGCCTGCCGAACGGCTGAACTGTTGAACCGTGCCTATAAGGCGCTCGATGAGTATTTGATTGGGCTAATGGACGCACTGTCAATGTCTCAGCTATGGCTTTGATGCTGTTTGCAGTCCATCAAGTGTACCGTTGTACTCATTACGCTTGAGCTTTGGAGTCAAAGCGCTTGATTCCTTGCGTAGGGTTGGCGACTCTTGGTCTCCTGGTCGTCCCAGAGCTGCGATGTCTCAGGACCATAGTTTGTGTCAATTTTAGTGAATGAGTGTTGAGGCTGTTGCCAGGGTCCGAATGGTTTCAAGTTGAAATCATTCATTTTACCTACTCGACCTTTTGCATGTTGGTTCTTCCAGAAATCCATGTATCCATGGCATGTTGAGACTCTTAATTCTGCGGGCTCAATACACGCCTGCCTCTTGTAAATGTACTTGTGGTACTGAAACTTCTCTCTCATCTTTGAGCAACTATCTTTCCGGCCAAAAATGTTGAACAAAAGATGAGCCGAGCCTGAATTTGAGTGCCAAACGAGATTAGAGGTACGTCAATGGTATAATAATCCGAGCAAATGATCAAAAGTTGACATGCCTCCTTCATGGCCACTGCCACCATCGAAGTTTTGCAGGCCCAAACACCATTTCGGGTCTTGCCATCTCAAAGGCTGCCTCATGACCTCCAAGCAGGCTGGCTAGGGTAGCAGGTAGCCTCAGCCTGCACCTTTGGGTGCGCACATTCTCTAGAATCAAACCGCGTCGGCCCCGAGCGCTTACAAGTCACTTCCACAACACCCCTAGATATAATAGTGATCATTACATTGATGTGAGAATCAGTGTTACAGCTAACAGAACCCTGGCGGCGGCTGTTTGCATCATCCCTCCGCCTGCTTCGTAGGTATAGTGAACCCAAACTTGGGGCCGTGACGAACGACGTATAGGGCCAACGCAGTGCAAGGCTTAAATCTCCTTGGCATAGCTTATTGATGCTATCAACTGTTGTGATTCGGCCTCGGATGCGTCCCGCCATGCTGTTTCTAAAGATCCTACCGCACGCGACGGATGCTCTTATGAATGCAGATACTTAATGTATCTAACCCAACCAGTATATACGAGCCTTCAACGCATGAGGTCTTTTGAGCAATCATCGGGATTTCCGGTGCACCATTGACAAATATTGTAGACCATTGATGGTGGTGAGACTGGAGCTCGAGGCGAGGGTATCGCGTGTCGGCCGCGCCAATGCCTCTGCTCATTCTGTAGCGCATGCGTTTGCTACGCAGTTGCTGCTATTTAGATATGGAACGCATGCGTGTCCCGACGAAACTCCCGTATTAATACTAGGGGCGGTCACTCCCGAACAGCGAAGAGCTCGTAGGTTTCTGTCTATTGAGGTTAGTGCGTCAGGCCAAAGCCGCTGTGTCGGTACTGCTTGAACGCGCGGAGTGGACGGTTCGTTTAATAGGGCCGGATAGAGTCCTTTATGCCTATCATAGGCGAAAGTTCGCCCCCACGAGTAAGACTTATTTACTCTAGGGCGAATGATTGTACACTTTAGTTCAAAATGTACTTACGTAGTTCAGTTAACTAGAGTCACCTGTGCTTTTGGCCCTAGAGGACATTATGTAGGCCCGGGTCTTCAAAGCTCTCGTCACTATGCCTATCCTTTTTTTCACCAAGATACTATTTGAACAAATTTTTTAAGGGTCAAGACAAGTAAGCTAGGTCCGAGAGTTAATGTGATCATTCAAGTACCATCCATCTGTCCCTTTTAGTGATGACTATAGCGCCTCCACAGTGAATCCTGCCGTGTCCATCTTGGTCTTATACTTGAGAACGTCTGCGATCTAGCCAATTGGGGAAGTCCACACGTTCCAATGAGCAGACTCTCGTGTCTGCCTCGCAGGAGCCGTTGAACCATGGTTGACAGCCAATATCGCCATGTGGTCATAGATTTTTCACACGACAGTATTAGAATTGTGGTTGACGCAGACGGACCAAGATGCATAAACACCTACACTGTGTCGTAAATTTTGGCTGAGGATCCTGCACGATAACAGATTCAAGCCAATCGTCTGCAGTTAATATCCATGCTCTCCAACTAGCATGGAATTATAATGGAACTGTTACACGGAGGCGATCATAGCAGGTAGAGGGGAAAAGCGATTTAGCAATGCCACCGTTTTAGTGCCACCAGGAGGTCGGCCGAACGTTAGGATGTCCACGCCCAGGGGTGTGAACATAGCGTCCGCGGAGGACAGGCTACGTAGCCTCGTCCATGAATCTTGTTCGACCTCGAGGCTAACATTCCTGAAATGACGTTGCGCAAGATTGACTCGATATAGTGCTAGAATCCTTTCGATGTCAAGCTTGAGAACGTAGTCTGTCTCCACTGTCCATGCAGCTAGCAAGTGGGTTATCATATATCCAGCTCCTAATGGCCGGTACTGGGCGGCTCGTTCAGCGATGTTAAGCAGCTCCATTGTGAAGTATCTCGCTTGGGCTGTGAGTGTGGTGTCCTGCATCTTGTTGGTTCGTAGATAAGCATTAAACATCAATCCCAAGCCTAGAGCGAAGCTGTATCGCCTTTTGTTATGGCATTCAATTCTTGCCGCATCAGACAGCTCCTCTATCTTAAAGAATTTTGTCTCTTTCCCATCTGATCGTAACGGTGGAACTGGTATGTTTTCGTCGATGCATTGACGAAACTTCTTGATAACCAAAAGGATGTCTTCATAGAATGTTCGCGCATCTTTTCGTAGTCCATCCGCCCAAAAGAAGTCGGGAGCCTTCGTGAGAAGACGAAGCAACTCTTGAGGTGTACCATGTCTCTCGTCTTCGGATACTGCCGGAGGGGAAGAGTCATCTTGACAACATTGAAGGCCAATAGACTTATTCCAGGAAATCCAGGGGTGACTTGATGTCACAATCCGAATCTTAGGGTTCCTGAACCTCTCCAGGATCTACCAACAGAGGCAACATTCAGTGTATGCAAGACAATACTTCAAATGAAGAGGGAACTTACCACTGCGCTGCATAGTGTTGCAATGATGTTTCGTTCAAAATCATCCATGGGGTTATAGTCGATGCCAGAGTTCAGAATCTGCGCTACACCTTCTCCATGACCTTGGAAACCCGCTTCATCGGAAAGACCGATCCAGTTCTACTGACGCTCAGTCTCGTTTTGCAACCTCATGCTAAAAACTGGAGAGTGGTTTACACACCTGGACTATACAGAGTAGATAGATAGCGCAAAGAGTGTTTATAGATCGAGCCTCTCTTTGGTTGCTCAGACCCAAGCGAAGAGCTTTGACGGCTCGGTCGAATATGTACGTTGCTCGCGGGCATTGTTTCGCCTGAATAGGAGAGGAGTTCGAAAAGTTGGCGATGAGGGCCATAGCTGCTGTGTCAAGGACTCTACTCTGTCCCAAGCGTTTCGGCACATCATGCAAGAATGGGCCATGTGCCCAGGAAAGATCAAATCTTAGGTCGACAACTTGAAGACCGCGAACGAAGGCTGCCACAACCATTGATCTGTGATTTCCTGGCGATGGGGCAATACGCAACCTGTCTCGACGTTCTGGTGATGTGTGTTCTTGTTTCGATGCTTTACAAGCCTCATTCGAGGCATCGTAGGATTTGAAGAGATATCGTCTCACCCCAGCACCTACACATGTTATTTTCAATCGTTTGCATCGTGAGCACGACGGCTGTTGCTGATCGCACTGAACGTATGTCAGGCCTGAAAATTGACACTGTCTAGATAGGCAGGCTCGTGAGTCTCACTTTGCGGCGCTGCTTGCGGCAAGCCTCACACGCTCGACCTGACGGAACTCCCGCCATGGCAGGACCCGGACTGCGCCCCGAAGTCTTAACCTTGTGGGGTCGTGACGGCAAGATAGTGGTGGGCTTGTGCCTAGGGCGCTATACGACAGACGATAGACGATGCAGTTCCCACAGGTTGCGCTTGCACAATCGGTGCTATGCAGCTGTCGGCGTAAGGTAAGGGTATAGGGCATAGATTGCAGGATTCATGGTGTGCGAAAAGGTCGAAGTCCAGTCGGCCGTTGGGGCCTACAGCTTTAGCTTTATTCGGGCGAGCATCCCGGTCTCCCGAGCTGAAGGCAAGCCGGGCGTGTCAGCAAGTGTTGCAGGGGAGGCTTTTGATGCTTGACACTCCTTACTTACCGCCTCACCCATCCCCATGTTGCCTGTAGAATGTCCTATTGATAGGACCTTCGGCCGGTCTGCCTTTGCAGGGCGGGGTTCCCTTCCTTTACGTAGTCGTGCGTCCTGGGCCAACTCGGCCTATAGTCTGATTAATAGTGTACACCTGTAATCGCTGGACTGAGGCGGATGCTGGATCTGTTGTTGAACCGTTTCGATCGCCTTCTAAGAAACGGTCTTTGTACCATCTTTCGCAGAGCAGCCGCAGAAATTAGTATATCGCTTCCATGCTATAGTGACACCGGCCACTCTCAATAAGTGCTTCTCCTATTGTCACATTGTTCCGGTCGCGGATATACACTCCGTATGCCATATATGGCTAGTTATAGCCATCCCCTCTCTGCCTGGCTCTAGAGTCTTACCATAGTACGGCACCTCCATGCGTAGGCTTGAGGGCAGACTTGGCGAAGGATTCTAGGTGGGCCGTAATCTAGTTACGGACACCTGCGTTCCACCTCATTATGCTCGTAAAGCTAACTTGCATTTGGCCGAACCGGGTTCTTTCCTTCCAAAGAGGCGGTATACATACAACACAGTTCACAAATATATCTCAGACCGACAGGCTTACTTAGGCCGACGTTGCAGAATGATATGTATAGTCGTGCATGAGTTGGGAGTCCTTTGGTATTCATGCATGAGCCCCAAGCTGAGGACGCGGAATCCTCTGAGGGGAACAAGTCGGACCATGTACTCGTCTCGTTTCACAGCAAGCAGGCCTACCCTTGTATTGACTTGGTACACTGAGTGATTGTTCAGAAGACGAATGAGTAGAAGTCTTGGATTTGATATCGGCTTCATTTAGGTCCAATGTGAAAGAGTATGATAATTTATGTACATGGTAGATGAAAGATTCCTTTGGTTTGATCATCGTTAATGTGGATGGTAAGACTGCGCCCGAACTGCGAATGGTATATCGAAGAATCATGCACTCATACGCCTGCGTAAGTCTCATGTGCGTATAGTGGTGCTGACGGTATGGATATATCTGTTGGATGTATGCTTTTCCACGAGCTCACATAGTCCCACTGCTCTTCCTGACTTGCCGAAGGAGTGTGAGATAGTCTCTCGATAGCCTCATGGTCGTAATCATACATAACTCGTTCGGGCTCTTCGCTGAGTGCGTACTCTTTGGGCGAATCCTCATGCGCGACACAATACGACTGAGGTGGAGAGTCGTACTCGGCCTCTTGCCATTTGCGAGCGCACTGATGTGCACTCCACCTCTGGGTGACACCAAAGTCAGTCATCTAGAGTCTGTTAGAGGCCGTCATAGAAATACTGGAACATATTCGAAACCCACCTTATTCGCAATAATCTCAAATCTATTCTGTGCCCAGTGATCGTGAGACATTCGCAATGCTCGAAGGTCATTCTCCGGCCACTCCGATCCCCTGACTCTTTCTTTTATTCTCTTTAGGCGCATTTGCAGTGCAGGGACTCTATACACTTTGCCCTTGTCTGATTTGAACCTAGCAGCGACAGCTTTCCATGGCAGGCGCTCCTCCTCTCGTAATTTCAGTAGAAATTTGTCTTCCTCCGTGAGGTCGAGCTTACGTCTTCTGCTGCTAGTGAGATATATTTGGTAATGTCGATCTGTTGGTTGTAGAGAGTCTTCGATCGTCTCTCCATGCGGTAAAATGCTCCCTGGTATATTCGGTCTTGGAGCGATTGGTGGTAGCAGTCGAGACGTAGACAGTGGGGTATGCATTGACCTAATAGCGGGTATGTACGGCTCATTGAGGACCATGGCTAAATCACTACTGAAAGGGTGGTATGTGGTAAATGTAGAATCCATAGTTGACAAAGGGCGTTGTATATCGATCATGTTTGATATTAGGATCCAAAGAACAAAGCAATATAGGAAATGTGGCAGTGGTGACGTTTTGGGTTCGCCCGAGATACATGTAGGTATATGCATGGTCTTTAGCGTTTGGTGAATCTACAAGCGGTATAGCGCTACGAGGCTGCCTTGCGATCGACCCACAACGGTCGGCGAAGTTAACTGCATTTCTATTCGTGGTCGTCTAAGGATCCACGGTTGGACTCACTGAGTGGACACCTAAAGGACCGGTTGGCGTAAGTGGAGCTTGGACAATTTTAGTCTGCAAGCGGCCCAACTGGTGTTCGGGACATAGCGGCTTATAACTAATCCCTTGTTGGCACACTCACCGCTCGAGCCACCTGCTATCAACTTTAGGTAATTCGGGGCCGGTTGTCGCAAGAGCATGACGATGTATGCTCCATGGATAATCAGGATAACGTTTCAATTTCCAAACCCGGCCACTCACTGTTATGTTTCGAGTTTGGGTGTAGACTTACTGTTTCTTGCCCTAATTTAAGGTCTATAGAGTCGAGCAGGCACAGTGGTAATTACCCAGGTCCATTGCTACGTCTTCTGTGCTTTTTCTTTTTCGGTACAAACTCTGATTTCCAGTATCTACCCGGTCAGTAGTGAGTATTGGTGAATATCATGCAACAATATAGTTAATGATCGTACCACCCAATACGGGTGCCAGATGTTTGGTCTCAAGATCCCCACCGAGCTCACTTGGCCTGCATCAGGTTGCGGCCGAGATCCCGTAAGCGGAAGAGAGTGATTATGCGTCTGATGCTTCACAGACAATACCAGGTACCCACGTCAGTCTGAGACTCTGCATTTCTGTTCCAGAGCGTAGAGCGAACCTCCTTGAAACCGGCAGAAGGTTCGATGCTTTTAGTAACTTCATACCATATATATATATATATATGTATAGATTTTAAAGTCACTTATTGTTAGACATGAGCGTGTTGAGAGATTATAACAGTAAAAATCGATGGTGGCAGAAAATAGCTACTCGGCAGAAGTCACGTGCACTAGAACTACTGAGAACAAATTTTGTCCTATCGAAGGAATGCCTCTAGTTTCGATTTCGTTGTCAATACAGCATGTCACGCCGAAACATCGCCATCATAGGCGCGAATGGCCATCTTGGCCCATCGATTTTGAATGCTCTTCTAGCCGAGCCAAATTTTAAGACTACAGTCATTTCCAGAAAATCCTCAAAGTCAACCTATCCCAATGGCGCAAACGTTTTGTCTGTTTCCGATGACTTGCCTATGGGAGAACTGATTGATGCTCTTCATGGCCATGATGCTCTTTTGTGCACTTTTGGTGGTACACTGGTTGAAATGCAGATTAAGCTTGCAGACGCTTGTATCGCTGCTGGTGTTCGCACCTTCATACCAGCAGGTATAGAGCACTATGCATGAGATATACCTATGTGTAGGTAGGGTTAACTTTTTTCATAGACTTTGGCTCTTGCGACTCTTCGAGTCCTCGTGCATTGGAACTTGTTCCATTGTATGTTGGCAAAACCAAAGTGCGCGATTATCTCAGGTCGCAAGAGGACAAGCTCTCATGGACATCGCTTGTCTGTGGCCACTTCTTTGATTACGGTCTGAAGAGTGGGCTGCTTCATGTGGATCTCAGTAAACGCGAAGCAATGATATTCGACGGAGGTGATATTCGAGGAAGCGCTTCAACTCTTGCCAGGGTTGCTGAGGCGACTGTGCAGGTACTGCACCAGGAGGCGGCAACAAAGAATAGGATGCTCTATGTGCAGAGCTTCTGTGTCAGCCAGAACGAGGTCTTGAAAGCAACCGAGAAGGTCGTTGATGCGAAATTTGACGTGAAGAATATTGACTCTGATACCTACATCAAGCACCTCCAGCACATACTCGAGGAGAATCCAAATGATGGTGAGGCCATTGAGAACATGGTCGGAGTCGTTGGCATCATCGATGCAAACTGGGAAGAGAAGCAGGACTTCGCCATGGACCTTCTTGGACTGAAGGATGAAAACCTTGAAGATGTTGTAAAGAGGACTCTTCATGTATAGACTTGTGGCGATACATCAACTTTGACACGTACGCCTGCAATGGACAACATTACCTTCTTGGAGGCTGGGTGTGTGTAATAAGTCTGCCTCGTTCTATTGTTCGAGTCATGTCAGCATACTATCAGGTAGTGCTAACGTTATTTTACCAGAAGTATCATGTGCTGCCAGGGTTTTCCTATTTAGACCGGCGTATGGATCCTGAACACTGCCCAGTACTACACGAGGCAAATTCTGGCTTAATTTCCAACACCACTGCGGCGAAAATGCATAACCTCAACTGGACGAAAATGTGCAATATTCTCGAGTTTCTCTCCTGTAAAGGCTTAATTTAGAAAATCTGGGGCAGTTTTCGCACTTAGGCTGAATGACGTTATGAGAAACGAGATGGACTACGGTATCACTGTATAATAGCCGTGCCGCTGCCGTACCCAGAATAGAAGAGGCAAACGGACAAGGAGACCTTGCATTCAATGAGACAAGACACTTTGGCATAGTATTACTACATTTGGCTACATCTACGGGCCACAAGGCAGGGATAGAGTAGACGAAACATCCAGAGCAGGGAGTGTTGAAAAATAGAATCGTCGTGATTCATGCCTGTAACAACTTACTCCAACAGTGACATCAGAACTTGCTTTAATAGAACGTTAATACCTGCCGCCTTTCGCCTTATGCTCAGTCAGTCATTTCCACCGTGGTATATTTCAGCACGCTATATTTTCTCCGACTGGTCGAAAATATCACGTGCCAGCACATATCACCGGGCTGCTCGGTCTTTGAGCTCATATTCTTTCGCCGTTTTCTCCGACGTGCATCCTACATCGCGGCCATCGGGTCGGAAATATACTAACATACAGTAGTGAGTGAAAGGATCCGTTCGCGCAGTCGAGGCGATCTTCAGTTGGATGGAAAAGCACCTAACATTCTGATCTTCATTACATCACTCCGTCAAAGTCAATTACGTCAAAAGCATGGGAGTGTCCGAAACTTATACAAACTGTCGATCGGACGAACAGAACATCCTCATAAGTCTACTGCCAGGAACTGTCATCATATCGTGGTCGATGTCAGTCTATAGCGAAATGAATCGCTACATGGAGTAATGACTAGAACCCAAAGCCGTCGGTTTTCCATCTTGTTTCGGCTATGAAGACCTTATCTCGAACCAGCAGCTCTCTTTTACACGCTTTTTTAGGACTCGCGCTAGCTCAATGCTCGAGCATGCAAACACCGAAGCAGCCCTCAACGCTCATGCGGCATAGGGTAATCTAAAGTTTCAATAAGTGGACTGCAGAACGAAGAACTGGGAGTAACACTGTTGTATGAACACGGCGATTCCACATATCTTAAACACAGTTCTGCTCTCCACTGCTCATCTTGACCTGTCCAGCCATAGTAGCACTTGCCGAGTTCTCGAAACTTCTTCTAAGCCTCCCAGCACGCATTGCACCTTCTATATAGAGTCCCAGAAGACTCGATATGATTATACATTTACCGCGCGTCTACTCTGCTGGCGTCCCCTCACGCAAGACATCCAGCTTCGCGACAGACGATATGTATGACATCTCATGCCAAGACAAATCACGTGTAAGCCACAAGCTGACTGCAGAGCTCGGAATATAATTCCAGAAACCCTCCCATCAAGCATGATACATGGGACAGCAGTACAAAAGATTGCAAGTACACTAATCAACCGAAATCATGCAGTGCATTTCTGCAGGCTTTGCGCATAGCATCTCACAGTCCAAGCAACACCAGAAGTAAAATCTGCTAACACAGCGCGAGTTGAAGAGAGAAAGGAACTAGTACTACTATACCCATAAGCCCTGTCACGAAACTACCTCCTATATATATAATAACTAGTATCATCTAACATGATACCTAAGCTGTAATTAGCACTTCAGGATAGCGACGGCGGCGATGGTGGGGGCTAGAGTGCTCTCGGGCCAGCCAACGGCACACGCCACGTGTGTCGGGTGCGCATCTAGACCCAGGGGCGCACGATGTCATCTCCTTGCGGCTCTATTGTACCATCATTGCGTGCTCGTGCGTGTTTGATGTTGGGTTGGTTGTTGGGCGGTAGGAATAATTAGTATTATTCCGTATAAATCCCCTTGTGCCTGTCCGGTCATGCCCTGCTCTGATCTCCTTTGGTCCTGTCTTTCGAAGTTCTTTGTGGTTCCGTCACGTATCAATATTTTTGTTCGTCGCTGGCGCACAGCTATCTGCGACAGGAAAACGACGTGTTGCACCTCAGGGTCTTCACTGGATATACTATATATAGACAATAATACGCAGAACGCAGACATCATGGCAACCTTCGACAAACTCCCCACTGAGCTGGTCCTTGAAATCCTTCGCGCTGTTCACGCCTCCTCGACGCCGCAACAAATGCTCCCCGTGCTGCTGACCTGTAAATACTGGTTCTCACTCGCATTTCCCTACGTGCGGAGCTACCACATGCTCCTACGACCACAGCACCATAACAACCTTGCATCCGATCTGCGTTTCTCCGCACAGCTACCGCGCTCTCACTCGTTCTTTGCGTATATCAAGTCGTTCGAGCTACAAGTAGCAGACATGCATTTTCCGACCGCAGCAGCAGACGATGATGATAACGATGATGACGATCGCGCGTTCAACGAACTCGATCTTACACCCCTCATTGAATGCCTCCCGCGCATGACAGCTCTTTCGACGTTCCAGCTGCGTGTCCAGGAGAGCCCGGCTGGTACGACTTGGATCCGGCAAAAGGCTATCGAGGCGCTCCTGTCTGCGCTTCCCGCGTCTGTGGTCAACCTGCATATCGACACAGCAAAGCGCGATTTCCCGTATGCGGCGGCGAGTGCGAAGATCCGGGAGACGCTGCAGGCGCGCTCGGCGGCGTTTCGTTGCTTGAAGGTGCGGCTAGCGCGGTATGAAGCGGATGGGAGAAGAGGGGAGAGGAAGAGGTACGGACGGACAGAGGATATCTATTATTATGTGGACCATGATGAGGCAAAGGGAAGAGAGGTTCCGGTGTTTGCGCCCCTGAGAGTAGAGGCAGAGGGAGAAGAGATAGTGGTGAGGAAAGACGTTCGGCACGGGGCTAGGGAGTATGGGTTGAGGCGAAGACTTGGAATATCGACGGGTGCTCAGCGCGATCGAAAAAGGATCAGCAGCTGATGTGGGAGAAAATAAATCTTAGTAGTAGCGTTGAGTTGTGAATTTACTCCAGATTGATGCTCTGTTCGAGCAGAAAGTCCAGTATCGCTTTCAGTGCAATGCCCCTCCTCATACCCGTCTCTTCGTCCCAAGATGAATGCAGACCCACCACCTCACCCGACTTTCTATTCACAAGTGGTGCACCGCTATGGCCCCAGTACGTCCAGCAGTCGTGTTTCAGCGCGCCAATCTCACTGTTATCATGTATGCTCTGCCCCTTTGCCAGTCCTCGAAACCGTCCTGTGCTCACGTGCAGTATATCATATCCAGTCTTTGCGCCATCGACTCCAACTTCCAGATCATCGCTCCCCGGATGTCCGACACATACTAGACGAGCGTTCAATCTTGGAGTTTGCGTAGCGAGAGACACGTAGGAGAAGGAGCCGCTGGCATCCTGGCTCGCTACGATCCGCAGTAGAGCTAGATCACGCGTGGCATCCCATGCTATGCATCGCGCACTGACGACCGAACCAGACGCGAACAGATGATAGACGTCGCGCTGCCGTATATGAGCGAATTCTTCTGCGTCTTCCGCGATGCAATGGGCACATGTGAGGATCAGGCCTGTACGCGAGATGCATACTGCCGTGCCAGCCTCTTCCTGGGCGAAGATCAGGGTAGCATTGATGGCGCAGTGCAAAGTGCTTTCTAAGCCTTCGACGCTGAAGTGTCTGAGCCAGCGCTGTTTCTTGTTGAGGACGACGAGAGCTGATTTACTAAGACAGTTTGACTTAGTGGTGAGGCTGGCCGGTAATGTGTTCATACTGAGCGGATATTACGCGAACTGTAGGAGCTTGTCTTTGATATAGTGGACAGTTGGCGCGAAGGGTTAGAAAACGGGTTGTTATACCAGGGTTCGATGAGTTGATGAATTGTTGAGTGGCACGAGTCTCTTTTTCAACGACTGCATTTATAGACATATGCAGACACCAACACAGGACCTCGACATTGTATTGAAGTGGCTGAGTCGCTAGTCTCTGGGTTCATTGTTGCCTGGAAGCTAGAAACCATGATCAATGAAATAGGGGGGCATCATTAGTAATGGCTATAGTGTAGCTGTTTCATGTACCTCAAGAGTTGAATCAGTCGAGTGCATGATTAGCATTATTTTGGTCATGTTGAGATATCTTCATGGTTTCAGTCAATGTGCCTACTCTCACGCTCACCTGTCTTGTGGAGGCGGCTGCAGTCTCGTGCTCAGTGCTGCGATTTGACGTCTAGGACGTCAAATCATCAATAACCGAATTTCTTGGGGCACTGTCAGCTCTTCTTGCCTTATGCATCGTCATAATCTTCTCTAGAGGCCGCCAAGGTTGCTGTCGTGCATGAGTATTTGAAGATAGATGAGTAGTCTGCAAGCCTCGACAGATTTCTGGTGCTATTGACATCGTAGCAAGAATAGCGGGCAGTTCTCCTCATTCTTTCCTCTTTGTCATACTACGTACGACCTAGTTATAGCATGTTAACGAGTCTATTCGAAAGAAGAATTCGTCGGAGCATGCACCGTATATCAGGGCAGGATCTCGCGGTATAGTAGACTCCCATGACATTAAAACGCTCTTTTCTCCAATTTTATATCAACACAGTATCGCAATTACGCCGTAGAGAGGTGATCGAGGGTGTAACTTAAAAGGTAGGCGTTTTGCTTAGATACAACGGAAACGGAATTTGACAAAGATGCGACAAGGCTGTGGCTGCGACGCAAGGGGGTATTTGAAACATCATTGCGCTATGACAATGATGTGTTCGCCATGCGCGACGGCCTGACGTTCGGGAACGATGACCTGGCAAAGCAGTGGTTAAGCTACTGTAGGTGATATCAGGAAAGGTTCGTGATAGTGTGGAGGAAAGAATTACGCTGACAGGAAGCTTCAATTAGCTGCCCGGTTGCACCTACTACTGCTGGGCATAGGGCGGCAGTTTGTGGCGCGGGCAGCACGTGTGTCGCAATCTCGCTTGCCATTCCGCGACCAATAATATAATAATTATTGATTCTCGCCCGCCCCGACACTTAGCATCTTCATGACTCTTTGCTGACTGACTAGCTGGGCAAATCTCAAGTCTTAACTTAATCCTCTTTGTACTCACTCGCTTTGCACCGCCTTACCCATCAATGTCTCGTGCATGGCACAGTGGTGTCTTGACAAGCATTGCGTGGCAGGGTGATTCTCATGCATGACCACGGTTGCAAGAGCCTCACCACATTGGAACTCCTTTCACTCAGCAAAACCCTTCGCGAAAATGGCACTGTTCTTTGTCACCTCGTCCTGTCACATCGCCAAGGACGGCTTCTCTTCAAGTGGGTGCTAAGCCTCGCAGATACACGTCTCCCATTCGCTCCAGTATATTGGTAGTAACAGTAAGCAATGCGTCCAACCCAGTGCAGGCATTCAAGCGAAGGACTTGGGGCGAAGTTGGGTCTGGATGGCGGGCGGTAAAAAACAAAGCTATTCCAATCCTTCGTGCTTCACGATATAACGGACTCCGCTACCGTCGGTGGCTGTTTTTATAAATCATCGCGTGCGTCTGTTCAGTTCCTTTTCTTACTACTCTTACACTGATCTCCTTTTCGTGCCTTTAATCTTCATCATCCTTCGTGGAGTTACGCTCTTTTGCAAGATATTTCAAAATCACTTCAACAAATCTAACAACTACCCTCGTTTCATACACCACACGTCTATCTTGAACCATTAATCTCCTCCCCGAACTTCGCTTTCCTCATACGCAAGATGAAATCCTTTGCTACTCTCGCGCTCTTAAGTGGCATTGCCATCGCGCAGTCAACCACAGTCGACGTCTTTCTCCTCCCACCAAATTACAGCGCGTCCGTCGTCACTGTAGACGCTACAGCCACAACTATGGTCTTGTCGTGCCCAACCGACGCTCCCGAAGACCCTGACGAGTTTGACGGCTGCTATGCCGATGCCTTTACTGTCACTGCTGGCCCGGAACTTTTCTACGCAGAGTTTACAGAAGCTTTCGGCGAGGAAAGCAACAGTATCCCCGTCGTGACGGCGACTATTTCTTGTAGCATTGGCGGCACTACCACCGCGAGCTGCGATCAGACAATGATCGGCACTGTCGAAGGCGAGGTCCTGACAACATCTTTCGCAACGGAATACAGCAGCGGAGAGCTCGTGTTCAGCCCTGCTACTGTTACTGCCGGCGCCGACAAGCTATCTGCTGCTACTGGATCGCCCGAACCTACTTCCGATTCTCCATCGTCTAACCCATCGTCGCCTGCGCACACTGGTTCTCTCATCACTCGTACTACCCCAGCTCGTAAGCCCGATTCTGCAACCCTATATATCCACGTACACAATACTGACAATACACAGCTACTGGTTCTCAACCCACAGGCGGTAGCCCAACAACTGAAGGCTCTGCGCCTGCTGACACCGGCGCTGCGTCCGCGAATCTCATCCGTGGCGCATCAATCGCTGGCCTTGCCGGTGTCGCCGCCGCCATGCTGGCATTGTAAGATACTTATTATGTAATGCGCGGATTAATGATAGAGCCATAATACCCACATAGCAAACGTAATAAAAAGTACATTGTTACTGCTAAATATACACTGAATTCAACGCTCGATTGCACCTGTCATGTCATGAGAAGGTTGTAGACCAACCAAGCAGGGATTGATAGACGAAGGCGGTGTGAATTCAATCGGTCTTCTCGCCGGCTCGTTACAGCCTGTCATGCACTATTTGCTTTGGCTATGCCTCGTCTTACTGCAGACAAAGTCCAGGTACTCGACTGTGCTGGAGTCCACGACTCGTGAGGATAGAGAGTATTAGTGTGAAGGTTTGTCCGGCACGTGTACTCGGGTATTACTGAGGTGTCTTAGGTGTATATTCGTAGCTCCAGGTCTATGCCCGCTCTTGCGCACTTTCAATCACGCCCACTCACCTCTTCTCGCCGCCGGGGTGCCATTCACTTCATCCACGCTGTCCTTGTACTCATTCTCACCTCACTCACTCAAGCACAAGTTTTAAGGATCTCCGCTCAACAACTCTCATCACAATACAATTCACACCTATAAGCAGATGATTCCGGCAAAACCGCGGCGATCACGATCTTCGGCAGTCAGATCAAAGCCCGTCCTACCCACCTTCGCTGTGCATTTCCCCGTCGCACGAACCAATTAATCCCCAGTCCCCAGTCTCCGATTCCCAGATCCCATCACGGAACATCGCAGACTTTGCGGAGAAGCGTGTAGAGGACCCAGCGAGAAGAGCCTGAACTCCGATGTTGACCCACTTTCACCTTTCTCTGTCAAGGTTCTCGTTGCCGACCCCAGATCCCATCACGTAACATCGCAGACTTTGCGGAGAAGCGTGTAGAGGACCCAGCGAGAAGAGCCTGAACTCCGATGTCGACCCACTTTCACCTTTCTCTGACAAGGTTTTCGCTGCCGACCCCAAATACTGACATCATGGTATCCAATCATATTATTCAATAAGTACCAGTGAGATGCGGAGAAGTGAAGGTTGAATGACGATTGGGTTGGGCCCGTACTATCAAGCTGGCCCTGCAGAGTCAACCCTAACTTATGCTGTCTTGACCAACCTCATGGTTGTCGGAAGGAATGCTTGAGGCAAATGATACAACTGCCGGTCAGACTTACACCTCGTGCCGAGTCAAGGTAGTTTCGTTCTCTCAATCCAGTGTATCACGCAATCCCGTAAAATGGGTGTTTTTGCTGAGAGATAACAGCTGTATCTTGGCAGATGAGCCTCTTCGTTGTGTCTTGCTTGAGTGGCCGACTATTTTGATCCGGAGAAGGCACGAATGCTTCTCAGTGTCTAGTCAAGTGCTGTAGGCTGAGTACCTATATTTGACGTGACAGTAGCGATACTTTCTTTCTTACTGGTCTTCTCCACCTTAGCAATAAGGTAGACAGCCAAAGTAGAACTGCGCCGCCGGAAGGTCTTCATCCATGACCCATATAATATGGGGCAACTTCGGGTCTCCATAGATCATGCGCTCGCGATGTGGAGAAGCTGGCCTTGATCGAAGCTTCTTGCTCTCCCGTCAGGTGGGAAAGGCCATAAGCCGTCTGGCATATGCGATCTTCTGGCGACTTCACCACTCAGCATTTAAAGGACAGCCCGTGCCGCTACTATGATAGATTCCAAGCACCCTATCTCGGGCTCACTACCCCCAGTCATCAATTACCATGGCTTCAATCAACAAGTTGTGGTGCTTGTCACTACTTGGCTTCTTTGTTGCTCTTGGAAATGCTGAATGGGATAGTTCTTTATACGCTTCAAGCGATTCGTTCTATCCTTCACGTAAGTATCAATCTTGTTTTTCATGTCGAACCATACTAACACCCACTGTAGCTAAGATAAGCGGCTCGGGAGGATGGGAAGAGTCTCTGTCCAAGGCACAGACTTGGGTCTCAAACCTTACTCTGGCAGAAAAAGTCGGTCTGGTGACGGGGTCTTCTGGTCCATGTGCCGTAAGAGTGTCCTGACCTAATGTCCTGATACGTTGCTTACTATGTCAAGGGGAACATCGCACCTATAGAGCGCATCGGATTCGGTGGCCTATGTCTTCAAGACGGTCCAGCAGCTATCAGGCAAGCTCTGTACGCCAGCGTCTTTCCCGCGGGTATCGCGGCCGGTGCGTCTTGGGATCGTGGATTAATCAACGCTCGTGGTCGGTATCTGGGCGAGGAGTTCAGAGCCAAAGGATCGCACATTGCCTTGGCGCCTGTCGCGGGACCTCTTGGCCGCAGCCCCTTTGGGGGTCGCAATTGGGAAGGGTTTGCTACTGACCCCTATCTGAGTGGTGTCGCAATGGAAGAAACAGTCTTGGGCCTGCAAGCTGCTGGTGTCCAGGCGACCTCCAAGCATTACATTGGAAACGAGCAAGAAACTCAGCGCAATCCTACTACTGTCAACGGTACGACTATTAAATCGATCTCGTCAAATATCGATGACCGGACGTTGCATGAGCTATACTTATGGCCGTTCGCGAATGCGGTACGTGCTGGCTCTGCCAGTATTATGTGCTCATACAATAGATTGGTAAGTGATCCATCCTTGATCGCCAGTAATTGCTTATTGATCAGTCTCAATAGAACCAAACCTATGGCTGCGAAAACTCTCATACACTAAACAACCTCCTCAAGACTGAACTTGGCTTCCAGGGCTACGTCATGTCTGATTGGGGTGCCACACACTCTGGTGTAGCTGCCATCGAGGCTGGACAGGACATGGACATGCCAGGCACTATTAGCTTTGGCGACCTGAGCAGTGGAAGCTTTTTCGGTGCCAATATCACGTCCGCTGTGAATAATAGGACACTTGATGTGGCACGTCTGGATGACATGGTGCTCCGCATCCTGACCCCTTACTTTCATCTCCATCAAGACGAGAATTTTCCGCCTGTTGACGAAACCACTGGCAGTCTCAACTTCTTCGGGGCGCGAGAAGCAGACAAAATCTTCAAACAAGGGCCTCTTGTTGATGCCCGTGGTGAGGGCCATGCTGATCTGATCCGTGAGCTTGGTGCTGCCGGTACAGTGCTTCTCAAGAACGAGAACAATGCTCTACCACTAAGTAGTCCCAAGAACCTCGCCATCTTCGGCAACGATGCGAGTGATGCCTCTCAAGGGTTGTACTACTTTGCACTCTTCGATGCCTTTTCCTTCCCTGAGTTTGGAACCTTTGCCGTCGGTGGCGGCTCTGGCGCCGGAAGATTCTCGTATATCGTCTCACCCCTCGAAGCCCTGAAGGCACAAGGCCAAGCCGACTCGACGCTAGTCCAGTACATCCTCGACAACAAGTACATCACAAAAGCCGGCCTCGAAAGCCTTGCTCCAGTCCCAGACACCTGTCTCGTCTTTCTCAAATCCTGGGCCACCGAAGGCTTCGACCGGCTCTCCCTCATCGCCGAATCTAATTCGACCGCCGTGGTCGCCGCCGTCACCTCAGTCTGCAACAACACCATAGTCGTCGTCCACGGTCCCGGACCCGTAATCATGCCCTGGGCCGATAATCCGAACGTCACTGCCATCCTTGCCGCTCATTACCCCGGCGAGCAAACCGGAAACTCCATCGTCGACGTCCTGTACGGCAAGACGAACCCGTCAGGCCACCTCCCCTACACCATCGCCAAGAACGCAGACGACTACGCATACAATCTCGTTAACAGCTCTGCACTTCTTGCATCTACCGATCCAAACGCCTGGCAGGCAGACTTCACAGAGGGCCAGTTGACCGACTACCGTGAATTCGACGCATTCAACAAATCCGTCGCGTACGAGTTCGGCTTCGGCCTCAGCTACACGTCGTTCTCCCTTGCTGATCTCGCTGTCACATACACGTTTACGTCGCCACTTGCACGTACACCTTCGCCAGCCACGCCTATCGTCCCGGGCGGCAACGCCGAGCTTTGGGACGTCATCGCGAGCGTCAGCGTCACGGTGGCGAACACGGGCAGTGTCGGGGGCCAGACGGTGCCGCAGCTGTACATCAGCATGCCGGCAAGCGTGGGCGCCGGGACGCCGGTGCGGGTGTTGAGAGGGTTCGATAAGGTCATGCTGGAGGTGGGCGAGAGCAAGACGGTCGAGTTCGAGCTCATGAGGCGCGATCTGAGCTATTGGGATGTCGTTGCACAGCAATGGACGTTGCCGAGTGAGAGTATCGGTGTTAGTGTTGGGTTCAGTTCGCGAGATTTGGTGGTTAGTGGGAGTCTGACGGTGTGATTGTGCAGTGTGAGGTGGATGTGTGGGAGAGATGGCATAGCGTGTAGTCCTCGCTGCGTACTACTGTGTCATATACCACAAGTGATGAATATATGAATAAAGTATATGTTAAGATTTTTATCATCTATTGTGCTGCATTAGTCACTTGTTGTGGGGTCGCCTCGTATGTATACATATAGCTATCTGCTAAAATTGAGCATAAGGACACACATACATAGAGGATGAACATAAGCAACTTCAAGATAAGCAATTCGGTCAGACATTTCCTTATCGCGTTACATACACGGGTGTAAGAGCTTCCTACTTGAGATAGTATTATCTAACAATAAATAATACGAATCTTCAATCTATAATATCCTTAATTCCTCTGTGAGACCGTAAACTCCAAATACATATTCTCTACATATATATCGTCCTACCCTTGGCGCAGGACACTGCTTAAAGAAATGTGTATAGGTGAAAGAAACCATATATAGTAAAGACGGGTTACTACGTCATTGCCTAGAATAGAAACTGCGTTCACCCAGCACTACATGTAGTAAGTCTTTACTACCCGTCTAGCATGTAGAGCCATTTGCAAGTCTAGGTTGATACTAGTATTAGCGAACAGAAATGAAGGGTAAAGTCTAGACAATGAGGAACTTTGACAAAGTTTTATACCTTTAATACAAGAACTACTATGGACTAAACTCGAAGACAGATTAAGACGCACCTGCTAGGGCTCTAAGAGGAACGGTCGTTTAGTAATGTAGATACCGTCATACCGGATTATTGAAAATGAACAATAAAGCAGAACTTTCTTCTTAGAATACTCTTGGTGTTCTGAAGACATATTGTAAAGACTGAAAAGACCGTAGTAGTAGCCGCAGTTATCACACATGAACAGCCTCTTTCTAAATCATCATCCCCCATGAACCGTCAACTTCCTCGCCTCATCCGCACATCATGCCGCAGGCTTTAATTCGCCCATTACTATCCTGACACTATCACGCGCCAGCATCTTCTCCATCCACTCCGCAACCAACGGAAACTCCGCAGGATTAAAGCCATCCTCCTTTGTCACCACCCACGTGATGATCTTCTGCCAGGTGAGGAACGACAAGTCTGCAAAGGACAATTTATTTCCCACCAGCCAAGGCCCGTCATTATCTTTGGATTGCTTCGCTAAGTGGCCTTCCAAGACCCCAGTTACGCGCTTCATCTCGTCCACATACCGTGTGAGTGCGCTCGGCACCTGTTCGGGGTGGAACTTCTTGAACCAGGACGCCTGTCCGTAGTACGGGCCCTGGCCGGAGACTTGGAAGTAAAGCCATTGCTTTGCGTGCCAGGACTCGGTGGTGTTAGAGGCAAAGCTTAGTGTGTGGTCTTTGTCGTATTGCTCGATGAGATACTCGGTGATGGCTCCGGACTCCCAGAGTGTGAGGTCGGTGTTTGGATCCACGATGGTGGGAAGACGGCCGTTGGGATTGAGGGCGAGATATTCAGGATCTTTAACTTTGGACATTGGGTATGGGTTTACGTCGTATGGGATGTGGAGTTCCTCGAGGAGGATGGCGATTTTGCTGGGGTTGATGCCGCCTTTGCCCCATAACGTCAACGGTTTGAGAGTGGACATTATGTTATGATGCTTTCTTGTGTGAGAAATAGTGGTGATGATTAGAGAAATTGGGGATTGACTTTTATTTATAGCGGATTGTCTGTTTGGTTGAAATAGGGAGTTGGACTGTGGTAGGACTGTTTTTCCTAATGTATAACACAATGTCAACATGGCAATGTGTCTTTATATATATGCATCTGAGACTGTATTTGGCCCTTGCACTGTCTGAGTGTAAATAAGATCGGATCGGCTAGTGATAACAGCATTACAAAGCTTACTCGGAAGTCGGTGAGTCGGATGGTCAGAGCTCCGAATGAGTGATTCAATGCATTATTCACCTTCCATAGGATCGAGTATTCATAATTCAGTTCTAATAAGGCCTACTGCGAAGAAATGGTCTTTGCTTCAATATGGAATCGGCACTGCAGAAGTAAAAGTGTTCGAGTCACATTGAGAATCGTGATATACATAAGTAAATATGTGTGCAGAGCAATTCTACCACAAATTCTATATTCTAATCTAAGTCTATTTTCGAGAAAGGTTTGCTCATCAACTTACGTGCTTGAAAGGTCGTCTTTTTATATCTCATATCTTCTTCTACCTCATCTATTGCTATCTTCTTCATATCCATGCCTTCATTTATGTCGTCTATTCTCTTCCATAGACTAGATTTCGCAAGACCTCCTAATAAGAATTCTCAAAGACTAGTCTAAATAAGAATGTGAGACCTAACGTGTCTAAGTCTCAACCAACCGGAGAGTCGGCATAAGCCAACTCGTGTGTTCCGAGCTTTGGGATGCTCAGGGGTTCCTTAAGATTTGACATGGCACGGGCTAACATCCACGAATGAGACGGACACTAGTAATCACTACCGATACATGTAAGATCAGTGACTTCATAGTTTAGAATACGTCTAGTGAATCTGTCACAATATAATAGCATGAGTTCTGATGTATGATACATCGCGCTCACTCTCCCTCGGACACTGCGTACCAATCATAATTAGTAGTTTCGCCTTGCGTCTCCTCATTCGTGCCTCTATCTTCAGTGACGTTGACATCTTCCTCCCTGAAAGAGACAGCGCTTGCACAGTTGCCGCGCACACGTGGGGGACGATTTCCAGTATATGCTTCGCCTGGGACCTTTGGTGCTAGTTGAACGTAACGTTGCTGCTCAAGAGTTTCGTTGCCCATTATATCCTCCATATTGCTAGTTCACTCATGATTAGCTGAATCATGTCAGCGGATATTTTGACTCACAGTTGTTCATAGACTGGCAATTTGGTTCTGTGCCCATACATATACCCTATAGAGGCACCGACAGCTCCTACAGCAAGCGCAGTTGCACTAGCTGCGGCATATCCCGGGCCACTGTACTGAGGAACTGGAGCTTCATGGCCCAAAGGACCGGCCTGGGAAGCTCGACTGCTGTAGCCGGCATAGTGACCTCGAGGCACTCGAGCTTGATGTCTTGAAGCACTAGCTTGAGGAACGCAGCCGAGATATCCCGCCAGATTAGGTACATCAGGACCTCTCTGTAAGGAGGAGTTATATAGTGAATCTCTGGAGCTCGAACATTGCCTTGACTTGAAGGTTGGGCTAGTGACAGTATAAGACGTATCAAAGGCAGTGTTATTGTGCTGCGCGCGTGGCTCGCCAGGAGAGCCAGGTGTGAGGACCCGTGAATTCCGCCGTAACGACATTTGCTGGACAAGTGACGCTGGAGACATCGACCAGAGATGAGGGTGTTTATGAGTTCCAGCTTCCAGCCCCTCCTTCGTGCTCAGCCTCTTAGACAAAGAGCCTCGTACACCGAGAGCCTATCAAGAACGGCCGTGGCGCTCGACTCGAAACTGGCAAATCAGGCAACCATCTCGACCCCAAGAAGGACAAAAAGCCTCAACGCAGATGTCGCTATCGTACAGGTATTGATTAGTAATATCCAGCACACACACCGCCGGCACACACAACCCTCTATGATTCAACGTCTCGTCGATCACACATCAACGTCGTTCATACACGAAGTAGTACAATCAGAATGTGCGGGAAGTTGTCTCACTATCCGGAAATGGAACTCATGGCCATACTAGATTCCATCCAATACAACACATACCCATTCCCTTTCCACACTCTCCTTCCAACAAACTCACTCCCGACCCCTTTACGCGAAAGCACCCCCAACCACAAAACTCACATCATCATTGAAACTCGTCGCTGCATCAAATGCATGCACACCGCCGTTACTCCCCAGATATCCCACCGTCTCATAATGCCTCACAAACCGCGTCGGATAATTGTAGCTACGCAACGAGCTCCCCTGCCCATCTAGCCCGGCCATGGTGCAAAACGTCGCGTCCTCATGGAACAGCTTCGAGCCATCATTCGCATTCACATACAGCACAAATGCATTGTGTCGCAAATACGAGCCTGGCGCATCGCGCGCCTCGAACGAGTAGCACGCACTATCCGCCAGGCCCGCGCGCACCGTCCACGAGGCGGCTAGCTTTGCCGCGCTGCTGGATGTACTCGACACGGCCGCGATGCTGACAGAGGCGCCAGCGTGTGTGAGTGATGAGGTGGTGTAGCCCGGGGTTGTGGCGCGCAGACTGATGCTGGAGCCTGCAGTGAGCGCGGAGCCGGTGGAGAGGGGGGTGGTTGCGTATTTTGCGGCGGCTATGTTGGCCTGGACGGCATTTTCGGTGGCATCGGAGGGGAAGCCGGAGGTCATGACGCCTTCGTAGAAGGTACCTTGGCCGCTGATAGAGTTGTCGCCGCCGATGCCGAGAAGGACGGCGCCTTCTTTACTCATGGGGTTGTAGCCGGAGGCATTGGGTCGTTGGCCGGTGTAGTATGTGGAGAGGGAGGTTGCGGATGCGGCGTTTGCGCCGCGGATCTAGAATGTGTTAGAAGGGGTGGTGGGAAGGAGGAAAGGGGGAGTACTTACGGCCCAGTTATTTGCTTGACCTTTGAGAGTAGCAGTGACGAAGCGGTAGTTGATGGTTGGGTCTGCAGCGTTGTTCTTGACATTGTACCCAGAGAAAAGGCCATTTTCTAGCTGTGTGATTTCTGTTAGCCATATTGTCAAGGGAGCTCAAGGGGACACCAACATCAGCCATGATCCAAGGACCGGACCCAGCACCGGAACCCCAGAAGCTGTTCGTGCCGTAGTAGATGGCCTCCATGTGTCCATTGCCAGTGTCGAGGTTATTCGTCTCGGCGTTGCCGTAGTCGAAGCAGCAGCCGTCGTTGAAGTGAGTGCCGTCAAAAACTGCATACATGCCCTCCGAGGCATCTTTTCTTGCAATACCGGACCCAACGTTATCTTTAGTGGATCAGTTTTGGCTTAATGATCGATACCATACTTCACTTACTGCGATATCCAGTCCCAGGGGAGATAAATACGCCATACGCTTTCTGTCCATTCAAGGTGACAGGCGCTCCAATCGCACTAGCAAGGTTATCGTATCCGTTCAATTCTGGACCTTTGAAGCCACCTGGCGGGGCTTGAGTAAGATGATTTCCCTTTCCAGACTGGTCGTAAATGATTGTGATCAAACACGTAGTGCCAGAGCAGAATTTATCCTGGGTGCCAGCATTTGCAACTCCACCAGCGGACAGTGGTGCGACGTTCGTTGTGGTATTGTCAGAGCCGCGCTTGATTTGGTATAAGGAGCCTGTGAAGGCATTGTATAATGCTCGAGTAGTGCTGTGTGCCGCGACACATGGTGTGCCTCCTGACGAATAGATATCACAAGGCCCAGCGATTGCAAACTATGGGCCGTCAGTTGAGGCCTTGAAGATTGGCATGAGTGTGTGACTGACCGTAGTTCCCGCCACAAGGGCCAATGCTAGTCTGGGAAGCATATTCGATTGACACAAGCCGTAGATGAGAGCAAAGCGTTGTATCAACAGTATCAAGGGGTGTATTTAAAAAATACCGTTGGTGAGGCAAACAAAGTGTTCGTATTGTTCTTAACTTCTCTCTTTGTAGGAATAAACATCCGCGAAGGCCACATGTTCCGGTGGGATAATGCATATCATAAACGTAAACCACTATACCCCTGATCTGAACTATGATCACACGCGGCACCACGTCTCACCAAAGGTTGCCATTCGTTACTCTTGTTGATATTAAGCCCACTCCACTCTCCAGAACCGGGCCGTAACCATAAAAAGCCCATGCATCGCACAAAAGCAGAGAGATTCGCAGCGAATGACAAGTTGACAGGAGCACAAGTTCCGGTGGGTTGACCCAATAAGTGTCACGAGACAGCGTTTCCTAATGAGATAGCGTCCGATCCACAACTAGAGCGAGGCTCGACTACTATATGGAACCGCTGATGGCATATATAGTACAAGTAGATCCCCATGTCGTCTGCGCAAATCCCGGTAGGTAGCCACGCGTGGGGCGCTAATCACCACATACCCCAGATTTTCCCTCCAGGAGGTCCACATTTCCCCGCTACACCCCGGCGGGAGGCCCGGCCTGACAAAGGCTTATGTGTTTCAACGGCACACTGGACGATACATCTCGACTTGGAGCGATGATCCCTGATGCGGTGCTCCTTGATGCTCTGACGTTCCGGCGGTGGTCCAGAGCGTCGACCGATGGTTCGTGGGTTATATGTTGAACCATAGATTCTGGTGGTGGGAGTGGCCCACGCGACTACATTAGTTGCAGGGCAGGTTTGGCTCGTTCGTGTGGCACGGATAGTATAATATTGGGGGTCCAGTGTCTGTTACGTATGCCTCAGTGAATAGCACTAGCCTCTTAGAAGATTCATGAAACTATAGAGAGGTTTTTGTAAAACTATACGATAGACTATGCTTGACTTTACTCGAAGTGAAGACAGATGAGCAACAAGACATCTCAAAAACATTCCACTGCGCATCACCAATGAGGATCATTCTACCAGACGTGCGTATCTGCCTTGCCTTGGAGCATTTCTTAAACGTCACAACATAATGCTCGCGACCATGCCCACGCATCGAGCGCCTCTTAATGGTGTCCAAGAGCATTGCGGTCATAATCTTGAATCTAAAGCATAACTACGTCGGCTTTTCGACAGGCTCTTACACTGCGCTCTGTGTCTTCAGTAAGCATCGGAATACCGAGACCGGTTCTGACGACGACATCGACTGCTCTGGCCTCAGTCCGAAAAGTAATACCTCCGCGTACACTGGAACAAGGACAGATCGGAGAAGGTACTTCGGTTTCGAGGTAACACCCACCGTGAATTGCCCCGAAGGCGTGGCTTTGTGCTGTTATAGCGGGTGTCGTAATTGTCTCGTCACTTTGCTTAGTCCTGCCGGATGACCTCGCTCATTACTGAGTTCTCTGCCTGATGGATTATTACTTGGCCAATGTTGGGGCGAAAGTTGTGGTGACATTGACTTGCTCCGGGCTGTCGAATAAGTCGATGTGTCCAATCAGAAGGGGCCTGCGGATAAAACATATGCGTCACTGTCGACGTGAACATGCATAATCTCATATGCGAGATAATGTTCGGCTGATCAGTGGAGCAGACTTGAGCAGAGATCTATACAGTGTTGCAGTATTACTGTATAATTTCAACAAGTCGAAGGGGTACTCCTATGCACGTGAGAATACCCTGTATCTTGAAGCTCACTTGACATATCTTGGGCACGATAGCCTTGCTGACGAGGTCGAGACAATAAACAGATCTTCTCGAACACAGCGTTGGGTTCTTTGTTGGCGTAGTAGCCACCGCTTTGCAGCTTCAGCTCGGTATCCTTCCACGAACTTATCTTGTCAATTGACTTCTTATCAAGATCGGCCAGCTTCGCCTCTATGACTGAACCATCTTTCTTACTTTGGGAGAATGTATAGCGTAGAAATAGAGATACATCTCGTAACGTCATAGTTGTGACGGCAGCCTCGAGTTTCTTCACAGTGACGATGGAGGTAGTATTGCGGTCTTGGTTGAGTTCCGGAAGGTCTCTGAATGGGCCAGGGGAAAAATGCTGCTGGGCCTTCCTGATAGAATGGAGGAGCTTGTTTCCCTCGTTCCCATCGGAGAAGTAATGGACCAGGTCTTTTAGCACAGCTTCATAATTCGAGCTACCTCTTTCGTAGGGTAGCTTAGCGGACAGCAGTAAACCGGACATCGCATGTCGGACAAAATCTTGTTTTCCCTCTACGAGCTCAAGCGGGCAGAATGGCGGTACTTTTGTCAAGAGTTTTCCATCTCGGGATTGTAAAAGTTTCATAGCTCGTAGAGCGCAGGTGCGGCATCGGATGGCATCCTTTGGAGCATCAGGCGACTGCACTAGCCACTTCGGTTTGAACTCAACCGTGAATGACATTGTAGACTCCGCGCTCATGTCCTCAACAAGCACCACGGTCGGATTGGTCTCTTCGATCATACTACCGCAACGTATCTGAGGTCGTCTTCTCTGACGTTCTCGGGTGAGCAAGTCTGAGTTAAGCGCACTTAAAAGCTCAGACGAAGCTTGTACAGGGATCATCTGAACAATGTGATGGCTTGGTATGAGATTATTGAGCTTGTCAACAATATCGCATTGAGTCTCAACATTCTCTGCGGCCGCCTTACGGACCCGGAGAAGCATCCGCGTGAAGTTGATATGGGCTATACTGCTAGACACCATAAACTTTGGCGAAGTATCGGAGGAAGTAGATCTAATATCTCCAGGAAATAGCTCGGTCAGCTTGTAAACCACATTTGCAGCACCCTAGAGACGAGTTAGTCGAAGCACTTCCTTGTCCTCATAAATGATGGCTCACTTCGTCAATGAGCTTGAGACCAAAGTATCGGAATGACTGTTGACCAAGCTTGATAGGCTCGAGCTGAATCAATGAAACTGACATAGTAGTGGGAGAGTACAGCTATGACTTGAACACTGGACCAGATTGGAAGGCTGTGCGGAAAGAATTATAGCTCTTCAGTCAGTACGTACTGGCCGACGGTCTAAGCAATGTTAGACTGACTTTGCCTAAGTGTTGTGGAGCTTCACAATGCTCACTCACTATAGATTTAGGAGGAGTTTAAAAGAAAAGAATACCGCAACCTTGCATTTCAGGCTTCAATAAGTCACACGGATGGTAGAATCAGAGGGGTATATTGTACGAAGCAGTTGCCTTTTCTCAAGTATACAAGACCACAGCAAGCACAACCTGACACAGCATGCAGGCAAGACAAGAAGAAGCGATGCAAAGACTAATTCGACGATAGACCGTAATATGCGAAGGCTTGTGGGCGAGCGGAAATGAGGATTGGATCAGCTAGTGGCTAGCTGAACGGAATTTACCTCAAAGGCGTCTGTTGTTCATCGTCATTCCAAGGCACAACTGGTCTGGAGATGAACCATGTCGTATTCACCGGTGAGAGAGAGTTGCGCTCGTCTTGGGGGTGAGGCATGCTCGTGCTGTTGCTTCCCACGCTCAACAAAGTGACGAGCGTGGGCGTGTGCGTGGAAGTGTTGAAAGCAGGTCCAGCTCATTTTGCGACAACGGGACCGGGCGGCATAAGTGGAGAGGAATAATAATGGATCCAGTCATCCATAGGCGCGGTGCCCGCCTGAATGCCAAAGCTGCTGTCAGTGTCAATATCCCACGATCACCACGATGTGAGAAACACACGAATGTGAAAGTTGTTTGACGTTTCGTGGACTATGATGACTGACACTTTCGTCTCTGGAAGCTCGCTTGCAATGTTCCACCGGCCTTGGGGCTCCCTATAGATGAATCGATTGAGTGTATATTGGAGGTCCGCTGGTTCATGCTGTCGCATAAGCACGATATATGGAACGAAGTAATTGCCCGAGTACTAAGCAGGTGTCTTGTATCGTTATTGAGAGCAATAGAAGCCAATGCACCTAGAATGATGCGAATAACCCTTTTGGTCACGTGTCGTCACCCTGATTTGTAGAATAGCTAATAGCTCTAATTAATTACACAGTGACGAAGGAGACTAAGAATCCTTCATAAACCCAAGAAACACATCCGGACATCCAATTCGATATAAGAAATGGCCGACATGAATCCACTGACGCTCCCGACCCCACCAGCCTGTACAGCCGATGTCTGCCTCATTCCCATCGGAACTCCCACTGCTTCAGTCTCAAAAGAAGTCGCAGAGGTTCAGCGGCTATTGAAAGCGTCGGGGCTTAACTATCAGATGCACTCAGCTGGCACAACGATCGGTAAGACGGTACAGTTCCATTGTCTGTAAGGTTAATGTGCTAATACCACGTGTAGAGGGCTCTTGGGATGCGGTGATGAAGATCATTGGACAAGCACACTCGATGCTGCATTCTAACGGCGTGGTGCGAATCCAAAGCGATATCAGAGTTGGCACAAGGACCGACAAGAAGCAAAGCTTTGCTGACAAGACGGCCAAAGTGGAAGCGTTACTTGCTAGCGATGCAAAATCAAGCGAGTAATAGAAGCATGTGCCGCTGCTACTATTACTGTTCTGCTAGCACTTCGAATATCCAAGTTTTGATCTTTATGAAGCCATTCGTCTTGTAGTTTAGACGCTTCACATGTGGTCCGAGGTAGAATGGATAGAAAATTGGCCTTGTTGGTGGAGCTTTTCTGCGTATGACGCCACCCACAGCCCTGTCCCTTAGTGGCTTCCACTGCCTATCGACAGCCGGCGCCCCGTTCCATACCCAGAATTTTCATCTTTCCAACTCTGCTTCAACACACTGCGATCCGTCATCCTTCTATCCTGCCCATCCGTCGTCATCATACGAGCCTTCGAACCTCCCTTCAGACTATAACTTGACAGTCTCGCCAGCACCCTCCATTAAATCTACATCGCCTGATGGCGCACAAGGGGCCACGCGCAGCACTATCAACGCTCTCACGCGACGCTCGCGACCCGGCGTAACTGAGACATTGTTCCCGGTTTGCGCATCAAACAGTCCTGCTGCGAGAGATAGAACACTTTTACTCTAGCATCGCAAATCATCGCCACCAACTCCATCATGGCGTTCAACTTCAACTGGTCCCCACTCATCGCGGATACTACTCGCGCCAAGGACATGCTTACAGCTGCTCTGAACAAGTCGCCGAAACCTCCCATCATTGTAGACGACATCATAGTAACAGAGTTGAACCTGGGATCTATACCTCCAGAGCTGGAAATACTCGAGATCGGAGACTTGGCTGAAGATAGATTCAGAGGAATTTTTAAGATGTCATATACTGGAGACGCGTTTCTGACCCTTAAAACGCGAGTCCAGGCCAATCCGTTGAACACTTACTTGTCTACCAAACCTTCTTTTGCCTCTCCACAACCGCTTGCCGCTGCGTCTAGCCTCACAATTCCACTCTCGATAACTCTCTCTGACTTTCGGCTGTCGGGGTTCGTTATCCTTGTCTTCTCTCGACAGAAAGGACTTACCCTCGTATTTCGTAACGACCCTCTCGAATCCTTGAAAGTATCTTCTACATTTGATTCGATACCCTTCGTGCGAGACTACTTACAAAAAGAAATCGAGGGTCAGCTCCGCGTGCTATTTATGGAGGATCTGCCGGCTATCCTACATCGTCTCTCACTTCGCCTTTTTGTTCCGGATTATCAAGAGATGGAGGAGCAACATGCGCCAGCGATTAGAGGCGCAAATACTGTAGACCCCCTATACAACCCTGCTCAAGACCCTATTGACAACGCTGGCAATGCACTGGATGAAGGTGACCTAGCTGGTTGGTCACTAGATAGCGCTGAAACTCATGCGTCATTTTCAAACAAGAACATCCTCCGTCTGGCAGCACTCGCGGAGTCTCAGAAGACTTTATCACTGTTTACGCCATCCATACAGGGCGCCGTCTTCCGTGCCTGGGCAGGAGCAGCTGAACGAGCCGAGAGCTCCGGTCTGCAATCTCCAACACTCACCAGATCTGCCCTATCACGCGTACAATCTACTCTTAGCACCACATCTCTATCTGCGCCAAGTATCTCTGAAGGTAGCGACACTGGAACTACAGCATCTCGTCCGTCGATTTCCGGAGCTAGCTCAATATATTCAGGCCTTGGCTTGGGTGGAGGCCGATCACGAAATTCGAATCGTAAACGGAAGAAGCGAGTAATCAACCTTCGAAAAGACAAAACGGACGACTGTACTACTCCCGAAACTCCCATCACGCCTCTCGCAACTCCCTCTTCCGCTCCCGCTCTCTCACAAGACGACGACCTCTCACTTACCCTTCGCCCAGTACACAGAAACGTACATTTCAACGCGAAACCAACCAGTCTTGACGTCTTTGACAACCAAGGCCCGTCGCGCCAAACCTCCACCCCGTCTCATGAAGACTCTACCCCAACATACACTCAAGCACCCGTTCCTTTCGCTCCACAAGTCCTGCATCACCCGAAACCCACCACATCCTCCAGAACGCCACTCCTCCAAACAACTTCCTTAGACCGCTACCCTTCCTCGTCGAGCCCGACATTACTCGCTTCGCCGAGCATCGCCGAGGTCAGCATGAGCAACCTAGCCAGCACAGGTGGCATCCTTGAGCAGGCGTGGATGATGAAGATGGCAAAGGAGATAGCACGCAAGGTCGCCGAGGAGCGCGAACGCTCGCGCAGTCCGGATGAGGGAAGTGCGCGTCCGCCGCTGAGGAGAGCAGGTGATGGAAAGGCGGTGCAAGCCGCATGGGACAGGGAGCGGAAGAGAAGTGATGAAGGTGCAAGTGAGGCGCCGCCAGCGTATGTAGCGTAAGTGCCACCTCCAGACACACATGTGGAACAGAAAAGATGGAGAATGGCGACATGATGAGATGAAGACATTATGAGGTGTGTAGTTCTCGTTCCTTTGCCCCTGCCGTGTCCGGCAGTTTGTTGTTTTAGCGAAAGATACCATATTCCTAATGTATATTGTACATCACGGGTTGGGACAGTGCGAACCTGTATGAAGGGAGGTCTTGGGGCCGAAACGTGTATCAATAATGAGAAGAAGAAAAAAGTTCACTCTCTCCAGCATGAGACGTCATAACTGTGATTTCTGGAATTTTTGTCTCTAGGTCCATAACATGCATATTGCTCCTTCTAGCGTATATGATATCTTTGGGCTTGTTTTTAGACTTTTGACTGAGTATAGTACCTGCTGCGACGTCTTTTGAAAAGAATCAGAAGGTCGGACCTATGAGGTGTGTGGTGGCAAGTACGCAGATCTAAGAGCTCTCCTCGATCTTCTTCAAGCACTCAGGAAACTCCTTCCAGTCGTACATGATGACAGCAGCCTTGCACTGCTCCGTCAGAACCTTTGCCATCTGCTCCATCTTCTCCTTGCCGTCCTCGATGCCATAGACACCTACGTAGCCGATGAACGGAATGTTAGCACGCATGGCTGCCGTAGCGCCACTCTTGCTGTCCTCAACCGTGATGCATTCCTCGGGCTTCACGCCCAGCTCCTTCATGGCAAAGTTATACACAGCGGGGTCAGGCTTAGATGACGGGGGGTTGAGCGATGTAGCTGCACTCCAGACATGCTCATCCTTGAAATACTTGTCAATGTTGCACTTCTTCAGACTGGCCACCACACGGGGCTTCGCAGAAGTGGACACGACAGCCAGTGGGTAGCCCTTCTGCTTGGCCCACTCGAGCATCTCGGGGGCACCGGGGCAGGGCTCGCACTTCTCGAGCAGCTTTGCGGTGACGCGGTCGACCTCCATGTTGACGTAGCGCTCCAGCTCGGCCTGGTCCATGTCAAAGTTGTGCTTCTTCTGCAGGCCGACCATCATGCCGCGGAAGTTCTGCCCTACGAACTCCGTCAGCAGCTCCTTGCCCGTGTAGGTGGCATCGATTTTGTATTTCTGAAGGAGCTCGTTGGTCAGGTCTGCGCAGGCTTCGAAAGCGAGGTGCTCTGAGAGGGCGAGCGTGTTATCGCAGTCGAGGAGGATTTGCTTAATTTTCTGTGTGAAGGGGTGTTGTGTCAGTTGAGAGTTGGGGTGTTTGTGAAGTGGAGTGAGACGATTGGGCTAACGAACAGTCATCTTGGCAGATTGTGAAGTCGGTAAATAGGGCGAATTGCTGGTCGTTGAGGAGGGTAGGAAGATTGGAACCGGAACTTAAATAGCGGTCTGAGGCGTTGGGGATGAAATGAAGGAGGGGCAGACAACAAATATATAGCGGGGTAGGTGCTATGGAACAATGTCTGGGCGAAACACAAGCACAATTGGAACACAGTGAAGTGATCAAGGAAAGAGGAAGAGTATGATTTAGTTGAGAGAAAAGGTCCCCTTTTATAGCATTGATCAATTCTAATGAGCAACATTGCATGGAATGAGATGTCGGTGAGATTGTGTTTCGTGTCTCCTGCATCTATCCAGCTATTCGGGACTCCACTCAACTCCCGCGCTGCGAATAGTACCCCTCTTCCCCCACACTGCTGGATATTGAGTATGAGCCTTCAACATGGTCAATTGGCTTTCCTCTGTTTCAATGGGTTTCACAGAACCTTTCTTAGGTCTAATATTAGTAGCTGATGCCGTGTCCTGAGTATCAGATTTATCTTTTCGCATGGACCGACTTGTAAACAAATGTAGCCGCTTCGGTTGTTTGGCCAGACCCAGAGACATCTTGAGTTTCGGACACGGTTCGTAATTAGTACAGTTGGTGAAAGAGCCAATTAGACAAAGGACTCAGGTGCACGTGAGACATGTGAATACTGAACATACTGCAAGGTGCATCGAATACGCGCCGCCTAAACAGGCCTGATGGAGCTTGTGCTATAGTATATACTTCAATGAGAAGATCAGGGTCGTCTCGCTTGGTCATGCCAAAACGGCTTGGAATACTCCTGACGAATCTTGGACTAGCAGGCTGGATAAGTATCAGAGTCCATATTCCATTCTTCCAAGACTGGTATAACATTACTTCATAAGCGCATACAGTGCTTTTTATAACCTCCAACCATATACATAGAAATACTTAGCCTAACAGAGCTTAGTGCCAATCAGGCGTGGGCAGCAAAATAGCAGATCTCCATCTTCTCTTTATCTTATGCTTCTCAAGAAACATGCATCTCATCAGCCTCGAGGCCAGTTACGGTATTTCTCTGATTGTTAGAGATACCAGCTCAGGCCCGTCTCAGTTCATTGTCGCCCTCATGCTTCCTATTTAGACATGTCACTGGCTGAAGGTCTCTCTCGCCAAGTGCACTCGTCTACGAACCGCTGCAGCCACCAAGAGAGTCAACTTTGAGGAGTAGATATTGTTCTTCCATTTTGCAGCGTGTCAGATGAAATGATATCGAATATTCATCACTCGCATCAAAGAAAGTTTTGCTGTGGTTCAGACATGATTTTGAATTCCGCGGCCCTGGGGCCAAATTGTCATTTATAGCTTGTCAGCCTTGCCCACGGGGCTACCTAGCCAATCGCTTTGCAGGCCACTTCTGCGGCTGCGGCTGACTTCTCTGACACACCGCGGAAAACTTGTCAGGAAATTCAGACATCGCTGACTACAGTATGACGGTTGATGAGATTCATTGTGAAATGTGATGAGCGCACTATCCTACTGCATCACTTCTCAGGAAGTCGCATGACCTCAAAGCTTTTGGTTCACAGCGATCGAAACGCCACCGCTCATCGCGTAGCCGCTGAATATCATGGACAAAGCCAAGCGCAATAGGATAGGAGGGAGCATTGATGTCAGCAAATCCAGGACGACTCCTGCAAGCCATAGCACCGGAGATACTACGCGTTTCGCAGGACTCATTGCGCCACAACCACGTGGAAAAAAGGATCGGATTAGGGTGCGCGACAGTGAGCCACCACCTTCCAGGACTTCAACTCCCAGACCTGAACTGCAGGGCGAAAGGAGATCTAGTGCTCCGCCTTTATCAGTGGCAGCAAAACCTCGATGCCAAAGAGATGACTCACAAAGTCGAGGCAGTCCACGAGAAGATCAAGGCTAGTATCAATTTACCATCTCTCAATAGGGGCACTGACCGGGTCTACAGACTCATTTGAACAGCCCTCATGGAGAAAAGGCAAGCCCAGCAAACGCCGTGAAGGCTCTTTCCAGGGCAAGCACTTCGACCCAGTCTTGAAGTCATTCGGCCGGTCAGCTCAGCCTTTGAAGGCGCAAAACACATACCTGGGAGCTCAAAACCGCTTCACCTATGCCCAAGCTCTTGGTGTCCAACCAAGGCAAGCTATAGTAACGTCGCCATTCCGAGATCTCTTCGACGTATCTCTAAAGCCTGCCTTTCCAATCACTTCTCGCACACAGATGCCGTCGCTATCTCAAGTCGAAAGCACACAGTCCACCATTTCCGAGTCCGGAGACACCATTTTCGATTCTGCGGCCGAGAATTCCGACTACGAAAACGAATCGGCTACAGATCTCTCATCCTCCGTCTTTAGCGATCATGGTCTTCCTCCAGATGTGGACCGCGATGAGCCTTTGATCAATTCTAGGGCCTATTACCAAGAACTTGAAAACCTGGAAACAAACGTAATCAGCAGATCAGGGCTTCATCTTATGAAAAGCACCCAAAGGCAGGAATACCCAACCGGGGTATTCAATCTCCACGTCGCATTCCCTGATCAGTCCAGTGCCGTTTTGACATGGTGCTTTCCCAATTACGATGATCAGGTTATACAATTCTGCAAGAGTGACAGATCATTCTCTTCGAAGGGATACAACGAGAAGGATGCTCCGACAGTATTTGCTTACTGGGCTTATCATCTTCTCGAATGCAGAAATCTTATGTTAGGGGTTCTAGCCAATGTCGAAGAAATGCGAAGAGTAGGATTCTGTGACGAGTCAATTAACTACCTCACCCTCGATCCCTCTAGGGATGATGTGGTGCGACTTATTACCATTCATGTAGAGACAATCCGATCTCTCCATGTGGCTTTGGAGCACGCATTAGATCGCATTGTCTCTTTTATGCAGAAGGGTGCAGATCAATGGACGCCCGAAATCCAAGGCCAGCTGAATCAAGTCACTCAGGCCGCTCGAGCTCTACTGCAAGACTGCCCCGTGAAACAGCAAAGTTTCTCAGAATGTACCATCTGGCGAACAGCTTCAATACTATGCGATCTCGCCGTTGTATCATACAGTGGCGCCCACGTCGAGCGATTCGATACCCGCCACATCCAGCAAGACCTCGATTTCGCAAAGATTACTACTGCTTGGACATTTGCTACACGGAGTAAGGCGGGCTTGGTCTTGCGACGGCGCTCTTTGCGATGCCTTGGCGAGTTTCTCGCGCACCAGAAGGTATGGGTCATACAGCCACAATCAAGTCGAGATCACAAGCAGGATCTCTGGTTATCTGCATCTGTCAATCAGCTCGCCGATATATGGGGTCCAGTATGGGCTGTGATGAATGAGTCTACGACTGTCAGATACAATGCTGGCCCTGGTGCGATCGTAGCATGGTCGAGCAGCTTTAAGCATCCGCCGCTGAACGATGAAATATTATGCCATTGGCTTCGCTTGGGGGAGACATACCCCAGCGAGCCGATAGGTAATAATACAGAACAAACATTACTGATAGGAGCTCCTACCGTTGTCGATCGAAGGTGAGTGAGACTTTTTAGCCTTATAATGAACGGCTGGAACATGGAAACAGTGCCTCTAACTACACTAGAACCTCGTGTTTAAAAGAGAATGAAGAATGCCAGAACAAGACAAGAAAAGTCATTCGGCAGCTGAAATCTCAGCACCTGTTGGAAGAGATTGGAACCCGAGCTGGATATTCTGAACTCGCAGAAGAGTCAGTCCAGCTCGGTATGGGCTTCCAAGGCGTACAACTGGGTGGGACACGAGTATACAAGGTGAGTCCTGCCTAAACAACTAACACCACCACATAATGGCCAGTTGACCAACAAAATTACAGCGACGTGCTGGAGTCACATTAAAAGACGCAATCTGCGACGCCTGGCGCAACAAAGAAGGGAATCGAAATCCCGCCATCCTCGAACACTTCCTGGGCGTCGAAGTCTCCTTCTGCAGCCGAAATGCACGGAGACGCCGACTCAAAAGCATTCTCAATTGCACCACTATGCGCAACTGGCTCGAAGCCTGCAAGACCAACGCCGAGCCCTCCCCCTGCGAGAAGGCCTTCCACGAAGCCCTCCAAGATGACGACCCGTACGCCTTCCGCCACCTGTGGAAACGACACCGTGAGTGGCGCCGTGATCTTGAGCAGTTAGTCTCCTGGTGTCTCGACGGACTGCGGTACTCGAGCTTCGAGCAGGACGGCACACTGCGTGCACTGTGGATGCCGCATGACGACACGCGGTATCGCGTCAAGCTCAAGAACAACCCGCACAGCTGGACCAGCTTCCTGGCCGACTCCAAAGACACCTGTGCCTTTGTCGTCATGAGCGGTCGCTGTCTGCAGTCCGACTATAAGGCCGGTGCAACCTGCCAGACTACGCTGCACCCTTACTCCCCCGACCTGGGCTATCCGCTGCTCGAAACCTCTCTCGTCATCAACCCCCGTGCGCCAAAGCCCTCAGGCCTAGAGCTGCGGAAGATCAACGTCGAAAAGGTCCGTATATATCCGTCTACTCACCCATCCCTCTAACCCCTGTGCTCAATGACCACAAACTGACATTCAAGCCAAGAACCCACACAGCAAGCGTCCATGGCGCATCAGCCAACTGCACAAAGGCGACAGATTCGGGCTGGAATCCGGGCGCCTGAAGGTCATCGAGACGTTCGCCAGCACACGGCTGCTCGTAGACTACGAGGGCGGCATCGTCAAGATGCTACAAGACGCAACGCGCTCAGTTGTGCGCGCCATGGGTGACGAGCCGCTGTACCACTGGGAGCTGCGCGAAGACGATGATGCTGCAACGAAGCCGATTCCACTGTTTATTCTGTCGCAATACGAGCTGCGGCGAGGCTGAGATTATAATGCCCTTTCGTAAATGAGGCGGACAATATGTGGGTGTTGCTGTGAGATGTACTGAGGAAGTGCGATGTGCATGGGATGCCTGGCGTGAGTATAGTCTGATCGAATCAGTGCAGACAGATGACTGACACCATGCTAGGAACATAATTTACACTCAGATGTTTATATAACATTGCTTCCAAATCAGTTTCTCTAGAACTCTAAAAGCCTCCTTCCCCAGAGACACACGCACAGTACCGTTCAGCATACGCCATGAATGACAAAGTTACTCGATCGTACACAGATTTTATGCAGCTACAGGGAATGGAGAAACACGAGAACTCTCCGAAGGCTACGCGAAAAGGGACGTCTTTGGCCGGGCCGACGACGACCAAGTGCACGTCTGTCCGGCTTTTTTTCCTACCCTTCCCAACAGTACAGGACATGCCACGGCATATATCTTCTCTCACGCTACACTATACAGATTGTTGCGTCCGGGAGTTATTCGCGATTGCGGCGCGACACAGGTTCCGCGGTTCATGTGAATAGGTTCAAAGGAGCAGCATGACAAGGTGCCACTCGAGATCACGTTAGGTACGTTGCGAAAGACTGCACTACTGTCGATGACAGCAAATATAGACAAGCCGTTGTGAACGCATAGAGCAGTCTGAAGAACCGCAATCGTCACTCTCTAGTGCGAAGTGGTGCACAGAAGTCGAAGAGCACAAAGCAACTATAGCGAAATCACTTGACAAGGATATCGACAGGTTTCCATCATGTCTTCCCACCCGGCATTAGCCCTCTGAGAAAGCTTGTACTTCGACCCTCCGTGAACTTCGTACTCGTCGTCTTGAAACTCGTCTGAGAAGGCGAGAGTGGCTGGGTCTGGAGCGACGCGATTGTTCTATCATCGGCTTTAAACGAATCTGGTTGCAGGATTACCGGGCTGGCTTCGGGCCTAGGCCGTGATGATGAGGACGTGGTGTACGGAGGAGGCCGCACAGTGCTGACACACAGAGCCGAGTCTTGATGTGTTGTGTCGCCGGGCATCTCTACCATGTGAGATGGACTGGATATGGTCTTCGCTACATAATGCGTTGTCGGGAGGTGTGGAGCGCTTGGTCGTCTGGGGGCGGAGTGATGATCTCGAATGACGTATGCGTCTTGACGACCGTGAAAGTGTAATGTGTCTCTAGTCGACGAGCTCAATCCTAGCCCCTTGATATTCAGATCTACTTCTGGTACAATCTTGATTCCCATGCCTTGCAAGCCCTCGAGCCAGCGAACGAGGCATTCTCCAGGTCCCGCGGGGACCAGCATCAGCTCGCCATCCCGTAGATTAAGCTCGCGATCGACAATGAAAGCGTATAAAAGACGTCCAGGATCTGTCTGCCATCGTACCGAGCGCTCGAAGCTGTGACCCTCGTTGTAAAGCAGGAACGCTGAGTCCCACGTAGCAAATGGGATCCACCACGCATTGATCTTAAAGCTCTTATCGTGCGGCTGCGGGAAGCCTTTCTTTTCCAGCCTCTTCGCCATATCCTCGCGGGCCTTCACCATGTCTTTCCTCTGCTTCAATGGTATCTTCTCACGGATAGGCTGGATCCGGCTCATGCCTGTAGGTACCTTTCGTAGCAGCCAAAAATCCTTGCGCTCGTCCTTGACAGCTGCGATTATCCTGTCGAGTTCTGTACATGTCCCGCTCTCCCAGCATTTCGCGGCCCATAGCCAGTCGTTGTATACGCCGACACCGAAGCCGTGATATATCTTCATAGGGTAGCACTCAGCGCAAAGGACGAGAGCGCATGTTATGACGCCTTTCAACTGCTCGTCGAGAGCATCGTAGCGGGTTGCAAAGGTCGGCGAGGTCACGGAGATGGCTTGTCGGACAGCAGTTCGGGCGCTATCTAGGTCGTGGAGATTGATCACACCAAGTGGAACCATATACATTCCCAGCGTTGCGAGGACTATAAAAAGCTCACTAATCTCGTCGGTGGGGGATTTCGAGCGGTACAGAGCGATGGCATCGGCCATAGTGATCTCCTCGTCTGCCATTGGAGTTGGCACAGGTGTGTATCGGCTTTGCTCGGAAGGCACCGCTGTGTCCAACCTCTTCAAAGTGGTGTATATGTTGTGTGTTGTGCCTAGAATATGTCTATTTGACATTCGTGTCCAAGTTGACACCAAATAGCAATTGGAACCCGCTAAACAACGACCATGGCTTCACATGAGGCATCCTTTCTCGTTAGCCTAGGTCGGAGATAATTGACGTAGCGATGAGAAGGCCCACTTTGGGGGCTGGAATTTGGCATATTGCATAGTTAGCGCAAGTTGCTATGCTATGTACGAAAGTTTTATGTTGATCAATTGCCATCTAGGCTTTCGTAAAGGCTACACAAGTTCTGGATTGCCAGAATGTAGCACTTGATGCTCGTAAGTCTCAAATATGCTGTTCCCGAAGTATGTTGATCAGTGTAAGGTCAATCGACAGTGGGTCAAAATAACGTTTACCAAACGGTGGAAGAATGGGACCTACAACTGTTCGACTGATATCCCGGCGCCAAGACTGCGCCTTCGCCCGTTGCGTCGATCCGTTTCAAGTTCGTATCATCAAAGCCCAAGAGCGCTGAAAGATGATGATGTACGATCCCATCACCACGATGATACTCTAGTCAACTTTGACTACTCGGAATGTCGCACATCTGTGCGCCGCCACTTGATGGTCTATTCCAAGGCTCATGATGCCTTCTCTTCCCCAACTCGGAAGTCTTAACTCCCGGTGCACTTTCCAAAGCTACGGCTAGCGCGACACTCATCTTTCATCTTAATGAAAGGTAGAGCTTAGGTAGGTGCATACATACTCCAATTGCCCTCCTCTCGTAATATCATCGCTCACACTACTCTAACAACCAAAGAACCGCCATTCTCACGATCCCGCCGCTTCCATATACTCACCGACGGCAGAGCCACTCTCAAGCTATCATGGCTGCCTCAATCGTTCTTCGCCCACCCATCACATCCTCAGCCAAGGTGCCCGAGGGTCTCACTGCACCATCTGTCGAGGATCTGAAAGGAGTATGGCACGTCACGCATTCTACACTTCCCATGTGGAAGAAGGCTCGTAATATCCGCATCACATACACGCCACATCAAGCTGGCAATGGCCCGGTCAAGATTAACGATAACGTCTCCTACCAAAGTCTTACTGCTGCAAAGATTAAGAATGTTGACGGTGTAGATGTTGCACAAGACGGTGGTTGGAGCTACAAATGGCGAGGCAAGGGTCTCCTCATGATTGCGAGCTCAAAGTGGGAGATTATGGCATTTGGCAAAGAGCATGGTTCCGAGAATGAATACGCCGTCACGTTCTTCAACAAGACACTCTTCACCCCTGCTGGAGTCGACTTTTACAGCAGAGCTCCCGAAGGCCTCAAGGCTGAGACTGTGGAGGCAATGAAGGCCGCTCTTCTAAGCATCGAGGACGAAACGATCAAGAGCCTTGGTGGACAGATATTCGAGATCAAGATGGACGATGCCAGGCAGCACGAGGTTGTCAAAGATACGGATACGACGAAGGCGAACTCTGTCGTCGCTTAGCAAGTCGTATTTTCTCGCTCTCTATACCCCGTGACTACGGCTGGACGGACGGGTCATCATTGTCCTCATCAAGTCGGCTCGTCACTCTATAATAATAATTCTAATATTTTCAAACTTTCATTTTATGGTATGATTCAGATACGAGCGCAGCGAAATTTTGCCACTTGACTGTATGACATGGCGCCAGATAGACAGGGTCTTTGGACACGAACACTATCGCAACACCACAGAACAATACGGGGAATGTATTGGTCAAAAATAGCAACTAGCTTACAATACAGCTCAGCTCCCGGAAATTAGCTGGACCCAATGATGATCGCAAAACAGTGCATACAAAGATGGCCTGCCCGGGGTACAAGCGATGAAGACTTGCCGCCTCAATCGAATTATCAAGGTGAAGCCCTGACCTTTATAGTGTTGCTATCGACCATGCCGACCGCAGTTCCTCCATTACTCATCCCAGGTTGCCCTAGGCCCCCATGCATCTTGATGAGCGTGAGTCGAAGGCGGTACGTTCCCTCCTCGTTGATGATGAGATCAGAGAACGAGGCGTATCCCAAGCCGTAGTCTCTGTTCTGTGCACTCTCGTCACCGCCGCTGAATGGTCGGATTGAGTCAACTCTCCGTCCGAAGAACAGATGCTGCAAACGCTCAGATGAGACCGGATACTCGTCCTTCATCAACGAGACCATAACGAGAAGCTGGCTTGCCTCAGTAATGTCGGCGGCTTCTATGCCTCTGTTTGGGGTAGGGCGAAGGCGCACTGTCACTGCAGGTTGAAGTAGAGCTCCAACGCGAGCTCTCGCAGGAGGCTGGACTATTACATCCATCTCATATCCAATCGCTTCGCCGGGACTTTTTGGTCCTCGACGACTAGCATCATGATGGTGTCCGACGGTCTGACGGCCATGATTTGTTCTTCCGTGCCTTGATCCGTGCATTGTTCTCTCACCAACCAAATCTGCGTATAGATGCGAGCTGTGTCGAACAATGTCCGTCATCGCCGTCTTCTTGTCGAGCTCGCGTCGAGCAGCAATACGAGCAGAGCGTCGAATAACTCTGTCACGCTCGGTCGATGAGGGTCGATAATGCTTGGAATTGTCGTTCTTTTGTCTGTTTATGATCTTGAGGGCTATCCTTACGGTTCTTATTCGTGGCATACAACGCACTCAACTGTTGATCATCCTTAGTATGTGTTCTCAACGAGACTGTAGGTAATATGAAAGACAGGTATCAGCGACAGGAGATAGAAACCACGACTGGATACAATACGACTTAAAAGGCGCATGGAAATCCGAGGGACTCCAGATTCGCGAGCGAGGAATCCATCTTCAGAGATAATTACCCCGGGCACTCGAGCCCTCCAGTTCGACTGGGATACCGATGTCATCATCATATGCAGGAAGTCCTCTCGTTCCGATCCTTCGCGTACTGTCGATTGTCATCTGTATGGTCTTTCTAGCAATGTTCGCTTGTTGGGCATGCGCAAGAATGGAGAGCGACTCATAATTTTCGAACGAGCATCCGTCCAGGGGTTACTATCTGGGCTGGAGCATTACCGTGGTCAATGACAAAATCCTCGAAAGCACGTCGTTTTCAGGCTGGCTTTCGCGACATACTATCTAACGAGGATAGCCTTGGTGATAATAGTCCTGCGCGGCTCCGACGATTTGTGCATCTTCGCGATCAAAGGTGTAAACGTATCATACGTTGTGATGCATTTGTCGCTCATCCTAAATACGCTCAGGTTGCTTAATTCAGCTACCTGCAGGTATGCGCGGACCAACGACCCAACGTGACACAGGACGCGTACAGTACCAGGCGCTCAGAACGAGTCGTTCTTAGATCCATGAGATGCCAGGGGTCGAAACAGACTCGACATGCAATGGGATCTTATCAGCTTACCTCGCTGCCGCAAACGCACGCTGAACGCTTGATCCTGGACTGGACCACCGCAGGAAACCTTCTGTCGGATGTTTGAGAGGCAGTAGCACCCTTGAAACTGTACGGCAAAATTAAATCTGTGCATCGATCAGCATGACTTATGTACAACTTTGGCACGGAAAGGTGCAGAAGGCTATTCTTACGTCGTATCGATCGTACAGAACAATGTTAATCGAAAGTATGGCGTAAGAACGATTGAGATTGTGGACGGCACGGATACAAAATAATCTGATTCTTCCAGCAAGAAGTAGTGATAAGAAGGAGCGGAAGTAAATTTTTTTCACACTGGCGGCCCTCTACCAGCAATGTGGATTTCTTCTTTCTTATATGTGTTCAAGTCTCGGCAGGAGCATCTTGATCCGAAGAAGTAATAACAAATTGCAAGCCTGATGCTCTACCTTGGACAAAATTGCGCTCTTCCAGTGGCGTCCACCTGCAACCATTTCCAATATCAGTTCTCGAAAGGGTCTATCCATGAATATGGGTCAGGGATAATACCAAGCCAGTACGCTTTCCCTCAGACAGATATCGGGTGTTTCAATGAGAACGCCTATGCGACAATCTGCCTTGTCAGTCAATACTCAGCAGCCACATTAGTCGGCTACATGGATTAGAATACTGAGTCAATCCTAGGAGTTAGGCAGCTCGCCAGATACGTGGAGCGGTCGACACCCAAGACCAAATTGTATTCATGGTCGTGTTACTAAACATCAGACGTAGCCCATTTGTTAATGAACTCCATATTGTAGCGTGGGATAAATCCTATTTGTCACGGCTACAAGTCCGCATCATTCTGTCCCTAAAACCCAACCAGCACAGCTGGCGTTGTGGCACAAGAACACGCAAGTACTTGGATTCTGAATTCTCTTCTAAGACAAGCAATCCACACCTACTGGGGCAGCTGCTCATCAGCGAAACGTTGTCAGAGCACTTTTGTGAATTCCATCCGTACCCCGCGTCAGATATAGCTTCACTACATCGAATGTCCATTTCCATCGATTACTGCATATGCCCCCGGATGGGATCTGGACACTGCTTTCGGCTCACTTTCTCACGTTCTATAAGTCTTCGAACACGCATTCGGCGTCGACGCTTTCTGCCGCTCAAATTGGATCCAGGGCGGTAATCTGTAAGACTTGTAGCCGATCTATTATTGCCAAATATAGATCGTGTAGCCAGTTTACACACGTAGCTTTGTCCGATCCACGACGGTCTATGTACACAACTCGACGCCGATCACCACACTGTGTACGTCTCTTATTCCAGAAACAGAGTCCCTCTGTACCACAGCCCGGGTCTCTGGTTTTTTTTATCCTTGGTACAGGCTCCCGAGGATTCGGAACCGATGCATCTGGTTTATGTGCACCAGATGAGTTGTATGAATACGGGCCTTGCTCAACTTACCACATGGCTCTCGTGCTCTACCAATTGGATCAAATGCCGCGAACCATTCGTTTGGGATGGTCTTCAATAATGTCGTACAATGTGCTTTTATAGCACCAGGGCTCTTTCATTGAACTCCTGCTAGGCATCCACACAAAGGATGTCAGCACCCGCTGCTGATCCACGTATTTCTCTCACATCTTCGCACCCAGTTCAGCACGGTATATGTATATATCATTTGCAAGCAGGAAAACTCAACTGTAAATCCATAATGCCAATGCTCCCTTTACGTAGACCTCTCGACACTTCAGTTGCGATGGCCATCCGCTCGGGCTCCCATACGCAAGGTCTCGATGAAACACCTCATATTTCTGTGTATCAAAGACCTAGGTTTGATTACGACGATACACAATCGTCACGTCCTGCACTATTGACTCCCAGCCCAGCATTACCCCCTTAGGACCCCTGGCTCTTTGATAGAAAGCCTTTCTCAATCCAGCAGTATCCTAGCATCTCCGCACCTCGCGTTGGCTCCATCCATCATCACAGGCAGCCATGGAACCACACATGCGCCACCTCACAAAACCACAGACAAAGAACCTGGTACTATACGTGCTAAACCCAACCACACATGTGCACATTCGATGCGGTCGTTACAGATGCAGGGTCCTGAGATCGTGGAGGGAGGGGGGCGCAGCACATGGAGCGTACCCGAACACCTGCTGTGCGATCCGCACATCCACCCATCGTTGCAGCCAAATTAGCATCTGTCGCTGCCGATCTGATCTGGTCAGATCTGATTCAGATCATGCCGCCCGCTATGAGATCTCTGCGTCGACTGCTTTCCCCACATCTCTGCTACGACCCCGAGTCGCACATACACGTATATTCACACAATCACGCATACACATGCCCACATAATCAGCATCCCTACCATCCCTGTCGACGCACTCATTCCTCGCAGAACACCTTCTCAACAGTTCTGTATCTCGCGTCTCGCATACGTAAACGCTTTTATTAGCCGGCATATACCTCCTACATGCCCCCCAGCACACAACTTAACAGCCTACATCTCGAGCCGACTTGAGCTGACCGCATAGCTCAAATTTCAGATAGAGATCGTCGATTGTCATAGACACAGCAGTCCACCGCGCAGCGAAGAAGCAGAAAAGCAACGCGCAACGGTATGTCTCTGACTCGTAGCGCGCACAGCATATCGCATACTCTGTCCTCGGCCCCAGTGTTTCTGCACTATACGAATCGAGTTCATAATTTGTGGGTTTCATCACGCGTTTCCGCGGCGAGAATACTACGGTGGTTGGTATAGTCGTAGCAGATCGATATCAGCACGATATCAAAACGATACTAAGGGGCCCTGGCTCTTTAGCATATATGCTAGAGCATGACACGATTTATGTAATGTATCACGATACTTGCAGCGGGCTGTGTCTGTGTCGGCGCCCGCGATCGTCGTCGTTGTCGTGTGGGTAGTAGGTACATAGAAGAAGACAGGTATGTAGAACTTGGCAGGACCTATAGTTCAGGGTATGTTATGATATTGATATTGAGATAGGAACCTAGAACCCAGAACCTAGCAGTCCACTCAGCCCTTGTATATTGGCCGGCAGCACTGCTCTGAAGAAGGAAGTGCGGTTCGGATACATCAGTAATCGTGTTGTCTTGTGGATGTGTTCGTATCTCTGCTTGGTTTCGGTTTGTCTGTTTCTGGTCCACTTCCCCCTTCCTACTATACTACATTGGGTGAACAGGCTATCTATAATAACATAGCCATGGCTATAGTATAACAGTATAGTATACGAAGGAACCCTAATGCAAAGATCGTATCATATTCATAAATAAGCCATAACTACTTTGTAATGATACAGCACATACATTAAGACCGCAGCTCTACCAGCTCTACTAACTCTACTAACTCTACTAACTCTACTAACTCTACTAACTCTACTAACCTATATATTCTAACATACTGCTATAGCGGTATAGTATCTCCGGGTAGGTCAATTTCAAAGAACCACGTGTAGTCCTCATTTTGGGCTTTTCCAGTACGTATAGATTAGTACTGGATACTATAAGTATGTATCTATGTATGTATATGTACCGCGACAATTTTACTTATCTGTCTGCATAGTTATCTGTCTATTTATATGTCTACTTATCTGTCTACTTATCTGTCTCTCTACTTATCTGTCTCTCTACTTATCTGTCTCTCTACTTATCTGTCTCTCTACTTATCTGTCTCTCTACTTATCTGTCTATCGCTTTATCTGTCTATCTATCTAGCTGTCGGAGTCTTGGGTATAACAGAGGTAGCACCAATTCTTATACTATGCTTGGTCAGTGAACAACAAAGTTAGTACCCTACTATGCTACGAAGGTAGAGGTCGGAGTGCTTTATATAGTCAATATGTTGAAGGATCGAGGAACAGGGACCAGGGAAAACGAGGTGGTTTGTGTTCTCATAGAGAAAACAGGGAGAGGGGTCTGGCTGGAAATATCAGGAGTGTATCAGAAGAGATGAGATGGCCTTGAAACTGAGCGTTGGAGGCGGGATTAGACACGAGTGCTATATAGGCTTGCTGGTGTGATTAGCGCCTTGTGTGAGATTATGATGATGGTGATGTCAAGGCGTTTACTCGATCGATTTGAGCGAGAACGAGCATATATCCTGGACATGGAAGGGAGTGTTCCCGACATAGCAACGGGTTAAAGTATCTGTTAGTTCGGCAGGAGTGTAAATGGAACGCAATTACGTTAACGTCATTCATTGAAATGGAGATATCTGACAAAAATCATATCGACTACAACAGGGTGTTGTGCCTAGCTGCCCCTGACTCTCCCCCCGAACGTGCACAATCAAACATCACGCATCCGCCACGGCCGCATCTCCCACGCCCTCCTTTTTATACAGCGCCACCAAGCAGCCGTTCGCATTCCGCGTCGTCACCCGCATCCGGCCCACCCACTCTCGCGCATCTCTACTCTCTATCCGTTCAAACCTTGTCACCATCCGCGCAAGGATATACGACACCTCCATATTCGACTTCTGCTGGCCCAGACACGCGCGCGTGCCGTAGCCGAAGGGCATAAAGTGCCACGCGCGACGCTCCAGGTCGCCCTCGTCCCAGCGATCCAGGCGGACTTGGGCGGCGTCGGGACCCCAGATGCGCTCGTCGCGACCCATGGACATTTGCGAGGGCACGATCTTTGTGCCGGCTGGGACGAAAATGGGGGATGTGCCGAGGGGCCCGCCGCCGGTGGGTAGGGTGGTGTCGCACAGGGCGACGCGGGAGAGATTGGGGAAGATGGGGTATAAGCGGAGGGCTTCGAGGAGGAGATTTCGCATTGCTTTGAGGGTGCGCAGGGAGTCGAAGGTGAAGTTGGGCAGGGCGGCGACTTCGGCCTGGAGGAGCTGCCAGATGTCTGGTCTGCGGGAGAGGATGAAGAGGCAGTTGCTGAGGTGGATGGCTGTGGTGGCCATGTTTGCGATTGAGAGGTTGAGGACCTGGTCGATTGCTTCGGGTCGGCTGATGGCTTTGTCGGCGAGGTAGCGCGGAAATGAGAGACGGCCCTGTGTCTGTGACTTCTCCGGAGAGATGGAACAGAGAGCTTGCTCGATGTATTTGTTTGCAAGAGACCGTACAACGTCTCTACTTTTCAGCCAGTTGGTCTTTGGGACGAGGAATGCAAAAGGGCCCAATGCGAGGCGTAATCCTGACCCTGATAGACAGTTGTCGAAGTCGGCCTCGAACACTTTCATGTCTGCGTGCGAAAACGTCTCGTCAAAGACCCATTCGGCGCCGAAATCCATATAGAGCCGCAGGAAAGAAGATTGCAAGTCAATTTGCTGGCCACTTTGGATGTTTTCGAACAATTCGGTCAAACGAGACTCTATCGGGGCGAAGTTCATGACATTTGACTTGGTGAAGTTGGGCTTGACTAGATTCCGGGCTCTCTTCCACTCGTCTCCATCGACCGTGATAATACCACGACCCAGGAATGTCATAGCACTGGCTCTCAGGGGCGCCACTCCCCAGTGGTTTTCATTTGTAGAGAAGACAGCCCTGGCATTTTCGGGCTCGATAGTGAAAATGACTGGAGAGCCAAGAGCTCGTAGCTCGTATGTCCGCCCATATTTCTGAAAGCGAGAATTGATGGTTGCCAGTATTCTGTCAGATCTCTGCAGTCTGAGTGATTCGAAGAAGAAGTCCAAGCCAAAGATTGGGTCAATTCCAGGAAGGCGTGTCGGCGGTTCACAGCCGTCCTGATAAGACTTATGCCGGCGCACGAGTATGTGCCATGTCTGGTAAGAGATGAAAGCAGAGAGTGAACAGAGCAGAAGGACAAACGCACTGATCATTGTCGATGATGATGATGGGTCGAGTGCGGTAAGGCTATCTAAACCCTATAGCAACGTACGGGCAAAGACTTTATTTCTCAACTGGCATACAGCAGATCGAGGTTACAGCATATGTGAAAGTCGCGTGGTGGTCGAGCTAATCGAGATCCAGCCGGGGCTATATAAGGTTGCTCGGGCAGGTTACTGAGTCGTGGACAAACAGGTATGCGGTGCGTTTGTGGGATGAGCTGAAGCCTGGAAGTGGCACAGCACGACGCCGCAGACGATGGCGGCGAAGGTTGATTGTTGGGCATGGCCATGGCCATATAGGAAACAAAGTGAAGCGCCAGAGATGGTAATTCGGCATTCGATATTGTGATGGGGAGGGCGGAACGGATTGCAACGGCTTCGTGGCCATGATACCGTTCTGAGATTGAGAGATTCAATGCGATGGATGCAGCCGATGTCAGTCCGACGTGTGGCAGCGCATGAGATGCCCTATCAATATCATCCACCATGCCAAACATCAGCCAATGCAGTCTTTGCTTCGAACACGCAGTGAGGTAACGCGGAGACACGGTTCTCTCAGTCCCCCGGAGCCGAGACGCAGCACTTCCAGATATGCATGTTGACTTGTGATGATGCCGCACCCACTCCCCTTCCAGGCCCTGGAAAGGAGGTTGAGCGATGTTGTTGGCTCTTCATCGCTTACGAGCTTGGTCAACGGTTCAGCCTTGCAGAGTGGACTATGCAGATGCAACATTTGCGTAGTTCCACTCTAGAATAGCATGTTCGGTCTATCTATCGGCGCTTTTCGGCGGTCATATTTCCTATCTTGTGCTGCGTACATATCGTGTTTGCTGGAGCACACTAGAACTACCGCGACATGCTGTGTACTATACTTATATCTGCAGACCGTCTCGAGCCTTGCGCAGTCTCGTCATCCTGGCTGGATGCTAGGACTATCTACGTAATGTATATTAATCACTGCGCTTTCTCGGCAGAACTACTACATCAGATCCCAGATATGACTAGACCGCACTAGAGGCCTTGCATATCATAGGTCCACACGAGGTACCATGCCACACCGCAGCTTCAGAGCACGGCCAAGACGGATTACGGGAAAAAGTAAAAATACACCGATACCCCAGCAGACACTACAGTACTTTCTATGATATCTCCGAGCCGGGCTGCATGGATCCATGGCAGCCACGCTGAGCGGGTCATGCAAGGAGCAATCCTAGTCTAGCTAAGTATGGATATATCTAATAACTGGATATCTTTTAACGACTAATTGGAACCATCGCGATGTAATTACCTGCATACCTAGAACTTACGAATTCACGCAAAGTGCTGGATTACAGTACCTGCCAGGCACCAATGTTATTGTCGACTCGTGAATCAAGGGTCTGACTGATGAGCTCCGATACTTGCGAGACAATGATAGAAATGCACCGTGTGAGAGGCCCTGGGTATTTGGTGAAATGTCAACAAAACAGAACCTAAATGCTATAGGAAGTCGAACACACTGTGACAATTGCCGAGATCTTGCTTGATATCGTGTTGTGTAGTTGAGTCTTACATTGGTGGTTTTGTAGATACGTGTTCGTTCATGCTATGTTCGCACTGCCTGGGTTGAGGGACTTACCAAGTCTTGCATAGCTATTCGCAAGTCAAGCAATTAGCCCCACGGAGTGCGGAAGAAGATATTCCCAAACACACAATACTTGGCGCATGAAGAAACCTGGGACAGATGCTCTTGTTGTGGAAAGAGCACGACGCCCTCCGTCCGAAGCATTTTCAAGCCTACTCCTCTGGAGCGCAAGGCTGTCCGTCTCTTGTGTCTCCGGCCTCTCTGTCCACGCCTCGAACCTCGTACTTCTCATCGATTGCCCAACCAGCCAGAGTCTTCATCAGTTCTTCGCCATACTCCGGCTGTACGTCCTTGCCCTCATCGTTTAAAATCCCTAGGTAATTTGTGATATCGCGCCCGTCGAACTCTCGCGTGTCGAACCCATTACCCATGAAAGCGAAGCGGTTCTCGTCCCAGTAATCAATCTCGTAATCTTCATAGCGCACATCCTTCATCATGTGTAGGAAATGCAGTCGAGAGCCTGGCCAGATCCCAGCTTGGCCATCCGCCTTGCCTTGTTTGAACCAAGAGCGACATGGCGAGGTCCACGCAGTACGCTTCAGAAAAAGGTCTGCATGTTGGCGGAATTGGCAAGAAGCGTCCATACGAGGAGTAAAGGATTTGATATTCTCGATTTGCGCCTTCGTAATAATCTTGAACATATACCTGGTCCATTCCTCGATCAATGGCATGAAACTGCCGTGACCGAGCGGGCCATAGGGACCACAGAACGAAAGATAATTGGGGAAGGTTGGTACGCCCACGGACAGATATGACGTTACGCCGGCATCGGGAGACCACAGTTCGTGTATGGATTTGTCCTTGCCTACGAAGGTGAAGTGCGGCAGCCACGACGTATCGAACCCTGTGGCACATATGATCACATCTGCGTCGTAATGGGTGCCGTCTTGAACAAAACCATCCTCATCAATCTTGCTGATCGAAGTTGTGAAGACCTTGGCATTAGATGCTAAAAGCGATTCTAGGTAGCCCGGAGCAGGAGTTGGCCGGCGACATCCAGGATTGAAATTTTTTGGAATAATGCTTTCGCACAGGCGTGGGTCGTGCTTCAACTTTCGTGACATTTGTTCATGTGCAGATTCCCTGGCTTTCCTCGCATCTTCCGAGCCTTTAATGATGAACTTGAACCGCTGATTGAGCTCATTTTCGATTTGTTTGCGATACTCATGGTATTTCTTCGGATTGTTTCTCAAGAACTCTATTTGTTCAGGAGAATCTACCCAAACGTCAGCAAGTTTTTGAGCTGCGTCTGTCTTGCGAAAGTGGAGTCATGGCATATATCCCCCATCGAAGTATGTCGAAGTTCGCAATATCCCGCAAAACGACCAAGGAAATTATTGCAACATGTACTCACATTTGAAGTTAGCTCCATCTCTTCCGGCCCATGTCTGAGCGAAGCCTGCAGTAATCCAGATAGGCGAGCGAACCCAGTGATACAGAGTGTCAACTTTTTCCTGTATGGCGGCTACTATTTGAACTCCACTACTTCCAGCTCCAAGTACTGCCACTCTCTTGCCTGACAAAGGATAGTTTACCTCATACCTAGCAGAATGCATGATTCTGCCTTTGAAGTTGCGTAATCCTGGCACGTCCGGCCATTTCCACTTGTTGAGCACTCCGCCAGCATTGATGAAGAATTCAGCGGTATCGCCGAACACTTTATTTTCCTCCAGATCTCTGATCTGAAGTCTCCATAGTCCTGCTTCATTGTCCCATGCAGCGTGCTCAATTTTATGTCGCAATTTGATGTACTTTTCGATAAAATTATTCTCTCGCTCGATCTCTTTCAGGTATTCCCATATCTCTGGGGAGTAGCTATAGTAATGAGACCATAATCTGATCTTCCAAGAGAATTGGTAATTGACACTTGGTACATCGCACGCGCAGCCTGGATATCTGTTCTCCAGCCTTGGCATAAGTTAGGTACGTGTTCATTCGCAATGGCCATGTCCGGAACTGACCACGTGCCTCCTATATCCTTGTTCTTTTCATAGCATGTAATGTCAACGTTCTGGAGTCCTGTCTCGGCTTGCTTGAAAAAGTTGAGAGAGGAGGCGCCAGCACCCATGAGAATAACTCGGACTCTGCGCTTTGTGCCTAATGGCTGTTCGCGTATGTTGTAACCATACTGATCAAACTCTGGATATGGTTCGCCGTCATAATCAGACGGACTGGTTGAAGTTGCTGTTTCCATAGTCGTTATCATGTGAGTGACCTTTCGTTAAGAAATATCTAGCACCTTGCAGGATATTTGACACTATCACCAAGAGATAGATAGTATTGTCAGATTGAGTGCATTACTGGGATATCATTTCACCCAGCCGTCGTGCCGGTCCACTTGGCCTGACCCTAGCCATCGATCGGGACAGACTTTTGGCTGCGGGGTAGCTGTACCTCTTATTCTGTGGTGTAGCATGACGCTCGGTGATGAGAGCAAACGTTGAACCTACATTGCCGAAGAGTTGTGATTGGTGACGTGGGCGTGTTGCGCGTCCTACTGCAGCTGTCTACACACACTGCTCACGCACTCTTTCGTTATTCGCAATACAACTCACTTTGTCTTAGTATCTTGTTGAATTCACTTTGTCTTAGTATCTTGTTGAATATCTTGCATCAGTCTACTGGGTATAATGTCTCTTGGCCTGGGCTGCGTCGGTGTTTCTCGCGACTGGTGAGACTGAATTTAGATAACAACGTGTGTTAAGTGACGCCGCTAGGTCCGCTACCGACGTCGGTCAGACCGTACTCCAGGCCAAAAAAAGGCAGTCTGGAGTTACGGTGCACAACGCTATGAGTCCCGCTGGCTGTGAGGGAACAGATGAGGAATGATGATAGACACGTTGCAGAAATAATGTTGCGCCGTGTGCTCTTATCTGTAGTTTCAGGAACAGCATTGCATAGAAAGCGTGCCTCTGATGGAGCAGCAAGAGTGTCTATTATCGTGAGCCCTTGAGGGATGTGGAAGGCTGGACGGTGATTGTTAGAACTAGCAATTGGACATGGAATAATTACTGATATTAGAGTCATTGAGTGGTGCTGGCTGGCTGACAGTTGGAGGCCTCAGGCCGTAAGTGTCAATCACGCCAATAGCCGTAATAGTATTGATACTAGCGTATTAAACAACAATACGTGCCTTACCAGGCATGCCTTGCTTACCTGTCTGCAGCCCGCCTTATCCACCCTGCCTACCTACGCTACGGCATCGAAAACCTAAGAATACACATCATCTCCTCCGCAATACCTAATTCATTACTCTTTGCAACAGTCAAAGACCCGACGCCGGCTCAACTTCGATACGCGACACGATACGACGTAAGATAGCCGCTTGCCTGCGCTGGAAGAACCGCGAGAGCACCAACAGTCCTTTACAGAATCGTCCCAGCCCCACCTTGAGCGCCGCGCATCTATTCACTGCGCTGCGGAATATCTTCAAAGCTGGGCAGATGTGGTCATCGCGACCGCTTCATCATCATATTGCGCACCGGATGCTGCAGCTGATTGTACATTGAGCCCTGGATCAGCCCGTCGCGATCCCACCCTCATACTCCCTGACATCCCGACCCTCGAAAGTGGAACATCTTCACCATGTCTTATTACCCGAACGGTCAGCAACCTGATTACGGCCAGAACTACCAGCAGCCGCTAGCAAACCAATATCAGACCATATATCCGAATCATCCAACGGCCTACGACAATGGAGAAGACCCAGCATACGGCGCGACCAACGGTCGCGCCCACAATAGCTATGACTACTCAGCTTCACAACAGCATGTGAGAAGCAACAGCTCGGCCTCAAGAGCAAACGATGAGCTGTTTATTGGTGATGCGTCGGCAGGGGCAGGGCACCGTCCAGTCGGTGCTTCCGCCTCTAACACATACGCTCATCAATACTCATACGGCCAGGCCTCTCCACCGCAGCCACAGACGACTTATAATCCTCGGAGCTATGTTGCCCCAATACAGCAACCAAATCCTGCAACCTACGGCGGCGTAAATCGAACGACATTCCAGCCAAACTCTCCACCTCAGCCATATAATCCGGCTGCCTATGCAGATAACACGATGGGCCGCGCGAATACTGTCAGTCAATCGTATGGCTACGCCTCCCCCACGACTCAGTACACACCGACCTCTCCTCTGCAATCCTCATACCCAAGCGTTACTATGCCGCAGGCTCAGTCATATTCTTTTGGTGGAGGAAGAGCCCAGTCGCAACGAGATAATCGGTACAACGATCATTCTCAGCAATCGCAAGGTCGCCCCAGCGCCTACACTGCCCCAGCTCCTCCGCCTCCGCCAGTCCCTCCCTCTGCAGCTTCTCTGGAGGACGAGTGGAACCCCATATCGCCAAGGCAGCAAGTCTATCCTAGCTACTCACACTCCTCTGACCCAACTACCAACCGACACCATGTACTTCCATCTCCTCCTATAGGAGGTAATATACGTCAAAATTATTCCCAACCTCGCCTCGAGTCTCCGACCATAGGACAGCACACCTCTAATCCTCTGCCTCCTACTCCACCCGCTCCTGTACCTCCTCCACACCGCGCCGATACTATCAATCGGGGGAACAGGCCTTTGCCACCGCACCCGAGTCGACCAGGAGGTGAAGAAATTTCTCCTCCACCGCAAACTCCATCATATTTCGATCAAGACGACCTCTTCGATGATGTAGAACGCGCCTATAGAGGTATGAGCACAGGTGCGACAAGCCCACAGATACAGCTCAACCAGCAACCCATCGATGAGGGTGAAATAGACAGGTCGTACTCTGGATCCGGTAGGCATGGTTCTGGCCCCAACAATAGTGGGTCAAATGGCCGCCTTTCTCCTGGTGACACGGCTAGATACTATAATTATAGTGATGAATCTGATGCTGAAGCTGCTGCAGGCCTGGCGGCTTTGCAGATGGCAGAGCAACAAGAACGTGAAGATGAGGCTCGTAAGGAGAGTGGAAACCATGCTTTGTTCAGCAGCTACACTTCTGGTTCTCTGGCGCCGCCACCTCAGCAATACACTGCAGCTGGCAATCCACCCGACCAAGGCAGCGATAGTGACTTCGTTGGTGTGGATATGTCATCGTTCCAAGGGGGGATAGCACCATCATTCTCGTATGGTGGGCGGCCAGACGAACTTGCAGCGGGAGGCAGTACCGCTCGGCATGACGGAGGAAGTCAACCAGTATCGACATCCAGCTCTATCAGGCGTTCTGAAGACACCAGCGATGGGAGTACATCTTACGAATTCGACCCTATACACCCCTTTCCTCCCTTCGCAGGCCACACCAACCCAACTGCCAGGGTTGACACCGCAGGGACCGGTGGACTTTCAGAGCCGACTCCGGGAGGTCACCGACGCCGTCTCAGCTACGATGAAGGTGACGAGAGCGTGCTCATGGAGGCTCGAGCTGGAGCCGTCGGCGAGATACCAGACATGTTCTACCACCCTGGTATGCAGAATCGACCTCTTCCACCTCCTCCTCCTGGTGAGCCAAGATATGAGTCCGCTGATGCGCATATGAGATATGGCCAGCTCTACGCGCCTGATTCATATCAGCAACAAACTCCGGGAGGTATACAAGTGCCACGCTCGACTTCGTTATTAAACCAGAGCAGAACACCACAGACAACCGCGCCAATCCGATCGAAAACCGATGCAGAGCAGACAAAGAAGAACAATCGCATGTCAACTATGTACGGAAGTGAGACCTCCACATTAGTCGAGCCACAAGGTGATGCGGTTGCCCTCGATCTCCCAGCGCTCCCCGCTGCTAAACGCTTTAACCCGGCTAAGTTGACAGCGAATGACTTTAGGAAATGTTCCGAGCCATGGGCACTGAGCTCAATCTTCGAGTGGATGAAAGGCCTAGCTGCTGGAGAAGCTGATTTGAAGGAGCATGCGATTGTCGAAGGTCTCCAGGCTCTTTTCTCGTACAAAGTGCCGACCATGAGTATCTTCGATGTTGAGGCCTTGAGTACGCAGGTCATGCAAGAGATGTTCAGGTCTGGCGCCGTCGTGCGGGACGAGGAATGGCTGAAATTCAGTAACAAGTCAACGACCGGGATAATCTACCAATTTACCGGCATCGGCTGTTACTCGCCCAAAGTACATGATATGCCCTTGTATGGGCGCTGCTATTCGCATCACTGCCAGAGAACCGTGAAGAAGATTGATCTCCAGTCGCAGGCTGATGTGGCAGAGCAAGCAGACTGGGCCACGTATTATAAACTTAAGAAGGAGGACCTCGAAGGCACACACAAGAAAGAGATCGAGCGACAGAACATTCTGCACGAAATTGTCCAGGGTGAGGATAAATTCATGCGAGATCTTGATGTACTGAGGATCTTGTACCGTGACAGACTCCAGGCAGCGCAGCCGCCAGTCATCGGACCCAAGAAGCTGGCAGGTTTTCTAAGCTCAGCCTTCGGAAAAGCTGACGCTGTCAAGAAAGCTAACGAGGATCATTTACTACCACAATTAAAGTACCGACAACAGGAACAAGGGCCCTGGATTGTTGGCTTTAGCGAGATATTTAGAGAATGGATTCGGAAAGCAAAGATCGCATACATTGAGTATGCGTCTGCGCTTCCTTACGCGACTTTTCTGATACGGCAGGAAGCGGACAGGAACATGCTTTTCAGAGGCTTCTTGGACCAGGCACGCCAGAATGCAAGATCGAACAGGCTTGGCTGGGATAGCTTTCTGAAAGCACCAGTTGCCAGGTTACAGCGTTATGGCCTACTCTTGGACACTGTTCTAAAAAACTCGACTCAAGATGGCGACGAAAAGCGTAACACACTCAAAGCCCTCGAGGAAATCAAAGCTGTCACAATGGAGTGTGATGCGCGTGTGGCGGACATGACAAGGAAGGTTGATCTCAGTGACTTGCAATCCAAACTCATCTTGCGTCCTGGCATGCAGATGGTGGAGCTCAACCTCGACCACCTGGGCCGCGAACTGATACACCAGGGTGATCTCCAAAGAATGGGAAATACACGCTTCACACTACAGGACTCACATGCTCTACTTTTCGACCATTATCTAGTGTTGGCAAAGACTGTTGGACATCGCGAGGTAGAAGGCGTGTCAAAATCAGAGAAATATGACATCAACAAACTGGTACGTATAAAGCAAGCGTCTCTCGCGATATGTTCCACTGACCTCAGCTGCAGCCTATTCCCATGCAGCTTCTAGTGTTGGAGAGCACCGACGACGAGCCTGTGGTTAAATCAGCGCTGAAAGGTATTACCGGCACTGGAGCTCGAGTGGCTGTGCAAGACAATCGCTTAGGCAGAACGAGCTCGAGTCAAAGCCCGCTGCCAGGAGCTCTTACCCACACCAATACGTCTACGTCGGTCAACTCAGTTAGCACCACTTCTTCTGGACGTACACTTGGTCCCACTATTAGTGCCGATGCAAAGGACGATAAGGTCTTGTATCCTTTCAGGATAAAGCATCTTGGTAAAGACGACTATACTCTTTTCGCAACAAGTTCACAAAATCGGAGCGAATGGTGCGCCAAGATTGTTGAAGCAAAGACAAAACATGCGGCTGGACTATTTACCCAGAATGCTGAGCCTTTCAGGCTACGCGTAATGGCCGATTCCGCATTTGCCTACGAGACAGGGCCTCCTGGTTCGAAGAGCGTTGTAATCAAAGGCACACCTCTTGATCGAGCCATAGCAGACGTGGAGAAGCTATATCAGAACTCTGGCCGACCAGCGCCAGTCTGTCGCGCAAGAGTAAATTGTGCTACTGCATTCATGCAACCCACAGGGAAGAACTCCGTTGCTGTCGGAACTGATAACGCGGTCTACATAGCAGAAGTGGACAACCCAAGAGGCTGGAATCGAGTAAGTGAACACAACTCGATGTGGACCATTGAGCTAACGCTTTGCAGGCGATTCAGACGCCAAAGGTGTCGCAGATTGCTGTGCTCGAAGAATTTGGCCTCTTCCTCTTGATCTCAGATAAGTCACTGATTGCCTACCATCTGGATGCCATTTGCCCGGTCGGTGGCACAACGTCCGCGAACGAACGTCGCGCGCCCCAAAAGCTATCAGGTACTCGCGACATCGGCTTCTTTGCAACGGGGAAGATGAAAGACCGCACACTGGTGTTCTACAAAAAACGCGAAGGTCTCTCATCTACATTCAAAGTTCTTGAGCCGATCTTTCAAAAGTCAAATGAGAAGAAGAGTCGATTCCTTCGGGTTGGAAAGACAGAATACTTCCGGGATTATGATGAGTTCTACATTCCAACAGAGTGCTACGGCATAAACCTCTTCCATTCGTCTCTCGCCGTCTCTACCTCCAAAGGATTTGAGGTTCTCACATTGGACAAAAAGCAGTCCTGGTCTGTCCCTGATCTGAAACCACCACACGTTGCAACAATTGCCGCCCGTCTTGCCAACCAGACGCCGCTCGGGATGTTCCGTCTTTCGGACCAAGAGTTCCTTCTTTGTTACGAGGAATGTGCTGTATATGTCAACAAGTATGGAGAGATCTCGCGATCGGTCATCATGGAGTTTGTCGGGAAGGCCAAATCTGCAGCCCTATACGGACCGTATGTCGTCCTGTTTGACCCGAATTTTGTGGAGATCCGAAACGCGCAGAACGGTCGTCTACGGCAGGTCATCGCGGGTAGAGACGTCAAGCTCCTGGACGATGCGCTGTCCGGGGGAACGGCCGGACACAGGACTATAAAGGTGTGCATGCAGCACCCTGAAGTCGAGAGGAGCCAAATTGTAGTGGAGCTCTTGCTGAATGAAGGTCTGAAGGAATGATAGCGGCGCCGATGCATAGCCCAGTGTTTTCCCTTTTTGTGTGAGGCCGGTGTTTTGTTTTTAATTGGTTGTTTTGGCGCGAAGGCGGTTGCAGGTCTGACGATAGCGATGGATGGATGGATGGATGGACGCACATGGAGCATGTGACTTTTGGATAACACATGCTTCAAAGAAGGCTCGCGGCAAATTTTATATGATACCTAGACGTTCTCGTGTATGTATGTATGCGTATGTACGTACATTTGCGGTAGCATTTGGGAGGACGGGATTTTGGGCCAGGGGTGGATCTTCCGGGGGGGGGGGGGGGGTTTCAGGAAAGCAGAGTGGGCGTACAGCGAGATTTAGTACTTATCCCCGAAGAATTGAGAGCAGTGTATCCCGTTTTCGTATTTGATTAGACTGCAGAATGTGTATAGTGAGTGAGATGTCCATTGCAGTACAGTTTCTGTTGCTGACTAACTGCTTTGACTAATTGATTGCCTGTCTTAACGGCCCTGAATGTAAAAGGTCTAGAAATCTAAGCAATCATTCTGAAGTCTGGCTAGAGGACATACACACGAGGGGGACGAGATGATAGACCCGTTGCTATGCAAACTCGCAGCTTGTAATTTGTTGGGGGGCTCACAGTACGTACTCTATAGTGAACAACGAGATGAGGAAGCAACGAAACAGATCCGAGCAAAGTACAAGCCGCACCGCAACCAGACTTGACCCAAATCAACGCTGTTTCCTGCAATTACATACCCATCGCATCTGTAGAAGACACTGCTCGGATGCTCCCAGATGACGAGTTTATGGTTAGATTGGCTTTGATCTGATCAATACGAACCGTTCGAGACTGTACAAGAGTCTTGTTGGGCTGGCATCTACGGCCACGGCGGGTTGAGATTGAATTTTGGTCTTAGGAAAGGGAAACTATGCCTTCTACGTTGCGAGGGCTGGGTGGGAAGGATGGGATAGGAGTTGAGCATGAGCTTGTGGGAGGTACGTACATGCATACGGGTAAAGTCATGCTGGGCAAGGCGGTTGGACGTTGGTTGTGGAGGAGAATATTTGTTCGGTGTGAAACTCGAGGCTGCATCAGATTTTCTATACTTCGGTGCTTTAGTCTAACCTCAGTACTCGAATTGCATTTCCTCCTAGAATACCGTCCGCCATGGCCTCTTTCCCTCCAGATGCTGCTTTGATAGCTGCGTAATTCGTGTTGACGCTCAGCCATTCTGAACCCTCGCCCTCTAGTGGAGGAAAGAAGGGGTGATCAGTACCTATAGGAATGTGAGTCAAAGCATTTCCATGGGAGACAATTCTTGAAACATACCGAACATCAATCTGTCTGCCCCCGACGCTTCTATGGCTGCGTTCAGACCAACTTCGTTGTAAATGACAGCATCGAGATAGATATTCTTCTTCAAGATATCCCAGACCGGCCTACGTCCCTCGATCTTTCCATGCTTCTTCAAATGCACATCGTGAGCGATACAGCTCTCGATACGTCCAGCGAGGAACGGTAAGGTACCTCCCGAGTGTGCAATTAGCACGTCTAGCCCCTTGAATCTGTCCCATACCCCGCTCAGCAGCATCCTGGTTACTGCAATGGTAGTCTCGAGCGGAAATCCTAGTGCAAGTGGAAGCACGTGGCCATACTCATTCGCTCTCGGTCCATAAACAGAGCTAGGCAGACCATAATGCGGGTGGAGGAAGATCAACTGCCTATTCTTCTCCAAAGCCGCATATATAGGATCGAGCGCGGGGTCATCCAAACCTTGTCCTAGTCCCGAAGTTCCCATGATAATACCACGAATATACTTCAAGCTTCCGAGCCTCTCCACCTCTTTGACGACTACCTCCGCTTTTGCACTGAGCGGCAGTGCTGCAAAAGCGTACAGTCTCCCAGAGGAGTTTGCGCAAATCTCATTGACCTCGTCGTTGATCTTGCGAGCAGCCTCGCCGGCCTCCTCAGGAGCTATGAAATCGAGCCATGGGTTGGCTAGGGAAATGACTGATTTGTCGATTCCGTGCTGGTCCATGAAAGCGATCTTCTTGGAGATGTCCCAGTAGTCGGGACCGACCGGCCGGCCGCGTGAGGTGGAAGGTGTAGAAGGGTCATCTTCACCGGGCAGGATAATCAGGCGTGAGGAGTCGGGCGCATCAGGGAAGGTGCGAATATAAGGGACGGTCTGGCGCGAGCGGAGAAGAGAGACATAGGATGGAGGATAGACGTGGGTGTGGATGTCGACGACTTTCATGGTAGCAGTGTATATGTATTGGTGTGAGGTGTGCAAGAGGCAGAGACAAAATGGTCCGTAGGACGACTACATGTTGACTGTACTGCTGTACGCAGGAGGTAAAGATAGGAAGGTGGGTAATGACCTCTGAATCTCTGAAAGTGGGGGACGTGGTGGGGAGCTTCCTTCGGCGTTTGAGCCTCACTTCGTACGCCGATGACCAGCTTACTTAGGAACATTCTCATGGGTCTCGTTCTCACCGACTGCGCTATAAAACCATCATCATAACCTAAACCACCAAGTGATCGCATTGACCAGTCCTGCTAGCCCTTCGTACGCAGCGACGCCCCTCCACTCGTGCCCCTGCTTGAGTAGCACCACTGCCGCCAGTCCTCGAAGCGGCACCGACCACATTAGTAGCTCGCGCAAAACTACCTGATGTCGTACCGACACGACCGTCTGGCATACTCCCAGAGTGAGAGTGGACAGACTACAATATGTCAGCGGAGGCAGCTCACGGAGATGGCAACACACCCCAAGACAGTCACAATATCGTGAGGCGCGTTTGAGAGAGACGGAGTAACAGCGCTGGGGGCTACGATCATCGCAACGCCATTGAGGAGTAAGGCAAGACCTTGTAGACCAAAGGCCACTTGCGAGAATCGAGGCATTATCTCAGCGAATTCCTCAGGTTCCCGGGATCTGATCGTCTTTCATTAAGTATTGAAGATGATAGCATTTCATTTAGCACATTCGGACGGTGGGCGACTGATATAATGTACCGCTGATATACATACAGGGGTAGGCGAACGCGGCTGAATTCAGGCTCTAATGAGGATACTCGTATAATAAGACCAGTTCCGAGTGATGACACAAGCAGGATTACTGATATGGCAGAATTAGGAGTCTATAATCCTGCCCAGCCGACGTGATTCGACTGTTCGTTGTCAATGAAGCTCTCAATTGCCATCAGTTTGCAGATCAAGCATACCTGCGATGTTACTAGAATCGTCCAAGACTCATATAATATAAAAAGCTACCTACATCACGTTAGTCAAGGAGACAAAAGTCGCCGTATCATGTCTGCTGACTTCAATTCTTTCACGTTGATTCATTGCGGTAGTATATTCTGATACTACAGCCCATATAACATTGGGCTTTGATTGACAGTCTTTGAAGACATACAAAAACTAATCATTATACGATAGCTAGCTCGATTTAGCCTAGCGCCCAACATCGACGTTTGAGATCAAGGTATTAGCGTTCATCCTCTTCATCTATTATGAGATATCCTAGAGCAAGACCATCAACATGTACATGATCCGCCTTGTATGAACTTTGTCGATAAGCAGTCTCTAGGCCTTTAACACCATCGAAGCAGCTCTGAAGTCAGCAACCAAGACATTTCTCGTACATCGTGGCCAAAAGCCCCAGAACATCTATTATTCGCACCGTCGCAGTCTTCATTACATAACGCAGCTCGTAAATGCACAATATAAGGTAGTCACACAACGTTATTGCAGAATAAGCAGATGTTTATTCAGCTCGCCAATGCACGAATCGGATCATGAGCCAAGCTCGCAAGCGATCACACCGCCGTGTTGTACATCGTATCCGCATCTTTCTCATTAGTTGATACGCCAGGAGTACTTATTGCATGCATACAGAAACGTCCAAGTTCTAGAGCTTCTTGGCTGCTTTGCATCTGTGCAGTCGTTTTTCAAGGAGACAAGCTACTACAAGATGTAACTGTTCCTCGTGGGTGGGAGCAAGATACTCCAGCTCACCAGTCTTGCAACTCGCTCTAGTCCCTGCTACAAGATCAATCATGCTGCAGCTTTGGTGTCTCTGCATAACCTTATGTGTCGCCATCGCGAGTGCACAGCCGGACTTGTCATGTCTTCGAACCTGTCTGGCGTCCAAAAGCACACCCTCGACCTTCAGTGACAATTCCAACTGGGCAAAGCTTGCTTCTCCTTTCAACCTTCGTCTGCAATATAAACCAGCCGTAGTTGTGTCGGCAGATACCGTGTCTCACGTTTCCGAAGGCGTCAAATGTGCCAGTAGCTGCGGCGGTTTCAAGGTGTGCGGTGCGGTACCTAGCATTGAATTCATATCTAACATGTGTCCAGGTCCAAGCTAGAAGTGGAGGCCATTCATATGCCTCGTTCAGCACAGGAGGACAAAATGGGAGTGTCATCATAGACCTGGCTTCACTCAACACCGTGACCGTGCATGCTAACAAGTCCGCAACAATCGAAGGCGGTGTCCGGCTTGGGAACCTCGATCTTTCACTTTTTGATGCCGGTAAACGAGCAATCAGTCATGGAACCTGTGCAGGTGTTGGTATTGGCGGCCACAGCACACACGGTGGCTACGGCTACGATTCACGAGCTTGGGGCCTGGCGTTAGATCACATTGAGGCGCTTGAAGTCGTGTTGGCCGATGGTTCAGTCCAACGAGTCTCTGCGAAGCAGAACGAGGACGTTTACTGGGTGAGTCATGGCACTCATCACCCATTCAAATCAATGCCTCATACAGAAGAATAGGCCGCACGAGGCGCCGCAGATTCCATAGCGATCGTCACGAAGTTCCACATGCGCACCCAAGCCGCACCCGAGAAACTCGTGTACTGGTCCTACGATCTGTCCAACTGTATGTCCAAGAAAGCGACCTTCGTCGCGGCCTTCCAACACGTCCAAAGCTTTGCCCTCAACACGACCGTCCAAGACCGACGTCTGAACTGGGGCATGTGGCTCGGCACAGACTCATGGTCAATCCAGGGCAAATTCTTCGGCACGCTCACAGACTGGAAGACACGAATCGAGCCCGAACTCCTCCGCACTCTTCCGAAGCCCGCAGGCAGCGACGTGCGCGAGGTCTCCTGGCTGAAAGCCCAGGCGCTGTTCGAGGGCTCCGAAGACACGGCCGCGCTTGCAAAACCCAAGGAGCCGGGCACGTACACCGAGCACGACACCTTCTACACCAAGAGCCTGACGGTCCCGGACCCGCTCTCGGCAGAGGCGCTGGGCAATTGGTATACCTATGCCACGACGGCCGGAGCGCAGATCACGTCGCCGAATCAATGGTCCTGCGACTTCGATCTCTACGGCGGGCCGGACAGCCAGGTCAGCATCTACAACAGCACGTGGTCGGCGTTCCAGCCGCGCAACGCGCTGTGGACGCTGCAGATGTCTGCCGGCGTCGAGGGAAACCGCGCGTTCGACAAGAAGCTGATTTCATTTGTCAATGGCATCAGCACGGCCATCACGAGCAAGATGCCGAATACGAAGTTTGCCGCGTATCATAATTATGTGGATCCGGAGCTTTCGCCGGCGGAGGCTCATCGGTTGTACTTTGGGTCCGAGGTGTATGAGCGGCTGTTAGCGATCAAGAAAAGGGTTGATCCGAATGGCGTTTTCCAGAATCCGCTTTCTGTCGGTGTGGGTGATGCGTGAGATCTATGTTTGGAATTAGTGTGTCACTGTCTGGAAGCGAATCTACTCGAGAAGTTTTTCCGAAGAGATCGTTATTCAGTATATCCAGCTATTCTCCATGCAGTGCTCCATGCAGTGTCGGCTAACACCCTACCTCTTCGGTTGTTGCCATGGCCCCTTTCATCATTAGCTGCGAGATTGTAGTCGATGTTAGACGAGTTAACGCAAGCATGCTGCACCGGGTGGCGTATATCGACTATGTGATAAAACGCGCGCGTTCTATTGGTCATCTAGTCGTCCAAGCATGTATCTTCCATCATCTGTTCATACTCAATAAGGACCGTAACGCCTTCGTATACCAAACTATCTCGCTCGTCATAGTATGATAGTCGCCAACTACTACATCAACCGCAGCATACAGTCGCGTCCTCTGCAGGTCTGCCCTCGCCTCCTCTAGTATGATGTTAGGATTGTTGTGGACAAGCTGGGAGTCCTTGTACTCACCCAAGTGGAATGCTCTCCCAGTTGAACGCAAAGTTGCCCAGAAAAGCGCCAATGAAGATACAGATGATGAGATAGCCATTGTAGTACATAGCCAGCAACATGACAATATACGCAATCGCAAACTGAACCATATGCAACAGAGCCCTGACCATCTGCTGCACCAGGTTCGGCCTGAAGCTTGCTTGGGCTGGGTTACTGGCCCTGACCGTAACACCAGGCGACTTTGGGGGACCGGAAGAAGCCGTGGTGGACTCTGGTTCGAGAGCAGGACGCGAGCTGTACGTACGCTGGTACTGACGCACGAGGAAACGGTCGTATTCCTTCCCAAGTCGGCGGAAGAACTCGAGGGCCATGACGAGGAGGATGACTCCGATCATAGAGCCGGCGAACATGCCGCGCGAGGTGATGTGCCATGACGAAGAGAGGAAACAGGCGTCGATCGTGTACCAGTTCCACAACATCTGGATGTTGTTAGCATCCATTTAATTTCCTTGGTCCAAGTTGTATGCGTTTCGTGGAAGCTCACATTGATCTTGCAGCTAGGCCCGGAGCCGCCGCCCATATCCATGTTGTGGTCCATAGTGTTCAGAGAGTCTGTTTCGGACGGTTCTTTCTCCTGATTTCGTGGAGGTGAGGCCAGGATGAGCTAGAAAGAAGTGCGAAAGGGATAAGGATATAAATAATACATGAGGGATCTTCAAGACAGCCCAGAGGAAAAGCGGAGATAAGCGCAGGTTTGAGCACATTTCTGGATTCTCCGGGACAAGAACAGCAGCGTTACTTGGCCTTGGCACGAACCACCTGCATCTCCTTGAAACCGACCACGATGAGGCCTTTGAAGGGTCAACGACGGTATGAAAGAATATCTAGTGAAGACAGATGAAAGGAGAGGATGCGGCCTTTGAGGAAAGTTAGCGAAGCCATGTCTGAGACCAATGGCAATGTCTATGATGGAGCCTTTCCCCGTGCGCCATGTGCCGTGTATTGAGTGCTTGGTAAAGGAGCAAAATGTTATGTATGTCTACTATGATTGATGAGGCAGACGAACATAATGATTCTTACGGTGTTTGGTGCAGGTATCGCGCGAGGTTGGATTTATTGAGGGTGAATCGTGATAATGGGGGAAGCGTGCGTGGATGTAGCTATTATGCGGCTGATGAGTAGCCCCGTGTCGCCCCATGTCCCCCCGTACTTTAGCTGGGGAGCCCGCCCCGGACAGCCCTATCGCCGCTGCCCGCACCCCCGAATTAGTCGGAGACGGCAGTCAGGCCCGATGAGGCTTAATTGATGAGGCCTGATGTCACCACGCGTTGCTCCAGCTTGACTAAGCAAAATACATAGTGCGGCCCTCCGTGGAAGGTTGGGGCGGTATTGCAGGTCAAGATATTACACCTTCCCGGAAACGGATCAGCCATGGCCCGTTCACACAACATTCCCATCCGTATTTATCGCCTTTGCAACACTGATCGCAATCCCTAATCCGTTCTGTCATTCGACCTCTGCCGACTCTAAACCACTTCCGTGTGAAGACTGTTCCTGGATACAAGCTAATTACTTGCTTGCTCAGACGCTCCCCTCGCATTCCGTTCGACCCACTCCCACGAACGACGCATTTGCGATATTGCTCATCCTTGAATGATCGGCGCTACTTTATTTACACAACCCTCTGCGCAATACCTCGCAGTGTGTGAAGACAGAAATGCAGAGTCCGAACGTCCGAACCCTAGCCACTCCTCTGGCGCGTTGATCGTTTGTGTGGCCTCACTGCTTTCCGGCGCAGTCCGTCTTATCTGACGATTGCGCGACCTATGGCAGCGCGCCCAACATGGCTGTTCCTTCGGTATCCTTCGTCGCTGGTTTGCTTGTCCTAGCATACCTGGGCTCGTTTGTCCTATTCGCTTTCATACGCGTCACAACCGGAGTCTCGATACAAAGGATTGGGTACACAGGCCTGCGTCGTATAGCCTACGTCCCGCGTGATGGCATTAAGATAGAGCTTCGCGGACTGGGCCTTAATCTTCACCGACCGACATTTGCTCAGCCGACATGGCTCAGTGTCGTCCTTACAGAGCTCAAGATCACAATAGACCTCAAACAACTTGGATCGAAACCCCCAAAACGCCCTGGCTGGGTTCACTGGCCTAACTCATCCACAGACAAGCTGGGCGAAACTTCTACTCCAATATCATCCGACTTCGACGATGATGGCACTGGGCATATTGAGACACCAAGAAGTCGGACATGGGAGCGATTGACCGAGACGAAAGAGAAGATCAAGCGGTTACACAGGAAAATACAGTGGATAAAGCTGGTGGACTTGGTAACAACGAGCTCGGCTCTGGTCGTGGTTGATGTCGGATCGGTCCAGGTCAGTCACTTTACGATGGCTGTGGACACTAGGCGCAAGACTGTCGATCGGAGCCGACTCTTTCAGCACCGTAAGACGAAGACGGACGAGCGCAGACCGGCCGAATGGATCTTTACCGTGCGGAGCATTCTGCTAAACCCTGAAGGCGGCGAATCTGCCGAAATCTTGGACCACTGTACCCTGAACGTGCATGGTTTTCTTTACAAAGAACTGGACGGTCTTCGGGACGCCTCTATAGCTTTGAAGCTGGGACGTCTGAACATTCCCTCTGATGAGATTCAAACAGCTGTGGAGAGAAGCAAGCGATGTAGATCATTACACCACCGCCGAAGAGGCACGAACGCTAGCGAATCGGATATATCCTTCTCAGATGTGATTGAAGAGTTGGACCAACCGGGTAGCCGCGAAGAGAATATTGTGCGCACCGTGTCCGACTCAAAGGAGTTTGTTGCCTCTATACTTAGGGGAATACAGGAGATCCAGTTTGCCGTCAGCTATCTAGGCCTTACTAAGCGCATCCGGTCAGCAAATGCTACAGAAACACCTGTATGGCTCAACGTCTCCATGAAGGAAGTCGGATTGGACCTTGTGCGCCTTGACCAGAAAAGCCCGGCCCATCTACAGTACTTCTCACGCAATGATGTAGCTCATCAAGCACTTCTTGCGGCCATTGCCGTCTCAGTAGGAATTGACGATGGGCGCGAGGATCATGAAAGGTTGCTATATATTCCGATGGCCACCGCCACTGTTAAGACGACTTTGCCCTCAAAGACCATCCAATATCAGCGTGAGAAGAATGTTGCTGAGAGAAACGCCAACATTCTCTATGCTAACCTGGTTGCCACATCGCCATCCCTAGACCTCGACCCCAAGCACCTTCCACTCGTTCTTGATCTTCTCCAGGGCCGTGAGAAGTCTTCTGTGATACGGCCCTCGAGGCAAACCAAACGACACTTAATTTCTAAACTTCTCCCGAAAGCCAGTATCAAGGTCTCCGTTCATGAACCTGTTGTGCGAGTTACTCTTCCTCCAATGGAGAAGGAGAAGCAGGGAACTGACGAATTTGATCTGTTGATATCAGCCATGTCGAACATTTCACTTGACGTTGAATCCTCACATTCTGCGGGCGGAGAATTGCATTATTCGCTTGCATCCGACTTTCGTGTCCAATCCCACCAGCTGTATTACCAGACTGCATCCAGTGAGAAGCACAACCTCCTGCTCACTGAAAGCTTAGAGATTAAAGTACAGGTGAGCGCCTCACCTGAAGTGGCAGTGATCGCGTCCGGCGACTTGCAGACTTTCTCCATTTATATGGTCCGACCAGAAATCGCCGAAGGTATCAGGCAGATTGTCGTGCAATTGCGAAGCGAAACGTCCCCTATGCGACGCTATCATACTCATATGTCCTCCAAAGTAAGCTTTTTGCGACGGTTACCTTCCTGGCTACAGCACTTTTCTCTCACTGGATCAGACTTCAGCGCCGAAGTTGCAGGAATAGATCCGCAAGTCTCCGATACTCCGAAAGGCGTCGCGGTACATTTAGACTCGTGGAACGCAGAGTATAAAGCAAATCGGGAAGAGCAGCCTGAACGACAGCATACAAGGAGGCGAGCTGCGTCGAGGACCTTTCAGCGCGAAGATTATCTGAAGCCGTCTACGCCACCGGCTTCTCCTATGAGGAAGCTTACTAATGCAAGCGACGGACGACGGCTTGCATTCCATGTTCAAGGTCTTGAGGGCTTCGTCGTCGAGTCGGCTGACACCTGGGAACCGGAACCATTCCTTGGACTGCCACGTTTCGAAGTTGCCTTCTCAACGTCTAGTGATAACTCAGGGCCAATATTCCATGTGAATACATTCGCCAAAAGTTTGTTCTTCCACTATTCTATGTATCGCCATTTCTGTATCGGCGTGGCTACGCTTGTACTTCGCAAAGCATTTAAACCTCCTATCAAGACGCCAACCCAGACTAGATCTGGTCGCAGCCTTGGTGTGCCAGATATCGAAGTTGACGAGCTTGGAGAATTGAGTAGTGGGAAACCAGAGCTTACTACTATCGATATCAAGGCTGCGTTTGTACAGATCAAGGCCACCATGCCTAACGATCCCCTACTCATGATCCAAATCCAAGACTTGGAGAGCGGGAGACATCGTTGGGCCCCACCATTCTTCCGCGCACGTCTCACACGACTGTATGCCGATACACCGAGAATGCCGGGCGTATGGAGTCGCGTAGTCAGTATTAAAGGCGCACGGGTAGACCTGCGCAAGTCTCGCCACAAGCCGTCGGGAGGCCATACAGTCGAGGAAAGATCGATCGACGTAGCTACTGATGCCGTCCGGCTTGCGGTACCTCATCAGTTGGTAATACACAAGATTTTCGATAACTTCGCCAATTTGACAAAAACAGTGCAGCAGCTACACCACCGCTTTCACACTGGAACAGACGAATACATCCTGGACAAGGAGCCTGAGAAACCAAAAAATGTCCCCAAGATTTCTTTCAGAAGCCAAGCTGTGCTTTTTGAAATTGAAGATGGTTCGTTTGAGTGGAAATTGGGTGTCATATACCGTCTAGGCCTACTCGAACAAAAGCAGAGACTAGCTCGAGAGGAAGCTTTCCGACTCAAAGTGAAGAAGCTCGAAGAGCTTAATAAGACTCGTGGATCAACGTCGCATAAAGTGCGCGCCAAGTCAACGCACGAGGGTCGCAGTCGAATTAAGAAGAAGCGCACATCAGCGAAAGGGAGAAGCAAAAGCGAGCATGTCTCAGACGAGGATACACTGTCGCCCAACCGCAAGACTCGTGAAATGCGTTATGACATGGAAGGCAAAGCCAATGTGTCTGCATCAACACAAATGGACATTGAGGAAGCCCGTGAGAGACTTCAGAAGCTCAATGCGCAAACTTGGAAGAAGAGGATCGATCACGGGCTGGACACGCAATCTCGGACGATGAAGGACATCCGATCTATATTCTGGGGCCTAGATGAGATGCCTGATGATGATACTCAGCAAAAAGAGGTCATCATGGCGATTCCTCAAAGACCTGCCTTGATGGGCATGCTTGTGAGCGATTTCAGTCTGGTCATCGATAAGCCGTCCTTTCCAGTTTCACAGTATTCGACCTTCTTACATCGCATTGGTAAAGGCATGCCATTCGACCAAAAGTACTCGTTGCTCATTCCTATGAATGTTCAGGTCAACATGGGCGAAGTCAGAGTGACCCTTCGAGATTATCCACTTCCATTGCTTCATGTACCTGCCATTAGATCAGGACAATCGCCGCGCTTGCCAAGTCTGTCTCTGAGAACAGACTTTGTGATTGGGGAAGAATTTCAAGATCATGAATCCATGCGATATGTGCACGTTGTGGTAGTCCCAGCTCAAACAGACGACACTGGAAAGGCTGCCAAAGGGTTTTCAGTCAGAGTTCCACGTACTGTCTCTCCTGTCAAGACATATTCCGACATGAGCGTCGATGTCAATACGAGCTATCCGACCCGGTTTACTTGGGGAACATCGTATCAACCAGCTATTCAGGACATGATGCAAGTCATTGAAAGCTTCACCAAGCCGGCTATAGACCCATCGGAAAGGGTCGGGTTCTGGGACAAAATCCGTCTCACCTTCCATTCACGCATCAATGTACACTGGAAGGGCGACGGGGATGTCCACCTAATCCTGAAAGGTTAGTTTTTCTTGTCACTACTCGTGGGCACCTAGTCCTAACATACACACTTTCTTAGGTTCACGCGATCCATACATGGTCACAGGACATGGTGCTGGTTTTGTTATGTGTTGGCGAAATGACGTTCGATGGAGCCTGTGTCGCCATGATGATCCGAAGAAGTTCATGACCGTCGACAGTGGTAACTACGTGCTCGCAATTCCAGATCTAGGTCACTACGCCCGTATTCTAGCCGATCCCGAAATCTCAGACGCCGATAGTGTTCATAGTGGGCTCAGCAACCGGCACCAAGCATCCTTCAAGAAGACCATCATGAAGCTCTCTGGCCGAGTTCAGTGGCTTGCCGGTCTCGTGTTCGAACGTAACCTCGAGAGAGCCTCAAATCGGTCATTCGAATTCATTCCTCATTACAAAGTGGTCCTGAAGAATCCGGAGTTTGCGAAATGTGCTAATAACAAGGTACGTCAAATATGAGCTTTATGTCGCTAAATATCACTGACTCGTTTAGGTTTATGATGCATTTCGTGGATTTAGGAGCAACCATATCCATCTTTCGATAGCAGTGTCAGCACCCCACGATCGAGATTGGTCTGTGGCTAATCTGAAACCTTCGAGCAACTACAACAGCGTTCACCTTACACCACGCTTCTTCAGCCATTTTTTCAACTGGTGGTCGATGTTCTCTGGTGCTATGTCCTTGCCAATTCGGCAGGGCAAGCTTTGGCCCGGGGTTGAAAAGTCGAGCAAAAAATTTGGGAGACATCTTGCTACGATCAAATACAACTTGCTATTGTCGCCCCTCTTCATGAGCCACATCTACAAACATAAAGATAACGAAGGGACCGATAATGGCGCTATCTCTGCCACAGGACTAAAGGTCAGACTAGACAGCTTCATGCTCGATCTCCACCAGCGACGAGAAGAGTTCAAGACCCTGGTACAAGGACCGAAAGCGTCAGGAAATGACAAGTCGAACCAAACCACAGGTATGCGGATCAACGAAGCTCAGCTAGACTTCATCGCAGCAGATATTAGAGCGATATCTGCGCTTGTTAACGCTCCGAACTCCAACGATCTCGACGAGGCCACAGACGAAATGCTAGCCTCTTACCAAACGGATGGCGCCACGTCGCCTGTGGACCTCAGTAATTTCACGATACCTGATAAGGACCTCAAATGGATTGACATGGATGATTTCGTGGAGCTAGATTGGGTACTCCCTACGGAGGCCGTGCCACAAACGCAAATACTCCCTCTGGCTTTCGCGCCACGATTTACATACTTCCGGCAAACAGACCACCAGGGCCATATTTCGGGGGATCCCAGTCGACACAGCCATTTTGGGAAAGAACCAACGCACTTTTGTGTAATGTCCGCAAGAAATGACCCTCGGAGAGTTCAACGTGACCTAATCGAAGAGCGATTAGCGAGAGTCATTGAACAGCTTGATCATAACAATCGCGAGATTGGAGAGCAAGAGCTCTTAATTGTCAGAGAGTCGAATCCGAAAGAAGAACTGCACGAACGCCTACGTATCTTGCAGAGGCACTCTGATGCACTTAGGCGCAAGCAGGTATTTCTCCAATCAGCGTATGATACACTTGACATGCGACTGAAGACTGGTGACCGACGCGCCGTCCCGGATACAGGCGAAGCTGCAGACGACGAATACTTCGAGGCCCGAGAAGACACCTCTGACGCACACGATCCTGACGTGAAGGGCTTGGATTCTACGCCGTTCGCAGATTATATCAGTGACTTCAACAATCGTTTCATTGTTCACAATGTTCAGCTGAAGTGGAACAATTCTCTGCGTAACATCATTCTACGTTACATCCACGAAGTCAGTCAGCGGAGAGGTTTTGTTTATTACATGTCCAGAAAAGCTGTCAAATTTATCCTAGACATTGTAGAAGAACAAGGGACCTCACAATATCCCACCACGAACGGTCGCGAAGGTACTTCGTCAGCAGAGGGGTCAGTTCCGATGTCTCCAATGAGCGAAAATCCTGATATTGAAGATCGAATTCAACAGCTTATCGATGACGCCAAAAAGTTTGTTAAAGCAGAAGACGCTGAAAAGAGTGAGAAAAATGAGGACTATGCAGATCCTGCAAGTAAAGATATCGCAATGGAGTTCACAGCCCAAAATTCGTACCACCTACGTCTGATCGCGCCACAAATCCAATTACAGAGCGAGAAGAACAAGAACGCTGCTGTGCTTGTTGCTGCCAAGGGTATGCAATTGAAGGTCATCTCCATCATGGACAAAGAGCGTGTGAGCGACTCGGTCAGCGGCCTTGTCCAGCGGAGGTTCACGGCAGCGATGGACTCACTGCAGATGTTTGTGACAAACAGCAAGACATTTTCCACCGACTATCTCCACATGTATTCTGGTAACCGCTATGGCGCTCCTTACGGATCATCGTGGCCGCCGTGGGTACCATTCGAGGTTATGTTCGAATTTGAACTCAATCCTTATGGATTTCAAAGGGTTGTCAAGAGGACCTCGGCGAGCCTGCGCTTCGATAAATACAACACTTTACGTCTCAAGTACAATGACGATGTTACCGGTGGTGACAAGAAGAGACGGTCTGTGGTGGATTCGGCAGAAAATCGCATGGACCATCTGTGGATTGACTTTCCACATCTCAGAGCTATTTGCGACTCTGCACAATACTACTCTTTATATATTATCGTTCTGGATCTACTTTTGTACAGCGAGCCTTTGGAGAAGACGCGGAACGAGCGGCTCGAGAAGATCATACTCGCGTCCGATTTCAGCAACCTGTCGGGGGCTCCAGAAATGGTAGTCATGCTCCAGGAGCGCATTCGTCAACTAGAAGAAATCAAGACGCATTTCCAGGTCAACGAAAAATATCTTGATCGCCAAGGATGGAGAGACCGGCTCGCGATGGAGCAAGACTTGGCTTCTTGTGAAGACGAGCTGTTCTTCATGATGAAAGCTATTACCACGTCACAGCGACGTATGGACGACAGAGCAAAGGCATCAGAATCGGAGGGTATTCTTCGATGGTATATTGCCGCGTCTGAGATTGTATGGCACCTGGTGCGTGAGGGCAATGAGCCTCTCGCCGAATTTCAACTGAAGGATGCCTCCTTTGATCGCACTAATAATAACGATGGGTCAAATAACAACACGGTGGAGATTGGTCGTGTGCAGGGTCTAAATCTCTTGCCGAACGCTTTGTATCCTGAAATGATATCTCCGTTTATTGAAGAGGAAGGACGGGCATTTGCGGAGGGTCGCGAGGCCAGAATGCTTCGAGTAAACTGGTTGATGCTGGAGCCTATTGCTGGCATACCTGTCGTCAACCACTTTGAAGTCAACCTCTTCCCGCTAAAGGTCCAGCTAGAAAAGGAAATTGGTCTCAAGTTGTTCGAATACGTCTTCCCCAAGCAAGGGAAAAAGGGAGCTGAGCACACCAATTCTTCTCCCTTCTTGGTCCGTAGCATGTTGCCATCACAAGAAGAGGAGGACGAGGACGAGCAGTCTGGGGAGCCTAGCAATAGACACGTGCCGGATATCCCGACAATCGAAGAACCACCGGAAGATGATGCTTTGGGCGCTGGATCTTTAGAATTAAGACTTCAGCCTACGCTCAATCTTTCACAGTCTAGGACGCGGTCAACACAGAGTAGTGCCCAGTCACATCGGGATAGACTACACGGCCTTGGACTTTTCCGAGACTCTACGGGTAGTAGTAGAGGATCGATTTTCCGCAAGCATGACGTTTCTACGGACACACTCACTACTCATTCCACTCGTCCACCGAGCGCTCGGTCACCCTCAGTAATGTCGTCAAGTGGGCAGCCATCGCACTCCAATTCTCTTGATGGCAATAGACCAAACAAATTTCGACTTACGCGTGTAAACAGCAGTACAGCTTCGACCAGTACCAGCGCAACTAAGAAAGAGACTCGCTCTGATGACCTTACGCAGATGATGTCTCGTGCATCGAACTACATGACTTTGGCATATGTAAAGATCCCAAGCCTGGTACTTTGTTTGTCTTATAAGGGCAAAGGTCAGCGCAATGTCGAGGATGTACATAATCTCGTGTTCCGCATGCCAACTCTCGAGTATCGGAACAAGACATGGTCAAACCTCGACCTAGCCTTGCAACTAAAGAAGGACGTTACTCGGGCGCTCATAAGCCATACTGGCGCCATCATCGGGAACAAGTTTAGCCATCACCGCCCCAGCAAGTTGCAACAGAGCAAGCTCCGCCAGATCGCCAATAGCAGCGCTTTACTCTCCTCCGCCGCTGTCCAGCAAGCCCAAGACTGTGCGACAGGCCAACCCACATCCGGCAGCCCGTACTCATCCACACCAGCCAATGCATCCGACACCTCACTGTCCGATCCGTCCGGCCCGCCACGCAAATCCTTCACTTCAGGTCGCTCAGGTCGCGGCTCGGTTATCTCTCAGCCAGCTAGCAGCTACGCATCATCCATGCACTCAGCCTGGGTACCTGGCGAGCACATTCCCGGCGAGGAAGAGTTTCAAGGTGAAGCAGTCAAGTTCGCCGAGGAGCTTGGCCGCGTGGATCCCATGGAGCCGGAGACGGTACGACACACGCTCAGCAGACACCTGACAACTTTAAGCCAGCGGACGCATAATGCAATCGGTGAGAAGATTAGTGGGTTAAGTCCACTGGGCAACAAGCACGATGGCGTCAATGGAAGGAGGCCAAGCACGGCGGGCCATGATGGCACGGAGGACGATGATTCGAAGAGCACGAGGAGGAAAAGTAAGATGCTACTGGGCAAGAAGCTTTTGGACAGGTTGCCGGGGCACAAGGATTAGGACTTATTTTCCCTTAGCGGAGTGACTATTACTCCGCGTAAAGGAGGAGGGGAAAGAAAGAGCACAGGGAAGCAGAGAAGGAGTCGATCGTTTTGATGTTTTTGATTTGTAATGCATATAGGACAGGTGGAACAGTGAAGGGAGCATTTAGAGCGGGTTCAGCATGTGTGGCGTCAGGGATTGGGACGGGGGGCTCTCGTGCAATTGCAAGTTTTGGAGGGACTGGGGGCCTTCGGGCCCCCCGCCATACGCTTCTGTCCGGCGTTTTCGTTGCTTTGTGTCATCTAGAGTAGTAGTACGTTGGAATACACGGTATAGCGTGTTTTGGACTGTTTGTCCATGCCAGCCATGTACATATGATATATTTAAATATAAATTCCAGGTTCAAAAGAATACATACAAGGGATGAGGGTGGACTTCATGGAATCTATAGTGTCTCTCTCTCTCGCGCGCGCTCTCCAATGCAATATCTGAATAGGATTAACAAGTAACAAGCAATGCCGTCGCCGCAACAACCACAGCCCCGAAAAGCACCGGCAACCCCTTGGATAAAGAGGCTGAGCCCGTCGTAGGACTCGCTCCCGCCGGTCCCGCACTCGACGGCGCTTCATCTGTAGTGGCATCCCCAGACACATCACAAGCATTCCCCCTCTCCTCCAACGGCGTAAACGACGCGTCGATCTGGTCCGACGGATAGATAGGCATACTATCATTATACGCATCCAGACACAGCGCCGCCGTGCCATTAAGCGGATTATCCGGCGCCTGGCCGAGATCAAGCTGCGAGCAGACAATAACGCCGTTAGCAGGATAATAGTCGACCCAGGCAAAGCACATCTCGTCCCTGCTCGCCAGCCCGCCCGGCACCGGGGTATCGTCGGCAGAAGTGTCGAATTCGCAGATGGTGATGAGTTTGTCGCCGGGCAGGAGTTGGACTTCTGCGATGCTCTTGGAGAACTGGTAGCCGTACTCGAAGCTGCGGATGGAGGCTAGGGGGCTGATTTCGACGCCGTCGCGGATGATTTGCACGTGTTGGTTGACGCCGCGCTGGTGCATGTGGAAGAAGACGCTGACGGCGGTGATGCCGGCGGAGGGCCAGCGGGAGGTGCATTCGGGGGTGCAGACGGTGGAGTGTGGGACGAGGGGTTGGCCGGGCTCGAGGGTCCAGCCTTCGACTTGGTAGTCGCCGAGGGTGAGGGTGCCGATTTCGGTGTCGACTTGGTCGTCGTTGTAGAGGAATGTGTAGGCGGCTGTGGCGGAGACGTCGTCGAGGCCGTCTGGGTTGTTGTAGTGCGTCTCGAACATGACGTATTCGTAGCTGTCGGAGCCAAAGGGCTTGCCGAAGCCGGGCTCGAAGGTGCGGCCGGTCATGCCGGGTGCCCATTCGGTGACGAAGCCGGTGCATGGGTTGGAGAAGTTTTCGAAGTCGCAGTTGGGGTCCTCGCCGACCATGGATTTGGCCGAGTCGGGGAGGTCGTAGCATGCGTAGACGACGAGGTGGTGGAGCAGGTCGCTGGAAGACGAAGGGCGCTCGCCGAGGATGAAGTTCTTGTTGCCCTCGGGCAGCTTGTGGAGGGTGTAGCAATAGGTGGTCTCTTGGGTAGGAATGGTCATCTCAGGCTGGGCGATGGTGAAGTTTTGTGCACCGTCGATATCTCGGATCTCGTTGACCGAAATCGTCGTTCCGGTGCCTAGCTTGATGTATTTCTTTCCGTTGTGACCAGGCCCGTGCTGGGCAAAAGTGTTCTCGTCGGAAAAGGCGTATATGAACCACTGCCAGGAGTCTGTCGAGACATCGACTTGGTTCTCAAGACAATCTGCCCTGTTCTTCTTCTCGAACACGAACGCTGTCACTCCGTTTTCTTGGGACCCTTCTCTCAGCCGAATGTTGTTGGTTTGGTCATCAGACAGTTCCGGGGTGACAAAGTCGGTTGCATGGCGGTTCTCAAGCACAAACTCTCCATCACTGTTTCTGTATCCAACGGCAATATCAGCACCAGTCATTGCGCCAGTCTCGCTGAATCCGAGTGCGAGATAACCCTCGGATCGAGAGGCAACTCCGTATGTCGAGTAGTTGTCTCCGGTCTTCCAGAAGACTTGGACATTTCCTTCCGTATCGAGTGCAGCATTTCCGTCGAATTGACTGCGATCAAAGCTGACCCAGTCAAGATTAGTGTCCTGTGCCAATGCAAGATTTGGCAAGACTGAAACAGAGGCCAGATAGAGTAGAAAGGAATATGAGAGGTATCGTGTCCTCACGGAATTCTGGAATTGCAACATGCTCGCTATAGATAAAGGGAATAAATTGCTGAAGGTGCCGAGAGGTTCATGCCGTATATGTGTTTGTTTATATAGTAGATGGTCATTTCCAAAGCAGAGAGAGAGGTATACGCGTCAGGATTACTGGGCGCTGATATCACGAGAATTGAACGAAGCGTATCATAGCCCGCGCAATTAGCATAACGCAAGCAATGCCATATACAGTCTTAGCATTTGGGCTCCGCCCCAATTCCGCGGCTGCCAGACATACCAAGCTCTGTTGTGTATCCTTGGCGATGGCTTGGCATCAGCTTGATATAGAAGCTAGAACGGGGTCGGGTCGGTGTTGCGCCGTCGGTGATATGCACAGCCTCTATGTTGTTGACTCGGATCGGACTATGTATTACGTCTCCGGTTAAAGTCAGCCTTGCTCGTGGGTCTAATCTCGTATTCCGAATCCTAAACCAAAGCGCAGCTCACCTCCTGCGCCCGTCCTCGTAACCATCTGAGGGGCCAAATAACCATCAAAGTCCTTGCTATCTGTGTCTGTGTCTTTGATTTGTGACCCTTGAAACGGTGCCTATCAAAAGACCCTCTTCTTTTTCGACATTGAAAGATGCTCAGACTCGTCTTGATCAGAGACCATTATACCATACTGAACGTTTGAGTCTCTCTTCTTCCATCAGTACACTGCTGCACAATCTCGCCCTGCATGAATCCTCTCAGATATGCTTGGCCGAGAAATTGATACTTGCTTTCTACACCGCTCTCGCTTACCATAGGCCTCAGCACAAAAGGCCACATGCCGTTCCGCAGAGCCACTAGGACATCACCCTCCCTTGTCGCCCGCGGCGCAAGCCCTAGATGTCCATCCTTTGTGGCTATGAACCGACGCCAGAGACACGCGGTCACAAGTCGTGTGAAATAAGCTTTCCTGCCTCCTCCCGCATGCATAGCTTGCGGAAGGCGCATGTCCACCCCAGTCTTTACAATCTGAGTAAGATGCTCTCGGAATGTCTCATATGGAGCCCAGTGTTCTGCTGTAGCGAGTTTGTGTGGATTCTGACACCCTGCAATGAGTGTCTCTGCGACCGAATCTGTGACATCCCCGTCCATAACTCCTCTTGTGATCCTCTCAACAGCTTCCACGAAGCTGTGCAATGCAACAGGATCACGCTGTTGGTCCGCTCGGAGAGGTGAGGTCACTGCGCTGACAGTATCGATCATAATCCCATCGAGAGTTAGAATGTTCGCTATAGAATCCTCGCATTTGTCTGCGCGCTTGACCAGTGCATTCCACGGATGCCAGCATTTGAAATGTACACTCAGGTCATGTGGTGCACCTTCTTCTGTATCACGGTCCCAACGAGGTACCCAAGTGGGGAAATTGTGCTCCTCGACCGTACCGTTCTCTTGATATGCCCATGCTGGTATGTCATTTTCCTCTAAGTCCCCATCCGTTCGATGAGCAACCTGATGCAGGATGTACGGACCGTCCCGGGTTCGAATAGAATACCTTGTTGTCGATCTGTACACGTCCGGCACCGAGGCCTCGTATCGAATCCTCAGCCGTGGTGGTATATCGCGTGTCACATCTGGATCCCAGAGACCGACAATGCTATACACCATGTCTCTTGGATCCTTGCACTGTCTTCTCCTCTGCAGCAGTGTTGCAATATCAGGCTTTTCCTGAAGTCCAGACCACCCTTCCTTGTATTTTTGGCGAACATCGCGTAGGGTGATCAAGTTGTCTATAGCCATAGCAGCACTGCGACCGAACTTCTCGGCAAGCTGACCTGCATCACTTTGCCATTTTCTCTCCATGCCGACAAAGAGCGCACATTCTAGAAATGCCTTGATCCAGATGTCGTGTGTGCCGAGGAAGCAATGTGCCGGGCCTCCAAGGACTACTTCCTGCACAACCCAAGCACGACAGAACCACGGGCAGGAGAACAGGCTGGAGAGTGCTCTCGCCTCGTCGGAGTCCGGCTTGATCGCATCATCGTCAAGCATGCTCAGTCTGTTGTCTCGCAGGTATCGCACCGTCTTGAACGCTAATCCTCCAAGCCCATCAGCGTCATCACCAAGATGCACTAGGTTTCCCTGAGATTTCGAATATATCAGACTCATGTACCGGACTTGAGGTCCCTTTTCGCCATCTTCACCGTCGTCTGCTTGGTTGATATACGCGGCGTCAATCCATAGTACGCGGTCCTGATCGGGCAGTCGAAAGCATCGAAGCGCCTTTTCGGCATTCAGGGGTACAACAAGTTGTTTACCCCCGATAGATATCTTCGCCTTTGGATAGTCGGCGCCCCAGGCATAAGATATGGTTTTGTACTCTGTAACTGGGTCGTCAAGAAGCGAGATATACTTGAAGTCGCAGCAAACCAAATCACTGTTTGTTCCCGGCGGACAGTGAATTACGAGTAGACGTATCTCGCGCCTATCTGTGTCAATTCTCTCATAGCTGTATTCATCAGACATGTTGTCATTCGAGTGGAAGGTGTGACCATTGGGGAAAATCAGGACCTGGAGCTATGCCATAATACATTCTATATTCTAGCTGTGGCTGGAGTCTGACGTCACGTTGCAGGTTGCTACATGGGTGTAACTCTGCACCAGTAGATGGTTTCTTTGTTTGACAGCCTACTCTGTCTTTTTGGGGACTGGGAGACTATTCTGTTTCCATCTGCGCCGACATATGATTCATTACACAGTGTGAACTTTGGTCGCAAACCTAAAGTCATCTCATCTCGAAGGACTCAAAGTCGGTTGTTTGTATGCATTGGTACGGCGAATGTTCTTAGTAGATCGCCTGCCAGAGGTCTTACAATTAGCATGAGACTGAGGCTCTGTTTTGACCAGCGCCCAAGTGATGCTTGACTTCATATGGCCAGAAAGACATAGCTAGGAATCGAAATTCCTAGCAAGATGACCACCTTCGACGTTTCATTTATGTCTATTCTCACTCACGTAGGAGCCAGAACAGTCCTCTGCGTCGTGTGGCTCACGTCACGGGATCCGCCCGAGGCCTCGACATTGGCGTCGTCACTAGCAAGGTGTTAGATCAAGCAAAGCATGCCCATCAGACGCCAGTGCCCATTCCAATGGTGCATTTGGATATTCTTATGATAGCGGAGGCCTCCATTGGAAATTCTGAAGTTCACTGTGGTTCGGTACGCTTCTAACAGGTTCGGTCAAGTTGCCGCACAGCTGTGTTTGAGAGAGCTGCAAAGGATCGTAAATGTGCGAACACCGGCATCAGAGCCTCTATCGTCCGTAGTCATACACCTCGAGCCCCATGCCGCGCGCAATCTTCTTGATCAACGCCTTCTTCAAGAACTGCTCGCGCGCCAGACTTCGTGTTTGCTAGATATCGGATTAATACAACACTAACACCGTAGAGTCGACTCTGCAGACTTACCTTGACAAATATATCAGCACCCACCCTCCCTCGGTCCAGCCCACGCCCAAGCACAAATAGGGCATCTCCAACAGCTCTCTCCTCTGCACATAAGGTGTACAATTGTCCACCTACCACTGTTGGCGCGACCAATACCTCATCAACATCTGGTACCTTCCGGCGTTTCGCTTCGTCCATAACCCGATCCGCTGTCAGCATTGCCTCTCGAATTATCTGCTCATTTGCGGCAAGTGTTGCGTCCAGCTGTTGTAGCTCATGGAGTTCAGACTGCAACTGATTGTGCGCTTGCCCGAGTGCGGTCTGCTGGCTTCGAAGAGCAGGGATGGCGGCCGTGTTGGCATTTATGGTGGTGCTTATGCGTGAAGTAAGAGCAGTAGAGAGGGTACGAAGGAGGGCGTCTTTCTCAGGGTTCGGGGGAATGGGAGGAGCCGGGAGATGGGCGTGCGATGGGTCTTGGGAGGGAAGGGTGACGTCTAAGGGAGCATCAAGTAGGTCAGGGATGGGCTGCTTTGGTTTGGACGGCTGTGATTGAGAGTGTGGTTGTGGTTGAGATGGATATGATTGATGTTGCAGATGGCCTGAAGGGTGGTAGTGCGGGTGTGGCTGAGGAAGAGCTGTGTCGTGTAGAGTTTGTTGAGATTGTCGTAGTCCGGAATGCACTTGCGGTTGGTATGGTTGTGGTTGTTGTTGCTGGAATTGAGGTACAGGTCCGCGAGGTGCAGATATCGGAGTTATGGGACTCACAGGGCTACTGAACTGGCCCTGGCGATTATACTGTGGTTGGATCTGCGGACGTGGAGGCTGAGATAAAGAGGACTGTCTCTGAGGAGGGTGTTGGCTCTGGGACTGTTGTGGAGCTTGTAGATCATGAGCTTGCTGCCAGCTATGACGTTGTTGGACCTGTGTATAATCCTGCTGCGATGAATGAGGCGGCTTTGGGGGCGGTGGAGGGGCGGAACCTGGAATAGGGGATCCAGTGGAGGAGTAAGGCTTTGGGGGTTTTGGCGGAGGCTGTGGAGCTCCATTCGAGGGGGTCGTATTGGCAGGCGTAGGCGTATGATGGTTTGCTCTTCGAAGCTCCTCCGGTGGCGGCGGGACGGGAGGAGGTTGAGGTGAAGGTTGTGTGGTCTGTGGAGACGTAAACTGCGGGTGCTGTTTCGTTCTCACTGGCGGTTCTTTCGCAAAGACGCCCCGGAGGACGGATATGAAATCTGAAAGCGAAGATTTCTGACAAAGTAAGCTGTTGTTCTCTCAAGTCTCCAGGTGCCCAATCCTAGTAGTAACTGTTCATTCCAACTTACATCCCAGTATTGTCCCCATTGCGCTAGATACGGATGATACACTCTTCCATCTCCGCTAACATGCTGACCTGGTGTGACTACCATATCTTGTGAGGGCGTCACGTAGACCATTGGCGCTTCTCTTGGGTACGCATATGGCACCCATATCGTGACGGGAAATCTGTAGACTACGCCCCTAAATTGCACAGGTATGGTACCGCTTATATTTATGAATAAGGCCGATTGTCCATTCTCATATGCTGGAATCTCTTAGCTACGTAGTTTGTGTGGCCTTAAAGGGTAGCAGCCTACTGTAAACTTCGGTTCGCGGTCGCAGGGACCGATAATTCGAGAGGGATTCGACGATATCAGAGTATGTACGATTGGCGTCCAGATAGCTCTAGACTGCACGTTAGAACAACAACGAGTTGTTAAGCTTAGGACCTACTGTGGAGAGCTGGCCGTAGAGCCAGTTCAGTACGCTGTCAGGCAAAGCCGACATGATGACTGGCCGTAAGATAGGATACGAATGATAAGCTACCACTCATATCAGATTTCGAATCGCTGAATACCGGGCATTGGGGTGTTGTGGTGCGGTATGCAGACGTCGTTGCATCCAACTCGCATGGTGTGGGACTGTAGCACTCAATTCGAAGTTGATGATCGGGAGTGTCGGCGGGGAAGGCGTCAGAGCCAAGACTTCAGAATGATGGATAGCAACAACGAATGCTCACGCATGACGGTTCGTATATTAACATCGTACGGAATATTGTAAGCACGCAATTCTCGTGCATGGTGTGTGTTTATTATACATATAGCATCCATCAAAGGGTATCTGAGGTAGAGTTTGTACAGTCGCTGAATATATTCAGAGGTAAACGATCCCAATTTCATGCATCCACCGTGTGCTCCGTCAATAGATTCATTAATGCTGACTCCATTGAATGGTATTCAAGTCAACGCCTTCTTGGACAAGTTCCCACAATGGGCTGAGCTCTCTCAAGAAAGTCACTCGCTTCCTCACTGCGTCCAGCACATAATCAATCTCGGCGTCCGTAGTGAATCGTCCGATTCCAAAACGTATGCTGCTATGAGCACTTTCATCGCTGTTACCCAATGCGCGAAGCACATAGCTGGGCTCTAGTGAAGCGGAGGTACACGCGCTACCGGATGACAGAGCAATGTCTTTTAGGGCCATAAGAAGTGATTCGCCTTCGACGTAGGCAAAAGATACGTTTACACAACCAGGATAACGGTGTTGAGGATCACCATTCTGACTGGTGTGTTCGAGAGCAAGAAGTTCCTTCAGTAGGCGATCGGATAGCTTCTTGATCCGGCGGGAGTCGTACTGCTAGTAGTCAATGATGTGTTCGGACAATAGACGGTGTACTTGTGTGTATGCTCGAAGGAATCATACGTGTACTATATAGCAACATCGCACAGAGTGCTCAGAAAGCCATGCATGTATAGGTTTTTATAATCATCTGAGGAGGGAGGGAGTTTGGATGGACGGGTGCTTTACATACCTCCATTTCTTCGCTGCAAATTCTGGCAGCCTCTCCAAAGCCAATGATAAGAGGTGGAGCCAAAGTTCCACTCCTCAAACCTCTCTCCTGACCACCACCGCTGATGATGGGATCGAGTCTGACACGTGGTCGTCGACGAACATAGCACGCACCGATCCCCTTGGGACCATAGATTTTATGGCCAGATATGGACATGAGATCTACATTCATCTTGTTAACATCGATTGGGATTTTGCCAACGGCTTGAGCAGCATCTGTATGGAAGAAGATCTTCTTCGACCGACAGAGCTTCCCAATCTCGTCGACAGGCTGGATAACGCCAATTTCGTTGTTAACGGTCATGATACTGACGAGTGCAGTGTCAGGTCGAATAGCTGCTTCCAGCTGTTCCATATTGACGAAGCCATTATTTTGGACGGGAAGATAAGTGATGTCGAAGCCTTCATCTTGAAGGTGACGACAGCTGTCAAGTACACACTTGTGTTCCGTTTGTGTGGTAATGATGTGCTTCTTCTTGCCTCCACGACCAAAGAAGCGTGCCACACCTTTGATACTCATGTTGTTGCTCTCGGTTGCGCCACTAGTGAATATGATTTCTTTTGGATCAGCGCCGATGAGATTAGCAATATGTTCTCGGGCCTGTTCGACGGCCTTATCTGTCTCCCATCCGTATGCGTGAGTTCGGGAATGAGGATTACCATACAGGCCGGTATAAAACGGGAGCATAGCATCCAATACACGTGGGTCTAATGGCGTTGTTGCTTGCATGTCAAGGTATATTGGCCTAGTGCCTTCATCCATCACCGTGGCTTGCTTGAGTATACCTAAGCACAAGCTGTCAGCGTACAAGGCAAATTTGATGAAGCAATCTGATGTCGTACCCGCTGCTGGACTCATCATTGCGTCTGCACTCATGCCAGTTGTTGGCATTATCTCATCTTGAGGTCGCTTGCCGGTCTGATTAAGGAACGCTCTTTGATCTGCTTTGATTGTGGTCTCAATGTTAACGGTCGCTTGTGCTGGTTTCGACTCGGAAACGTAGGACCGACGTCCCTGTGATCGAGAGGCGATGCATGATGTGATGCGCGAGGTGGCGGAAGGATGTGTTTGATATGAAGGTCTGCGAGAGCAGGTTCTGAAAGCTTGTCGAACGACTGTAGGGGCTACATTAGACATGTCGGAGTGTGTGAAGTTGGAAAAGGGTGCGAGGAGAGTTGAAGGGGCGAAGGATGATAGTTGTGACGATGAGAGAAGCTCTTTTTGGTACGCGACGCATGGTGACAAATGTATTCGAAATATTTGCGGGGAGCGCTGACTCAGATTGATCTGATAAGATTGTAGTCACGTGCTGGGAGTCTTCTTGTGAAACAGTCTCAAGGAGGGAGTTCTGCATGATGCAGGGTAGCCATGACAAGTCGGATCCCTACATACAAATTGCATGTGAAACGTGCACAAACTGCGCAAGATGGATACAAAGTGGTTGATTTCGCAGGTCAAGGTTCTAAACGATCGGTCCATGGATTCGCGGTTGACGCCACATTAGGCCAGGCGACTGTGGCTCACAATCACAGTGACCCTGGTGCCGTTCACTGAATACGCATGAATCCTGCGCATAGCATTGCGGTGTCGTTGTAGCGTTCTTCGTGAGTTTTACAATTGCAATTTCTCATAAGTTATGAACATTAAACTTCAAGACCGAGCCATACTTTCAGTGCCTCACTACACACGTAAACCAAGCCTTAGCATTGCGCGCGCAGCTCAGCCACAACCATCGTCATAGCCCAGGTTTGCTCTGCTCGGCTGACGACCCAACGGACGACACTCCACCCTGGGACACAACGCGCATTGCGAATTATATACTAGGCAGCGCTATACCAGTCGCATCTCTTCTCACTATCTGCTACACATCTGCAATCTTAGATTTCTCTGATACCCGTATCCTCTTCCCTCCCCACCTTTGCGAACCATGAGTTGGAAAGGCTTCACCAAGGGTATCACCCGAGTGAGTAACCACGACGATGCTTTACTCGGTGACTCTAATCTAGTGATATATAGGCCCCTCAAACAGTCAAGAGCCGCTTCAATATTGTGAGCCTGCCCACCTCAAATGACCGTCTGCGTAGATGGATAGAGTCGACGCGGGGTTACTGATGCAGCTCAGGGGGAAATATCCAAAGATCCCATCTACATCGACGCTGAAAGGCGTTTCCAAGAGTTGGAGCAGGAGACGAAGAAACTACACGATGAATCCAAGAAGTAAGGATCAGTGGCGAGGGTCTATGGCACAAGCTAATCATTCCCAGGTACTTTGACTCCATCAACGGTTCGTCGATACCATGAGCAAAGATGCTTTGACTAAGAACTGACTGGATGCAGGCATGCTGTCCCACCAGATTGAATTCTCCAGAGCTATCGCGGAAATATACAAACCTATCTCTGGTCGAATGTCCGATCCCGACTCTTTTGTAGCCGAAGGCAACCCGGAGGGCATACGCGCCTGTGAAGAATATGAAGTTATTGTCAAAGAGCTCCAGGCCACATTAGCGCCGGAGCTGGAAATGATTGAGTCGAGAATCGTCAAACCCGCCGAGGAGTTGCTTGAAATCGTAAAGGTCATTCGAAAATCGGCGGTGAAACGAGACCACAAACAACTGGACTACGATCGACATCGTGCCACGCTCAAAAAACTTCAGGACAAGAAAGAGAAGACACTCAAGGACGAAAAGGCCCTCTATAAGGCTGAGAACGACGTCGAGCTGGCGACCCAAGACTATGAATATTTCAACAATGTGCTCAAGGAGGAGCTACCACAGCTGTTCAGACTCGAACGCGAGTTCATACGTCCGCTATTTCAGTCTTTCTACTACATGCAGCTAAACATCTTTTATACCCTTCACGAGAAGATGCAAGACATCGACATTGGTTATTTCAACCTTACTTTGGCTATTGAGGACTCCTTTGAGGAGAAGCGTGGCGACACCCAAGCCCAAGCAGAGGCTATCTCAATCGTCAAATTCAAGACTACAGGGCAAAGGAAGTTGAATCAGTCCCGATATGGCCAGAGTAAATACGCGCTTGAAAACAAGCGTGAACCTAAGCTATTGACTCAAGGCTCGGGGAGAAGCTCCTTGTCAGACGGCAAGGAGAGTGCTCCCCCACCATATAGCCCTCCTAGCTCAACGACATCACCTCCTGTGTCGGGTGCGAATTGGGGCACGGTAGCCAAGTCGAAACCACCACCACCGAAACCGAAACCCTCGAGGCTTAGCGGAGCACCCACGGCAGCAGAGACCGTGACGGCATTATATGACTACGAAGCACAAGCCCATGGCGATCTGAGTTTCTCAACTGGCGAGGTGATTGAGATTGTGCAGCGAACGCAGAACGAAAATGAGTGGTGGACAGGGAAAATCGGAACGCGGCAAGGGCAATTCCCTGGTACGTCTTGCGCAACTTGGAAGCCTTCTCTTTCGATGTCAGCTAACCATCCACCAGGTAACTACGTGCAGCTAAACTCATGACTATCCTACATCACAGTCTTGTTGTCGGCGTTTGTTAGTTTATTATTTTGGCCCAGCATCTTCGAAGCGACAGTCCTCCGCCTCCTGCTCGGCCTGCAGTCACACGATCAAAAGTATAGATGAGCGACTGGGGACGCTCAGCCGCAGCGAGGCGAGAGCGACCGGGGAGTAATGTAGATACAGAGCTCTGTGATGAACGAGAATTTAATAGCCCTATTGATCCTGTCTCCCCACTCGAAGGAATCCACATCGCGATAATGCAGACATACCACCCAAGCCTTGGCTCGACCCAGTCATGCAAGCTCATATCCTCCATTCAGCAGCACTTCCGCGTGTACATGCCTCACATGCGTCAACACCCCAATATCAATTGTCTGCACACCCGAAGTCCCGGGAGTTCATGCAACCCACTACCAAGCGCAGCCCGTAGCCATCACTCGGAGTGTCCTCCCGCCCAACCAGCGCCTCAGCCCCGCCCTCCACGTGCGCAGGCAGTACGAGAATGGATGGATGACACAAGCAAGGCAACAGCACCAACCAACCCACGAGATATCTATATATAACGTCTTCTATAATACAACACCTGAAGTATAGCACCCAATAACACCCACACTGATAACTAATCGCAGCCGAACCCCAGGCGTCTAATTCAGCCCGGCCTGCCTCTCCCTAGTTCGCCTGCTTTTGGTATGGCCTGCGTGGGGAGGCGCGGGCGCAATGCTGCATGACGCAAGATCCGCCATTTTCACTGCTTCTTTCGTTGCTCCTTTGCTCCGCGCGCGTCGTGCCGAGAGAGTTTGTCCGGGCTGGGCCGATGGAGGCGGAGGGCCCTTGAGCATAATTATCTATAGCATACGTACATACATCCATACATATACAGCGTCATCCGGTCGTGAAGCTCGCTTCTGCATTTCGTTCAGAGACATTACAATCCCATTCAAAGCCGGGCGTTCCTCCGCACGCTTCATACTTGCTCCTCAAGAAAGGACTCCAGACGACAAAAGAATCGGCCGCGCAGTTCTACACCGAGGAAAGATGGCGTACGACTCGACAATCACGTTCACGCTCGACACCATCTGTCCATGGACCTATCTCGCGCTGCGCCGCCTCCTCCAGGCGCTGCACACATACCGGACAGCAAACCCAGATGCGCCCGCAACATTTGTACGCAGGGGGGGGTGCGCCTCCTCCTCCCACCTCCCACGTAAACGTTCATGCTAATAACACGTCGTCGGCAGCACCTCCGGTTCGCGCCCTACCAGCTCTACCCAGAGCACTCGTCGACGGGCGAGGACAAGCACGCGTGGTACATGCACAAGCGGTACCAGGGCAGCGAGGCGCTGATGCACAAGTACGAGACGCTGATGCGCATGTACGGCGCGTCGGTGGCGCCGCCGATCGCGTTCCGGTTCGGCGGGGTGATTGCGAATACGCTGCCTGCGCACCGGTGTATTTACTATGTTCAGGACGTGCTGCGGCTCGGGGAGGACAGGACGCTTGCGTTGGTGGAGGCGCTGTATCGGGCGTATTTTGAGGAGGAGAGGCATCCGGGTAGTGTGGAGACGCTGGTGGGGTGTTTGGGGGAGGTTGGGGTTGGGGAGGGGGAGGCGAGGGCGTTTGTGGAGGGGGAGGAGGGCGAGGAGGAGGTTAGGGGGTTGGTGAGGGGGATGGGGAGGGATGGGGTGGATAGTGTGCCGCATGTTGTTGTTGAGGGGAGGAGGAGGGATTTTACGGAGACGGGGGCGAAGGAGGTGGAGGCGTATGTGACGGTGCTGGAGAAGGTTGCGAAGGAGTGTAAGTGAGGTGTGGATGTGGGCATTCAGATGGGCTGGACGGGCGGGAGACGACGTTTGTTTTGTGGGATGGGTGACTTGATCAATGTGTGTATGTAGGCAGGAGGAGAAGTAAATGATCAAGGGGGCCGAAGAACTGGTCAGGGTTTCGGTCAAGTTTTCGATTGGCATATGTAGCTTTCTACGGAGACTAGAGACAGGTAAAATCATTCCAGTCAGATATCGGAAATCTCTGGCGCTGAAATGGCACAAAGTCCAGTGAGTCTGATATCGAATATCGTGATGTATCGAACGAAGCCTACAAGAAGATCACTAAGCCCATACACTAGATGATCAAGTCGAATCTTCATGGCTTCATCGGAGAAATAGACATAGCGTAACAGATATATCATAGACATAGCCCGTCACAATGATACAACGGTCAGGCCATCATTATACCATCTAATCTACTCATGAGGTAGCTATTCAACTCGAATGGCGATTAAAGGGTGGAGGAGGAAGGGGAACAAGACGACGCAGGAGTTGCTGGTGTATCCGGAATGCCAACACCGAATGAGCTCTATAAAAGAATCAGCTTCTCATAATACCAGTGCAGCGAGTATTGTATAATGCCAAACCATGTGGAAGGAGTCTCTTGTACCGTCTGAAATCTCAGTTATTTCGTTTGGCTTGCTCAGGACCCGTCGCCATACTGACATGTCGTAGTACGAATGGCATGTCATCCAGTAGCGAAGCTGTAGAGGAATACCACCTCACAGAAGGGGTTACAGTCTAGGCGTGTTGAGAGAAACGGCAGAGTGGTCGTGGGTCGCGCGGATGCAATAATGAGATTGCCAGATGGCAGTGGCTTCCGCACAGCTCACTGCGATGGAGGTCGAGGGTTCATGACCTGGTTGAATTCATGATAAGCTTATTTGTGACATCTCCATGATCCTTCATTCGAGTCGAGACGCTGAAAGCTTCGTCGGCTGTTGAGATGTTCTCCTATCTAGATTGCTAGTCACTGGCATGGCGTGTCTTGAATGACTGTGCCTTCGTTGTGCAAGACCCAAACAACTCCTCGAGAAGTACCCTCTAATGCATATCAACATCTAGTCTTCAGAACTCGAGCCATCGTCCAGCCTGCCGACGCGGAATGCAAATACTCTTCACTGGTGCAGCCCGATATCGCCAGCCACCGGCCTCTCTCAAAAAGTCTATTCCCATGCTTCAGACCTCTGTTGAATGAGATGCACATGAGGAGCCCTGGCCAGAACGCGAAGACCGCAACGCCGGGGCTTGAGATGGGTGTATGAAGAAATTGAATATTTGGGCGAGCTATGGGATGCTAGCTATATATTCGCAAGCCACGGCACGCGACATGGTGGAGCTGATATTTACCCGAGACATGGGAGGCCAGACGCGATTGTGTACAGGGTGGAGGTAAACAAGACTAAGATGGGATACAAAGCTTGGTCTCAAATCTGCTCGAGGGAAGAGGAGCCGAAATGGCGGTATATGGGGTAAGGACCAGCTGCAGCCCTATCGTGTGCACTATCACCGTCATGAGATGATGAGATGTTTGTGGCTGCAAGGAGGCGTTTGGGCCCATTTCAGCGAGCAAAGATTTTCAGAGAACTAGCACTGAGTTGAGGGGCGCTGAGGCCAGGGAAGTGAATATGCTGGAAAGTCCGAGTCCCGAGATCCGGGCAAGCGGATAAAGCACTGCGGCCCTTCTGTCGCTGCAATTCTCACTCAAGACAACCACCACCACCACTACCCGCTTCTCTCGCTTCGTCTCCCATTAGATCAGATCCACTTCTCTGCTAGCAAACCATGGCGTGTGCAGCACTGTTTGCGTGCTTTCGACGATCCGAGGCGTAGGAGGCGTACGAGCGAAGAACTTGTCTCGTCTCGCGGCTGGACGCTGGTGCTTGTGTTGTGATAAGACAAGGATAAGACGATAGCTTCAGCACGCCTAAGTGGACTGGCGCATTGTACAGAGAAGATATTGACGGTATCAGACTGACACGAATGTACCTTTGTGCACGGCGGCGGGACTATGTGTAGTAGTTCGAGCAGCGATACATACACGTGGGCGGCAGCACGCACACTGACCAGCGCACAGCAAGCATCAAACAGCAAACCTGCGACAAGGTCGACGACGTTGTTGAGCCGCCTTAGTCACGCGAGCATCAAAACTCCAGATACGATCACGATGTCAGGGATTGCAGTTTTAGCCAAGCCACGCGAGTGCATTTGCGGAGAAGGAGGCTGGCTAGACTCAACCCCGACACACACTACATACCCACCCACACACACCCACACAACACACTGGGGTCCGGGGTGTGTGGAGGAAGTAGAGCGTGCTTCTAGTGTTGCTGCTCCATGCTTCCACGCTTCTGTTCGCCGTCGGCCAATCGGCGAGAACATCGCAGGGCTCTCGGAGCACCAAACCGCAAACGACCTGCACGACATGATACTATGTAGTCAGCTGGCTGGCCGTCATGGCGAGAGCGCCTCCTCTCGTCCTGTATACAGTGACAATTCCCTCACGCCCGGCGTCTGAGAGCAAGGCAAGCTATGGACAGTCGGGCTGGGAGAGTCTTGTTGTCTCGAGGGGCAAAGTCAGAGGAAGTCGACTCTCGACGGGCATAATCGGACAGCATTCGATAATACGTGATCTACGTAGTGCACAAGGACAGCCAGGGACATACATGCAGGATGAATGCAGGTCAAGGCGAAACATCGGCGCCCCCCAATGAATGAATCGATGGCCGCAACGACAAAGACTATGGACGATAGTAGGTAGTCACCCAGTCATCCCCAGTCGCGTCTCCATCTCTCCGCGAATTGCGAAAATGCATATGCGCTAAATCCCCACCATCTGCCGTTCAAGCATTCGCAGGCTCTGTCAACCATTGGCCGATTGGTTGCCGGGCCGCGGGCAAGGTGGAGCGCGCGAATGGCCGCTCGGGGCTGCCAACCCTCTTCTGGGACACGATCTGGGTCCGCTGCATCTGTCCTGGGCTCTAACTGCCGCACCGTTCGTTCTCTCCAGACTCTCCATGGGTGGCACGTTTTCAATGACTTGGGCTCGACATCTGGATGAGTCCATGGAGGAAATCACGAAAGCGCTCCAGCAATATATAATATCTTGCCTGTTCCCACCCGGATCCATGCATCATCGAACAGACCATCCCTTCTCCTCATCACCACCATCCTCCTCCCAACCCCTCGTCTCAGGACATTAGCAAAAGGGGAGTCCTCAACCCACCGTCCCCGGTCCTCCTCAACGTCCGCGTCGCCACAACATGGGCTTCAAATTCGGCCTGGGAGGCTCTCAGGAGCCAACGCTGGACGATGTCCACGCTCAGCAGGATCGTCGCCCTTCAATCGCTGAAGTCACCGAGAACCAAGTCCGCCGCAAGAGCGTCAGCGACAAGCAGATCACCGGAGCCTCACAGATCACGCTGAGGCAGTCCATCGTGCCCGTCGCGCTGGTCACGATCCTGTTCTTCATGTGGGGCTTCGCGTACGGCCTGCTGGACGTCTTGAACAGCCGCTTCCAGGTCGCGCTGGACATTACAAAGGGACAGTCCTCCGGGCTGCAGGCGTCGTACTTTGGGTACGTGAACCCGTGAACATGCCCGAGACACTCACCACAGAACTGACAAGAACCCCGCAGCGCCTACTTCATCGGCCCCCTGACCTACTCGGGCTGGTTCGTCCGCAAGTTCGGATACCGCTACACATTCATGCTCGGCCTAGCAATCTACTGCGTCGGCGCGCTCATGTTCTGGCCCTCGGCCGTCTACCGCTCCTTCGGCGGCTTCTGCGGCTCCCTCTTCATCGTCGGCTCCGGGCTCTCCACCCTCGAGGTCTCGGCAAACCCGTACATCGCCGTCTGCGGCCCGCCAAAGTACTCGGAGTTCCGCCTCGAGCTCTCCCAGTCCTTCCAGGCCGTCGGCTCCGTCATCGCGCCCATCCTCGCCTCCCGCGTCATCTTCAAGCACGTCGGCACCGACGGCAAGGACCTCGGCGCCGTCCAGTTCGTCTACCTCGGCATCGCCGCCTTTGTCGCCATCCTCTGCGTCGTCTTCTACTTTGCGCCCATCCCCGAAATCACAGACGCAGACATGCAAGATCAGACCGAAATGATCGCCGCCCCTGGCCCCGACGGCACTACTCCCGCCGCAACCGACAAGCCCTTCCGCAAGCAATACACCCTCTTCTGGGGCACCGCCGCGCAATTCGCCTACGTAGGCGCCCAGGTGGGTATAGCAGGCTACTTCATAAACTACTTCGCCGAAGCGAACCCCCAACTCACCACCACCCAAGCCCACATCAAAGGCGCAGACTTCTACGCCATCGCCCAGGCCCTCTTCGCAGCAGGCCGCTTCGCCGCCGCAGCAGCAATGTTCGTCTTCAAACCCCGCTACGTCCTGCTCGTCTTCCAGACCCTCATCATGGTCTTCATCATCGCCGCCATCGCCGTCAACACCGGCTCCCCGACAACGCCGAACTGGGGCGGTCTGGCCATGCTCATGCTCGTGCTCTTTTTCGAATCCTGCATTTTCCCCCTTATTCTTACGCTTTCGATTCGGGGGCTGGGTAGGCATACGAAGCGGGGGGCGTCGTTTGTGGTTGCTGCTGTGTCCGGCGGCGCGGTTGTGCCGGCTATCTTGGGCAATGTTTCGGATCGGATTGGGGTTAGGCGGGCGATGGTTGTGCCGTTGGCGTTTTTTGTCGTGGCGTGGTCGTTTCCGATTTATTTGAATTTGTGTAAGGGGAGGGAGTTGGATGCGTATACGCATTCTACTGTTGGGTTGAAGGGGGATGGGGACTTGAAGGGTGGGGATGGGGTGGGAGAGGGAGAGGGGGAGGGGGAGAAGGGGGCTGTGGTGCGGGTTGCTGCTGTTTAGGGGGTTGGGGGTTGGGGGTTGGGTTAAGGGGTGAGAGGGACTGGTTTGGGGGGTTTGTGGGTGTGGATGTGGATATATATACCTCTGCTGAAATGATGGGCGATGACGGATGACGAGGGATGATAGACGACGAATAGACGATTATGACGATGAACACCCTTTTCTTTCATTTCTTTTCCGGGGTCTGCACGTGGTGTATATAGATACTGGATCCGTACTACATACCCTACCTATTGTATATACATCCTACCATCATCATGTCTTTACTCTGATGGAAATGTCAAAAACACGTGTCTTGCGGGTGTTAACTGATACGTATACTTTACCCCCTTTGAATGGGATGGAATAGAGAAGAGTGGGATAGGGATAGGGATAGAGATAGGGATAGGCTAGGATAAATTAGGGATAGAAGGAGGGATAGGGGGAGGGAGAAGGAGAAGGAGAAGGAGAAGGAGAAGGAGGCGTAGAAGGAGACCTAGAGAAATACCGTCCATATACCTCCTCCCAGCCTCGACTATATAAAATAAAAACTACAAAAAACATAGTAGTATATAGAAAAAGGTTTGGTTTTTTACAAAGTCGGGTTAACAAGTTAGGTTTCATTCATATAGATAGAGAGAAGAAAGAATATAGAGAGAATATAGAGAGTAAGAGAGTAAGAGAGTAGAATGGAGTACAGTGCAGTATAAGACAAGACAACCAGACTATCATGATATATACATATATATACACATACACACACAACATAGCCCAAAACCAAGTTAACAACAGCTACACAACAAGTAAACATATAGTACTACATATCCCTAAACTCAAATTTGAATTGAGATTACAAAGCCATGAGTCATAGAAACCATACACCATAAAATGATAAAAAGAAAAAAATTGAAAATAAAAGAGTGCAAGTCAAAAGACAAAGATGGTGTGTGGGATAAATGGAATGACTTGGGTTGAGGTGGTGGATAGATGGATGGACGGGGAGATAAGTAGGTAGTTCTATTAGTAGATTGGAAGATAATAGGGAGACAAGGGATGAGGTAGATGGGTTGGTCAGTAATTGGCTGGGCGGTAGACAGGGAGGTGGATACGTAAGGGGAGACAGGGAGGGAGATAGCTAGATAGATATCTCAATAAGGTCGGTAGGTAGCTTATACGCAAGCCGCCATGCCCAGGCTTATTGTCTGAACGCAGCTAGGTACACGACCGCCAACACGTGATTACGTGGACAGGGTGTGGTGACTAGAACACGTGGAATGACCGTAGACTGTACAGCAATGGAGCGCATATTCGGGCGATCCGAGTCACGACTGGAACAATCGGACATCACCCAGCAAGCACAGCAACAGCATCAATACTGCAAGACTGCAAGACTGCAAAGGAAGACCAGGCAGTCAGCAAGGCAGGCCCGTTCGTCACAAAAAAGCAAGTATTCAAGACATGTCATTTTCAATCGTCTGTACCGTCGTGGCGCATGCTATGCAACAGTCGAGCTCAACGGGCGCTGAAAGAAACAAGGGATAAAAACTCCGATACAGAAATCCTGGTTGTCGCCTGAAGCAAGGGCCTGTCAGGCCAAGGGTATGTACATGAAGCTCAAAACAAATGCTCAACAGTGATGGATATACTACGGCGCGCGCGCAAAATCCGGCAGATCCGGCAGCATCCTTTTTATCTAGCGTTGCAGATGACCATTTGATGGCAGACGACCGGTTGGTACAATTCCTGGAACAGCCAAAAGCATGGAGCTTCTTACATGTGTGTATAGTAGTAGTGGTTAGAGGCTGTCAGATGCTACAACGCGGCGCGGATAAAAGGGGCGGTGGTACGACAGGTCCTTGATCAACACGGCTCTAATATTGGTCCTGACCGGGGCAGGAAGGGCTGTCCGGCATATATCCATCCTCGGCAAGATAGTAAAAAAGAAAAGAAAAAAAAGAAAAATCTCGTCAAAATCGTCCACACAACGGATAACATCCTCTAACATCGGGGTGCGGGGCTGACTGGGGGGTGGAATCTTCCAGGCTACGTAAGCCTTTTATTGCTTTTCCAGCGGCTCAAGAGTGGAACTAAGTTTCCAAGGCAGGAAGGACTGAGCGGCCAAGATTTAATCAGATGCCAGAAACTCTGACTCGCTTGACTATTCCATGTTTCGAGTGCAGCAGCAGTAGCACGTGTCCGATTGTCATTAGTTCCAAGGGTCAAAAGAGGTCCGCAAGTCCGACGGTGAAATACATGTACCCCGGGAAAACGCCATGCAGTGGGAGATATATCAAAAAACTAGCCGGCAGATGCAAGTTTACCAGTAGGATGATGATGATGATGAGGATAGACGAGACGGCACATCGACTAGCGACGACCCTGTCTACCCGATGGAGGCTGCTGCTGTTGTATGTATGCTAAAAGAGAAAAAAGCAAGTTAGTGGTGGTGGTTCATCACACGAGGCGAACCGAGTGGAAAGCTAATCAAGACTTACGTCGCCCTTCGTGGCCGTACGCGTTGCTACCATATGAAGCCGAACTGAGAGAGGAGTTTAGCGAAGGACCAAATATTTCCGGTGATAATATCCAAAATACCTTGGCTGTTGCTGCTGTGGGGAGTATATGTCCTGACGCGGGGCAGCGGTTGTCTGGGCATAGGGATAGCGCGGGTCCTGCTGCGGCTGCTGGTAAGCTCCATAGGCCGCCTGGGTGTCCTGGTTGCCGTACGAGTAGCTTGGAGCGGTGGTCCGGACGGGCTCTTGGTATCCGGGAGTGGCATACTGGGGCTGCTGGGGCTGCTGGGCATATCCTCCTCTGGACGGCTGTTGGTGGGTATAATTACCGTATCCAGTGGCATAGCTTGGAGCAGTCTGCTGGTAGGCAGCGGCAGGATCGTGGCGCGAGGGACCAGGAGTGGGACCGTAGTGCTGCCTGGCCTGGTGGGTGGTGGAATCTTGATAGGCGACTAAAGCTGCGTCAATTTTTGAGCCCTTTCCATGGCTGCCGGTTAGACTACCTCGTCCGTGAGCCATCTCGGCTCTCCATCTTTGCGAGTCCTGCTTCAGGTCTTTGATCATGTTCTGGAGGGAAGGGGTGGTTAGCGTGATGGTCGTCGTGGCGAGCAAGACGTGGCAGGGCAGCACATACCGAAGTGAGAGTACGATAGGCAGTTATCCAAAAACCGTCCATTCCCTGGTAGAAAGGGTTAGATGACATGGTGATAATGATGATGCATCGTCGGTGGTGTACTTGCCTCGTACTCTCCAGTACCGGTTCCCGGTCTGACGGTGGCATCAGGACCTAGATATCGCTGGATATCGGCGGTGATGACCTCACGAGCAATGTCGTCACCGGGTACAAACCACTGGCGATTTAACGACATGATTGCGGATGTGCAGGAGAGAGGGTTTGGAGAGGAGTGTGGAGAGAGAGGTCGACACTGGGGGACAGTGTCGAAGAACCAAATAGTACGGGACAGGACAGCCAACTGCGACAGGTGAGTAGAGTAGAGAACCAAAAGATGGAACCAAAGGCCGGACAGCAGAGAGGATGGATGGAGATGCGGTGGTAGTGGTGGTAGTGGTGGTGGTGGAAGAAGACCAAAAGGAGCAAGGAGCAGAGAAGAAATGGAAGAAGTGAGAGAGAGAGAGAGAGAGTAAGAGGTGAGGGGCGGGGGGCAGTGAAGTGGTAAGAGGGAACAGGAGCAGAAATAAGAGGACAGGGCTAGCAGCAAGAGGCGTCCGATTGGGGATTGGTGGTGGTGGTGGTGGTAGTAATAGTGGAGGTGTGTCCGCAGGCGCAGAGTTTTGACCAGGGTCCAAGTGGCAGCAGTCAGTCAGTCAGGCAGTCAGACCAAAGTCAGGTAGCGCGGTGGGAAGACAGCAGAGGGGTGGCACGGAAGCGGAATAGAAGCAGTGAGTGGTCGGTCGGTTGGTTGGTTGCAGCAGAAGAGAGCAGCAATGCGTATGTGGCAGAGAGGCGTAAAGGTTGTTGTGGTAGGTTGGAAAAGAAGAAGCAGTAGAAGAAGAAGCTGTAGTAGAAGAAGAAGAAGAAGAAGACGTCAGGACAGCAAGGGTGGAAGACGAGGGAAGAGGTTGGAAGAGCAAGGGTCCTGTTCTAGTGGATGGCGATCAAGTGGAAGTAGTAAGTATGATGCTGATGCTGATGATGATGATGATGCTACTACTACTACTACTGAGGGGAGGGAGTAGTAATTATTAGGGAGAAGAAGTAGATCAAGAGACAGGAGAGAGAGAGAGAGAGAATTTAGTGGGGGAAGAGTGCGGCTCTATTTTTTTGTAGAGGGGGGCGATTGGCACTGATTGGTAGCTGTTCCATACCGGCCATGTATAGTATGTTATCTTGGAGGAGGGGGGGGAGGGAGGGGTGTCCACATCATCTACATCATCCACACCAATACCACAGGGAAAACGTCGGGCTCCTGTTACTTATTCTTGGTGGTAGTAATTAATCTGTGTGTGTGTGTGTGTGTGTGTGTGTGAGCTGTGATGATTAGCTGCTGGACGGGCATGCCCCCTAAGTAGTAGTAGTCGCCCGCCCGCCGATGACGCGCGCTGGGCCGCCTGCCGATAGCTGCCTTTTCGCCTTTTTCGCTGCCCTTTTTGCTGCCGTTTTGCTGCCCTATTGCCCTTCTGCCCCCCCATTTTCCCCTTTCTGCCCTACTTGACTGGCCCTTAATTACAACCCGCAAGAAAACGTGGCCGATGACGATGACGACGATTGGGGCTGCACTCACCCTTCTTTTGCCCATTCAAGCCTTCTCTAAACCTCTCTCCCATCATTCCTCTACTCCACCGCCAGATACCCTCCCGCACCACACTCTGCCACATGATCGTCGCGCCAAAGAGTAAATAAAACACCGATCGCCAGCACTGTTTGAGACAATGTTGGGTTGCAGTGTGTGGATGCTGTGGATTGCAAGTCGTGCCCCCAACTGGATCCGTGTTAGTGCCAGTCCAGGCGTCAACGTGTTCGTTGGGCAGCAATGCTCTCACGCTCGGTGCCCCAATGCCCGTCCAGCCCTCCACTCCACTATCCCTCTCACACACCTCCCAATACCTTCATTCCTCCTCTTCTCCATCCATTGCTACTGGATCGTGACTCCATCGTCGGACTGGCCTTGTTTGCTTCTTCATGTTTGTCGAGCACACGATCGACATGTAGAATGCTGTGCAAGAGAGTGCATGAGCGACAAGTCGTGCTCCTCAAGAGCTCTCTATCAGCTCCCCATAGCTTCTACCCACGCACTAGCCTGCTTTGGGCTCACCTCACCACCTCCATGTTCAACCTCAACATCCAATCTTCTCCCTTCTTCTTCTTCCTCCTCCTCCTTGCACTGCAATCACTACTGATCAATCAATCAATCAATCAATAATATCGCACAACCCGCTTCTACTCGCAGTCACTCCTGTCTTCCCGATACTTCACATCCTCCGCTTACTGGCCCATGCCTGCTGCTGTGTCATCTGTCTGCTGCTGCCCATCTCCACGATCCTCCTCGTCGTCCTTTTCGACTGTCTACCAAACTAATTAACCACTCTGTTCGCTGTGCTCAATCCAGCATTCCCTGTCTGCGTGGCGCCCGTTCACTGGACCTTTGCCGTCACCTGCAGCACACAGCACGGCTTGCTAAACGGGGTGCGAGAAGCCTTTGCCAAGACATTCTCTATATCCACACACCTCACCCTCCTGCATCGCTAATACTACAAGGATACTACTGCCATCATCATCATCCAACTGTCCACTGCCGTGATTCCGTCATGATATTGCTCACAATAATACCTACCAGATGCTGTGCTTGCGAGCCCAACCTACCACCACCTCTCTTTATCTTGCCCCGCCCCATTCGCTCTCCTCAGTCCTGAGGCCCCAATCGCCTCATGCACTTCCTCTACAGCTGCGCTCCCACTCGCTTCACCCTGAATCCCGTCCGTGGCATATGAATCACAATCCTCTCTCATTCCCGTGCTTCATCCTGCTCCATACTGCCAGGCTTGGCGCTGTCCGCCGTCCGATCCACGCAAAACACCTTGGGGAACGGTCGCTGAGAGATATAGTTCGCTGGCAGACTGGTGCTGCTCATGTCAGGGTCCGTCACTACCCGCTCGAGTGGATAGGTGACTGCTTTGCATTAGTTAGCCCCAGCTTGACCTTGTGCTCCACGACACGTGATGCCTGTACGTACACACTCGGCATACTCGACGCCCAGCAGAGCCAGACACCACACGATGGCCCGCGAAGGAGGGCGACATTGGGTAGTGGTACAGGATCAGGCTGTTTGGCGCCGACATGTTGCAGTCACTGGATGTTTCTCCAGGAGCTCTTCTTGACGTGATGGTCGAGGCGAGAGCGGACTGGCCTGTCGGCGTGTTGCGTTGCTCGACGCCCTGTGGCGCAACTTCAATAACGTGCAGGCTCTTAATCGTCAAAGCAAGACCTGGATCTACAGCTCGCAAGACAACTCGCAATATCAAGCAAACAAGCCGTCACGATCCATCTACGAGATCATTGTTGTCGTTGTTGTCGTTGTTGTCGTTGTTCAACTCCTCGCTGCACGTCCGCCAACGTTGCGGTTGACGCCGCCTCTCCGCACTGCCTGCCCCACACTTTAATCCATGCGCCACACCTGCTCCCCTTCCAAAGGTCGTCGATCCCTATCCCTTCCTCCCCGATCTGCGCTTCTAGACTTGTACTTGCCCATCATGCTCGTGTTTGCCCTGGACTGGAGGCCGTGTAGGGCTGATACTAATACTGCTGCTGCCCCGTTGACGCTGATTGAATGCAGGTCCTGATGTAGACGTCACTCACAGCCACTCACACTTGGACAACGCCCCAGAAAGCATACATACTAAACGACTCCATGACCATTCATTCCCTATGGCCAATACCTTAACCTAACGTGACCTGTGCCTCCTATCGCCTTTTGCACCGGGCACGACTAACGTACTAACGTAGGGCATCAAGATCTTCCCCTCAAGGCGCCACTGTGCTCATGCCGGGTCGTGCGTGTGTGCTGGCATGGAGTGCTGGAGTGCTGTATCAGCGCGAATGGGGCGTCTGGCATGCTCGCTTCCACGCCGGGTCGCGCCGTGGAGCTGTTCTGTTCTATCCTGTTCCTATCCTGTCTTTGTTCCTATCCTGTTCCTATCCTGTTCGCGTCCTGTACTCTTGGGCTCCTACCTCGTGGATGGACATCCCAGTGAGATTGAGGGATATTCACGATGCCGAACGCACCACATGCATATGCGAAACGCACACATGTGGTTGGAAAGGGGGTTATCGTTAGTGTTTGCTAGTCTGTGTATGGGCGCGGAGGAGGAGTAGGAAGTATGTATGTAGGTAGGTAGGAGGTAGGTAGATGTGTAGGAGTCTCCTCCGACATGCATGTCGATCACGCTACATTCTCCTGGTTATAATCTGTATACATAGCGGACGACACAGACATGGCAGACAGCGGTATATCTCGCAACAACCTTTCCTACTCGTCCGTCGCTGAGTACTGGGCTGGGCGCGGGTATGTTAGTGAGGCCTTGATCTTACTTGTGGTTGATGTATAGTATTTACAGTATGTTACACTTCATTACACGACCGACTAGTAGAGTCCATTTGTCTATCCATCCATCCATCCACACGCCGATCAACGGGCGCGTCTCCGCTGGATGGATGGATGGAACAGGGACAAGGAACGTGGACGTTGAACGTGGACGTTGAACGTGGACGTTGAACGTGGACGTTGAACGTGGACTTTGCTGCACGACCCCGACCTTGCTTCCGGGCCTCAACTGTGGTACTCAGTGTTGTATATACGGTGTGGCATACCCGCTTGAACCCATAGCAGTGTGCTAGCAGTACTAACTAATTAGTGCGTTTGGGCTGGAATGAGAGGAAAGGAAGGAGCGAGCGTGGGAAGAGGCAGGAATGACGCGGTGGCGCATTCCTATCCTATCCTATCCTCCTCCACACACCCCATCCGTACAGCTATATACACACACACACCCGCTCTTGGGCCTGGGCCTTGGGCCTGCGCGTGTCTGGAAGCACGTGCACAGAAGCCGAGCGCATGTGGGATATATAAGGGTTAGGTTCACAGTTTAGACGCATGCACGCACGGTGGGATAGCGGATAGGGGCCATGTATGACCGGGAGTTGTTGTGATGGAGAGGAGAGATGTTGTCTTGCCTGTCCTGCATGTCCTATATAGCCTATCTGTAGGGTCGGGGAGAATAGACGACTAGACAGACTAGATAGACCAGACAGACCAGACAGACCAGACAGACCAGACAGACCAGACAGACCAGACAG